TTATTTCCTTCTACATATCCGATCTTCTCCGACTGGGGTGAACGACTGTTTCCCTGATCCTCTGCCAACGAAGTTCTTGTTACAGTAATCATTGGTATCTCGGGCATTTTTCCATTCATCCGTTATATCAGGCCCAGTTGGCTCTTTGCTGGGTTGCATATTTACCGGTCATTCCTGTTCCTGCCATGGCGCCTGCTCCCCTTTATGAACCTGAGTATATCCATTCCATACGCCGCCCCTGTGTCTTACCTGGATTGCTCCTCTTGGTTCTAGCTCAACACGGCAACCAGCCGGGTCTTCCTCTCTCGTTTCTGTATTCTTCATATACCCAGGCCTACCCCGCGACTCAACTCACAGGAACAATCGAAGCCAGGCAAGGCTCCTTTCTCCCGTTTACAGATGATTCCCTCTGCCTTCAGTTTAGGATGGGACTTTTCACCTTTCAGCCCCTTGAACTCGGCTAAAAATATCAAAAATTTTTAGGGGGAAAGATCACCAAAAAAATAATTTCCTATCGTTATATTTCATGGGTCACGACATACATTTGGGAATCTTCTTTAATCTAACGGCAAGATTAAAAAAGTGTTTGTTTCCTTCGTTTTCCTCTCCCGTCACTCGCAGATATCCGTTGACTCGATTAGCATGTTCTATCACGCTCTACCCCGTCATCAGCCCTATATCTGCTCAACACTTGCCTACCTTTTTGCTATTTTCCGTACCAGCACATTTCTCTCCTATGTCCCGTCCTGTCCTCTATACTTTGGCGTTTGTTTCCTCCAGAACTCCGTCCTGCTTTCCTCTTTTGCCACTCGCGTGCTGATTTTGTTCCCGATTATTTCCTTACACTCTTATCTTCATGGTTTGGTTACTCGTATTCTGTTTCTCTTTGCCAGTTCCTTCCGTCTAATTGCAACAAAGATGCAACCGGTTGTGTCCCTCTCGAAATACAGCACCTGCATGCAATACACTGCACAGCGAGCAAGCAAGCAATGATGATTCTGTTTTCCGTTTTGTCTATGTTTTCTATTTCTCTTCCCTTTTCTTCTGTCTCTCTTACTAGTATAATATTGAAACTTATTTGGTGATAGACTATAGCTGTTGACGCCTCTTCTTTTATTACAGCGATAAAGAAAAGGAGAACGATAATAATATTAATTTATATATAGTTGATATTTCTTTGCCATACCTTTCATCTCACCCACCAGCTTGCATGATCATCATCATCAGCCTTATAGAAACCCATCCTTGGCCACCTCCCGTACCAATAGAAGCGATGAACACCCGGTATGACGAGTTAAGATTCCCTCCACACCCTCACATCGATCTGTATGTGCCACTCCCCCATCGGCTATCCCCTATCAACAAATCACCTCCATTACGTGTAAAAAACCAACTCCACCCCTTTTTTTTTCCCCGGACATATCAACGACTCGGAGTTTCCCTCCCTACCTTAGGTAGTCTGCCCACATTTGTCGGAGATGATCCCGACTCCTTTCTCCAATCATCAGCCATATCTCCTGGTCAGCGAACATCGCCTCCTCGCCCCTTGGCTCTTCTTCCCCTCTAGTGTCTCCGTCCTGCGTATACATGGTAGGAAAGCTTGTTTTGATCTGAACCTATAACCTGGCACAGCAGAGCGCGCCTTGCAAGTTGTAACTGATTATTGGTAGTTATGGGATTTAAATCTGCCTTGGAGCGAGAGATGGTTTTTTCTTTTTTTTTATATATATATTTCCTTTTTTGGTTGGCCAAGTTATTGTCACGTGACAGCACTGGCTCCAGTTTTGGCTTTTCGCTTCTCGAGTCGCGCTTGAACGTCAAGTCGGATTCTGTTGATGTTGATGGTATCAAAGATAGAGCAGTTTGGGGGAGGGAGAGAATGCTTCGTCTGTTAGACGGGCTTGTTGGAAAGAGTGAACGGTGTAAGCCGTTGGTTATAGACCTGGACTATGACAGGCTATCACATCGATAAAATGATACCCAGTTTGACTTGAAATACATGGAACATCGCTTTTGCTGGTCGGCTATGTATGTTTCTTGGTTATATACTGATGATATACTGGTTTTCTTGCGTGGATATATTAATAATCCAACCATTCCATACGGCCGATCTGCTGCGACATACCCGGTTGATTGAGGTCTCTGGGGGTTGGACTTGTCGGATGGTATATTCCGTCCCCAGAACCTGTTGCAAGAGCAGCTATGCCCACCCATGTTGCCCGGCGATCAAATCGGTCCAGTCCTGCTGCCTGTTCGCTGCGCTTGCGACATATTTGGCGTTGTTTTGCCCCTTGCAACACGGCGTCAGATACCAATGAGAAGGCAGGAAAGCGTGAAGAGGGGGAGGGAAGGGGGGGGAGAAGAAGCATGGCATTGACACCCGCCCTCCCTTCACAGCCGTCAGATGGAGACTCTCTTATTCGAACGGATGTTTCTCCCGCCATGCTTGTCATGAGGACGAGAATGAAAAGGGAAAAAAGAAAACTCTGAAGAAACCTAGATACACTTAACTCCTACCTTGCATATTGCCTGTGGTCGCATCGCAGTCGTCGATATACCTTGGCACCCGTCTTGAAAAACTGCGCAAACTACCACCGCCTCATTCGTGGCGCCACTTATGCTCTGGTGCTCGGATATTTTATTCTCGGGCCTCCTCCCAGTTGATGCGTTTATCCATGTCAACCACCCCACAGCGCTTGGGGCAGGGGAGCAGATTTATGCTTTTTATTCTTCAAGTTGGGGGATCTCTAGCACATTGCATATATGGCGCAGCGTCTGTGTCTATCGATTTGAAAATAATACCGGCTCGTCTCAAACTGGCTATGGCAGGCCACCAGCCCGGATGGTAACGGGGGCCAGAGGATCCAATGCATGCAAGCCTATGTATGATCTACCCCAACCTTATTTCAGCGTCTGGCTTTGACCGTTCAAGGGGGTTGCCGTAAAGCATGTTCCATGTCTGCTTAGCTGCCTATTCCTTTACGTATTCGCGTTAATATTGCCTGTCTTGACTGCGCCGGGAAGAGGCCTATACGTGCGCACATTGAACATAAAAGATCATCCCGTATTAATATTGTCCGGATATGACTTGAGAGTATATAATTCGGGCTGAGCTGGACGTCATGCATCCCGTTGTCAGACTCATTCCGCCGTCCGGGGTATACCAATATTTTTTATATCAGGGGGAGGGGGGGGAAACCTAACCCTAAGTACTTCCGCTGAAGAGGCCAGTTCACCCGTCCTCCAGGTCGCCAGCACATTAATTGCTCAAGCATACTTACTTTCTAAACAAACATTTCAATCTCAAAAGCAACATATAGGCTGAACAACACAGCCTATCTACAAGGGTTACTAGGGAGAGCGGAAAAATGAAGTAATGTACGAGTAACCGGAAATATCCGACTACATAACCCTATACTTCCATGTCCCTCACATCTATCCACCTATCCGTACAGAGTAAGTATATTCGCACAAATTTGAGACGGCACCCAGGCGTAACATGGTATATATCTGGAGTTGGTTATTCCTTTAGAACATGATATAACCAGATACTTTCTCAACGTTCGACGCCCTGGGCTTCTCCCTGTATCCCAGCAAGCCCCATTGTTCGAGACGCTGAGTCTGGAGACGCCTCGGCTCCCCTTCACATGCATACTTACCCCTTTGAAGCCTTAAGATGCTATAGTAGAGCCAGGATTACCATTGGCATGACTACGAAATACTGTCTTATGTCGGATCAGCGGTGCAAGATGCCGGCAGTAGTGGAGACCATCTGGCTAAGCGATGGGCACTTGAGCAAGGGGTTCAAGTATCTTTCCGTGATCACCCTCCATCCCCCGGCCAGCTATGATTATAGAGAAGCAAAGGACACCCTATAGGTAAATAAATTATCGAAGTTTATCCCCACAAGTTGTAGTAAGCTGAAGAGTCGGGTCTGTCTTATCTGTTATTAATGAACTCAGCATTCTAGATCTTGCACCCGCTAGACTTCGGCAGCAGCGAGCGATCGATAATAATGAATGCCCCCTGAGTTTGCTATGGACTCAACCCATACAGACATGGCCAGTTAAAATATTGTTAAGAATAAATATCTCGCTGGAACATGAAGCACTTTCACACGCTGCAGCTGGAATGGTAGCTATATGAGACAAACTAAGTAAACGTGCCCGTATAACCCCCCTTTATCGGACAATTATTATCGCACTCTTTGCATATAGACACTAGATAACTGAAATCAGTAAAAACGTCTCGCCTGTTTAAGGCAATATTTGCTCAAGCCTTCTCCCCTAGCTATAGTGGCGCACGTAAGACCGCATCATTTTGTTGGGTTAACGTGTTAATCCAGGGTGAGCTCTCGCCCCGAGAAAACTCCTCTCCTCCAAGTCCACGACCGCGAGGGCCATCGGAGTTAGTAATGTACTTCAGAGGATTCACTCTAAGCAACGGGGAAATGCAATCATTTGGCCAGACACGTTCAAAACCCAAGCACCCCGAGTTTCTGCAGCGTGGGGTCGCTCAAAACCGCACATTCACGGTGGTCGTTATAGAGGCCTGGCCTGGTGGGAGTACTGTGGCTGGGACAAGGTCTATCAGAGTACCAGTGATGACCCCCGTAGCGCGGCCCTTAACCAGAGCAGTTTAAAACTCTGGTATTGGCTCTATTCCAGTGATAAATAGGGGCCTGTTCTGCCAAGCTGGGGTAGAAGGGTCGATATCCCAGGTACACATAATTCAAGCAAGGTCTGCCATTGTTGATATCAATGATAGCCCAACTTGATAGAAGCAAGGAAGATCCAGGCCTGGGGAGGACACGTTTCTCGGCTCTGAGGTTGAGAAGATTGCTCTGATTGTTGGGAGGAAAGGAAGAGTAATTTCTCTTGACTCCCTTGTCCCCAGCTGCAATACGTTATCATAGCCTGCTAATATTTCAGCCAGATGATTCAATGTCATTTGGAAGAATTATAATCTCCCTACTAGAATATCGGAATGCAGCTTGCATACCTGCCCTCCGAGGAAGATTGGCATTGGATTTCCGGTTGTTTCGACCCATCTTTCTGGATGCCTTGGAATAAATTAACGCTGTACCATAAATAGATTAGGCTTTCACTGATAATGAGCAAATAGATATAAAAACATTAAAAGGGACTTACTACGGTTGATATAGCCAGCATCGCCATATCGTATGACACGGTAACATAAACTTCAACAGCGCTCGCGGCCGCCCGAGTATTTTGAACTTGCGATAGCCGTCCGATGTACCTGCTGTTGACGAATTGTGAGGATTCTGCAATTTTCGTCCCCACGAAATAACAGCTGTTGATTAATGGCCAGCTAATATTAGAGCCCCTGAAGGCGATAGAAAACAAACCCCACATTAACTCCAGCTCGGTTAATTCAAAGTGTTCCACTGCATCATCAATTGTCCAATCTTATGCATAATTCGAAGACAAAGCAATGTCCACAGCCACGTCTTCGCAATTATCTTTTTTTTCCCCGAGTATTGTTACATCCAAACTGATCACAAGGGCAGCAAACCGACTGGCGATGATAGCTTGATATCTTCCTACCCAGGTACTTAAACCAGGTGAGCTCGGAGCGTAGTTTCACCGTTGCTATATCATTTCACAATGCTATCACCTCTCGCGACCTGGCTCAAGCCGTAGTAACAGGTCCATCTAATGAACTGCTCGTTTCATCACCATAGCCCTGTTATCGCTGACCATAGAGCTTCTCACACGCGAGCTATCAATTCTAGAACCCGTTAAATCGCAGGATTCCATCCTCAAAGAAGCAGGTGGTATAGGTAAAGGCCTTAAAACGGTATATTCCGGTCCAGAGGAAGTTCAGGATAGATGGAGTCTAAGCAGCTAGTCCCCGGAAAACCATCCCAGAGAGACGTGAAATATGCATGTACGCCAGATAGACAGGACGCTAAGTGCTTCTTTGAAGCGAGTCGTCGCTGCAGGGTGAGGAATCAAGTTCATCACGTCAACATAGCGTCGATTTGCTACAATCCCCGGCGGAAAGGCATTCGAGAGACTATTCCCTATTGTAACAAGTAAACGAAGGACAGCCAGATTTATCTCTGGCTCTTCAGGGTATCCAGGTTTTTCCTAAATCTCCATACCGTACGTAGTAAAATGGAAAATCAACTATTTTGATATCCCAAAGACGGCCAGGACAGCTGTTATATCACGTGACTGATATATATATAGTATTACATAAGCAGAGCATGCATGAACCTCCCCATGTCGATCGCTTGGGGTGAAGCGCCGGTTTTACCATGTAGAATGTAAGGAGAATAAGCAGTTGAATGCATAGGGTGATCCGTGTTAAATTACGTACGTGCAGCTACATAAAACCCCCAGAGCTGATAGGATGGCAGTGTACAGGGAAAGGGAAGAAGGGGAATAAAATACTACATTGTGTAAAAGACAGGGCAGCAGCCCGATGCAAGGATAATGCTAGTCATTTCATCAATCATATATTGTTTGTCCTGGCTAAAAGGCAAACGGAACCTTGCAAGGTCAAGGTCAGGATGTAGAGAAGAGTTAGGTACATGGTGGATCTTTGAGAGAAGACATGGGCGCACTCATGAGAACGCGAAATAAAGAAACAAGATAATACACGCTCTCTCCATCTATAGACTTCGCTGTATGGCAAAAACATTTAAAAAGAAAAGAGATGAGATGAAATTAGCAGAATAAAACAGACCGATGCTTGATGCCATGGGTATAAACTCCGTACCGTGCAGGGAAGGAAATAGATAGTCAGACAGGTGCGAGAAGGAGAAAAATGGTCAAGCCAAGGTAAAGTATGTATAAGAAGGGAAGAAGCAGAGAAGTGGAAGCCTAGGACCACGCCAGCGGTATTGTTTTTTTGGTAAAGAAAAAATTGCAATGAGTCGTTAAGGTTGACGTGCTGTGCCTTTTTCGTTCCGGTCGTGTCTGGGATGAAATGTATGTATGTATAGGTTGGTCGAGCCCATATGCAAGGAAAGGGACATGATACTTTAAAAAAGAGAGAAGCTGAGGAGAGCCAAGAACCAGAGAATGACAAGTTAAAAAAAAAATCATAATTTTTTATGAATTTTTTTTTTAATACATGTCATCTTGATATCGACCGTCCCGTGACGTTGAGGTTGTAGAGCAGCCACGACCAGTGGTGCTGCTGCCTCCCGACTTCTTCTTCCATCCGAGCTTCATGCCCATCTTCTTCCAGGCGTTGTCTTGACGGCTCTTGGAAGAATGGTGATGATGCAGGTCGCTAGACGGGGGCGTGGTGGGCGGAGTCATCGGGTCGCCTGCACCGGGGCTGGAGGGCAGACTGCTCCCGGAGTCGTCTGTCAATGTGCCCGAGGCTGAGTCACCGCTGGTGTAGCCGTAGGGCGAGGAGCGGCTGCTGGTGGTGGTTGTTGTCCTGGAGATGGTTTGGTGGGCAGAAGGCGGGCTGGTAGAGGGTGTCGAGGAGTGGTGGTAGGAGAAATATCCACCGGCGGTAGAGCGAGGGGAGGAGACAAAGGACGACTGCGGTGATAGCCGCCGACGCATCGACTTGTGTCGACTGACCTCACGTTCCTCTGGGGAGCCATCCCTGGAGTAGCTCGGTTGCGACTGGGGCGAGACGTGGCTGTTTAAGAATGGAATGAAGATGGACTCGTCCATGAGGTCATGTATTCGCTTCACTGCAGCATCCAGAGTCTCGGGTGGCGGAGGTCTTCTCAGATTGGAGTGTCTCAGCAGGGCATCCCTGACGGCACTTGGAAGGTTTATTTCTCGGGGAGACCCTGGCATGACATAGGCAGAGAGCAGCCTGTGCCAGAGCATGCAGAGATGGTCTGCCTGCGGGCTGTCTGAGAGGATGGGGAACTCGCCCACCTGCCTGGAGACGGCGTTGTAGGTGTCTGCATACCGTTTCGAGTCCATGGTGAACTCGAGCGTCTCGAGACAGTGGTTCTGCGACAGGTAGGCCATGAAGGCCGCGAGCGTGTACGGAGGCGCCGCCGTGTTGGAGAGCACATCATCCAGCGTCGGCCTGGAAGAGATCGGACCACCTGGGAGAGCCAGACTGGACGGCCGCGAGAAGTGCCAGCCGTCCATCACCCTCTCCTCGTCTGAGTCGAGGACGGATGGGGCGGGCGAGCTGTACGCGGACGAGTCAGGCGTGGCCGTGTTCCAGGTCGAGGGATTGATGGTGATGGTCGAGTAGCGCGAGCCTCTGCCGCCTGATGGCATCCCCTTGGTAGTATATGAAGACGACTTTCTGGACTTTGAATCTCTCGACCGGATCTCTTTCCAGACTCTGGCTTTCCCGTCCCCCTCCCCCTTGAAGCTGATGTGAGAGGCCGTGCTTGCCAGCGTTACGGGTGGTATCTTGTCCCAGCAACTCGTCCCGGGGGGCAGATGTCTCTGTTGTCTGTTCAACAGGTTATTATAGCCGGATAGGTCAACAGCATGAGCTCGTCGTATACTAGACGGTCAATTGTAAACACGCGCATAAACGGTGGCTGCTGTATGTAGTTTGCTGTGGTGTGGTCAAAGTGTTTTATGGCTTGTATGTCCTTGTGGGTGTCGACGATGTCGAAGAAGGTCGAAGGGGTGAAAGAGGAAGAGGCAGTGGAGGAGTTATGTAGTAGATATAGAAGACGCAGCAGAAGAGGAGGAAAAGGGCGGGCTGTCCATGTAATATTTAATGTACTTAAAAATCGGCCAAAGGAGAGGGAAAAGAAAAAAAGTACCCTGACTCGCAAAACAGAGTGGAGAGGTACTTTTTGCTAATGGGCAAAAAAGCAGTCCCACTTCTTCCTCTCTCTTAGCGCTGTAAACTAAACTTGTATCAACTTGGTAAAGGCAGGCAAAGCAGGTCGATGATGTCGAAGATGTCGAAGAAGAAGCAGAAAGATGCCCTTGTCTGACCCTGGAGCCCTGCCTCTGCCGCTTTCAAGGATGTTTCTTCTCTCTCTCTCTTTTTTTTTTTGCAAGACGAAGCCGGGCGACTCGACCGGTAAGCTAACAGCTGGCGTCTTCTTCCCTCTGCCTCTCCTATATATCGAATACATAGACTGACTGACTCAGGTAAAGAAGTCTCTTCACCATCTAGGAAATTGCTAAAGGCCACAAGGAGTTCCAGATTTTAATCCTTATTTCTTCTTATTTCTTATTTTTTTTTCAACTATATACAACAACCAACTCTCACGCTCACACACACTTCTGCGTCTCTCCCAAAAGCAAGGGAAAAGGGAAGAAAAAGCAAAAAATAAGCAAAAAGGCAGCCCAAGAAGGGAGAAAAAAGCAAGGGGAAGGACAAGAAGGAAAAAAGCAAATACAAGATTATGGGCTTCTTCTTCTTCTTCTTCTCTCTCTCTTCTGGCTTACCGGGGTGGCGACCGCGAACGTCGGCTTGGGGGGCTTCGCTGGCCTTTTTTTCAACTCTCGACCTTTCTTTTTTTTTCTTTTCTTCTTTTCCTTTTTTTTTGCTTTTTTTCTCCTTTGCTTTTTCTTGCTTTAAACCGATCGTCAAGCAAGGGATTTTTACGGTTTGTGCTTGTTCGATGCCACCCGCAAAAAAGAAGTTGTGACGCCAGAGATCGACTGCTACGAACCCGTCGAGATTTAACTTGATATTCCAAGCACCAAAGGGGATAAAAGACGAGGGAGACGAAAGAGGCAGAGCAAGGCACACATGCACGCAGAGAGAGGATGGGAAGCTGTTGCTTTTTCCTCGCTTTGGTCGTACCTGAGTCAGTTTCATGCATCTAGACAGCGGCAAGTGGAGATATATATATATATATATGGGATATTACGGCCAGCACACACGCTCTCCCTCATCATACTCAACACTCCCACGGCTTCCTGTCTAGATGGACCTGGGATGAAGGACAATATCCCTCAAACGGACAGGAGAGCCCTTCTGCTGAAGAATTTTGTCCGGGACCAGCTTTCCAGAACAAGAACTTAACCGAACCCGACCTTGATGGGTTTGCTTTGCGTCTTCTCTACCTTGCTCCGGTTACACAGGACGATAATTGCAGATAACTCTACCAGAAAATCATACGTTCGGGCAATCCCTATCATCCCACTTTTATTTTCCCTCGAACACAGCATTATACTACATATTACACCTTCCATAGTAGGACCGACAGGATCCAGGGAGGGGGGGGGGAGGGTGTTGAGAAGAGTAAGAGAAGGGCCAAAACCCCCACTCCATCCAAAGCAGAGTGCAACATTAACTGTCCAAGAGTCAAGACCAATATGACTATTTAGAACTGGGCCATGGTCAGGGCAGACCAAGTCAAAGCAGTGTCACCAGCCTTGTATATGTTTATTATACATCGTTGCACGAAGTTCTTGTAAGGTTGATTTGAGAGCAAAGCTCGAAGCTTTTGGGTTGTCCTTCCCCCTTGGCTTGCGTACTCTTCCTGTGTCCATGTGTACTGATGATAATTCAGAAGAGGAAAAGGAAAAAAAAAAAAAGAAAAGAAAGGGGGACGGACTGAGGGTTCCTTCACCCTTCCTGCACATCAGTTCATGCCGCGAGCTCGGTTTTGAATCTGGCGGGTGAAGGTGTTGTATATGTGACTAGCCTTTAGGGCTGGGATCAGATACATACCTATTTTGTGTATATGTTAGAGTTGCCCGACATACATAGTACAGCTCTACATCCATAACATGCAGACGTAGCTTACGTACCAGGGCGACACGTATATCATCTCCATCGACAGCAGAAATATATCTATTTGGCCGAAAAAGAGAGTCTCACAGAGCAGCGTTACAAGTGGTACATAACACATCCATACAGGCCAAGTTCAGGCGCTCTCCATCCAGGCCAAGGTAAGTCAACAACCTCAGGCCAAGGGTCGCTCCGACCTATTTTTTTTTTTTGTCTTTCCATTTCTCCATCTCCTCTGTCTGTCTCCGTTTTTTCCTCTCGTTTGTTCATCCCGCAGGAGGAACTTTTCTGGAACCCTTGGCCGTCGCCGCTTGCCGACCAAAAGTGGCCTGACAGCTTCTCCCGAGATATCTCCATAACATACTACATAGTAAGTCTTATATATGCTACAATTAACTAATGAGCCGTCTTATAAACTAACGAACTAGCCGGCAGAAGCGAGGTTATCGGCAGGGAGACAAGTTAACCTACACGCGCCGGCGAAAGAAAGCAGAAGCATCGCAAAAGGAACCAACTTTTTGGATGACATCCTTACCCGGCTGCCGATCCTCTTATGCTCTCTTTTCTTTTTTTTTCTTCCACTTCTTCTCTTTGCTTTTTCCTTCTTCTTCTTCTTCTCTTCTTTATCCATTCTGGGTTATCCCAGTCGGTAAGGGGGAGAGAGGATATTTACCGCCGATCCCCTGGAGCGCCAACCACCAGCCATCGAGATATATCTCGTTTGAACAACAACTCATTTTTTTAAAAGTAACTCTGCATATCTAAACGCTGCTATCCATTCACTCACGGAGAAGACCATGCAGGCAGACTGTTTAGGGAGTCAAGAGGCCCAGCTGTGAAACTATACGGAGTATGCATCTGCTTTTTTTTTTTTTCTCACCCGGAAGGGCGTGGACGATGTGGCGTGCTTTTCTTTTTTTTTTCACTTTTCTTTTCTTCTCTATGACCCCAGCGGAGGTGAGAGCGCTGATGCAAGGAATGATGTCAGTCAGTAGAAGGCGTTGGCCGATAGGGGAATAAGATAGGTGATCTAAAATTGTCCGGCCGGGCTGGCGTGCCCTTGTTTCAGACGGTCTCCAGCATGGAAAAACGTGCAAACAAACGAGAAGGATGAAAAGAATCTTCGATGCGTGTGTTGACATGTCACAGATGATGACGGCAAACAGCTCCACGTATGTCTATATATTCTCATATGCATGGTTGAGAAGCAATCGAGATCCATGCGCGATGGGGCCGGATCTCGCGGGCCTGGCTTCGTCTTCCCAACATAAAAAAAATCTTGGTTATATGTAGCAGATACTCTTGTTCACCAGCTAACAAAACCGCTGCAGCAAAGTAATATATATAATATACAAGCAAGTAACTTTCCGGACCGACCAGGGAGAGCTTTGATCGATGCTTGTGGGAGAAAAAAAAAAAAAAAAAAAGGGTGAGTTTTCGGCTTCGCTTCCTAGGCGCTGTATATGCAAGGCCTGCAGTTGTAGCGTACCATGCCGCTGGGGACTGGCTGCTGCTTCGGAATCTCATGCGTGTATCCGCCAGCGCATCGATACAGGTAGCATTACACCAGACTGTTATTTCATGCCATACACAACATACATATACTAGTTTGCGGTGTTACATATATAAGCATGTTCTGTAAGCGATATGCAGGCGGCGCCTTTTTGAGGCTGATAAGGGGCATCGGGCACTTTGTTGACTCGGCCAGCATCATCCCTATCAATCCTCATTCGCCCTTTGAGCGGATATGCGAACACACCGCTTCAACGCCCCTGGATGGCCCAACCGATATACTTACGTGGCTTCTCTCCCTCTTCTTCCATCTCTGCGGCACCACGAGGTGTGACAGCTCCAACAAAGAGAGAGAGAGAGGGAGACCTGCATCCCCAACATGGGTTTACGAAGGGTCGTTAATATGAAAAAAACCATAAAATCGCGCGTTTGGAACCAGGGTTAGTATCGAGCAGATAAAGTGGGATTAATTGGGTCTGAGATAGATTATCTGACCTATTGTAGGATAACTATTTCGTAATAGACCACATATATTCCCTCCACCAAATCTATCGGTTTGCATGCATCAAGTAATGAGGAACAGTTGAAGCAGGAAAAAAAAAAAGGAAAAAAACCCGCAACTCGCATGGGTATTGAACAGAACGCCCGGCATGTTCTCGGTATCAAAATTCTCCCGAACCAGATTGTCCGAGCAGCTGGGTCGCTTCTCTCGACAGTCCGTGGGATAGCTAGCCTACCGTGGTCGTCGTATCTAACCTGCTCGACGGACAATTTCCTCGTTGCATTCCCAGAGATATAAGCTTGAATGCGTTTGCTCGTAAAAGGTTACTCCATAGTATTAACATGTCACTTGATATAGGACCGGGGTGGTGGTGTTTAGTTGGTTGATATCAGCTTGGGCATTGGCTACTTGAGAACCTCATGAACCCCTGTCCATACATACACCAAAGTGTAAAGGAAAAGAAAAAAAAAAAAGGCCGCAATCTCCCTTCTAGAAAGGTTCTGGAAAACGACTGTGGGATTCCCCCTTCCCCTTGTCGCTTTCTAGAATCCTTCTAGCACATGCAGTAGACGGCGGAGGATGGTTGGCTGGTTGCAGTTCCGGAGGGTCGCCCGCTCCCTTCCATCCGTCTCGGAGGAGGCCAAAGACATATCCGACATGGTAGTTGGGGATGGAAGTGATGTCAGAGATGACAAACATCTGAGGGATATCAGTCTTCCATAGGTCGAGATTACCAGGGAAGAAGAAGAGACATCCCAAACCTGCTCGTTTGTCTGCTTATATTAAGGCTAGTATGAAGTCATCGTTAGTCTGCAAGGTACATACATAGTACTACGTTCCCAACAGTCTTTTTTATCCTTTTCGCCACTGTCTGGTTCCCTTCGGTTATTAACAACTTCCCGTAGAGAGTTTTCTCTCTCTCTCTCTCGTTCAAGGAAGCGCATGGGTGCCACCTGTTCGTCGACGTATGTTTCCATAGTATGGTTGCATATCTGGAACAGGGGTGGAGTAGCATCCAGCCCTATGCCCCCAGTCCGGGAAAATATGCTACATAGTATGATATATTGGATCCCCAGAAAACAAGACTGAGATTTGTATCTGTATCCACCCTCATATCATCACAAGTATATGTATATATCTGATAATGAGCGTCCGATAGTAGGCGAGTCCCTCTTTTTTTACTTGTTTATCTCGATTTTCGCCTCCCAGCTAACCGAGAGTGAATCGGCCGTCGCTAAAGATAGACGTATATATACCAATCTCGCGTCTATCTCGAGGCTGCCTTCGCCCGAGACTATTGATATCAAGCACTTTTTCGAAAATCTTTTTGCCATTGCAAAGCTTTTTTTCTCTTGCCTGAACTAAAAAAAAAAAAAAAAGAGACTTCTGATTTATCGTTTTTGTCTTTCGATCTTTTTCAACTTGGGAATATAAAAACAAAAAAGAAAAAAAATGAACAATGACGGTGATCTAGATCATCGTTCCCAGAAGAGGAGATATTGTCCTGATATGCGACTCTCATCTTGTGCTCTTTCTTTCTCTCCAGCGTCTCGGTCCTTGGGCCGCCCGTTTCTGGCTCTCCCGCTCAATCTTCGACTTCGTTTCTTTCCCCCCCCCCCAAGGCCTCCTTGATTGGATCGGGGACTGGCATCCGGGCGAATAATTCTCCATTGGCCGCTTGCCTCTTGACTCGAACAGGCGAGATGGGCAAGGGAACGATGGCTTTGGCTGTTCGCTTGGGACAGCGCCGGCGCTATCTCCATGCAGACTGCTGAACAACCATTCCTTACAAATCGATTATTCAAGCGCTATACGAAGGCCTCTTCTTTGCTTTTTTCATAGCTCCCAACGACTTCTTACTGGGCTCGAGGGTCGAATGGCTTCATGCAGGCTTGGTTGCTCCGAAAACGGGTGCTCAGGCAAACTGCAGGCCAGCAAGCCCCAAGGTTGCTATAATTATCGTTCTTGTCGACGGTCTCTCCGTGGACCGAGACAAGAGAGAGCTCGAGGCGTAGGTTTGGACCCTTGGGGCAACGGCCTCCTCAAATGCTTTTTGACTTACGCTCTCAAGCAGCAGCTCTGGAAGCGCCCGCCGTGTCCATGCCATGGCGCAAAACCAGCCCTTGGACCCTTTTTTGACGTTTATTTTAATATTACCAGCGATGCCTCAAAAGGGTCATCGCTGGTTGACGGCGCCATCTCCGCGCCCGTTCTTCTCAGACAAGTTCTTATGTATCTTATTAATAAACAGTACTTAGCTCTCCGGTTCGTTCTCGACAAGGTTTCCCCAGAGAGAGACTTGGACGAGCTATCGGCGGTTCCCGACCAGAAAGTCGTTCTTCTCCTTCTCCCTGCTAGCGTTCCAGTCAACGAGAGAAACCTGGGGAGATCGTCACAAGACCCGTCTCACCGGTAAGAGATGAGATGCCGACGTTTTAGAACAGAATGATTGCATTGATAGTGCAGTGGAAAAGACCAAGTGGAAAGTCGCCTTTCAAAGAAGAAGAAAAAAGAAGGTTAAGATTATTTGAAATCACTTTTTTTTTTTTTTCCAAATTATCAAGGTCGATCGATCTCTGTCTGGGCTCCATCTGTACCAGTTTTATATACGTGTGGCCCTTTCTGTTCTTCGACCTGCTTATAGCTACGCGCTTGTTGGTAACTATAACATGGCGGATCCTAGCTATCTGGTATCACATGTCTCGCTGACGCTCATGTCAGGACCTTCGTGGATCGATCACCAAGTCTCTCCTTGGTCGATATATCGAGGGTGTGTGGGGGGAAGAGGGGGGGGGGGGGGGGGGGGGGGGAATCCACGCCCTATTGCCCCCTTCCGCCTCCCCCGATTAATAGAGAGAAGATATGATATCGAAAAATTACCATCGTCGTATTGAGGTTCGATAACTAATGGCTACGATGACATGGCGAGATGCGATTTGATAAGGCTGAAAGCGAAAGGATGCATCATCGGCTGGGCTTCATCTTGCCATCTTCCTCGCTCTCGGAGCAAGCCAAAGAAAACAACCATACAAAGGAACTCTCATAACATGCTTTCGTGTTTATCGGGCCGCGAAACTGAACGGACGGACGGCCAAGCAGAGATGCTGGTCATGTTCCCTTTCTTTTTCAGCTTGTCTATATTATTAATATATACGAACCCCAGTGTCATCTTCACCCCCCTTCTCTCTCACTCTCCCCTCATTGACCAGCTTTGATCCCCGATAAAAGCCAAGAAGGTCACCGTTGGAAACGAGATGAGCGGCCAAGCTTTGCGGGGAGGACAGCATCTGGGGTCGCTCCGTACGACATTGGAAATGAACCCGTTGAAACTATCGACAGTTCCACTGCATATAGAATGGGTTGTCCAGAGATATAGCGGGTTTATATCGGCGGGACCCCTCTCCTTTCATCCTATCTCTTTTTTTTCTTTGCCATCGGCCTTCTATGAAGGAGAAGGCTCGGAAAAGATTGGTCTTCCTATACCATACACAGGATGCACAATGTCATCATCGAACGGGATATATTCAACATCCCTCAGCGCTTGTTGACTTTGCCGGGGGTCCCGGGATTGCCGGTGTCCTTTCCCTGGCTCTGTCTTCTTCTTTTTTGCATTTGATATATATAGATTATAACATCTATATGATATATACCACACGATGATAAGGTGTTGCCCACGAACACGATGGAGGAACCCACTTTCAGTCACAATCACCAAACTAGTCTTGTCAGATATCGCCATGGTTATCTCTGTTCCCATAGTTGCTGCCCACTATTGGTCGCGGATCAACGGCCCAGCATGCCGGCAGACTGGGGGTGTTTCTGGGGGAGGAGTTTATTGCGTGGGGCCAGAGAGAAGATGACCCTGCCAGCTGGTGAGATGCTTGTTGCTAGTTCATGCTACTCTGCTCGATGGTTGGAGGAAGACGGCGCCGTTTCAGCTGTGATCATGGGAATATGAGGTCATCTCGCCTTCCCCCCTTTTCTATTTTGTGATTGTGGACAAGGGCGGGAAGGATGCTGACGCATGCTGCTGGAGGAGGGTGTTCTTCGCCTTAGGTATATCTTATATATATGGATCCGTGTCTGTGATCCGTGATTCGATCGATGTTTCGATGATCATGTTGGAGAAGACCGGGAAAAGTTGCGTCACCGACACATATATCTCAAACAGGGCACCTTTTACTCAATGTAGAACCGACTCAAAACGCTTGTAAGGCAAAACAGGCCCGTTTACGTTGAGAGTTAACAAAACCTTCGTTTGAAATGCATATCGTTGGGGGTTCACTTACATTGACGAATCAGCTCGATACACATTATATACATTCAGAGTGTATATACACACAACCATGCGACCACGCGCAAAGCTGCAAGGCACAACAAATCTAGGCCTCCACGAGATATTTCTAAACGACGACAGTCAAAATGTATATACACATCTGCGCCAACGGAGGTATCCAAAAACAAAAAAAAAGAGTCCTGCACGTCATCCCGTCCACACCTTTTCTTACTTTATTCCTGACTTCTTTGCGACTCGTTTCGCTAAAGAGAAAAACATGTTGAATTGGGCTACCTAATCCGGTGATTGGTAGCGAGATTCCTTGGTTGGGGGATTCGAGTTAGTTGATAGGCTAACTCGGGTGAACAAGAGAGAGAAGAGATCTTGCTGGCAGTGAGTACAGCAGCGAGCACAGCAACTTTTCCTGATGCCTGCCAGCCACAATTTGAAGAGAGATTAACTGCTGCAGTAACTCGGCCAACTCGGTGTTTGGTATTGATTGCGAATACCCTAACTACCGGTCATCAAAGGCTGTCGTCAAGAGAAGAAAAGAAAGAAAAAAAGAAAGAAATGATACCCAAAGACCTGGTATCTGGGCTCTCTTTTGCTGTGGTTGAAATCATATTTTACCACCAGCTTGGAACTACTAGCAACATTACATATATGTACCCGGGAATAAGTCGGGAGTACCATGTACGTGTCACTTTTTTTCAGGAGTACTCCGAAGATATCCCGTCGGCTGAGGTGCATTCCTACCCATTCAAACGGGTACGTGAACTCTTCTTCCAGGCTTTGTCTCCAAGGAGGCGATATCCGTCTCCCAGCCAGCTTGCTTCAGGCGTTCGACTCGGTCATCAAACGCCTTCGAGTGTTCCCGCAACGTGTCCCTCAAAATAGAGAGCACCGACAGTTCATTCTGGCCGCCTTGCTTCTCGTTTATGCAGGCGGAGGTCGACCTCCCTGCAAGACGTCTAGAAACGAGCAGCGCGTGACTCCACGCCTTCAGCTGTGCTTGTGCCGTAACTCCGGCTTTTAATATTATGACTGCTGCATGGTCCCGGGGGCTAAAGTAGAGAAGATACTCCTCTTCTTTGAATAAGTCGACGAGAACCGGCAGGCTGACACCGAAGTCGGCACCGGCTTCGCTTCTACGACTGGTCTTACTTGCATCATTCGTTTGCGAGTGAGGGAGGAGCAGCAGTAACTGCTCTAGAGAGACTCCCACTCGACATGTTCCCAGGACACCGGTAGCTTCAGCTTTCCACCGAAGCACCCCGTCCCTCTCAAAGATTCGTTCTTCCTTCGACACCTGCGCTGGCGTGAGGACCCGGTCATCGTCGAATAGCGATGAGAACACGATATTCGCACGCTGGCGGTTTAGAGTCGTCATGTTGACTGCCCTGACTGCTGCGTGGTTTGTTGCCAGGTGTATAGCGAGCAGAAAGAGGAGCGCAACCCATGTTGCTAATGGAGATGAGACGTAGGCCACCACTACGCTGCCCACCTATATACCGTTTTTTTAGTTGAATCACAAAACCCAGGTATGATGGAGATACCATACCAACATTCCAACCAGAGATATCACAGTCTCCTGACTGGAGTCTTTCTATTCCAGCCATCATCAATATTCAACATTCAACATACCATGAATTGAATGTCACAGATAAAAAAAAAGAAAGATCACTACCTACCGCGTTCAACTCCCCCAGATTCCCCCATCGTGCAAAATGAGCGCTCAAGCTAGCCTTGGAGCTACCGGCCGCAACACCGCATAACGCTCTCAACACGCTTGAAAGGCTGAGAAAGCCTACCCTCACCGGCTTGGGGAAAACAGGCGATAAACAGTCTAGCACCATGGCTGAGTCGTTAAGGATGTCAGCAGCTAGCCTGTACATCTTACACTCTGGTTCGAGAGAGGTTCCAAGACGATGAGCAAATAAGATGGTCGCTATCCTGCCCATGCTTTCCTGAAGGACGTTGAGGAGTAATGCTGCCGTGGGGGAAGCGGTGGCATCTCCAACACCGACGCCTGATATGTCGTTAAGACCTGTTACTGCGAGCTATGTTGGGGGTGTATAACTATACCTTGCAGGACTGCTCTGGAGGACAGGAGTCCTGCAATTGAACTTGAAAATGCTTGGAGCGAGTCCTGGTATGAAACGGTTAGCTTTTTCTCTTTTCTGTCACTGGACGGGAAAGGCTGTTGGCTAACATATATCTGATATCTGATGTCGACGGGCAGTTAGTCTCCGTACCTCAACCGACCAAGATGGAGATAGCTTACTCGAGATAATCATCAGTGACGCTGTGTGGGTATCCAGATGGCAGGAATACGTTCAAGATGGAAGTTAGGTAGGAAGTTGAAGATGGCTGCCGCGGTGGTAACTGTAGCAGGTTAGTATCTCCAGCTATTATCTTCACATCTGTTACACATTCAATGGGGATCTTTCTTCTACGGGTATAACCAAGCTCCCAAGCTAGAATGTCAACAAATGGTGGTAGACTCTACGACAAGAATACGTACAGTGATGCCAACTCTTCCAGCCCGTCTCGGCTGCAGCTTGCTGCTTGGGCAGCGATATGTCACCACCGTCGTCCCTATCTCGTCCGTCTCCTTGATGGTCAGATGAGCTTCAGTGGCTGGTGCCATAGCTCATCCCGTTATTTCTATGATTGGCCCAAGTTATATGGTTTATAAGTTATCAAAAAAAAAAGGTCGAGCGGACTTCCAGGGAAACAGATGAAGTTTGTCTAACAAGAAGTTGTGGTTTAACTATGGTAGAAAGTTGGCCAGGTTTTCTCTATCTACAACCAACCAGCCCAACCTTCTGCTTGCTTATTCTTACTCCCAACTTAAACGTCCAAGTACTACCTTCATCTTTCCTGGATTGCCACCCGTCGCGAGCGGGGGGGTATTTAACTCACAGCTTGGTCTGTTCCTCTTAGACGGCCGCGTTCAGCATGCCCAACCATGGTAGAGACAAGCCAGCCCTACATAGCAAATGACGCAGGTGCGCTAAGTATAGAAATCTGGGGTAAGTTGAAAGTTATACTTGAAAAGGTTCTAACAGCTTCGTATAAGAGGATGAGTTGGTTCTAGGCCAAAGCTGCCAAAGGTCAGCAAGCCATCTCCGCTATAAAACAGGCTGCTGCTGTATACGTGCAGGGTTGCTGGGAATGTACATGGCCAAGACAGACACAAGGGTGGTCGAGTGGTGCCGGATATGCAGTGGAAAGCAAGGAAAGACGATGGTCTTGGTGGTAAAGAGAGATAGACCTTGATCAAAGAGTATGCACAGTTCGGGCATAAAGCAACAAGGGGCCCTTGCAGAGAAAAAACGCCGAACATCCACGCGCACGGCGAAGGAGCTTTGCTATGTCCGTATCTGGATTCTGGACTCACGGAGAGAGGGAGTCTCGGGATTATCTACTCCGTCGGTCGACGGCGTACAAAGATGTTGGAGCCGAGGGTTATATCACCGGTAGGACTTTGATATGGTTTGTTGGGCAAGAGGAAGAGAGCAGACAGAACTGGTAGATATACTAGTTAAATAGCATATTAAAAGGATAAAGAGTAAGTACAGTTGAAAGAGGTAGTACAGTACAGCTTTTCCCGATCCCCTCCCTCACCCTCCCAGCCAGCCAGCTGCCCGTCGCTCGCTGTCACTCGAAAAACCAAGACCCGGCCAACCAAGGGCCCAACCAAGGCCCCCTCCAAAAAAAAAAACCAAACCATGGAAAAAGCAAGGAAATGGTTCCCCCAACCTAGTGATAACAGAAAAAGAAAAGAAAAGATAAAAGATGAACTCCGTCCAGCGCCGTTAAGCTGAGACTACCCAGGCTTCAGTAACAGAAAAGATAAAATAAAGGTATAAAGAAAAAAAAGGAAGAGGAAGGGAGTATGGAACTGGAAGACTGTGTTGCTCCGCGTGCCGTTCGCTCGTTGCCATACTGTATGCTATGCTGTGCTGTTCCGTGCAGCTGCTGTCACTTTTTTTTTTTTTGGTTCAGTTTTGACTTTTCGAGGGTGTATATAAAGATCTTCTCCAGTAAGAGATGTGCATCCTCCCAAATCGACCTTATCGAAACTATACAGGTGTCGTCGATGGGTAAAGGTTTTTTCTTTTTGGTAGTATATAGCCCCTTGTCGAATCCAGCTCAGATAGGTGGGTATATGTCATGGCTGTTGCTCTGCATCATGGTTCATTCCGTCCGTCCTCATGTTCGCAAAAGAGAGAGAGAGAGAAAAAGGAATCATCGATTTGCACACTCGACTAGACCGTTCCAGGATTCATGCATTTGCTCAAGCGAACATGCTGGCACCGCCGGTCTCGATGGCATCGATCTCCGCCTGGGACCAAGGAGCACGTCTGAATCTGGCCGGAAGGTCGTTACGGTCAAAGTATTCACCCTTCTTGGGGGTGACGGGGCCCAAAGCAGCGCCTGGAGAAGCCCCGATGCTGGAGAATGGGCGGTATGTGGTGTTGAGAGGACCGTGCTGCTGGGCTTTGGCACGGTAGGTGACGAAGGAGTCGGGCAGCTGGTAAGTTGGCGAGGCAGGATGGGGTTGAGGAGTGTGGTCAATGGTAGCTAGCAGCCGTCAGTCGACGTGTTCCGAGTCTCGTAGAGGGGTTTTCATGTCACCGTGAGCATACCTGGGATGGAGCGCTTGCCCATGAACTTGATCAGAGGCTGGCGAGCTGCAGCAGCTTGGCGGAGAACAGTAGTGGCCTGCATCTTTTTTTTTTTTTCGCTGTAGTAGAAGTGGTAGAAGTTGTTGCTGGGTGGAAGCAGTCCGGGGTAGCAGCCTTGATATATAGCACGGGCGGACGAGCGGGCAAAGCGTTGAGAGGAAGAGACAGAAAGTGGTGTGAGAGAGAGTTTTTCGTGTTGAGCTCCATAAGCTGTGTTTTTCTTCTCTTCCCTGGAGCGAACTAGCGTCTGACTAAGCCGCGGGAGGAAAAGGTTGAGCAAGGAAAAAACCGCGACGGGCGGAGAGATAAGGGACGGCAGGAAGCACGCTGATTGGTGCTTGGCAAGACGGCCTTATCTCGGCGATCTCTTCCGACCTCGGCGCCGGGTGTGCTGCTTAGTCACGTGCTTATGTAAACGAACTTGTTGAGGTTTGGAGCCGAAAAGACGGCGATAGAGAAGACCGAGAAGGACAAGTTCGAGAGGAGGGAGGAGGAAGAAGGACGGCGAAAGGAAAAAAGGAAAAAGAAAGAAGATGCATGAGATCCTCCTCTTTGCCTCCGTCCCTGCTGCCCAACATGAGGACCTGCTTCACCAGCTCGCAGGGTTGGCGGCAATGCAGCCGACGGAGGTGCTGGAACGCCGCCTGCTCTTCAGGTCTTTCCGTAAGCCAGGCTTCATCAAGCCACGGGTCGGTGGCAGCCAGGCCCACGGACAGGAAGCCGCTGTCAGCGAAGTCCAGCGGCTGAGCAAGATGCTGGGTTCCGGCATGTATCATGTCCAGGTCGTCAGTGATGTCGACAGGCCCGCCAGTAGTGCCGATGCCGGCGGGATGGGGGTCGCGGAGGACCAGGCGGAGTGGAGGGTCGAGTTCAAGGATGTGCCTGATGCCGGAGCTGCCACGGGAGTGACCACTCGGTTCGCGGGCACTGCTCGTCTGCCGGAAAACTACATCTTCACCATGAACGAATGGGGGTTCAAGTAGGTCATCTTTTATATCCTTCAATCCTCTTTATTATGTACTATGGCTAACTCGAGATAGCTATTATTCTGAATATGTTGTAGAAGGCAACATCCTCGTGCTCGATGAAGCCGTTCTCTTCCTCCATCGCATACTGGTCATCCCTCCAGAGCTACATAACCCGTCTCAGGCGGGACGGCCACTCTCCCGTCTGCCGCCATATGACCAGCTAAAGCCCCTCGACCCCAGCGGAGGATATGTCTTGCAGGCGTGCTTCACCATACAGGACAGTAACAGCCCTGACCTGCTCAGGTCGACCTCCCAGCGCATGCTGGCGTTGAAGGAGCAGCTACGGCCGGCCATACGACTCGAGCCGGGGGACAGGCTGGCTCTTGACCCTAGAGTGAAAGCCGGTACCCTCTAACATAAAAACCATACACCATGTAATTCTGTACGATACGGCTTTTAGAGACACTAACTACTACTAATGATTGAGCGTTCTCGTAATGTCAACTGCAAGGCTTTCTTCATCTTCTTGTATGCAGTACTTTTTGATATTCCATAAAGGGTTAAATTGAATTTCTGGACATGTGACTTCGCGTTCGCGTTTGAAAGCCTTCAAAGATTTGAATTATTTCCACCTTTCGGGCTTCAACTGTTTATCAGACAAATATCTATGTGGCTGCCGCGTCGGTTTATACGCCGAACAGCATACATTTCTGTTTATCATCGTGTTAATGCTGAGCTATCTCCTCTTGCCACAATGACCTCAGGCAGAAAGCGTTCTCTCTCCAGTACGAAGCGCGACATCTCACCACCAAATAAAAGGAAGCCAAAAGTCCAGGCCTCCGTGACTAGTGTGTACTTCTTCTATATCACTTTTCTTTACATATATATAACGTCACTAATGGTGTTGTCGTAGGCCAAAATGTTGCTGATTTTTTCAAGCCTGCTTCACAGAAACCTGCATCCATCCAGTCAAAGAACAAGGTATCATGGCATATAGTGAAGAACAGCTGCATAGTGGGCAGGTATCTCGTTGATCCAAAGGACGAAACACAGAATGAGGAGCATAAGAGGACGCGTATTGCTGCCTTTGACTTTGTACGCACGCCTCATTTATGCCTAGATGTCAGCGCGGACGAATATCAAAGCTAACCAGCAACTACAGGACCATACTCTTATAATACCCAAATCCAACAAACGATTCTCCGCCTCTGCCTTTGACTGGAAATGGTGGGATCCTGGCGTCCCGTCAAAACTGAAACAACTCACTATAGATGGTTACACGATTGTCATTATCTCGAACCAAAAAGCAGTCAGTCTGAAGCCAGATACAAAGACGAAGACTGGAAATTCTGACTCAAAGAGCCTGGCTACACTGAAGGAGAAGGTCACAGCCGTGCTGGATGCGCTGGACCTAGGTGTTTCGGTTAGTATATATGCTGCCACGGAATATGATGAGTACAGGAAGCCGAGGATGGGGATGTGGAGAGAGATAGTAAAGGATCTGGGACTGGCTGCAGAAGGTGACGCGGATGGGAAAGAAGGGTCGACGCTGGATTTAGAAAACTCGATATTCGTTGGAGACGCTGCAGGCAGAAAGGGTGACCACTCTTGCTGTGATCGGTATGTTGCAAGCCCCGTCCGCGCGTTGGTATTCCACATACTCATGGAATGTTTGTTTTTAGAAACTTTGCTGCAAACGTTGGGATACCTTTCAGGACTCCCGAGGAGTTCTTTCGGGATGAACCACCCATTCCCGTGGAAGTTGACGTGTTCGATCCAAAGAGTTATATCGCTACACCATCGCCTAATGGGAAGGATGAGTCTTCCTCCCCCTTCTCAAAACAGAGTGATACAGAGATGGTGATACTATGTGGCAGTCCGGGATCAGGGAAGTCAACATTCTACTGGAAGTACTTACAGCCTCTAGGCTATGAGAGGGTGAATCAAGACATCCTCAAGACGGTATCTTGTCTCCCTCTGCCCTTCTTGGCCCATCATATATTTCACACCGACTAATATTGGATCAGAGACAGAAGTGTCTAAAAGTTGCAAACGAACATCTGCTGGCCGGCAAGTCTGTGGCAGTCGGTATGTATAGCTGGTAGCATATACGCGAGTTCCCAGTTCAACCCCATCTATACAACGTTTGTGTCTTTATGACTTACCTATTTACATCATCTACCAGACAACACCAACGCCAACAAAGCCACCCGCTCCGAATGGATATCTCTTGCAAAAACGCACAACATCCCAATCATATGTATCTACCTCACCACTCCTATAACAGTCTGCAAACACAACAACGCCGTACGAGCAGCAAATCCAAACCAGGTATGCCACTTAACCTAGCCCTTGCCCCCTCTTTCTATAATATCCATTTTTAGCTCTCCATGCGGTGTAACTTGCGCTCCTCTTCCCCCTTCCATCCTTTCTTTTTGTTATCTTTGTCTTATCTACCGTCTGTCTATCAATGGCATGCTCCATTCTTCCGACTGTATAATAATGCCCGTGACATATAAGGAATCGCTGAACCCGGAATCCCGCACCATGCTTCCGCCAATAGCATTCGGTGACTTTGTACGCCGGTTTGAGGAGCCGGATGTGTCTGAGGGATTTAGGGATTTGGTCAGTATCGGATTCCGGTTTGATGGGAGTCAGGAAGTGAGGGATATATGGGCACAGCACTGGATATAGAATAGAGTAGGTAGTTGGTAGACCTGCGATAGAACCTGTATTTGTTTGCATAATGAGAGCTATACCTTCTATTATCTAAATGACAGAATATATAGCTTTTTTCCCCTTTTCTTTTCCCATAACTTTTTTTTTGGGTTTCATTTCATCGTCTCTATTTTTTTTATTGGTTGTGCTTCCTGCCAACAATGCAGTGGGGTACATGGGGGTATAAGGAACATGAGTATCTCTTAAAGGAGTGTGCGGTTACATACATGCAATGATACATCTGGGGGATATATAGGAGATGTGCTATAGGAGATGTGAGTGTCGGTAGTGGGTATATATAAGACAAAGTCTTGGGAATGTATCAATAGAGAAGTATGCAATAAAATGGTGCTAAGCCGGTCAACGGCTTGCTGCATGTTGGCTGAAACATTTGATAGAAAGTAATGAAACAGTTGATAGCAAATAAAAAGGAGATGGAAGGGTAGGAGGGCAAAAGGGTGGCGGTGGATAGATATTAAAGTGTAAAACACTATAATGGAGTAGGAAAGGGAATAAGTATATAGTATAGCAAGAGAAGGGAAGCTGCATGTCCAACCGGGGGCAACGGGGAAAGATATCAATATCTTTCGTATCTTCTTCTCTTTTGCGCGGCCACTTGCATCTCCATTCATCCGGTCAACCACCTTTGGCTTCAACTTCATCATCAGTGGAAAAAGAGATATCAGGTGCCAGGGTAATGGTAAAACACACGGAATGTAATAAGAGGAAGTAAAATAGATGGTGGACAGTAATTAGTACCACGAGAGTAGAAAAAAATGGCTTTTTCCCCACCAGCGCCGTGAACATTAGCCATAAATGAAAAGAAAAAGAACCACGGATAAACCGATTTCTATGCGTATCCTCTATAACGTATGATAAACAGGGGGCAGAAGAAACACTAGATGCATAGATGGAGAAATGCTAAGGAAAGACTCGGTCTTTTTAGAGCCATGATTAAACATTGGATTAATGAGTGTCATGACAAAGGAGAGGCTGGGTAAGGAACGTCATTCATCCATCAAAGAGCATATATAGGATATGGCATGGATGCAGGTTTGGTCATAAGGAGCGTAACGCATGATTCATGATCTGATGCTGGGAAGATAGTGAAGGTATAGAAGCCACTCGGGGAATAAAACATAAAAAAAGCAAGACATCATAACTCCAGTCGTCCTTCTGGCCCAGCTCTGAGCGGTGGGAGACGACTATTAATTGCATGCGGGTATGCAGCAAGTAAAAAACAAAGGAGAAAGGTAGGGTAGATAAAAGGGTACGGTAGGGGTATTTTGTACAAGAGATGGAATGGATATAATGACGAGTAGTGTGAGCAATGTGACTATGAGCTCTTGCGAAGGCTGAAGATGCCATTCAAGAACTTGAGGATCGCCTTCTTGGACCATAGTCTATCATCACCAGACCGGTAATGCTGCAGGCCGGGGCCAACAGACATGGGACCAACGATGTCTTCATCACCAAGGTCAGGGAACTTGTTCTTGTCATGAAGTCCGGGTATCTTCACGACGTTTTCAGAACAGTGAAGTAGCTCCGACGGACTTAGCGAGAGGGGATTGCCATTGCCGTCTTCAAGGTTGTCGATGACATGGTTGTAGCCACCCTTCCACTCGCTGTTGACAGACGCCCATTTCTCTTCTGTCAGTTGGTAGATATGCGAGGTGGAGCCATAGTGTTCGTCGGTGCGTGCAAGGTGTTTGGCGTAGTTGCATCGAGCGAGCTCCCAGTTAGCACGGAAGTTGTCCAAGGCCTCCCTATCACAGATTTCCGGGACGTAGGGCTCAGGGTAGATAGTGAAGTTTGCGTGTCCTAGCTTACAGGACCACTCGTCTACGGAGTCAGACAAGGCATAGCGGGTCGAGTAGAGGCGAGACATGGCAAGCTGGCGGCTGATGGACGACAGCGTAGGGTGAGGAGAGCCTACGGGTGACGAGGATGGCATGATATCGCTTATAGAGGTGATTGGGGGACTCTCTGTGTCGCGGAAATCTGCCACTGGGGCTATAGAAGGGGATTCCAGTGGGGAATCGATATGATTTTCCTTCTCGATGTGTGGCAGATCCATCATCACTGGTGGAAGAAGCGGTGTTCTGGCATGTCGCTCGGGTTCACTGTCAAACTGCTGGTTGGCCTTTTCTATATCGATGCCTGCAATCCCAGCCTCGTTAAGCCGTTCTTCGAACGTTGTCCTGGCAGGGAGGGAGCATAGAGGCTCTGCCGTGCCGATATCAGGCTGGCGGCAGGACTGGCGAGAGCAGAAGTGGCGGAATTGGCGCGCGATCTGAGTGAGTCTTCGTATCGATCGCGTGTAGCAACGGTGTCTGCGATCGACGACGGCTTGGCCTGCTTCCACTTTGACGACAGCGAGGAGAAGCGGGTACTGATCCGGCTGATCTGGCGAAGAGACTTGCTATCCGACCTTATCTTCTTGAACGAGCCAACGGCGTCAAGGCCATCTGTCTGTTCAAAGTCGTACGAGTCCAATGAGAGATGACTATCGTCATATGCAGCGGCTGCAGCGGCGGCATGAAAATCATTAAAGTGAGCTAAGCCTCAAGTTAGTAATTCGTTTACTTTCTTTTCTTTTTTTTATTCCCGTTTGCTATTTCAAATCAATGACTGTGGACTTACGGAAATAACCATCTCCCTCGACGTAGTTTATCTCTCGTTCGCTTGGTTCTTCCTTTACTTCTGTCAACTGAGTCTTGGTGCTGCCAAAGGCCTCGGTCGAGCCGATGACAGGAGACGAGGCCAACGACGAAACCGAGCTGGGAAAACGAGTATGCGTCCTGGTAGAGAAGAGCGAGGTGACCGGAGACCCCGGGTTCGAGGAGATCATTGATCCTGGTGACTCTGGCGGTGGTCTGGCGATATATGATGGCTGAGACGAAGGAGTCGCGGTGTCTTCTTCACCTTCGCGCCGGTTTGCTTCGAAGAGGTGTGATAATCGCAGCATAATGCGCAGCCGTGTGAAAGTAGAACAGCAGTGAATCGTGCTTCTTTTTTTCTTCTATATATAAATGAGGCAGAGGGCCTCAATTCATACCGGCCGTGAGAAGCTGTTGTGTTTTGTGATGGCTGTATGGAGGGGGTGGACGTTGTCTTCTGTAGGCCAGTAGCGAGCGAGGAAGTTCATGCAGCGAAGGGAAGGGCGCAACGATCGGCTTTTTGAGGATACAGCGGTAGTCGCGGGACAGCAGAGTAGCTGTATCAGTGGTAGCTGCTATTGTATCTGCTGCTGTCGCAGTAGAGGTGGTGGTGGTGGTTGATGTTGTTGTCGTGATGGTTTGTTGTTGGTGAAGGCGAGATTTCCAGCAGGATTTCAGATTTTCTGGATGGAAACGACAAGCTATTCTTGGAAGCTCGCGCCGGGTCTAACAAAACCACGAACAACAGGAGGACAAGCAGTCAGCAGGGAGGAAGAAGACGATACGAAGTGAAAGCTGCAGAGTGACGACTGGGATGGAGCAAAGAGAGAGAGAAAGATGACTCTTCACTGCTTCAATTGGGCGACGAGAAGGGGAGGGCAAAGGCACGCGACAGGGACTTTCTTCTCCCCCCAGCTGGATCGAGTGGATCGAGTGGACTGAACGGACGGACTGGCTTGCTCTGCTTCTCACCGGGCGTCGTTCACGGGCAGAAAGTACCGTCGGGCAACAAGACTGACGTGGGCGCGGTCGAGGAGGAGGAGGAAAAGAAACGAGAATCCCGAGCGAACTGGAGCCACTTACGGATGGCCAGCGAGATGGTTTTTCCTCTTTAGCGGGTCTCCTGGATCAATACCGCCAGAGAGTATATCAGAGACAGACTGAGAGGGCCAGTGAGAGACAGAGATCGCGGTGACGAGATACAGAACGAGAGACGTGACATGGCGGTGATATTCACAGCGAGGCCGTCATCTTTTTCTCTTCAAAGACGCATGCAAGATGATATAAAAGAAAAAAAAAAAGACGAAGAAGAGCTTCAGGAAGTGGAATAGTATCTGCCCTGACTAACAAACTCACCGTTATTCTGGTTCCTGGTCCGCTTTGTGGTTAACTTCCTCTTGGGGCTTCTTTCATATGCTAATAGCTTATATTTTATATTTTTAGGCCTACGAGGAGCTATATACGTCTGGCCGGGGGGGAGGGAAAGCAGGAGGATTAAGTGCTTTTCTCTCCCTGGGGAGCAACATCAAACAAGCCATGGTCGTGCAGAGGCAGGCAGGGTGCTCTCCGGCTGTATTCCCCCTCGTTTCGTCAGTTTCTTGATGCCGGGACTTGTTCGGCCTGCCTGTTACTGAGAACGGGAGCTAGAAGGGGTATACGGATAATACCTTTTTCAATGGAGAATAATTAGCTTATGGGCTGCTGTGTATCTACATATCGTCGAACAGACCAGACTGACTGCCGCACAGGGATGAAGAGGGCAAAAAGCAAATATCAATCTACCCATCGTCCACCATTGTACATATATTGTCCAACCCAGCAAACCCGTCAGTCTGTCAGGGCCATGACGAGCAGCAGCACAAGATCCAAGGATTCAACCTCTGCCTTTTTTTTTTTTTTTTTCTTTTCTTTTTTCTACGGCCTTGCTGGTTCCACGATGGCCGAACCAAGGTTGAGGCAAGGGGAAAAAAGAAACAGAGAGAGAGAAAAGGCCGAAACGTGGCTCCACCCCTTGGGGATGGATATAAGATGCTGAAAATCCACCAATCCGACTGTCAGAAATAGAGACAGAGAGGAAAAGGTTTCTGGGTAAAAGAAACGGTGCCCGCCAGGAACCAAGGGAAATTCACTCCAGCAGACCCAAGGGAGTCAATCAGTCTTACATACTCAGCCAACTAAAAAAAGAAAAAAAAGCCGGTGAAAGCAAAGGAAACAAAACAAAAGAGAGAAGAAAGGAGATAGAGAAGCAGGAAGAAGAAGAAGAAGAAAAAAACAAAGAGATATCAAAGAGTGCAAAGGAAACCGTTGGATTATCTTTACGCTGCCTTTTCCGCTGCGGATCGTCCAAACAACTCTCCTACCTTTTTCTCTTTTCTTTTTCTCTCTTTTCTTCTTCCTCCTCTCAATTCAAGCTTATAGACTTTTCAACAGCTGTTCCTGCGTCAAGGATGAAGCTCAGTCCGTCCTTATCCGTGGGCTGGATACGAGGCAAAGTCGCTGCCTGAAGTCGTCATCGTCAACGACTTCATATGAAAATACTATTATTACATCCGGAACAGATGGGAGTTTAAGGAAGGTTGCAGCAAGGAAAAGAATCGCATCCTATGTCGTTCCCAGCTGGCAATTCGTGTAAGGGCAAAGGAAGAAAAGCTGCTTGGGCTTGCAGCGAGACCAAAATCCTGATTCGTTCCTTTTTCTCTCATATTTTATTTTTCTTTTCTCTATTATTCCCGGAGTGCCCTTAATATAGTAAGTTACTCTGCAGTCGCTTATTCTTGTACAAGCCCTAACCTAGGTATTCGATACCTTTCGCTGACTTTCTCGTCCCTTCGTATAATGTGGTTGGACTACGACGTTCGACCGAGGAAGAGAGCATCGTGGACGGGACGGTCCCGTCTCATGACGTTCATGGGCACAGTCACAGCATCTCACATCCGGGCCACGCATCTCTCTACATCACTACTATAGCATATGCACTCACAGCTATATACGTCTTGTTGTTCAATATGACCGGAAAAGTACATCTGTGGACGTGGGCGGCTGGGACTGGATCGGACTCCATCCCATGTACCCCGTCCACCCCATCCATGCTCATGCTCCATCTGTCTCCATAACAATCGACTCCGTCACACTGATCTGGCGCTGTCTAGACCGTCGACATGCTTTTTCTTCTCTCTCGTGTTCATTCGAACGCACACACAGCAGATAGTCAACAACAGAAATACTATGTATACGACCGCGGGTTCGTGGGTAACAGTCGGCCCCATCGATCTCTTCATGCGTACTTGGGGAATCGGTCACGCTTGGCGGGGCTAACATGACGGTGGACAGTTGATGCAAGGCGTCAGAGATGTGACCAGGGGTGGAAAGGACCTCGGACTGAGCAGGTCGAATTGGGCTTTCTTCCGAGCAAGGCAACGGAACGGCGAGCAAGCAGGTTGGCTTCCTGGCGGGCTTTTGGCCATAGTCGCCTACCTCTTAAGCTCAAGGATAAATTGCCATCCCTCGGTCGTCTCCATGACAGGCATCCAGACCAGATAGAATTATTAAGCACTTTTTTTTCTGCCCTAACTTGCATTAACTAAGATATCGGCCCGTGGAGTTCCTGGATTTCTTTTGGGCTGGCACCATTTTTCGCCCTATCTCCACATGCAATGCAAGGACGAATGGACAGACAATGCAGAATGATTATACTATACATAGATTATTGAGGGGGAGCGGCACAGCTTCCATGTTGTTGTACATAGATTCAATATCCTGCCGTCTTGTCAAGCAGGCTGTCTATGCAAGTCTGCAGCGCATAGACAGACTTGACAGACTTGGACAGACTGAGCTTCTACGTAGAAAGGTAAATTAACCTAGTGAGCTCGCTTAAGTACCTCGCCTTCGACTTTGTATATCACACATTGCATAGTATAAGTAGTACGGGGGTACAAATCAACTAGACAATGCAGTTTTTTTTGAAGGAAGATGGAGCACCGCATCCAGGCTCGTGTATGTCGTGGCCCAGCAACTGTTATCATAAATATCACAAGAGAAAATCATGTGCATGATGAGATGCTCTTCTCTAGTTAATACAGTATGCATTTCGAGGGCCTTTTAAGCGGGAGCGGCGGTTTTGAAGCATCAATAGATGATATACAAACATAGAAAGTCTACCATGCAGGTATATATATATATATATTAATTGTAGGAATAAGCGAGATATATTGATTGCCTTATGCATCGCATTCTGAGCAAATAGTACGATTGACATTATCCCTGGGAAGAATATAGGTCGCTTAATCTCAAGCCATCTCCTTTCTCCCGCAAGCGAGTATCGTATAAGATATCGGTTTATGCATCTTCCTCCTTCAACGTCGTACCATCCGGTCGATCGCATTTGTGTAAAGCACCGCCGTGCAACAGCTTGTCTTTCCCCGGGGAGGTAATATGTAGAATCCGGCATCCCCTTTGCATCACCATCCATAACTCTGTAGAGTTAATGTGGACGAACTTGAACTTCTCCTTCCCCAAGCATCCGGAGACCTTCAGTTACCGTCGGGTATAACATATAACCCCCAAAAATCTCGTATATGTATGGTGCCTTCTCATGTATTATGTATATGTAGTGATTCCCCCTTCGCCTCACATCACCTAGCCTAGCAAATTTCCAACATATTCGGCCTTTCTACCAAATCCAAACCATCCTGAGTAACCAGCTAGGCCTTCCCACTGTACCAAGAACCGGTCGACGAGAGGGAAGAGGATCCTTCCCGACAAACTCACGGTAGTCACGCGCGCCCAGGACTCGATGAATATCGTCCGTAGATACCGTCTGGTTTCACGGCGTTGAGCTTGAGAGGACCCGGATTGGGAATGGGACTCGGGGCCGGAGTCGAGAGTGGACCTCAAATTCGACTCGGATGGGCTGGTGATGTTCGATCCGGCATGGGGCAGGATGCGATATACCAGCTGGTCGAACAGGCGGATAAGTCGGGCGGCAACGACCACGCAAACTCCCGTGCCAGGCCCGTTCGTGAGAATGATGTCAGGATATCCGGGACAAGCTCCTGAGGAAGCGGTGAGCTGATCGGGATGTCTGCCCATGAGCACCAACATGCAGAATCCGAAGCATTGTAGCGTGGACAAGGGCGCGGTCAGAAAGGATTGGTGCACTTTTCTCGCACGAGGAACCGTGACTATGCTATAGTTACTGTTTGCGTCTTCCCTGCCAGTCTGTCTACCACTTTGAATGCTCTTTTCGTACTGCACGGCTTTCCTGGCGCTGAAGGAATCTCCAGAGCTGACGATATATGTGCGTTTGAAATAGGAAGTTGGATCCAGCTTTGCATGTCTTAGCATGGAGAGCATTTCTTCAGTATGCCCTCCACTCCCCAGAACGACTAGAAGATGGATTGGGCGGCATGGCTGTCTGTCCTGAGCCTTGCTTGAGCCACGTATTAAAGACTATTCAAGTGTTAGTAACCCTACACTCAAGCTGATGGAGGGCCTACGTTACCGTGACTAAATAGATTAAGGCCAGTAATGCCAAAGTTCCCAGGAGAACTAGATACTTCATGGCCACCGCAGCACCTCCTTAGATATCAACTTGTAGATGTAGTCTCTTCCCTTCATCCGTAGTTGTTTGGTATCGTCAGTTAAAATAAAGACCATCTCAGTTGTTATTCGCGCATCCACCACAATGGAATTCACAGCTGGTCCTTTCCGGCATCTTCAGTCTTCTACTCGACCGTTGTTGTCGTCTCCTGTTTATCTCTTCTTCTCTTTTCTTCTCCTGATGTTGATCTTTTTTGGTTTCTTCGGGGTTTAGCGCGACTTAAACCCGCAACTCAACCAACTAAAAGATGATAAAATGGGAAAATATAAAAAAAATAATAACAACAACCGACATCTCATCACACCCAAGAAATATACAGCCAGCTTACTTTATGTAGGCCGTCATGGCTCCTTTTTTTCAGAAGCGACTGCGATGCTTTTACTGCAGCGGAAATTCAAACCAGGTATACAGGAATGGTGTCCAGAAGTGGAAATGCGACCGCTGTCAGGCTGTAAACCATCTCGATGAAGTACGTTATTCTTTGAAGACATCCAGGTAAACCGGTTATTTGAGCTGACAGTTGTATGAAGAATGGTGAAATAACCGATCCTCCTGCTGCTGAAGTATCGACGGAGAGACGATTCCATCGGTATGCTGCTCCTGTCGCGCAATCCTTCGAACAACCGGAGCAGCCAAGTGCTGCCGACTCTACCATTTTCTGCTCAACATGCCAGAAGAACCAGTATCTTTTCACTCAGACACTGGCTTCATACCTACCGGACCCGTCACATCCGGAATATGCAGTCTATGAGAAGTCATATCCTTCGTACAAGCGGAGTTTGGAGGAACGCTACCCACAGGTCTGTGAGAAGTGCAAACCACGAGTCATTAAGCGCATCAGACAAGCCGGATATGCCGCCAAAACAGACCATCTGCGGCGCATGATGGAGCGTAGCAAGGGCAAATCATCCAAGCAAAAGAGGCATATGTGGAAATGGAAGAGTCTTTTGGTCTCCACAGGGGCTTTCGCGTTCTGGTCAAGTGTTGCCGGTCAACTGGTCTGGGACGTTGTGGCTTTTGCGTCTTCTGCTCATCAGCTGCAGGATACAGGAATGGGTTCATTGTTGATGTCCTCTATTGCTAGGCAGTGTGTCACTAGCGTTATGCAAAACCGCGGTGTTCCTGGAGAATGTGCTGCTTTTCTTGCGCCATATGCTGGATTATCGTTGATTCTCGGCGCATTTTCTCTCTGGTGGAATCCAAAACTGAGATTAAAGGTTGAAGGGCATCATGGTAGATTGATTGGGTTACAGGAGTACTATCGCATTCAAATTGTTACTCTCATGGTCAGGTTTATGGCATGGGCTGGCTTGCAGGACCCTGCGATAACAGGTCTTCATCCACAGCTAAATCCATCTATTCATGCTTTTGTAGCTATATTTACCTTGATTGTGAGTTCTATAACTTCCTGGCTGATAGGGATTGACAAATATTCTAACGCTGGATAGACAACTATTGCCTCAACTTCGACTATCAAATTTGAGAAGAAACCGCTCGTCGATTGGCACGACAATACCGAGAAACTGCTATCCAATACTAACAGCCGCGCAGGAACGCCGCTGATAAGTCCTCCAGAGTCGCAAACCTCCGAGGTGGCCAGCCAGCCAGCCTCTCAGCGATTTCCAATTGCTAGCCTTGCACCTCGCCGTTTGGCAACTCCAGAACCATACGTCCCACCGACTCCTCCTCTTGACCCTCGGCAGGACGATTTCGATGCGATGGACTGGACTCCATCCCGGCAACCACTCCAGATCCCGATCAAAAATACCAACCAGGCACCAGCAATATCCACTTCAACGCTCTTTCAAGGCCAGCTGCCTCAAATACCGAAACCGCCTTCATGGAATCTACGGAATCCAGTAGCAGAGAAGGTGGAAAAGATTCAGAAGAAACCAAACCCATTCCACCAAGCTCCTGTTTTACAGCCCACGCTGTTCTCACAAGAGGACGATGAGGATGAGGAAGAAGAAGACAAGCAGCCCAAGCCAGTCCGAACTAATGCCGTCTTTGCTGCACCCAGGTTTTTCCCTCCAAGTCTAACAGCCGAAACGGGACTGGAAAATTTATTTGACCAAGCTTTCTCAATCGCAGATGGGCCAGGGAATACCCGACAGAGCCAGTCTGCTCAAGCTTCCATCAACCGCAAGTCTGCAGTTGTTGGCAACAAGTCATCTCATATCCTGCGAATCTCTCTTTTGCTCCTTTGTCTGGGCCTGTGGATGAGCACAAAGGTCTATACAGTACCTGCAAAGTCAATTGAGACGGTGGTACTCGGCATAGCGTTCCTTGTTGCGGCCTTCTCATTCCTGGAGTCTTTGATGAAGCCAATGTTGGCCTGGAATGTGACCGAGATCTTGCTCTCTCTTTTTGAATTAGTGTCATGCATTTACCTGGCCGTGGTACAGGCTCGTCAGATTTACAACCTAGTAGGTCTGGATAATGCTGGGATATATTTGGTCTCCTTCATGATGGGACATGAGATGTTTGGCCTCGGCCCTTCTTCTCTCATCCCTCAAACCAGCTCTACCGAGTCTAGTAATGTCCCCAAAGTCGACAATATGGAAAAGGATAAGAAATCTCCTGGCTCATCAACGGATGGCTCGATTTCTGCACTCAACATCAAACAAAAGAGCACATCTCCAGATAGCCAGCATGCTAGTACTCCCCGGATCGGACGACAATCAACGACCAACATCAGAACTAGTCCCAAGACTAACCCTTCAGCCGGCATCTTCCCCCAAAGAAACCACAATAGTTTCCCTGATTTCGCTACTAGAATGAAATCAACACCGCAGCCTTCATTTACACCTTCAACTAAGTTCGCCGGTTATACCCCAGCTGCCCGACAGCCAACTCTGTCATTCTCACCTTCATTTGATGCAGCTTTACAGGACAGTCCTTTTTCCCCTACCTCTACAGCTTCAGACTACGCCTCATCAGTTGCGTCAGAAGCCCAAACACCCATTTCTCAGTCTAGATTTTTGAACATAAACCACGACAACGCCAGTCCTTCTATTATCAAGTCTCTTAATCTTAATGATGATCCGGCTCCCCGAGCTCCGCCTACTACACGTTACTCTCTGCGTCAGCGACGGAATTAATGCCATACAATGATGCTTTTCTTTTTTATCTGTTATAATACCTAAGTCTCTTTATTCAACGTTCCCATTGATGATCCATACTGAAAGGTTTTGTTTTACCTTCTACCCTTTTTTTGCACACAAGTTATTACTGCATCTTTAGACAGTATACGGCGTCTTGTGGAGATTAGCGTCTTGACTGTATTTTCTTGTACTTTGGTAACGCCCCCTTTTAATGCAATTTATATGATGATATGCATATGCCCGTTTGTTTATTGTATTTAAACAGAGATCTAACTTTGTCTTGTCCTCGATATATGCCCGTTAACATGGTTTGAAAAACTAGTAGGTGTTACACTGCAGGAGAAAGGCAGCAAATGTTCACATGATAGTAGGGATAGGCTTACAGGACTTAAGGAAGGATGTTATTAGCTGCAGCCAACGGGGATATATGAAGAAGGGACCGAGTAGTGGCGATGGTTGGGCACTTAGTGTATGTATGCATGTATGTATATTAGCAAAAAAAATAAAGATCTATATCCATTCCACTCTCCTTTCTATCTCTTATTTTATTTTAGGCTAAGCCCCAATCACGCCAAAAGCAAAAAGCCTTTGTCAAAAAAGTCATAGCTGCATGAAATGGCATAAACGAGATAGAACGGGGGGGAGGGGGAAAAAATAATGGTTGCTGCATTGCACTTAAAACGTAAGTCGACATCCTACCGAAATAGGAATATTAGTGGTTGGAATGGTGGCAGCGGGGGAGTGGACGCTCTCATTTCGCTTGCTCATTCTTGGCCTGGGCCGGAGAGCTGGTTGGCCTTGTTGGCAGGGTCTGTGGTAGTGGGGGGAGCAAATTCTTCGCGGCCTCCCTGGCATTCTGTGCCATGAGTGCATCTATGATGACCAAGGCGGACATGGCCTCGACGATGGGGACGGCTCTCGGCACCACACATGGGTCATGTCGGCCCTTGGCTTCAAGGACACCTTCTTCAAAGCTATAAGATGCGGTGGTCTGAGCTTGTCCGATAGTCGCCGGTGGCTTGAAGGCAACGCGGAAATAGATGGATGCTCCGTTGGAGATTCCTCCCTGTATACCGCCGGAGTTGTTCGTCTTGGTGGTCAACCTCTTTCCAGTGCCGTTGGTATCGACCACGAACGGGTCATTGTGAATTGACCCGGGAATCTCACAGCCTAAGAAGCCAGATCCGATCTCGAAGCCCTTTGTAGCGGGGATAGAGAGCATTGCGTGCGCCAGTTTAGCTTCTAGCTTATCGAAGCACGGCTCTCCCAGGCCGATGGGAACGTTTCTGATAACGCATGTGACTGTTCCTCCGATGCTGTCAGAGAGGTCTCGATGGTGCTCGATCAACTTGGTCATTCGCTGGGCAGCGTCTGCATGGGGGCATCGGATGGGGGCGAAAGAGTCGACGGTCTTTCTGTCGATAGTCTCGATAAGCTTCAAGAACTCTGGGTTCGTTACCGGGCTCGGATGCTCGGCCGTTGGAGGGAAGAGGTGCTCATGCCCAACAGAGGTGACGAAGGAGACAATCTCTACATTATGGGAGAGCTTGAGATACTTCTCCGCAATCGCACCAGCAGCAACACGACCTATATTTCTGTTAGTTAGCGATTCAGAGTTAACTATCGGAGAAGGGAGACAGCCATACCGATGGTCTCTCGCGCACTGCTTCTACCACCACCACTGCTAGCCTTGACTCCGTACTTTTCCAGATAAGTGAAGTCTGCATGGCTAGGCCTGGGGTACATGTCCATAGTACTGTTTCCATAGTCCTTTGGCCGTTGGTCTTCGTTCCGCACCACCATGCCAATCGGAGTGCCTAGTGTGATGCCAAACTCAGTTCCGGACTGTATCTCTACCTTGTCCTTCTCGTTCCGGGGAGTTGTAAGAGCACTCTGTCCGGGTCTTCTTCTGGTCATCTGGGGCTGGATATCTGCCTCCGTGAGCTCCATGCCAGGAGGACAACCGTCGACGATGCAGCCGACAGAGCGGCAATGTGACTCGCCATAGCTGGTATATCTGTTAGTAAATAAATAACACAACTGTTTCAATTGGAGTTCAGAGCGTCATACGTGGTGACTCTGAAATATTCTCCGAACGTCGACATCCTGAAGCTCTCGTTCTCGCTCTAGCTTGAATATAGTGGGGGGTGGATGTCAGGGATCGGGGGGCTTCACAGGTCTTCTTATATACCAGCTTGAAGTAGTCTTTACTAGGTGAGCAGTCGGTGAACACGAACGACTGTCTGGTCCGTACAGGTCTAAGAAGAACAAAAAGTCCAATCGCTTAACTCCAGTTCAGATTGTCATCTTCGTCTTTTTCTCATCTTTTGGTCTTTTTATTTGAAGCTTCCCAACGTGGCTGACTCAGCGCCGATGACGGATTTCTTCTTTTCCTCCTTTTTTTTCTTGCTACTAGAAGAGCTGTTTTACATCCTTTGGCGGACCGAGAGACCGACTTGTTATATCTAATTAATAGATAAGATGCATTGTTGACTTGTTGAGATGCGGACTGCCTTGGATTGAACGGATGACTTACCCTGTCGTGCTATGGGAAGGCTCCAGAGTATTTAAGCCCAGAGGCATTCAGGGACTTAACGGAGTCTTAGGGGAGAAGCCAGCCTTAGGGGGGAGGCTTAGGGGCTTCTTAGGGGCTTCACGCCTAAAGCACGCCTAAAGACTAAGCACGAGATTATTGGCTCGGCGGGTTCTCGTTTTAGCCTCGACTCCGGCTTGACGACCTTTCTTGCTTATACAATGTCGCTGTAGCAGTCTGGCTTCATGTTTTCAGCCCGTCCATTACAGCCACTGCAATGGTCGCAGTCTCTCAAGCATTGCTGTCAATGGACGGCGAGTAGGCGGCTTACCGTCCGTCCACTCTCGACTTTTGCTGCCCTGGCCTCTCGGCCTCAGTCCAAACTCCAGGTCTATCAGTCTCTCTCCAACGACCCCTTCGTCAACCTGTCCCTCGAGAACTTCCTCTACGAACACTCGCCGCCGGACTCCAAGATCCTCTTTCTATATATTAACAGGCCCTGTGTCGTTATCGGGCGGAACCAGAACCCATGGCTCGAGACGAATCTGCATCTGCTGAAGAGCAGCAATAGGATTGTAGACAGTGGACGGAGCAGCAATGATGCTGCGCTCTTTGTTCGACGACGATCTGGCGGTGGCTCCGTTTTTCACGATGAAGGAAACTTGAATTTCTGCGTGATTTGTCCCAAACCGACTTTTCATCGTGACAAGCATGCAGAGTTGGTTGTCAAGGCATTAAAGAACGTTGGGGCTTTGGGAACGAAGGTCAACGAACGTCATGATATCGTCCTTGGTCTAGATCCGCAGCAAGAGCCGTCTTCTCGGGTTGTCAAGGCTGGACCGGCAGACCAGGACGCTGAGAGCCCGCCGCTGGAGAACCCCGTGAGGGCCGTCAAAATCTCGGGCTCAGCTTATAAGCTGTCGAGATTCCGTGCTTTGCACCACGGTACCTGTTTGATAGATTCGCCGAACCTTAGTCAGATTGGGTTGTTTCTAAGGTCGCCTGCGCGTCCCTATATCAAGGCCAGAGGAGTCGAGAGTGTCAGATCCCCGGTTGGAAATGTATCCTCAGCATTGGATGAATCAGTCAGGCCGTTCCTTATGCGGCAGATAATCGGGGAAATCATGGAAGAATTTGCCTTGCTGTATAATTTGGATAGAAACGCTCTACGGAAAGCACAAAGGGCCCATGCCAACGATCCAGAACTGTCTTCTGGAGATGACTGGGTTGCTGGCATATTAACTGATGAAGATGCAAAAAACGAGCCCGAAGTGTGCAAAAGCATCCAAGAACTACACGTAAGTAACAGGTACTGCTGTATCGTATTTGATGATTGATAAACTGACATCCTTTTACTAGTCCTTGGAATGGAAATACAAACAGTGTCCTCAGTTTACATTCTCCACGTACCCAACGGAGGAAGATCCCCGGGCTAGGCCAGAGCCATCAGCTGCCCTCTCCCCTTCAGTATGTCTTACCCTGCAGCTTCGCCACATTTCTCCAAGGTGATGCACTAACAGGAAGAACCATGGCTATAGACTAAGGCGTTCTTCCGAGTTAAATCTGGCCTTATAACCGAAAGTCACGTTTCGACATCACCAGACCAAGAGACAGCACATTACGAAGCGAAGTGCGTTCATAAAATCCTGCACAACAAGCCTCTGCATGAAATCTCAGACTGGGGATCAGTTCTCAGCTCTGCTTTAGCAGTTGCCAGCCAGGATGGCGCGTACCCTGGTGCTTTCGGGTCGAATTCTCCAGACAGCGAGCTCTCGGGCCTTTCCAAGTGGCTTAACGACAAGCTTGGATATTGATATGTCAACTGGCTGATTGAAGTGATGTATTTGTCATGCCTTGTTGTCTTAAACTAACACTCTTTGCCTCTACTTATGTACAATATTAGACAATGTTTATATTTAGACACTTGAACAGAACACCTTCCTACTCAAGAAGCCTCGATAGTCACCTCATATCTATCAGCCGTATACTGGACAGACAAGGAGAGGAAGAATAAAGATGTCTTAGGGGCAATGTGTAGAGACATAGCTATGGGTCTAATTGCGAACCGGCCAAGAGGAGATCTAGAGGACCAGCTCCCAGGACATAACTACATCAATCAAAAACCACCAGCCTCCAGAAATATAATACAGAACTGTGAATAACAGAAATCTGATCCAAGTATTTAATCGGTATAGAAAAGGGGCTGGTTATCCGAGTAAACATACATGTATACGCATACTTCATAAGAAATCCCCCCTTCTGTAACGCAAGGCCTTTGACGATTCCATCTCGCAGAGGATAAATCCCAGGCCAGCCCGTGGTATGAAGCATATGTATACGTATGTATCATGAATCCAACTAGCTGCCACTCTACAATACTCCGTGCGCAATATTCCCGGGGATACGAAATGCAGCAAGGGAGTTTATTTACCACTCCTGTCCAAAGGATCCGTTTATATTGCGGCATGTACATACGATCTATAATACAAGGATATCTCCATCAAATTCGCTAACTCATACACACTCATGTATAATAATACGGCGAGGCATATATCTAAAGGATGGAATGTTTGGCTTGCCAATATCTACGCCGAATTCCCTGTCTACGAGCGCGCGGACCTCCACCAGGGCAAGAGGTAGTTACGAATTTGCTTATTAAATAGGCTCGTACTTGGTCTTTATTCCCCATGCTTTTGATTATATGGCCCAGTTTACTTTTATATCTTGCATCTGGCCCTTGTTGGCTGCCCATATCGAGCAATTGAACTACCCCCCTGTGCGATCTTCAGCAAGGAACTATCGCCGTTGACCCCGACGACGGGTTGATCTCCCCCCTGGCCGTGACCTACCTCTCTCTGTACAGGCAGATATTTAATTAACTAAATGAACGGGAAACCAAGGGCCTATGAACCCGAAAAGGCTATGGGGAGCTGCAGACCGAACCGGGTCGAGGCCTTCGACAAGATCTCAATGCTATCTTATATTGTTCTCGGATATGCCGAGAGTTATAGCTAATGACGTTGCGCTTCTCTTAAAAAGAAATAGTTAAATACATATACGAAGAAATGAAAAGTGAAAGTGACGCTTATAGAGCCCCTGAGAATAGCCCGTGTATGCGCCCTAAATCAATATCAAATTCCCATCCTTCCCAAAAAATCAATCAGTAAACACAGGCCGTCGGCATACGACCCCGGCAAAAAAAGTATCTCAGTTAAAAAAAAGTAGACAAGAAAAAAAAAGAAAATGAGACTCTGGAACTCTAAGATCAATCTATGATCTTCATCCTCTATTTTTTCGACGGTGTTTCACTGCTCTTTTCTGGGGCATCTGTAAAGACATCAATGGATTGTATAGATTCGGGATTTGGCATCGATCCTTTCACGTTATCGTTTTCATCATCGCCGTCATTGGTATCGACCTTCCTTTGTTTTGTCTTTTTGTCATCATCTCGTTCATCGTCATCATCAATGGTATCTCCAGCACCGGCGTTGACAACCCTCAACCTTTCCTTGGGCACAGTAAATGTAACCTGCACCACTCTCCCCTCAGCAGCTGCCTCAACATCCCAGTCTTCATCATCATAGTCATAGTCATCCTCGCTGCTTCTAAAGCTTCCGCCACCAGCTACACTTCCAGCCTCAAGGGATGCTGATTCATGCCAAGCTTTCCCTTGCCGAAATACGGAGCTGTCTCCCGATTTGCGCTTTGCGTTCCAATCTTTAGCGCCTTGTTTGCACCTAAGGACAGAAGAGCTTGTACTGACAGCCCGGTGCGGACGTTGTGCAGCCCCGTGGACACCTTCCTGGGTTTCCTCGTCGGGTAGAGTATGAAAGCTCTTCGTTGGGCTTGTACTTGAGCTTCGCTGATTTGGCACGCGGGATTCTGCCTGATTGGGCGCTTTTTTAGAATCACTGGAAGATTCTGATCTCCTTAAGGAGCCCAAAACTCGCCGAATGGTCCCTGCTAGCTCTAAAGCTACTGGCGCAGGACGTGCGTCAACAGGCTGATTTGGGTCCTGCTGAGGCATCCATGAAGGATTGGCGCCTAGCAATGACGAGCCTTCCGTTTGAAGTTGTGCATAAGAAAGCTGAGAGGAAGGCCTACCTGATAAGACGGCTCGGCTGGGGATCGCTCTATCCGAATCGGCTGCATATCCTCTATCAGGGCTGTTGAAGTTTGAAGGGTTGCCGGTGTTGGATCTCTGGGATATAGAACGGTCTAGTAACCTTGGATTTGTACGATGAGAGGAGGATGAGGTGCCCGAGGTGCCAGACAGGTTGGAGAGCGTACGATCTTGTTTTTCCGACGCGATACTAGGAGGCTTCTCTAGCTTCTCGGAGCTTAACGTATGTACCCAGTTGTGTATGTTCTCGTCGCTGACTTGCGATTTAGATTGATCTTGAGGCACAAGTGATGGGAAACACGCCTTGGACGGGGAAGGAGGGTCTTTGAAAGGGTCGGAAGAACTAGAACATTTGCTATCTCTGCAACCAGTAGCACCTTCTGGTTGTGGCTGCATAGTATCGTATTCCTCCCCTTCATCAATGGGTTGAATTTGAGAAAATTTAATATTTCGTCTTGGATCATCCTGCAAAATACCCTGTTGGTATCCCCGGGAACGCACGCTTCCCCGTAGGCCTCTGGTAGGACTTGGATTGTCGACAAGGAGGCCTGTCCTTTCGACTGCAAATGGCATATAATGAGGATCATTGTATCCACCAAAACCATAGCGCTGGGCAGAATCAACTTGGATCATTGGCTGATGCACATCATGGTCTAGATCTGGCGCTTCAAAATGGGGTCTTTCGGCACCTAATGCAAGGCTACGGAGTGTTTGCTCACGGTTTTTTCGATGCACACGAGAGCGTCGATTGCGGAGGATGAAGCAGGCTAATATAGCCAGAGCGGCGACAGGCACGCCAATTCCAAGGCCAACACCCAGGCCCACCTTCTGCAATGTTGTAGACAGTGGACCTCGGTAGTGCTCGGTTGGGCCAGAGATATAGTCTGGAGGAGTATATGATGTAACCCAGGCCCCAGAACTTGTATTGAAAAGAAAGGTCTGGTCGTTAACCATAAATTCGTTGTTGGACCTCTTGGATGATGTTGGTGGTATTTTGTATCCGCCCATGAGAAGCATTAAGCCTCCGGGAAGCATGGCCGCTCCATGGCCGAATATACCAGTGCCTTCTGGCAGCCTGCCTAGCGAGTCATTTGGAATTTCCCATGTCCAATCACCAGAGCCTCCATAGTCCTCACCAATCTCAAGAACAGCTAATTGGGGCTGTGCAGGTACGGAAGTGTCCCCAACCCAACCTCCGAATATGATTATTTTGCTGCCGTCAGGCGTGAGGACTGCAGTATGGCCAGATCGTGGTTCGATTCCGGAGATACCATTCGGTAAGCTTTCCTGGGATGAATCGCCAAGTGCCTGGTTTACTGTGACATAGCTCCAGCTCGCTTCTGGAAGGGAAAATAGTGCTATCTGTGACATATTGAGAAAAGCACTTTGTGTATGTCCACCTGCAAGCACAAAGCTCTGGTGACGCAACATGGCACCTGTTGACGAATTTGAATATGCAGGTACAAGGGGGGTCATGCTGAAACCCGCCTCAGCTACGGGCGGAGATCTAATGGATAATGTCTCGATATTATAGCCTGGGCTAGGAGGAGACACTTCAGTCTGGAGATAGGTCATATTTCTGGAGTACTCTGCATCAGATATCCAGGACCCAGAGCTTGATTCAGCGGTTGGGCACATTCCAGCAAATACGTAGATATCAGGAGCTGAATCACTCTCTGGGTTCGAGAACCCAACCCCGGCTGCGAGATAGTTTGGACCTTTCCATGGTGTATTTCCACTGCCTTTCTTTGCTTGAATCGTAGATGTAGCCCATTTTCCGTCCACACCGGCAGAGTCATTGCCTTTCTGTCCTTCGAATCGCCATATTTGGGCGTCAGTAGACTGACAATCCCCCGCATAGACGGTAGGGACGCCGTCCGGGTCCGCGATGGGAACTATCGACTTTGTGTTGTTGGAGGAGAAAGGCGGCGAGGGGAGGTCTGAGAAGGACGGCGAGGAGACATCAAATGATTTGGTGAGGTTTATATATTGGAATCTAACACCACTTGACGAAGATGATAGGAAGTAGGCAACTGATTGATTTTCAGAGGTCGTCGACGCCCACAAAGATGAAGGGTTGTATGGTAAGTCTGCTGCAGCTGCCAGCGCGATGAGACTGCTGGCAGTAAAAGTTCTGAACATTCTGAGCCTGCGACCAAAGAGGTCGATCGCCTAGTCAACAATGAAACGTGGACCAGTCAACCTCCCATGGTCTGTTCCAGCCTAATTTATTGAAGCAGCACTGGCCAGCTTGATACGTATTTTCTGAAGGACTTGACGGCTCACAACATGATCACAGTAAAACTGCAAAACAACATCAACAAAGTGTCTTCTTCAATGTTTTAGGTGATAACCTGGTTGAAATTAATGGTTCAAATTGCAGTGGGGTGGTTGGTTGATTTGCAGTCAAATGCTTCAGCCCCTCAGGCTCTAGAACCAGGGTTGACCTCTCAGTGGTCCAAACAAAAAATCTTCTATGAGTGCCCACTTGATGAATTCAGCGACGATGGGGGGGTCCATATCTCCGTATACGCGGAGTTGCCACCAGCAATCAACGCAACCCTAAAGATGTTGATATGTTTAGAAATAAATAAAGAAATAAGCGCGGCGGTTGCTAGGCAACAGCCGAGGTACATTATCACGTGATATTATCTCGCGTTTACTTTTTACCGATGGGTTATTTTTGTTTTGTTTTTGATATCAAAAGGAAATCCAAGAAAGAGAGTTGATGAGGAAGAAGTTGCCTTTTGTTTTTTTCTTTTCTTTTTGCCTCAGGATCCATGATCTGCCTACTTCACACCACCACGGCAATCAAGGAACAGGAATCAATTAACCTTACGTCGCCGGGCTGTTGGGAGGTCATCTCACCCACCACCCGTCCTGGGTTCCGCCGGGGGCAGTCGAGGTCACGCCCGAGTCTTTCAGCAAGGGGAGGAGAAGAAAAAGGTTAAATGTGATCTCGGTGTCCTATCTGCGATTTAAGTGTCTTACATATTATCATTGTCCAATGTCATCATAGAACGCAGGCACTTGCAAAGTAGAGGACCACACCACTACGTCTTCGAGATAGACGAAGCGCCGTGTCTACGACGGAGTGCTACCACCGCCTATGGCACTCACGACTATCTACGGTCATCTCAGTCAGTTACTTTTGATACATACAAGGGTAAAGAGAAGTTTTTGACCTATTATACAGCAGAATATCAGGTTCGCATGGCGACAAGAGGAGATCACTAGATAGGAAAGAGCGGAAAGAGCAATGAACAGCAGGGTTGTTGTATAAGCTGTCTTTGGCTATGGGAATATATACGTATATTCGTGGCTGTGGCAACCGTGGATCCCGCCATTCCGGTTGCCCGTCTTCTTTGTTGAACGGAGCACAGGTGCTCAGCTTTTAATAATCTCTCACACTGCTCTCCCGGTCACATCCGCGAGGGAGGGAGGAGCTAGACGAGAGGAAGAACGAGAGACGAAGGAATGGTGGGCTTCCCGCGCCGCGCCCATACGCCCACACGCCTTGCATATCACTGCGGCAATTCTTATGCAAGGGCAAGGCGCGCATACAACGATGGTCAAACCAGGATATAGCCACACTGCACTCTACCGCGTGATAAATATGACGAAATGACAATGAATACGTCCACCCTTCAAAACTAGTTATACTCATGAGGCTGTTAATAATACAGGGCCTTATGACAAGTTCCATGCGCACTTGTTGCCTCTGGAACTGGTATGACGAATTTCAGGATGTTCAGAATCCAGGGCCTGAGCCAATATATGGACTTCTGGAAATCTGACTGGCGGATGACAGTTCCCCCTCGGTTCAATCTGTCCCTTAAAGCTCCAAAGTCATGCGATGGAGGCAAAATCAAGAAGCCTAAACCACAATAATTAAGTCTCGATCCTGGTTGCCCCCGAAAGAACGATATCGGGTCGAGAGTGGTCTATTCACGTTCCTTCTTGAATGGCACGGTCTGTCCAGGTACAAGGAAGAGAAGGTCGATCGCCATGTGAGAGCTATGAAGCTCTGCCTTCTCCAACGTAGTATTTATTTTCTTTTATACACATAACATACACGATTACGGAGTACGGTACCCGTGTATTCATCCGGAAGTAAGTATCTGTGCCATTGCACCGCGGACATTCCATATCAACGCTAAAAAGTGAGACGCTAAAACCGGCACCAAAAGGTGACTACTTGAGAGGCTGACGAAAGAGTACTCCGTAGAGCTACAAATCCTCGGACTTGTTAACATTCGGGGGAAAATAGCCCACCATCCGCTGCCCAGTTATGTACCACACGGCTATGGAGTACATGTGTATGACAGATGTGCAGTTAACTTTTTAATGAAGCTAGACATTTCAACAACTATCACCACTCCGCATCGTCATCTCCCTTCCTTTTATATTCGGAATCAGCAGTAGGAGGCACGGTTGAAGTCCAGTAAATGGTCTAGGAGCGTATGCTATGTATAACGTCGCCTTTTCTCCTATTCGACAAGTTGAGCAATACTCGGGTTTATGCCGGCGATAAGAGAAACCGGCCAGCCAACAGAACAGCTCGAAGTTCATATACTACTCCAAGAGATGGGTTGTACGGACATGCTCTCGGAAGGCTATTTTACTACCATTATATTTTACGGGGTTGTCCTTTGCTCAGGCAAGTCCGAGTGGCATTTTTCCCTGCGTTGTGTTATGTCCCTCCGAACGAACGGAGTGATGATGCTGTGCTCTCTTGCCTGCTGCAAAGGTTCGCAACCTTTGGGCCGTTTACAACCTATGACGAGGCAACCACCGGCGGGTGTACCGACCAGAAGACCAAGATACCGGGATCTGTTGGATAACACCATCACCCAAGTCTCTCTTCTGAACAACCCAAAAAAAGAAATACTCATTGTGGCGGCTGAACCGCCAAAAAAGAAAACATACACATTCATCTCGTTGTAATAAACGAGAGGAGTAAAGTTACATACGATGTATGGCGAAGGTACTATGTATGGAGATAAACGAGAGAAGGAGGGTCCAAGCACAGACATTGAACGGTGCCTCGCCCAAGGGTTTCTTTTTCGCTTTCTTTTCTTTTCCTTGGAGATGGGCAATTATAGACTTCTTGGATCTCTCTCTCCCTCTCCCTCCCTTTGGGATAATGCAGCGGGATAGCCTACTTGAGTCTACCTTTTCAGCGTATCAGATTAACGGTATTCCCAGGGTTAGGACGTGCCGCGCTGCCCGCTCTCTCGCTCTCGCGAAAACGGAGATCTCCCGAGTGTACCACACCACAGGGTTGCATAATGTGTATCTATTATATGGCCCGTGATATTACGCCAACAGCGCCGGTCAGGGTGGTTTGCGTGTGAGGACAGTCGATGTTAATGAGCTAAAGGGCATGGCCGAGAAAAGAAGAGTTGTTGTCCATCTTAACATTTCTAGAAAGCGGGAGGGAAATGTTTGATATATGGGTCGCTTAACAGACATCTGTTACATATATCTGTCGTAGGTAAATATATATTTTGTCGTTGAAGCGGCCCAGATCGGCGGGATAAGGATGCTGGTCAAGTATACACCTATTATCGATGGAATCCTTGACTCTGCTTGCATACTTGCACGAGGATCACAATGCGACTTGGGCCATGACTGTTGAATATTAGTCATTGTCTAACCCGACCACGAGATGGGCTATATCAGAGAAGCGTTATATATATATATATGCCTCTGTTATCCATCTGCGGGAGGCTTGTTTCAAGTTCAAGGTTGACTAGAGCGGATCGCTCAACACCCTTCTTCTTGCTGCTTGTTGAAGCTTGTGATGCAGTTGAAATCATACGTGATTCCCAATGATGATTCCTTCCCGCTTGCTCTCATCCTTGTTTTCTCTCTATTCTTTCCCACTCGTCGTCGCGTCGACTGGTATAAATTGGGTTTTCTCATATCGTCCTTCCGCCACCTGAAATCCGATCCAAGGCCCTCATGCTTCCGACATGTTGAAGCCCAATGACTATACTCTGGTATGCAAAAGATATACACGTCCATCCCCGTTGACATAAAAAAAATAAATCGGTGCTTGGGCCGCTCATCAAGACCCACCACATGGACTCCTTGGCTTTTGCTCCCTTATGGAGAAAGAAAGTTGGCAGCGACGCGCGATTGGCCGGGCCCGATGGATCTTGGGAATAACATCTTCTTCCCTTTCCTCTCGATACGGTGGGATGATCAGGCCATCTTTCGTTGGGTACGGAGTATTATTAGCCCTCTACCATGGATAAAGAAGTGGGCTCGAAGGAAGAGCCGTCCGAGTGCAAGATATCTTTCCTACCTAGAAAGCCCCGTAGTTATCCCGTATACAGACTTTTTTTTTTCACGTTGCTGCTGGTGGGAAGTTAGAAGTCTTGCTATCTCACGTTTAAGCGTTGGTTATATGTACGTTAGCTGCACAGCGCTCGATATGGAAGGGCATCCCCATGTCAACCTTTCTCAAGGGCTCCCTTGCCAGAGGGACAGAAAAGGCCCATAAATACTTAGTATGTACGTGTGTATTACTCCGTATGCAAAAAAAGGCGTGTACTTGTGTATGTCCCACCGATGAGCAGATGCGAGTCACTCCGTCTCTTTCTCCCGCCATGAAGGAAAAAGGCAATGCAAGGGACTCTAAGTGTGTCACGTGCTATCCCTCATCCCAGGTGAGGTCCATCTCGATGTTACTATATATGTTATATGTATAGTGCTCTTCAGTTGTGGGCATCAATGAGTGGTTCCTGACTACAATAACTGCTTTCTGGATCGGTGATACCATATATATCGAGTTAGTTACTCAAATACCTCGGCTGGCTAGATAACAATAACCTGAATAAACGGTTTCTGGCCAAGCTGTGCTCCAGCCAACTTCCATCCATTTGATTGCACTATCATTCCGTGTATGGGATATGTGCCGAGACGGCTGCCCCAGAGGACCCCATGGAATGAGCCGTTTATCAATATCAGTGGCTGTGATATCCAGAAGACCATCAGCCGAAAAGGTGGGGGAGAACTTTCAACAACCATGGTAAATGAAGAGTCTGTTTGATGAATTCGACCCTGCAGCCTTCCCTCAGACCAAAAAACATTGAGCTTCATGGCGCTTTTGAACAATGGTACCGAGTTGGTTGATTTACCAATCGGTAGGAAGACTATTGCACCACTGGCAAAGCATTGGTATTCAAAAGCCACCATGCTTGAACCGCACGGCACGAAGTATCGTTTAAAATGCTGGAACTAACCTGGAGAGTGGAATGCGTTCAAGTGAAGGGAGCAACTACCAAATGCCGTGCTTAGTCAGGTTTTCTGTTTTATCAAGACCAAATAAACAGCCTCCCATAGTTACGCCAAAGTAGGCCATCTCTTGTCTCTTCTGGTGTGTGTGGGGGGAGAAATGCATGTAAGTGTTATCCGTATCATAGTCTTCGCTTTCCCTCCTTCTGTTGGCCGTTGCGTGGGTTCTTCCTTTTTTTTTTTCCCTCTCTTCCCCCTCTTTTGCTATCTAGTATAGGCTTTCTTTTTTTGTCAGTTATCTTCTTCCCCCCATACTTACATGCAAAGGTCCCCCTTAACATCCCGTCACACCGTGGCAGAAACCGAGGATTCAAGAGAATATTTGGACTTTTTCTTTTTCTTTTCTTTTTCTTTCTTTTTTTGCTCTTTCTTCCTCTCCAGCTGGTTTTTATGGGGGGTTGATAGGGATTAGGGTTTATGCGGAGAGGGAGACCTTCCTGCACGGCCTGTTGCTGGGATAGAGCGTGGTCTATGGCTGTGCCGGGCATGAGCCAGTAAAAGCAGTGATTTCAATAGCAGCTGGATCGACCTATGACCTGCTGTAGGCCGACTGTTACCGCAGATGATGATGGTGTCCATGAGTGCATCTCTGGTGGCTTATATAGATCGTAAGCACTGTTTCACATATGGCCACATAAGTAACTATATATTGACCGACGCGAGGTTCTTTCTAATAACAATATATCGAGTTCTGGTAGACCAAGGCCGTTGTTCACGTTCCGAACCTGGCAGCGCCTGAACGCATCCTGAACCATGTAGCAGAGAAAAAGAGTGGAAATTGATAGACGCTGGGAAGGGAGGCAAGGGGGGTTGCGCAAGGAACGGGGGGAACGGGGATAGAAGAAACCAGACATGGTTAGCGGGCCGTAACTTGCAGAGAGCTTGAACGGGGTAGCTTCGAGAGAGAGGGAGAGAGATGTACGCAGCCATCCACCCACAAATTGCTGGAGAGACTCCCCCCAACCTTAAAGAAATAAGAGAAGAGACAGGGTTCTGTTCCAGGAGAGGAAGATGATGCCTGCTAGTATCCTTCTCCTCGATGTACGATGTACTATTAGTAGGACCGTGTGAAACGCTGGGACGATCCTCTCGGGGGTCGCTAAGGGGGAAGAAGCATCAAGAGCCGTGTCCTTTCTTTTACGACCCTTCTTGAAGGCGAATAGTAATAAATCTCCGAGAACTTGTCTGTACACTAATCAAAAGGCGTCGACACTTTATATATCCCCATGCTGATCCTCCCGCAATCGATGTCCGAGTGAAGGATTAATCTCTCTCTCTCTCTACATAGTATACAAAAAAGTGTTTAAAGATATACAACCTAGTCTGTCTGTACGAGTATGTAAAGGCGATACAGCGAGCGTAACGTGTATGGTAAATACCAGTAATGACCATACACTTTTGGTAGCCACTAGTCCCAAAGAAGCTTAGCGTGCCACCTATCTTCCCCCCTCCTTCTTTTTTGCTTCTTTTTGGTCTTTTTGGTAATAAAAAAAAGTAAACCACAAGCGTTTTGCCTGTTATTTACGCTTCTTTCTCTCTCTCTCTCTTCTTATCATCATCTCTTTTGCTTCTTCTTGACGTCGAATGTCGACTAGTTAAACATCAATTGCGGACAGCTTCAAGTCACTCCTTGCCAGTCCTCAATTCTCTGCGCCTGTCGGACTGTCTCCGTATCTCTATAAGAGGAGGAACCCCCCTGGATTTACTCTATATATACATACATATACTCGGTATATATAATATATATATATACGGCGTTCCCTCAACCACTCCACCACTCGGGCTTGATCGTGTGCTACGACACCCTGCACGGCTGCACGCCCAACGAATAGCTAATAATAACGAGTAAGCGGACAGCAAAGGTCGCCAGATAGTTAATCGAACTGCCCGTCTGCTTCATTGGCGAGACCCATCGACTTCCCACCGATAATAATACCTGTCTCTTGCTTCTGATCGACCGCTTTTCCCCTTCTTCTTGACCAACGAACGACTTGCTGACGGAGGGGGAGGGAAAGAATAAAAAAAAGAAGAGAGGAAGAGAAGGAAAAGAAGAAACCCGCTTCTCTATCTCTCTATACGGATCTTTTCTTTTCTTCTTCTCTCGGGGAGTGGAGGCAATGGCGACCTTTTCTCTCTCCAACTAAAAAAAAAAAAGGCGTCGTTCGCTGAGATCGCACAATCCCAAGAGATGCGGGCTACGGGCATCTCTCTCTTCCACTCTTGGTGAACAACAGTTTACGGTGCTTGTCGAAAGACTCACCTTATCGTTTCTTATTTTCCTTTCTCTTTTCACGGTAATATCATCTTTACAATCCTTTTTTTTTGTGTCCTTTGACCGTTGGGGAAGGGAAGCAATTCCTTCCTTTTTTTAGACCATTTTGAAGAGAAGAAAATATAAGGGAAAAAAAAAATACATGGGAGGCAAAGTCGGGTTGTGCTCCCCTTCAGAAGAATGGATTCTCAATCACAGAGCCACAGGAAGACGGCCGAGGACGGGGATGATCGAGGACGACCAAGGCACATCCGGCCCAGACACAGTCGAAATGACAAACGGGACCAGGATAATACCGATGCCGGTGAAGGAGAGTCGTCGAGACTATCTTGGATGTCTGCTGGGCTCCTGTCTAGACAGACATCCAATACTCTGACTCGTCAGAAGAGTATTCCGAACGACAGCCGGCCGGAGGAACGTCGAACATTTGCGCAGAAGCTCCATCTCTTCCCTCATCGACCACACTCGTCCAACACTTCTCGTGACTCCTCGACCAACACGTCGTCGAGCTCTTTACCTTCATTAGTTGATCTAGCTGGTGGTGAGGCAGGCCCTCCCTCGAGCTCAATTCCGGCCTCTACCTCAAACTCCGCCTCAGATCCCTTCACTCAGTCTGTGACCACCCCGAGACAGACGGCCGAGACCGGCAATGTCCCTCCTCTGAGTCCGCTGGCTGAATTGCCGATGGTCGCCCCCCGTGCCACAATTCGCGGCCCATCTCACGACCTTCCTGTTTATCCAAACCAGTCCTACGCCATGCTTCAACAACAGATACACCCTACGCCATACCGATCACCAATCCTACGTACACGAAGTTCCTATCCATCACACTCTGATTTCTCCTTTCCACAACCAGCCACTCCTTGGGCGCGAGAGTCGAATACCTCACCGAATTCACGCACCGCCGGCAACACCCCAATATCTAGTCCTGGACTCTTTTCCGCACGGACGCCTCGCACATCTCCCTCTATCGGATCGGAGGATGGACACCCTGGTGCTCACCTACACCGAACTCATATGCAAGAACCCAAAGAGTATGGTTTTTTTTTTTTTTTTTGACCCGCTCAACGTTCCTACTGACTTTAACGAACTAGGACACACACCGTCGAGGTGGATCGCCACGAGCTCACCGGAAATAAATTAATCAACGAGTATGAAATTCTCGAGGAGCTCGGACGTGGAGAGCATGGCAAAGTCAAATTGGGTCGCCACCTCAAGACTGCCCAGTCCGTCGCCATCAAGATTGTGCAACGATACTCCAAGCGTCGACGCCTGGGTAAACTAGGAAATCCGGAAGACAAGGTCAAAAAGGAGGTTGCCATTCTCAAGAAGGCACGCCACCCTAACGTCGTCAGCCTCCTCGAAGTCATCGACGATCCGAACCAGCAAAAGGTTTACATCGTGCTGGAATACATTGAGAACGGTGAGATAGTGTGGAGAAAGAAGGGTCTGAAAGAGATCGTTTTGGTTGATAAGCAGAGACTTGATCGTGAAAAACGAGGTATTCCCGACTCTCTTTCTTTCATCGAGAATAGTCAACAGTTTATCCATAATACTCAATTGCGTCGACGGCATATAGAAGCCCTGCGTCAACGCCAAAAGGCTAAAAGCACTCAGAACATCGGCGTTTCGGGCTGGAGCTTGGAGCATGGCGGCGAATCGGACAACGAGCTTGATGCGGATTATCCTCCCATATCCAAATTCCCGACAGCCTCATCGACGCATTCGCAAGATACCCCTGAACTTCAAATTTCTCCACAACACTCGATAATCTCGACGGGAGAATTCGACAGACGCATGCGGGAGATGGCAGGCTTCAGCAGCGATAGTGGTTTGTATAACGGATACGCATCAGACCCGATGTTTGCACGCCGGTACAGCAACGCATCAAGCCATCTAGCGTACCAGACCGAGTCTGACTGGCTATCCGATGACGATGATATGGGCTATGTACCCTGTCTAACACTTAGTGAAGCTCGTACTGCCTTCCGAGATGCCGTCTTAGGGCTAGAATATCTGCATTATCAAGGTATCATTCATCGAGATATCAAACCCGCCAACCTACTTGTCACAGGTAACCATCGAGTAAAGATATCCGACTTTGGAGTATCATACCTTGGCCGTCCCATCAGAGACGAGGACGAGGAGCAAGTTACCGAGACCGATGCCACTGAATTAGATGATGCTCGAGAACTATCCAAGACCGTCGGGACTCCAGCTTTCTATGCCCCAGAGCTCTGTTACACTGGTCCTGAATGTGAACCCACCATTGGAAAGGATCCCAAGATTACCGGTGCAATTGATGTCTGGGCCCTTGGAGTCACCCTCTATGGAATGATCTATGGGAGGTTACCCTTTGTCGCCGATGATGAATTCAGTCTGTTCCAAAATATAGTCAGACATGATGTCTTCATCCCTACCAAGAGACTAAAAGCCGTCGTAGCCGATGATCCGGTGGCTGATCACCCCCACACTCACACCCAAAGATCGCCCAGTGTGGGTAGTAGTACGCGCTCTGAGGGTGAGCTTGCCTATGAAGATGTTGATGAAGAGCTGCGTGATCTTCTGCGTCGCCTCTTAATCAAAAACCCAACGAAACGAATTACTCTGAAAGAAATCAAACATCACCCATGGATTATTAGGGATATCCAGGATCCAAAGACTTGGATTGAAGACACTGATCCCGGATACCAGAGCAAAGGCAAGAAGATCGAGGTATCCAATGATGACGTTATTCGTGCCGTTACCAAGATGCCATTTATCGAACGGGTACGGTCAAACGTCGTTAAATGGAGCGGTAGCATATTTGGTCGTAGACGGGCCCCTAGTTCTGCCGCATCGGTCGATACTGCACAGTCTGTCTCGTCAAGCAGCAACTTGACTATCGGCAAGGATATCATTCGAGAACTCAGACGGACTAGTTTACGAGGTGATGAGGAGATTACAAGAACCCCGAGAGCGGGCAGGGAGGGTGAGCATCCATTGTCCCAAAGTCTGGTGGTCAGCCCGGACCTACAGGCCGATCTTAAACATCCGGATTACTTTGGTCGTGTGGCTACATCACGAACAGCGCCAACATCTGTGAACTGTTCTCCCACCCAGGAGCCTCGTCCTGACCTACCTGGACGCACCGTCTCCACTATCTCCAGTGCGGGTTCGACAAAGACCATCCGTCCTACCAACCTGGAAATGTCATTCCTTAACGATGCCTCTGCTCCAGCAACCGGGGGCGAGCCTTTCAATTCTTCAGCTGCCGGAATGACCATATTCGGAGGAGCTAGGAATAGATTTGTTAAGAGTTTACATCTTCGAGACAGGCGGCATGAGAACTCTTTGTTCTCAGAAAATGCGTCCTTCGATGCAACCTGTCATTCTACACCTAGCGTTGCCGTGTCCTCTGCCTCAGCTACTGGCCTAGTCAACCCGCCAGATCTTGCCCATGAGCCAAATACCACACCAACGCCTCACGCATCGCCGCGAAAATACACCATTCACAGACGGAGTAAGTCTCATCAGCTTCGACAAGACGCAAATCTCGCCGGACCACCACTTGCCCCTTTCCATCGTGATTTTTTCTTCCGTAGCCCCGACTCAACAGCCCATCTAGGTGAAGATAACGCAACCATTGTCAACGTTGACAGAGATGATTTCCGCATCCACACGTCGCCAGTACATTATTTAAACTCTCTAGAACCAGAGAGTTATGATGATGACCCGTTCAAGTATCAGCCAATCGCCCGACCGATCACATCCCCTCCATCGGCAATCACCATGTCCTCCTCGTCTATGGATGATTATAACAGTGAAATGTCCCACTGCGCATCACACCCTAGCATACCATCCGTCGTATCTGGCGCCTCCTCTCTATCCGCAGACGGCTTCTCAACATATCTCGTGGATCAAGATCATGAGAAGAATGAGAAGAAGAAAGAAAAAGAATATGGTACATGTACATGCCCGGTTGTTCACCCAATGCTTCGAACAGGTGATACTGTTACGGATGAGTCTGCAAGGACGTCTACCTGTGACAAAGGACGATCTCCTGCCCTCCCTGTAGAAACTAATGATGATGACCAACGATACCATGGTGACGATGAGGACGAAGATGACGACTCTAGCGATGAAGGAATTACCTTTGGCAGACACAAGTCTAGCGTATGATGCATGAACAAACGACTCTACTATACCTTGGTGCTTTCTATTCACCGGATACGCGCAATACGAAATGAAATAATGACAAGACGTGTGAATCTCATATGTACTAATTCACACTATACCAATCACTCTACGATTCGTCCACCCTTCTCCACCCCACACTACATATAATCCTCTGCCTCTTCTTTTTAAATTTTCCCCTTGCCTCATATCAAGGCTATTATGATATATTCCCATAAGCCTTATATTTCATATTTCGTCATATTCTGCATTAGCATCGCGGAGTTTGTTTCGATCCCCCCACCTTTTACCCTTTGCTGTAAAATTTGGATAGCATACACTTTTATCGTTTTCTTTTCCCTTTCCTTTCTCAGACAGATATCCCCTAAACCTTTGTTTTTCTTTCATTGTTGATATTATCTTTTAATTTTGGGGATCGATTGATACGGATGTCCGTTTTGATCGGTTATATTTTCTTCTATTCCTATACGTCCTTTTTTTGGCTTGGGACAAAGGGAGCGTGTATACTGATGGATCAATTAATTGACGAGGGAGAAAAAAAAGACATTATTCTTCTTCGTTGCTCCTAAGGCTGGCTCTTTGCTTGTGGAAAAACCTGGCGCCTGCATATATTTCCTCCGCAGCGGTGGCGGGTTACTTGCACTTATTTTTGTAATTGTGAGCAGTGTATAATAATATTACATTTTGGATTGGGTTGAATATTTCTGCATCAGAGTACGATGTACTCTGTATAATCATGCTTTGATATTGGTTGTTATAGGCGATACTGGCTCGTACGACAACAAGTATCAAACTCCTTATAGCATCCCTTCTCCGGCTTCTCGAAGGTCTTCTGTGGACTCTTCCCTCATCTTCCACGCTTGGAAGGCGATCTTGTGCTTCATCCTTGGTTGTGGCGCAGTCGATGCAGCGCCCATACCAGACGGACTATCGAACCCCATCACGACCCCAGGATCGATGGTTTCAAATAGCAACCCTATACGTCAGCCAGATAAGGCAGAATGATTGCTACTATAAATAATTCTGCCTTACACGGCTTCTAGAAAGCGTCTTTAATGCGGATCTGATATCCCGGAGGTTTTGCATGAAGATTTTCCTTCCAATTGAGATCTCCGGGCGTCGAAGATCTCTGGGGGCTGGTTTGTGAGCAAGTACTGAGTACTTTGGAAGCGCAACACAGCACAAGAGGAATCTGGACTCGCTATGGGCTTCGATTCGCAGGAAAAATAATATTAGTTTCGCTTTTGGGCATGACTGCGTCGAACGAGCCGTGTTCAGCTCTCGGCCTCATCTCTCACCGGTCTTTGAACAAGATAAAAAGACCTGTTCGGTGGATCAGATTGGATGATAATCTGGCACTGATACGGTGTCCGTGTCTCTATGGGTAATGCTGCCAATCAGGTATCATGTACAAAGCGACTGGCATCGAATACTCAGCCTTGTCCTGTCCGCGCACAGCCCAAATCCAAGGCAACGTCCAGCTTGGGGGTTAATCGCTCAGGCGCAAAGCAGTCGCGTATGCAAGACCAGGATTCGGGATATTGATCCGCGTAGCTTGTTCCTGGTGGACGGAGTATGTACATCGTGAAAGAGCCGGGCTCTGATTCTCACAAGGCAAACCTGGGCAAGACATTTACCAACGCATAGTCGATCGTCCGGGCTGCAGAATACCTCCCCGGCCTCTAACCTACGGCGCTACAGGCCAGTTCAGCTGCAAAGGACACATAGATTGTTAGATTGGGGCCAAACATTATTATCAACAGTGCCTTGCTTGAGCCGCCGGGGGGAAGAGAAGAGAAGTCCAGGACAGGGTCGAGGACATGAAACCGTCAGCCACGATCACAGTCGAATGTTCCTCTTCCCTTCACTACTGCTTCTCTTGTCTCTCAACTGCCTGGATTATTCCCCCTGACTCTCTTTATTAGTTAAAGAATCGCCGCCCCTTTAGTGTGAGAGAGCGCCAAGAGTCCCGCAGCGGGTTCCAACCTCGTCTTGTTCGCTTTCTCGTCGTCTTGCGGTTACATCCTCTTCGCTCTTCTTTTCGCCTCCCATTTTGCTTGAATACTGGCATTCAACACTCTGTTTCGGCTTCGGGGGTGCACTTCGACTGCTAGATTCTTGCTGCCAGCGGGTTTGCCGTGCTCACTGAACGACGGGGAGAGCTAGTGGGGCTCGTTTGGGGACCGTTGAATCAACCCAGGCGCCCATTTTTATTTTTAATTCTTCGGCCCATCAGCTATCAGCGAATTTCGGACCTCATGTGAGTTGCGCGCTGAGCGCATCGTTCTATAGCCATATAAACTAACCGGTTAACAAGTTTGACTTGGATCCCCTTGTAACAGTGGGAAGTAATACAGCATCTTGCGCCTTTCTCGACGTTTTCCCGTGGTTAGAGAGAGAGCTCCACCATCCCTCACCACTGCCACTGCCGCCATATACTATAACTACTCCGCCACGCCTGTCATCCGGAGGGCCACTCGATCTAGGTCTAACCCTCCGTCATTTCGAAACACCTCATCCTGCTGAAAGGCACATCTTATTTACGCGATCAGCCTCGGCGGGTAGGACGTGCTTCGCCAGCTGAGCGCTCAAAAGCTTGACCCCTGCACCGAGCCAGGCTACTTCTGGTAGAAAAGCGGCTCGTTGGAAAGGCACAACAAAAAGGAAGAAGGAAAAAAGAAGCATTTTGTGCCATCATGGAGGCACCTTCACAGAATGGGAGGGAGAGGTCGTCATCGGCGGCACAAAGCAATAATAACTCCCACTTCGCCCCAGATCCTACCAACAGCAACCGACTACATACCAACCAATCACTTTCGGGAACTAGTAATAGTGACAATAACTATCTAACAACTACATCGACAAGCAATCAGCAGTTCCTCTTTACAACTCCCTACCTAACAGCTACATCTCAAGACGGGCTTGGGTTCACCACCAATGTGACGGCGCCCGAACGCTCGTTCAATCAACAGGAAGACTTCTCCCAGACCTTTGATACCAATTTCCTTGACTCGCTAGAACACTCCACTGCCGGCGTAAACGACAGTAGAGACTCGCAGCCCTTCCCGGAATTTGATAATTCTGACCACGGCTTCAATTTTGACGAATTCAGTACCTTTACACACCAAGACCAAACCTCGGGGTTCAACACATCGAACGCAATGATGAGCACTATCCAGCAGCCTACCATCAACCCGGCGGACTTTGCTCAACCACTATCTTCGCCACAAATGCCGACTTCTCCTCACCTAATCCCACCAGAGACCGTTTCCTCCCCTAATCGTCCTGCCTCCCCTGCCGCTGCTTCGAGCCCTGGAACGTTCTACACGCCCCAGCACTCCCGGCATACTTCGCTGGATCCCGCCAGTGCGGCATATATCAGTACTGATTCACAGTCCAACTGGCACGGCATACTCGGGAACAGCTCATTTCGGGGTCATCGGCGTGCACCGTCAGAACATTCCGATGTCTCGTCTGTCTCGCACTCACCCTTCTTACCACAACATGATACATTCGATAACTCTGCTCATCCTTCTGCACAGCCATCTCCTCGCCTCCCCCCTCAGGCTGACCCACGTTTGTATGACAATGCCTTTGGAATGGAAGCCTTCACGATATCAGAACGAGACCAGAATAATGGATATAGCCCTGCGCATAGTCCATATATCTCTCCTCGCCTCTCTCCACAGTTGCATAACACAGACCTAGATCCAGACAGCTCACTACTATTAGCCCAACATATCCCCCGAGTGCAAGGCACTCAGGACCCATATGCAGGAACGTCAGCCCCGCCCGTACCTGGCTTTCAGGCTCAAGCTGGGCTCGGGGATATGGGACAAGCAGCCCAGATGACGCCCCCTTCAATCAATGTTGAATTTGCACCCCCCTCCAGAACGTCAACTGTAGATGCTCCAAAGCTAAATGCAGACGGGGATACATTGAGTCCCCCAATCAGTCGTATGTTCTTCCCTTTGTTATACTGCTCTGTTAGTAGACTAACGTTCGGGTTTAGGTGCTCGGGGACGAAGCAAATCAGACCCCTTTATGTCACGACCAATGTCACCTTCTTCACTTGGCGCATCTCTGGGAGGGACAAATTCAAATGCCGGATCTCTATCACCATCCTTAGTCCCGAGTGGCACTTTCAGTACACCATCTTCGCGGGAAGTCTCTCCAGTTAGCAAGAATAGACGCCAGTCAACATCTTCCCTTGACAGCCGTAGCTATATCTTGGACCTTGCAAATCCCCAGCGGCCCGGATCTAATCCACAAGACTCGAAAAGAGTTCAAAAGCACCCTGCAACATTCCAGTGCACACTTTGTCCCAAGAAGTTCACAAGAGCATATAATCTGCGCTCTCATCTTCGAACCCACACAGATGAAAGACCATTCGTCTGCACCATTTGTGGTAGAGCATTTGCCCGCCAGCATGATCGTAGACGGCATGAAAGCTTACACTCTGGTGAGAGGAGATTTGTCTGTCGTGGCGACATGTCTAGCGGCCGCCAATGGGGTTGCGGTCGGCGATTCGCCCGTGCCGATGCTCTAGGTCGCCATTTCCGCTCTGAAGCTGGCCGAGTATGCATAAAGCCTCTTCTTGATGAAGAGGCTCTTGAACGTGATGCTCTTAATCAGCAGCAGCAGCAGCAGCAGCAACAACAACAAGGAAGCACTTCGCCTGGGCACTTACAGCCGAACAACCAGCCATTAACAATACCAGGCATGGACGGACATGGAAGCTCTTTCACGCTGCCTGCCGCTTTATTGGCCCAATATCCGGCCCTTCAAGGCTTACAGTGGGATCAAATTGCACCTCCAGTGGACGACAATAGTGACATTGGAGGGCGAAGTAGCTTTGATGCAAGCTCTGGTGGGGAGTTCGGATTCGGGGACGAAGAAGACCCTGTCAATACTGGGTACTTGAACCAGCCATCTGGTCAGCCACAGCAACAACAACAACAGCAACTGGGAGCTGGCCAGCTTAACCCTGGCCCTGCTGGTAGCGGGTGGCCACAGTCTGGCCAGGCGTGGACAAATGAATATAATAGCATCAGATAGCATTTCCTTAGGTACACCGAGACATGATGATACCAAGACGACGACTCAATATCCAAGGTCTCTATCTACTTTCGTTTATTGTTTATATCCTCCCCTTTTTATACAGTGGTTTTGATTTTTTTTTTTTTTTTTTTTTTTTGATTTCCTTCTGTTTATATCACGTTGAGCTTCATTCCCCCATTCCCCCCCTTTACCTCCTTTCAAGTATGATGTTTCCTCTGAATGATGTCCCTTATGGCGGCTTTCTTCAAATTTGCATATACAAAAAAAATTGTTCTTTTTATACCACATTGCCATTAATGAATTTCATTCGTCTACTTTTCGAGTACAGTCATGACAAGTTACATACCCGGCTTTGGATGGCCTCTTGAAATTTTTGTTATGCCCCATTAACTCGTGTCAGTTTCTATGTTTCCGTTTAAATATTTCACCAGTTCTTGAATTCACTTTATTGACTTTCTAAGTTTATTTTCAATGTTTTAAACAACTCTACATGGGCTCTGCTTTGCCGTTACTCCTGGAGTTTCGACTGTGAGTCGGTGCGGCGTCATTTGATAGCGGCTGTAATAGACTGGTAATTCCGGTGCATCAGCTTCTTGTGCTCTATCTAGGTCATCACTTGGTTATACGGTGGTAGTATCTCGGTTTATTTTTCTTGCTTACAATGAAATCTGTTGACTTGATGACCGCTCTGGTTGCAAGGAGCCTATTCTAGTGTGTGAAATCGTTCTATAGATCTATTGATTTTCTCAGTGTTTAATTCTGAAGACTGAGTTGAGACGAAAGTGGTTTAAGAGCAGAAGAAAAAAAGACCGAAAAAACTACTGGTGGTTTGTCCAGTGTGTGTGTGTGTGTGTGTGCATGTTTTAATCTGGGTGATCTGGCACTGAAGGTTTCTCCAACCGAAGCAAGAACTGCAGCTCAGGGCCCAAGGAGATATGGCATGGCATCAAATTTTGAATGCAGTTGCGAATCCTGAGCCATGTCTCATCTGCTAGCATAACTGGAAATTTGCAATGAACATTGTAGACACAATTAGTCCTTAACTTTTGGCAGAGACCAAGTGAATTGTTTGGGTGACTTACACATATATCCATCCTCAACTAACATGAGCTCATCCTCATTATGGCCAGGACAGAAGGCGAAAAAGTTCAAGTTCATACATTCATTTGAACTTCCCGCCGAATATCCCCTTGGTTGTGGGTCTCGATTATCCCACAACAAGCCAGAGTCTGAATTGATATGATGAACGGTATCCAGGGGAAATGGTTTATCAGGGCTATGCCTGAGCAAGGCCTCCACCAAGAGAGATTCCGACTGCTTAGGAACTCGAAGACTGATATTGGACCCCTTCTTCACGGCACTGAGTCCTTTGATGTACTCGAACTGCATCTCTTCTCTGACTGAGCCTTGCATCTGGGCGGTGGTGATGCATGGCCTGCGATAGCGATCAAACCAAGGTGGCCAAGGGAACCACCTCTCCATAGCACCCAGATGACCAAGTACTCTCATTAGGCCATATTTATCAGCAACCTCTGTCTCAGCCACGAGAAGGGGTATAGCCTGCAAGTAATCATCCGGGAGTAAAGAGTCCTCCACGTTCGGGATAGGACAAGCAGGGCAGTATACAATCCAACTTACATCGGACCGACCAAGAAAGTCAGCAACCTGGAAATCCGTATGTTCAAATTCTCCTACCAGACACCCGCCTTTTGCCATGGAGTAGACGATTTCGATCCAACGAAGTGGATCGTTAGGGAAGTCTTTCTTTCGTTCATTTTCAGTGTTCCGCGAGACGGTAAACACCAGCTCTTTCTGGCCAACTCGCTTCATTCCCTGAGAGATATATGTCCAGCAAGTAATCTCTCCGTTGCACATCGAGGATATCGTATGATGGACGACAATTGCATGCAATGGCTCTTCAGGTCGGATGATTGCACGGACAACCCATGAGGAATTCTTGCCCCTTTTTTCCTCAGGAGCTACCAGGTCTAATTCCTGTGCGCGGGCTAGTGAATGGACAACAGCTTCTGCCCGCTGAGGACCAAATCCTAAGGATTCTGAATCACCCAAAGTCTCGTCGTTGGACATCTCTCAATGCTCGTCAGGACTCGAGTATATGCATTAACTTCATGAGTTGGATATGGTCGTCTTGGATTCCGTTAGTATATATATCTCTAAGGAGACAGAAAGTTATATATGCCTCTGTATAACTAAATATCTCCATCGCATCAAGATGAATTATGTTGACAAGCAGGCTGGCAAGAAGGAATATTTCTCCGCCAGTCCTATTGGCCAGTTGGCTAACTAGTTCAACTAATCATTGCTCCCGGCTCAAGCAACAGCCACATTTTCACCAAGGATAAGACGGCGACAAGTCATGGCTCGATACTGCAGCTGTTATCAATGAGAAGCGATACGATATGTGAATATATATCCTTCCTCATACTTTCTAACTACCGATTATATCAAGGCTAGTTTAGCATATCTCATAGCGTCTACGTAACCAAGATTGCTAGCTCAAGCCTCCACCTATTTTGAAACTCCCCGAACGGTTGTAATGATGTATCTAACTCCTCTACTAGTTATATCGTCGATCTAATCTGGAGATGAATTCATGCCGCAGCGGCAATATTGTTTTTTATAGAAAGCTCTCCCTTTATAGTACTTAGCCTTAGAGAAAGTCATAGGCGGTACAGGCTGAGGGGCGCTGTATTTTAGAAACTAACCAGCGATGCTTTTAGGGACGTCGCCTGGGTACTTAAAATACCCATTGATTAACTCTTGTTGGAGTGTCGGAAGGTTTACGAGGATACATCGAGCCATCAGGATAGTTATCTAACAACTCCATGCAACCCTCACCACTCCGGCGCTGTCCCAACCCAGTTTCGAGTCCGCAACCCACTCACTGATGAACCAAAGCACTACGGGGGACGAGAAGATGTTTTCCAACTCGCTGCAAATCTCGCCGAGAAAATCATGAGAAACTATGCCTATTAGGACTGGAACAATCGCACCGCTCTTGTGGCCGCGGACATATTCCTGAAGCTCTACGGTTATTACCAGGGAACCATTCGCCAGTGACTTACATAACAAGGGCCCCGCGGATGCACATGTCGCCTTAGTTACCAACAGGATGGATGTAAAAGAGCTGGGGAGATACCAAGTCTGTGGTGAGCTCGCTCGTAGTAGCCCACCCAGCCCCCCGCGCTAATAACGAGGAAGCCTCCCTCTCTATTTACTTATTATTTAGCGATAATATTAAATATAAGGATTAAATTACTATGATTTAATCTATCTATATATTTATCTAGATATACTGGATCCGGTTATCCAACCAAGGGGAGCTATCCTTGTTCTGGACTCCGGTTTTAATAGCTTGATACTTATCAGCTACCCTCTTCGCCGGTCTTCTTCGGTTGGGCGTAGAGGTTCCTCGAGCCCTACCATTACTCCATATAGAGACTCTTCGACCACAAGCCTCCTGAAGGTTGGATGTGCGACCAAATCTATTAAAAGGATACGGAATGCTCCCAAAGCTTGCCGCTCGTGATGGTACTTGGCTAGTTCTTCATCCCATTGTGCATCGAGGTATTCGTAAACATTTAGTTGGTGTTTGTCCAAGTCCGTTATCGTTTCTGCACTGGCTTGATCCCATTAACGTCATCTCCTCAGGCATCTGTCTTAGGCTTGGTTGACTAGGTTCTAAACATTGATCAGGCGTGCGTTTATACTTTTCGAGCATACCAGTCTGCTCAGTCCCATGTGCTTCTGAGTGGAGTGACCCTCATCATAAGGTCTCCATTACTGAGTTGAACCCACATCTCGATTTGGTCGCCTGTTTGTATAGCTAGGGTGTTATGAAGAATTCGTTGCAATTGGCGTAATGGGGTGTGTATCGAAGTCTTCAATTAATGAGCAATGGCCGGACTTAAAACTGTAGAGCCAAAAAAAACTAGCACAGCGGTAACATAGTAAGTTGAAGGGGTTATCTCTTTAACAGACATCAAGGAGCTTTATATTAGCGAGTAGCTCCCGTCAATTCAAGGTTGATGGAAGCTCCAAAGTTCCAAGGTTGATATGCCATCACGTGAGGCGGCTCTGCGCGACTTGGGACGTTTTAAGGTTTGTTACACCATGTTTTCATATCTCAAAACTATTTGGAGAAATTCGGATATTCATTCGACTATATGAAGCAGTTAAAGAGTGTCTTTACCCCGAGAACGGATCTCTACCACCATCATGTCTTTAGGTATGTTTATCTCTTTTAATTTATCCAGGCAATTGGCTGTTATACCAGACAGGACTCGACAACGCAACGCAGATCAGTTGAGTTCATGGTAGGCTAACAACTCCTGTTACATAGATGAAGAGGTACTAGAACTTGTCGCCAAAAATGGTCAGATGCAATAGTGAGTTCACATGCCGTGCCCCTTCTCTTCACCGGCTGCTAACGGGGCTGTGGCTTAGCGAGAAATGGCCTGCACTTCTAGAGCCACTGCTTGAGCGATTGGATCATGTATGCAACTATGAACAGTGTTTCTTATAGCTTTAACTGGGTTGTTAACGATTATACAGATAGCACATAATGAATTCCGGATACCTCAGATATCGGTCTTCGGCTCCTTTGAAACCATCCAAACCCTCCCCCTCATGTCGCAATCACAGCCCACCAGCGAATCCTTACCAAATAGCAATAAAGAGAACGCCCCTCCATCTCAGGTGCAGTCACCACAGAGACCACCTGTGCCATCCTTTTCCTCCCCTGCTTCTGCCGCCGTAGACCGTATCCCGGACTCTCAAATTTCTCAACACGTGTCTAATGGATTGCCGCCACCCCTTCTAGCGGAATTGACATCAATCAAGAACACATTAAGATCCTATTTCTCTCAGAAGCCACCGCATACAATCCAGCGTCTCGCAGAACTTGTACTACGTCCTACGCAAAATTACAAAACCTTACCAGCCTATCTACGAGCCGTCGATAGGGTGGTTTCAGTGTCTAGCGGGGCAGACATATTCCCTCTCCCAGTATCCTTGCCAACAGAAAACATATTAGATGGATCGTTAGCAAACGGAGTCAACGGATCTAGCAATACTGGGTTCATGCTGAACGATAATTCTCTCGGGAGTGACGAATCTCTTGGTGGCGCGTTATTAACCCCTATCCCCTGGCTAAACAACTCAACGCCGTCCTCGGATGATGACGATATTATGCAAGAGCTTGGAGGTCAAACACGGAGTGGAAATTTGTCAAATTCGAACCAGACCTCCTTCCACCATGATAATGACTCCTCTAGTCACCACAGCCAAATAAACCAAGGTCCAAGTGTACATGTGGCAGCGGGCAATGTAGAAAACGATGCGCCTCATGTTCTTGATTCTGAAAATGTGGAAGAATTGCCCCATGCTCGTGGCCCAGATGTTTTGGGTGTAGAGGATCTGGGCCTACAGGATGGGAAGGGTGTTACAATGTCTCTTGCTCGGACTTCTCCACAATCTGAATCGTTGGGAGAAGCTGTGTCCAATGCCCAAGAGGCTAATGCTGATAAGACTATGGATGAAGATGCACCTGGAGAGCCGGATGGGGATGGGGAGGCTGATGCAGATGGTGACATTGATATCATGGACACTGGCCCAAAGGTCGTTGGAGATCAGGCGGCCGCTAGCTCGTCAAAAGCCTCCGGGGATGAGAATCCGATACACAAGCCAGGGGATGAAGAGTGAAACGAAAGATAACTTGATGGGCAATGATTAATGAACCTATCTCTCTCTATTTTGCTCGAGTTAGTATTATGTACTTCTATTTGTTTCTTTTTCACACTGGGCGTTAAGCTGGCGGTTCATTAGCAATAAAGGGTATACGGAATTAAAATGGAATAACACCCTTATAGTCCAACTGTCTTATAGCAACCCATAATGGTTTATCGCTCTATCGTCAAGATCATTAGCTTTCATAGTTATTTGCTGCCTGATAAGGATAAGAAACACGTGACCACGTGCATCAGCCGCGCGCGTCTTTTTATCTAAGCTGTTGCCGTTGGATAACTGCCTGTTTTCTCCCTCCTTTCTCATACAAGGCCATGAGGCTCGACGGATAGAGTGTTTGGTAATAAAAATGTAAGTTAAATTGCTTCCTTAGGTATAGTTAGGATTCTAACCGATCATTCTCTCAGGTGTATGTATAATATTGAAAACGGACTTGCGTCGACAAGCTAACACATGTCGTAGCGAAAATTGACAAGCTCTCTATCCTTGGGTAAGTTGGTGATTGGAGGCTTCTTTGAGAAATAGTCTTACTGACAACTATATGTAGGGTTCGGTCGTTTGACAACACCCGCAGCGAAACCATTCAGTTCCATACCCCTCTCACGCTAATCGTTGGATACAATGGCTCAGGAAAGACGGTATTGGACCAAATAATTGGGGAAGAGTAAGGATTAATTGTTGGCTAATCGATGATAGACGATTATTGAATGTCTCAAGTATGCCACCACTGGTGACCTTCCCCCAAACAGCAAGGGCGGTGCCTTTATACATGACCCAAAGGTTAGACCACTCACAGCCTTCAATAATCATAGGGATGAAAAGTATTGACACAGAGATTTTATAAAGCTATGTGGTGAAAAAGAAGTATTTGCCCAGGTTAAGCTAGCTTTCAAGGCTACCTCGGCTGCCAAAATGGTAGTCACTAGAAGTCTTCAGCTTACTGTCAAGAAATTAACTAGACAGCAAAAGACTCTTGAAGGTCAACTATTGATGATCAAAGAAGGCGAAAGAACAGCAATTTCCTCTCGAGTAGCCGAGTTAGATCAAATAATGCCACAATACCTAGGTGTCTCCAAGGCGGTGCTTGACTCTGTGATCTTCTGCCATCAAGATGAGAGCCTATGGCCGATGAGTGAACCATCTGTGTTGAAGAAGAAGTTTGACGAAATATTCGAAGCGTTGAAATATACCAAAGCCATCGACAATATCAAAGCTTTGCGAAAGAAACAGAACGAGGAGCTCGCAAAGTATAAAATAATGGAAAACCACGCTCGGGACGACAAGGACAAGGCCGATCGTGTGAGTACCGCCCTCATGCCAGAGATTTTTTATTCTTTGCTAAAACTATTTGGGTAGGCTGAAAAGCGGTCTCTGAAACTGCAAGAAGAAATTGAAGGCCTTCGAGCGGAGAGTCATGAGCTCTCAAAAGAGATGAGGCGTGTCGCTGAGCTTGCAGATAAAGCATGGAAGGAATCTGAGAGTTATGCGGAGATATTAGGTGCGTTGGAAGGCAAACGTATCGAGGCGAAGAGTATTCAGACAAGTATAAACAATCTAAAACAACATCTTGTTGAGGTGGACGAATCCGACGAATGGCTCCAGTCAACATTGGAGCAATTTGAGTCACGACAAGCAGAATATAGAGAGCAGGAAGATTCCCTGAAGGAGAAATATATGGATCTCAAAGAACTTATTGAACAAAATCGCCACAAATTGGGGATAAAACAAACTGAATGTGGCAAGAATGAAAACGATAAAGCTCAGTATGATAGGCAGGTGGAGAGGCGAGGAAAGCTGATCAAAGATATAGCTCGGCAAAACAACTTTCGTGGCTTTGACGGTGATCTGGATGAGACGGATATTAATGATTTCATGGAGCGGATGCAGAAGTTATCCAAGGAGCGACACCAGGCCTTGGAGAAAGCTAAACGTGAGGCGCAAAATCAACTGAGAGATGCTCAAACGCTTCTCAACCAGCTTAGCCAGCGAAGGTCAGCTCTTCAAGAGGTGAAGAATGCAGCTAAGAAGCAAATATCCTTGAATGACAAAGAAGCAGACACTATTCAGCGCCGTATTGATGAGATCGACGTCGATGAAGGAAAGCGTGCTATGATTGAGTCGAGGATGGAAGAAACTGAAAAGAACTTGAAAAAGGAGAAGGAAAAGGCAAAGAATGCTTCTTGGGAGACCGACCTTCAACAAAATGAAGCAGAGATCCAGTCCCTTGAAGACAAGTCTTCCAAATTGAATGCTGAACTGATCCAAGGGACCAAGAAAGCTGGCGACTTGGCCCGATTAGACCATCTAAAGAAAGAGCTCAAAGACCGAGAGCGCAGTCTAGAAACCATGTCTGGTGCTCATGGTGATCGGATCTCCAATTTAGTTGACCCGTCCTGGACTCCGAGCAATGTAGAGCAAGGATATCAGAGCGCTCTCAAGAAGGCTTCTGATCTCATTACTACTGCCGAACGAGAGCGTGACGGTTCTAGTAAAGAACTTGAGCACCTCGACTTCAAGCTTAAAAATGCTAGAAAAAGTCTCCAACAACACAGCGCGGAGGTTGAAAACGCGGCAAAGAAAATCAATGATGTAATTGGTGACGAGCCAGAGGAGTATCCACATACTGTTAAGCAAAAGCAAACTGAACTAGACATGGCTAGAAAGGACGCAGACCAGTATGCCGGTTTGGGTGAATATTTAAACAAGTGCCTCGACGCTGCAAATGGCAAGAAAGTATGCAGAACATGTGCTCGGCCATTCAAAACGGAATCGGAACTCCAGATATTCAAAAACAAACTTATGGCCTTGATAAAGAAAGCTACGGATGAAGATGTGGTTGCTGAGATTGAAGCACGAGAAGCAGACCTAGAAAATGTCCGGGAACTTGGCACTGTTTATGAAACTTGGATCCGACTCACTGGCACCGATATTCCGGCTCTCAAAAAGGAGCAGTCTGATCTTGAGTCAGAACGTGAAGGAGTCCTCGCAAAATTAGAGGAGCGTGATAGCATCGTGGCCCAGAGGATGGAATCCAAAAGGAATATCGAGTCTCTGTCCAAGAATATCGCAATAATTGTGAGGTATAATAGTGAAATATTAATACTTCAAAAGCAGATAGGAGACCTCTCTGCGAAGCAGGAAGAGACGGGAAGTTCTCGGACCCTGGAAGATATCCAAGATGAGATCGCTACTCTCGGCGAGAAATCTCGTGAACTCAAGCGGGTGGCCGGTAAATTGACTCACGAACTGAACCAGTCTCGAGTGGATGTCGGGAGGTTAGAGTTGAAACTCCGTGACTTACAAAGAGAGCTTGATAACACCAACTTTCAACTTGAAAAGAAGACTACACTTGTCTCTCGAGTGGAAGAATGTCGGAATCTAAACTTAAAGCAACGGGAGACCATTGAAAATGCCGACAATGACATTGAGGGTCTTATTCCAGAGGTCTCTACGGCTCAAGCAAGGCATGATGATATCAGTACTCGTAGCGAGCAGAGAGAAAGAGAGCTACAACAAGAGATTTCTAGCCTAACTGATAGTTTGCACCAACTAGAGCTGGCCAGCGAAGATATTACCAATTATATCGAACGAGGAGGCCCAGCCCAGCTAGAGCGTAGCAAACGGGAGCTCCAGAACATATCAGACGAGATCAAGCGTCTGGAAGCCGAGCAAACTGACCTTACACGTGAACTCAACAGCATCTCTACTCGCTTGAAAGATAGCGAGAGTACTAAACGTCAGTATTCAGATAATCTTCGATACCGTCAGGAATCGAAGGCTCTTATTAGTGTGAACCAGGAGATATCAGACTTAGAATCCCAAAATGCTGAGGTGGATCGCAGTAGATTCAGAGAAGAATCAGAACGAAACACACGAGAACACAATGCACTTGCGGCGAAGCAAGCAAGCAAAATGGGTGAAATGAAATCAAAGGACGATCAATTGATGCAGCTGCTTGCAGACTGGAACACTGACTACAAGGATGCTGGGGCCAAGTTCAAGGAGGCGCACATAAAAGTGGAAACCACTAAAGCCGCCGTAGATGACCTTGGAAGATATGGCGGAGCTCTGGATAAGGCAATTATGAAATATCATAGCTTGAAGATGGAAGAGATTAACCGTATCATTGGAGAGCTGTGGCAAAAGACGTATAGGGGAACCGACGTTGATACCATATTGATTCGGTCTGATAATGAAAGTGCAAGAGGGAACAGATCCTACAACTACCGTGTTTGCATGGTTAAGCAAGATGCCGAGATGGACATGAGAGGGCGTTGCAGTGCTGGCCAGAAAGTTCTTGCAAGTATCATTATCCGCCTAGCGTTAGCTGAATGTTTTGGGGTTAACTGTGGCCTCATTGCCCTCGATGAACCAACTACGAACCTTGATCGTGATAATATTCGTTCCCTTGCCGAGTCATTACATGACATTATCAGAGCACGGCAACAGCAGGCAAACTTTCAGTTAATCGTCATTACTCATGACGAAGAGTTCCTTCGAAGCATGCAATGTGGTGATTTCTGTGATTATTATTATAGAGTGTCACGAAACGAGAGGCAGAAATCTATCATTGAGAGACAGTCTATCGCGGAGGTTTGTACATACCCTATCTTTTTTTCAATACATTAAACAGAAAACTAACTTCAAGCTTTAGGTGATGTAACCGGAGATTTTATTCTTTGGTCGTTATAACAAAATTTTTCATGCAGCCTCTTCTTATGCTGCTATCGGAGTCTGAAGTATTATTGTAGTTACGATCCCTACGTCACTTCATTTTCCATGTTGCTTGTTGATCTAAGGATTGTATTTCCAAAACCATACTGACACTTTCCACCTTGACCTGCTGCTCCCGGTTTCAAGGATATCACTGTTTTATCCGAAGCTGATAGGCACGCTATAGAATTATTTATTGATGCACAAATGTTGATATGAATCTAAAACTTCAATAGCTATATTGAAATGCCTAGGGTGTTAATAATACATGGAAGATATAGATTATCTTGTTATTCCTCACTAGAGCCTTCATTTTCCTCATCCTCATCAAGTAATGGCACGAACCGAAAATCAATAAAACTAACATTTCCCGTCGCAGTTCGAGTGGCATTTTGGATAGATGGACCTGCCGCGTCTGCATTACCTCTGTCACCTAGTTCAATCATAAACTGGAGACTTAAGATGCCTTGCTTATCGCCCCGGATACTTACTTTACTAGATGTTCCCATGGCCCCTAGTGCCTTTCGCACAAGAGAAAACCGGTATCGCTGCTTGATCCGTGACTTTGAAGTTGGTGGTTCAACAAGGAAGGTTTCTGTGACGGTGGGTGCGAGCTTGCCTCTTCTAGGCTGTCTGGAACTTCCATCCTCATTGAACGATTTGTATGCATGGTCAACAACATCTGATTCCTTATCAATTGCAAATTCAACAATTGATTCGCTGAATGGCCCTCCAGAGCCGGATAGTGCAAAATAAGGTGCCTTGTTTGGAGATGCAGAGAGGGATAAAACGGTGGGAGAGGTCGAGTCCAACTCTATGATTGCGTTATGGAGCCATGTGGAGCGCATGATGATTTTGAAGACGATGGCATCACGTTGAAGGGGAATATCGAATTCCCCTGGTGTAGAGTCCAGGGAAGAATCCTCGAGCTCATAGGTGGTTAACTCGCATGTTGTGGTAACTCCTGCTTCAGCAAGCGTTATGCAAAGTGGGGACCCCTTTCGACGGTAGCCGATAGTACAAGAACGACTCATGCCTAACGCGGGGGTTGAAAATGCGTTTATGCTTTGGGTGTTGGCTGTATTGATCATTTGATTTGTGCCTTGGGATGAATCGCTGATCCCGAAGATCTGGAGAGTTTCTAGGAGGGCAGAGAGAGAAATAGTAAACCTGGGATATAGCGACGTGTCAAAAAAGTCGCCGTCTTCTTCAGGTTGGGTAACGCCATTGTAGACATTTCTAACATTGAAAATGTAGCTTGTGAAGAGCGCTTTGTCTAGAAAAGCAAGCCCTTGCAGTACTCTTCCTTCCTCAACTGAGAATCGGATCCCCTGGGGGGTTATTTGAACAGATGCTTGGCGAGAAAAGCCAATACATTTAAGAAGGGTATAGAGCTGCTCTGCAGAGGTCGAAACCGCTGAGAGTACAGGGGCACTGCTGGTATCCATTGAGGCGGCTGCTGGCAAGCAAAGGGAATAGAAGACTAGCTTGTTGATAGCGGTTGGGCAGGCCAGCTTTCTTGAACAGTCTGAAGAACCTTTGAACTAAAGGGCAAAGCAATTCCAAATACAGTATATAGCTAGTAGAAACAGAACGATATATTGCGAATAAAGGAGGTGAAAGCGGTATTAGACATACACCCCCACTGCACAGATCATAAATACGGAGCCAAACCTATGATAGTTAGGACAATGAGATTTGGGTAGTACTAACAAAGTTAAGGCCGCTTACCCAAAGGCCAATGAGGCTGGAACTCCGAGGATTGCAATGTTTAGGGCGGAGCGATCTAGGTATTGTTAGCATCATTGTTGACCGAGGCTGCCAAGTCTGCATACTCAGAGCAAAGATTCCAGTGAGAACAAAGCCTGTTCGATAGTTAATTATGAGTTATGCTATGCAACATAGATTGTAGCCCATTGGGTGTTCGCTTACCTGCCAGCAAAAGTACTATAGCCGGGAGAAGCTGGGAATTAGTCGAAACAGTTGGATAGAAGGGGCTCCCAGCTGCAGAGCGCCAGACCTCTTCCAAAGACATTAGGGCTACAATTGAGAGGTCAAGTGCAAGGAAGTATTAAATTATCAGCAGACAATATTCAGTTGTAATAGTATCAATGTAGGCACCACAGTTAATATCTATGCTGTTCGTGAATGTTGTTCATTTTAGAAAGTCTCAACACATGGTAAGTTCGTTCAAATTAAGTTAGCGCAATGGGCTGGCGGATAAAATATTAGCCGAGAAGCGCCACCACTTGGCGCGCAGTTTGCGACTGACGACATCGAATGTAGAAGCTGGAAGTCGCAGATTTCGAAGATATGGCGCCTGTTACAGTTGATCGTGAGTACACCCGAGCTATATATCCTGCAATTCTCTTGTAAACTAATTTTTTCTTCTTAGGTGTGAAGCGCAAGGCTTCAGAAGAAGCAAGTACTCCGGACTCGAAAGCGAACATCAAGAAAGCCAGGACTGAATCTCCAGAGACACGGGAACAGGTAAGCCGCACCTTTAAGTGGCTGACATAGTGGGCATATATAATGAATTACTGGCTAATCAAGTACTAGGAAGAGGAAGACACCGAGAAAGTTAAGCTGGTTCCATATGCGGAGAAGGTCTGTCGCAGTCCCATGACCATATATGAGCTTGAACATGAGAGCTAACTTGTTTTCATATACTGGTGATAGCCTGCCGTGTTAGAAGAACGAGAAGGGAAAATTGAATTCCGCGTTGTCAACAATGACTCCTCTCGAGAGAGCTTTATTATTCTCACCGGCCTCAAATGCATATTTCAGAAGCAGCTTCCCAAGATGCCGAAGGACTACATAGCCCGGCTTGTCTACGACCGAACACATCTGTCTATAGCTATTGTGAAGCATCCCTTAGAGGTTGTCGGGTGGGTACACCCAGCATTGAATAACTTTGGCTTTGCTAATTATTTGTTTGAAAGTGGGATTACATACCGGCCGTTCCATGGACGGAAATTTGCTGAGATTGTATTCTGTGCTATTTCCTCAGACCAACAGGTAAAGGGGTATGGAGCACATCTCATGTCTCATCTGAAAGTGGGTACCATCTATACCCCTAAGAGATCTACGGATCGATACTAAGCTCTTTTATTATAATAATAGGATTACGTTAAAGCAACCTCCGACGTAATGCACTTCTTGACATATGCGGATAACTACGCCATCGGATATTTTAAGAAACAGGGTTTTACAAAAGAGATCAGCCTTGAGAAGTCTATCTGGATGGGATATATAAAAGATTACGAAGGAGGTACTATCATGCAGTGCTCTATGCTCCCAAAAATACGTTATTTGGAGGCCGGTCGAATGGTCCTTAAGCAGAAAGAAGCCGTGTACGCCAAAATCCGCGCCTTTAGCAAATCACACATCGTTCACCAGCCACCAAAGGAGTGGAGGAATGGGGTGGTCGAAATTGACCCGTTGAGTATTCCTGCCATCAAGGAATCCGGATGGTCTCCTGATATGGATGAGCTAGCTCGCCAACCAAGACATGGGCCTAATTACAACCAACTCCTCCATCTCCTTAACGACATGCAAAACCACAGTGCGGCGTGGCCCTTTGCCCAGCCTGTGAACCGGGATGAAGTCCCTGATTACTATGAAGTTATAACAGAGCCAATGGACCTTTCGACAATGGAAGAGAAACACGAAAAGGACATGTATCCAACCCCACAGGACTTTATCAAGGATGCAAAATTAATATTCGATAACTGCCGGAAATACAACAATGAGAGTACGCCCTATGCGAAGAGTGCAAATAAACTGGAGAAATTTATGTGGCAGCAGATCAGAAATATCCCAGAGTGGTCGGTATGTATTTCATCCTTCTTCACCACATCTATAGCATTATACTAATCGATGACTAGCACCTGGCTGATTGATGCTGCCAGCCCTTTACGATTAATGTATAGCTACACACTTGGTTTAATGGAGATTTGGGGCTCAGTCTGGCGCAGGGAGGTACGGTTTCTGGCGATGGATGTTAAACTATTTTATATTACCACATGTTTGGATCCTGAGAATTCTGTCTTTACTAGTAGTTGGCATGCATCATGTAGGTTCATCCTGTCCATGGTTCTGCTTGCTTTTTGCTTTCTTTTTCTTTGGTTTGCCCCTTGCCGGCCCAAGCGTTAAATTTAACCGGAATAAAGATAATGCGAAATTGCCCAATCAAGAATTTCCAACCTCCTTGAAGCCACAAAACGTTCAAAAGGAGGAACCATCTTTCTTCACGGAGGAGATGCTCTTGTTCACACATAAGAGGATTGGTTCTTCTTCTTTTTCTCTCTCTTGATACTTGTGTTCAAGCTGTCCTTCATTTTAGATCTTTCCTTGCGCCCGGTGAACTTGTGCTGTTTCTGTTGTCTCAACGCGTTATTTTAAGCCGTTGGGAGTCGGTGTGATTTTTAACAACAAACTGAACCAAGATCGCTCAAGGGAATCACAGGCAAGCCTCTGGGTGAAGCTGTCTATAAACATCCTTTTACTTTGACAACAGTTCTTCCTCATTGTTTTGTGATTTAATAACCATGTCGGCGCCATCTCTTCTTGAGAATGAGTACCGCAACAGGCTCCCAACCCTCCTAGAAGTCCTGGGAAGACGGACTCTTGCGCCTGTTGACTTGTTCTCATTCTACATCTACATGAGAGACCAGCAATGCTCTGTTGACTACCTCGATTTCTGGTATGCCTTTGCTCCCTTGATATGTTATGCGAACTGGATTACTCATGGCTCATACACTATAGGCTTGACGTATCTCAACACATGTCTCTATGCCGTCACTATGTCCGCGAACTACGTCGTTCAGTTCTACTCGAGACACCAGAACCCGAGAAATTTGACAGCCGACCTTCTACTGCCTCTCAACGACACCGAGGCGCAATTCCGGGAGATGGAAATGAATTCACAAACATGGCTGTCAATGGACGTGGCAACGCACATAGTGAACTCGAGAATTCTGACCAGCGGCTGTCAGCCTTTCTGCGTTCTGAGGGCCAGAGTTCTATGAGAAACAGCGAGGAATCCGAATATTCGAGAAGACGAGGTTCTTTACCTAGCCAAGCTCGACGTATTAGCACCGCTTTGAATGGCATCTCCCATGGCAACGGTAACAGCAACGGCAACGACACAAGCTCCCCAGGCCATACAGTTGCTCGCTCAGACATTCGAGCAAGTGCAGTGAGAATCCTATACACATACTTACTACCCGGTTCCGAACGCGAGGTTGTTTTACCAGATAGCATCGTGGGTGAGATCGTTCACATGATTGAGGAAGAAGGTAGAGATGACCCTGAGGTTTTCGATACAGCAAAGGACTACGTTTTCCAAGCTATGGAACGGGATGCTTTCCCGGGTTTCCTCCAAGCCAAGGCACTCGGCAATTTAGTCCCACCAAGTATTCTCGCTCGCCTAGTCATTGCCCTCGTCAGCTTTGGAGCAGGATTCTGGGCAGGATTCTTTGTTATCCTAACAGACACTCCACGGAACACCCGTTGCTGGGTATGTTTTAGCGTTGTTCACCTTTTCATAAGACGGCTGGTTATTAACATTTCTACTAGGTAATCCTACCATTCTCAATTGCTGCATACTTCCTTTCCTCTTACCAGTACAAGATCGACCCTGTCCTTGCCCTCGCGGGACTGAGCGAATACACGTTCATGAACTGGACCCGGATCAGAGAACCATACGTTCGAGCTCTTCTGGTCAAACGAGCTTCGGTATCTCTATTCCTTGCTGTGGTCATTGCGCTTGCACTTTGCTTGCTCTTTATCCTTGTACCAGGAACCCGCCTGTAGAGGCATACAGGCTATCTTTTCTACGTCTTCATTTTTCTCTCTCCTTTCTTCGATATTTTCCAACCGGCTATGGCGTTCATTTGGAGTCCTTTCCTATGTTTATTGCGACACCACTATCTTTGCTTTTCCTTCCTGTCTCATGTGTTCGTTGTCCGTTTTCATTTGTTTTTCCCTCCAAGCATTGGCGTAAGGTATGGTGTTTCCTAGCGTTTATGTCTTTATGATATCTCGTGTTGCTACGACAGCAGCAGAACCTCATTTCCTGGGTGGCTGTCGATGACTTGAATTGTCAAATTGTCCCAGTTTTTGCCCAGTATTTATCAACCCCATTCTAGCTTCCTGAGATACCCTTAATAACGCCTCCCACCCTAAATTTGGTTTCATTTCAAATTTTCTTGCATTTTATCTATTATGACCTGTTCGAAATTTTCGTCCTTGCCCTTTACATAATGTAATACTTTATAGTCAAATGCTGGGTTCAGATTCTTTGCTGTCATTAATTTCTATGTCTCGTGTATACCAGCCTATGCTCAGAGTCATCAAATAGCTTGCTTTAGAACAGTTCGCCTAACAAACGTTCTGTGCCTCGAGTTTAGCCTTCATCGACCTTGGATGGGTCGAAGGGTCTACTTCCATGCTATCCTGGTCGTTAGCTGAATAGCCTCCTGTAGCATGAAACTCCCGCTTATTCCCCTTGGAAGAATTTCCGCCCCCGAAAAACCGTCTGGCTGCATTGGCTGCACTGCCGCCGAGCGAAGTTTCTTTGCTAAAAGGTTTTTGGGCCCGAGACTCCTTTGAGCTATTACCACCCTCGCCCTCATCTTGATCTCCGTACCAGCCTGCGACACTTTTCTCAAAACGATAGCTCCTGTCTTTTTCCATTGCTCGCTTCTTTGCCGCATCGGCTTTTATTGTGTTAATCTCTGCTTCGATCCCCTCGATCGCTTGCTGGCATCGCCCTTGCCATTCTGTGAGTGTTGATATCATCCCATCGACTGCTTGAGGGCGGACATCACGAAGAGGAGCCACAGAAGTGACGTTTATGGTAGGCGGGGTCGTTGTAGGAGATAGACGCGCAGAGATGAGGGAGGAGTATATTGCCTTTGTCACGAGGGACTCAAGTTCCACATGGTCTTTGAGGGACAGTGATTTCATAACAATGGGATATGTAAGCGGATTATTTGTGGTAGAGAGAGTGAGGAGAGATAGAAGACGGAGCTTCAATGCTTGGGGTTCGCTCAGGGCGGGGAGACTGGGAGTTGCTATAAAACCAAAAGCTATTAGCAAACACATGTAGGAGTTTTATCCTGCCTCTCTTATGTAAAGGCTCACCATGATATTCTTCCCATGACCCCCAAGCGAATATCTCTAGTAGTTTTATATAAGATCGGTATTCTTCAGGCGTGTCCGGGTGTGCCAATGATTGGACTGCTTGGGTCTCAAGTAGCTCGGCAAATATGAAGGTATTTGGAGCAGAGGTAGCATTTGTAATGATATTAGCAATGAATCGCGGACTGTGAGATGTAGATGAGTTCGCCAGGTGGATAAATGGTTGCAATGCTCCAAGGGACGGTTTCTGTGATTGATCCATGCCGTTATTATATCGTGTAGGAATCAACGGGATGAATAGAGGTAGCAATAGTATATAGGTTTTAATCCCGATTACTGTATGATCAACAGCAGTGCTAACAGGTCACACCTAACAACCACAAAACCCGCTTGCTTATTCTTATCAAGTGAAGGACAAATGAAGTCAAGCTGTTGGTATCTTTCTCTTTCTCTCATATCTTTAATGAGGTCAGCATAGCATTTGATTATATAATAAAGAACAATAAAGTCACGTGGTAATTATATGGGGGATTAACTTTATGCCGAATTTTATGCAAACAGTGTAAATTTAATTTTATTAATTAAATCAGGTGATATATTACGTAATCACGATAAACTCGTAATCCACAAGCAATCTTATCTGATCGCAGTTGAGATAAGACGTTGTGTCAGTGCTATATATAGAATATAAAGGAGAGAAGAGAAGAGAAGAGATGGGCATCTTCAGGGGGGATAGAAAGCGAGGGATATATAGTGAAGTTATGCTCTGACAGGTTACAGCTCGGTAGAAACAGGAACGTGTTGAAAGAAGCAATCTTACGAATCACCTAGAATTCCGAGTAAAAACGCACTAATAATATATACATAGTACATAGTACATCCTGCAGTAATACCGGGTTCCATGGATAGGCTCGAATATGGAATTGACAGGGCAAGGTTGAAGAGACTCCAGCCAATCAAGCCAACGATCAGCGTTTTGGTCGCTGAAAGCCCCTGTTCCATCTGCGACCTCTGTGCCCTCTGTTCTTTCGACTTTGCCTCCTCCGACTCCGAACTCCAGACACGGAGAACAGAGTCGAGAAGTCAAATGTGAGGTAGAGCGACTGCGAGAGCCTGTCGCCCATCCCTTCATCCGTGTCTCCCGGCTAACTTCCCCAGGGATCAAGCGTTTGAGTGGGTTGCATCGCACTTCTGCACGATATAAAAAGAAACGAAGAATAAAGCATGGTTCGGGCCGGATGCTGAGTCAGCTGCCTCTTCATCATTGATGAAATTAATAAACTGCGCGCGTTTTTTTCCCTCCCCAGACTTTCCACGACACTGAGACTCACCCTTTGCTATTTTGGGTATTCCCCCCTGTCTTCTCCCTCATCACGCAGCCATGTTATGATATCTGAGGATATATTTCCGACCCATCCTTATCTTCTGTCTCCAGAGCCTTGACCAATACTTCTGTTGATCACGATCGCAGCCTTAGAGAGAGCGGCTGGCAGGTTCCCGTATAACGCTCCGCAAACGAACTCAACGTCCCAATCTTCTCAACATCTATCCATATGTCCCTGGATTAAACACCACCTGCGACCCTGTACATGATGACGCGCTCTATACCACCTGTCTCTGGAAGTAGTACAGGACCTGTCATTGCAGACGCCGCACGAGCAGTTCACATGGCGACCACCACCGTTAAAGTTGATGGAATGACATGCGGCGCCTGTACATCAGCGGTAGAATCAGCATTCCAGGGCATCAGCGGCGCTGGAGATGTGTCTGTCAGCTTGATGATGGGGAGAGCAGTGGTACAACATGATCTAGACGTCTTGTCAGCTGAGAAAGTTGCAGAGTTGATCGAGGATCGTGGTTTTGATGCAGAGGTTTTGAGTACGGATATACCACAGAAAACAGATGATAGCCAAAGGAAACCTTCGAAACCCCCACAATGTACAACGACGCTCTCCGTCCAGGGAATGACGTGTGGTGCTTGTACATCCGCCGTGGAGGGAGGATTTACGGGTGTATCAGGAGTCGAATCAGCTACAGTATCTCTACTATCAGAAAGGGCTGTCGTAGTCCATGATCCTTCTGTAATAACTGCTGCGCAGATCACAGAGATCATCGAGGACAGAGGATTTGATGCAAGTGTCATAGAATCAAAAACTTCCGATTCAGATTCCCCAGGAAGCACACCACCAAGAAAGCTGTCTGCACAGATGAAGACTACAATTTCTATTGAAGGGATGACGTGCGGCGCCTGTACTTCTGCTGTGGATAACGCCGTTACAGGACTTCCGGGCCTGATCCGTTTTAATATAAGTCTGCTAGCGGAGCGTGCTGTCATTGTTCATGACCCGTCCGTTCTTCCCACATCTAAGATCTCGGAGTGTATCGAGGATGCCGGATTTGATGTCCGAGTTCTCATCTCTGAGCCAGACACTTCCATTCACACCACGTCTTCTACGTCTCTCAACTTGAACCTCTATGGAGTGCCTGACGCAGCCTCAGCAGCTGCGTTAGAGGGCGCTCTTATTAAAACCCCAGGGATCCTGTCAGCTAGCGTTCGGCTGTCAAATTCACAGGCATCCGTGTCATTCAACCCGTCTCAAATAGGAATTCGATCCGTGATCAAAGTGTTCGAAGACGCTGGCTACAATGCCCTCCTTATGGAATCCGATGATAACAATGCTCAACTTGAATCTCTTGCGAAGACCAGGGAGATTCAGGAGTGGAGAAAGGCATTTATTATTTCATTATCATTTGCCATTCCCGTCATGCTAATAAGCATGATCTTCCCCATGTATCTACACTTTCTCGACTTCGGTAGCGTGGAGCTCATTCCTGGGCTGTTCCTTGGAGATGTCGCCTGTATGGCCCTTACAATACCTGTCCAGTTTGGAATCGGCCTCCGATTTTATCGCGCTGCTTTCAAATCGTTAAGGCATCGTGCTCCAACCATGGATGTCCTAATTATGCTTAGCACCTCTCTTGCCTTCTCCTTCAGCATATTAGCGATTCTCGTCTCCGTGCTTCTACCGCCACATACCAAACCAAGCACCGTCTTTGAGACCAGCACAATGCTCATAACTTTCATCACGCTAGGGCGATGGCTGGAAAACCGAGCCAAAGGGCAAACATCACGCGCCCTCTCGCGACTCATGTCTCTTACTCCCTCCATGGCAACGATTTATGATGACCCTGTTGCTGCTGAAAAGGCTGCTGAAGGCTGGAAGAAAATAACTACTTCAAGCTCCGCGGACAAGCCCGAATCCACTGCAGCAGCTGTCCAAACGGCGCAAAAGGTCATCCCCACCGAGCTTATTCAAGTTGGTGATATTGTGTGCATCCGACCCGGTGATAAAATTGCCGCGGACGGTGTCGTTATTCGCGGTGAAATGTACGTCGACGAGAGCATGGTAACAGGTGAAGCTATTCCCATTAACAAAACTACGGGGCACCATGTAATTGCCGGTACAGTCAACGGCACCGGATGGGCAGATTTCCGTGTAACAAGGGCTGGCAGAGATACACAGCTCAGCCAGATTGTTAAGCTGGTTCAGGAAGCACAGACTAATCGCGCTCCTATTCAGAGAATGGCGGATACCGTTGCCGGATATTTTGTTCCCACCATTATCACATTGGGCTTCGTCACCTTTATCGGATGGATGATTCTAAGCCATCTCCTCCCTCACCCGCCAAAGATCTTCCTTGTTGAAGGCAGTGGAGGAACACTGATGGTCTGCCTGAAGATCTGTATATCCGTTATTGTTTTCGCATGCCCCTGTGCTCTTGGTCTCAGCACTCCAACTGCAGTTATGGTCGGTACCGGTGTCGGTGCTGAACACGGCATCTTGGTTAAAGGCGGTGCAGCGCTGGAAGCTGCTACCAAAATCAAGCATGTTATATTCGACAAGACTGGAACCATTACTATGGGCAAAACAAATGTCGCAGAGGCTAGAATGGAACATACGTGGTCTACAAACGAATGGCAACGCCGACTATGGTGGGTAATTGTAGGCCTAACGGAAATGACTAGTGAACACCCAATCGGGAAAACCATAGTTTCAAAAGCCAAGTCTGAATCAGGTATATCAGACGACGACCCCCTCGATGGTGCTGTGGTCGACTTTGAAGCCAACGTTGGTAAAGGGGTTTCCGCCACTGTTGAGCCCTCGTCCGGCTCCGAACACCTACGATATAGCGCTCACGTCGGAAATGCAGTTTTCATTCGCTCGAAGGGAATCAAGATACCTGATTCTGCGGATCAAGATCTCCAAAAACCAAGAATGAAATCAGATGCTTTGAAAACCGCAACAGTCATCCATGTTGCTATTAGCGGCCAGTATGCTGGTACACTCTGGCTGCAAGATTCTATCAAGCCCTCTGCAAAGGCCGCTGTTGCAGCCCTGCACCGCATGGGCCTGACGACTTCCCTTGTGACTGGAGACACGTATAACACCGCACTCGCCGTTGCAAATGAGGTTGGCATACCCTCAAACGCCATCCACGCTTCAGTCGGCCCTCTAGAAAAACAGTCGATAATAAATGAACTTCAAACATCCGAGTACCCTATTGCCATGGTTGGAGATGGCATCAACGACTCACCTGCTCTGGCAACCGCTTCAGTTGGAATTGCACTCTCTTCTGGTACAGAGGTCGCTATGGAAGCAGCCGACATTGTTCTAATGAGGCCAGAGGATCTACTCTCCGTCCCCGAAAGTCTCTGTCTATCGAGATCCATCTTTAACCGTATCAAGCTCAACCTTCTCTGGGCGTGCGTATACAACGCTATAGGAATACCATTTGCAATGGGGCTATTCCTACCCTTTGGTGGGGTCTCACTTCACCCCATGGCTGCTGGGGCTGCCATGGCAGCCTCAAGTGTCAGTGTAGTTGTTAGCAGCCTCCTCCTCAAGTTCTGGGCACGACCGCGCTGGCTCAAGATTGAACGCCTGGAAAGAGAAGTTGATGAGGGCTTGATAGACTCTACAGGCCAGGCCTACCGGAAAGGCGGGAAATGGTGGAAGAAGTCTCCCTTCGCATCGCCAATATCCTCCACAAAGAATAGCTGGGCCGGTGCCTTTGGATTTATGTCTCGAATTATGGGCAAGCGAAGCCATACTACAGAGGAAGACGGGTATGTTCCATTACAAACAGTGGACAATGGGTTTTAGTGTCTCTTATCTCTGCCAGGAGTACGGGGCATATCTGGATAATGCGTTCTAGCAATATCTTCATGTGATGGTTTGCATATGCATTGCATTGCATATTCCATTTTCTCTTTAACGACCACATACATATTTTAGCTGTGTCGAAATCACAGTCATGGTTATTACATCTTCATTTCAAACAGGCTACTGATCGACCAATTAACTATAAAAGGGCATTTAAAGATAGTTCAATGTTTCCACTGTGTATGTCGCTTCGTATGAACATTGGTAATACAATTCAACACTTCCCATAGTAGATAATATCTAAGAATACTAAAAGATCTCTTGGGCACTAACTAGAGTAGATGGCTCTGCAGCACCTTGAGTATTTTAGTTACTCTTGTCTCTATCTATATCCGTATCTTGGGTTCTCGACGTGCGCGGAGGAATTGAAAAATGACGGCTTAAACAGTCATTTTCGAAGGCGTGTTACTTACCCAGTTATAATCTACCCCATATCCTCAATACAAGTTTATTTCTTCTGCGTTTACTACAGCCAGCACATTTAATTTTGTTTCGATCAAGTTCACTTTATAACAAGCCAATTTAGAATTTTCTCCGCGTTCTCTGGCTTGCCAATTGAGTCACCAGATTCCAAGTCATCTTCCTCGGAATCATCTTCAGAATCCGGGCTCATGTCTATCCATGCTTTCAGAGATTGATATAATTCTCGGTCATGAGTTGCACTTCCTTGCTGCCATAGACCCCAGAATATCATTCGAGAACAGGCTTTTGACGCCTCCTGAGACATTTTTCCCAAGTCGGGAGTCATCACATTACCCGAACACGCTGAGTGGTCATATGTCTCTGGGGCGCTCCCCCAAGACGAATAGCCTGCATCTGGGACACAGAAACCATCTGCGGTGAGCCACGACCATGACAGGTAAGAGAGAAAATGTCCAGTGCAGCGGGCGTGTTCCTGGACCACTATGTGAGAATCATTTATTGTAACTTTTCCAGGTGGTTTCCATGGTGGGGAATAGCTCCATGAATCTTGGGATAGATAGAGTAAGACGGCCTCCTTCTGACGAGATATGAACGAATCGTGCCCGTCTATAGGGTTTAAGCATGGAGAGCATAAGTAAGACTGGGGTACCTGGGTCCACCACCAGGAGGGTAGGTTCACAAGAGGTGTACCGCTTCGAGCCTCTTGTAAGATGTATCTGTGAAGACCGGTGATCGCACTTCCTAGCCACCAACCTCCGATAGACGGTCTTCGTAACATGCACATGGCTGTTAGTTGACGCGTATCCAGGGAAGAAATGATTGTGAAAAAGGGCTCTAACCATTCGCTACATAGGTTGCAGGGAATTGACGGCTCAAAGAAGACACTGCAAAGGGCTGCAGTAATCCCAGTAGCAGCAGAGCTTATGGTCATAAGATTTGGTAGCACCTTAAATGAATCTTCGAGGGCTTGACTTTGTAGTTGAGAGGTTTCTGTCTCAGCGCTAGGCTGTGTATCCATGTACATCGGAGCTGGAAGCGCGAGAGGGACTCGAAGGTGTGCATGAGAAGGGAACATGAGGGCCGCTGCTAGGGCAGCTTTCGCCTGCTCCACAAGGTCGCGTTGGAGGCAAAAGTCCCTGAGATATGTAAAGCTTTGATATGACCCAGGACATTCGGTGGTGGGCTGGGTGCCTGAGGGTCCATATATAGTCAATCTCATGCTGCTAGTGAGGCGTGTTGCCCATGGTGGTTGGTATTCAATATCGCTAGCAATAACTGAGGCCACCCAGCCTTGCCCACTGCCGACCACCATCTCGTAGCTGGCGGAGTATCACTGCACACTGCAAGAGTTCCGCCGTCCACTGCGGCTGAGGGGGATGAAACCGGTGCCTTCTCGTCTGTATATCTCATCCGGCCATTCTGTGACTCTACCCAGAGGCTGGAGAGAATATACGCCCATGCCAGAGCCAGCACCGTCACATAATTGCTCTCTTCCGTGTAATCACCCTCACTGCCAGGCCACCGTCTCAGCCCATGGCTCTCGTCTATGCTGCAAGGGGTAGCATCCCTTATGCCCAAGAGGAAACTCTGTTCAAGTTCTCTTGTCTCAGCCAGGCGACTGAAGTCTTCCTCCAGCGGCCTACTGATGCTGCATTCTGTCGTCTTGCCCAAGGAACTGGGAGCTGCACAGCCAGATGCGTCCGTCGTCGACCACGTTACGGTCCCTTTGGCGAAGAGAAAAATACTAGTCGAAGTCGCATGAGTTTTATGATGAGTCTCTGTGAAGCTGGGGACTTGTCGAAGTCCCTGGCTGATATCTGGTATATTAGCAGTAGGAGGCTTCTGGTGGCTTGTGGCTTCGCGCAGAGAGAGCCAGAGACTGCTGCTTCGGCGGACAACCAGTTCTCTCTGTTCTTTGGACGGAGCAATATTCCCTCCGCTTTGAAGCAAGTTCATTTTTGATATCCGTATAGTTATATTTGGAAGTCCTTGTCCTTCGTATAAACCGCGCGGTCCACAGCCACTCCTGATGCGCTGAGCTGGAGTTACTACATAGCAAGGCTGGATACACCACAACCCCTGGCGGTGCTGTTAAGAACATGGATATATGATACCCCAGGGCAACGCTGTGTATAAATACGGAAATGTTTTTTCTTCCCGTCCTTCATGCTATTCATTATAAAACATCCAAGTTCGAACAATATGTTGGCAAGCTACGTCTTGTCCCTTGCTTTCTCCTCCCTTTCCGCCGCAGCTGGATACCCGCATCAAGATGCCACTCATTTCCCTCAAGTCAACCTTGGATATGCCATACACGCTCCAACCCATGTTAACACGACCTCCAGCGGCCTCGAATATGCAAACTACAACAACATTCGCTTTGCTCAGCCTCCCGTTGGCCACCTGAGATTCAGGCGCCCAAAGACTCCTCCCCCAAGGGAACCAGGAGTCAAGAATGGCTCTGCTCCAATGTTTGCGACAGACTGTGTGAGCGCTATTCCAAATATATTTCCTCCACAGGGTCTCCCCTCGAGGTCCTGGGGCCATGAGGATTGTTTGTTCCTCAACGTGAAAGTCCCGGAAGGAATCAGGGAAGGAGACAACGTTCCGGTGATCCACTGGATACATGGAAGTGGATATGCGTATGGAAGTAAAGACCTCAACAGGATCAGTGGTGACGGCAGTGGTCTCTTCGAGGACATGGACCGATCTACACAGAAATTTATCTACGTTGCTAGCAATTATCGGTATGTTTGTTAGCGTGGATCCCGAGATACTTGCAAAAAAAACCCCCCCTAACAGCTGTGTCTAGGATGGGATTATATGGATGGAGCTCGTCTGCTTCGGAAGATATAGAGGCCAACGTGGGATTGCACGACACGCTGACAGCTTTGCAATGGACTCGCAAATATATATCTAAATTTGGAGGGGACCCTCGAAAGATCACTGCGTTTGGGGAGAGTGCTGGAGCAGGGATGATTGACCTCCTACTTGTTGCCAAAGATGGAATGGAAGACCTTCCCTTCAATCGGGTAATGCCTTGAAGCTCTGGTATATTATGCATTGTTATAGCTAACACGGAGATTCAGGCCTTCATAGCATCTCCAGGTGTTTGGCCACGACGGGATCCTAGTCGTCGTCAAGCTGTTTTTGACTCGGTTCTAAAGGCAGCAAACTGTGACTCTGTTGACTGTTTAAGAAAGCTGCCAGAAAAGGATCTCTTCAAGGCAAATGAATACCTCCTCGTCAATGTAACAGATGGCAAAACCGGCGCTTTAGGCCCAGGCCCCGGATTTACACCAGTTGTGGATGGTAAATATATCACAGATCTGCTTCATACCACCCTGAGAAGAGGAAGACATAACCAAAGAGTGTCAAAACTTGCCGTTAGCAACATGGCCCTCGAAGGCTTAGGACAGGCGCCACCGGACCATATGCCAGAGCTGTTCCCTTACCTAGTTCGTGGAACGATACCCCACGCCTCTGACGAAACTGTCCAGAAGATACAGTCGCTCTATTCGTACCCTCCAGACCTTCCGGCCAAACTTGGGTGGGACTGGGTAACAGACATATCATATGCCTGCAACGCCTATTATACCGCCAAGGCATATGCTCAAAAGGCTCAGAGATATGTCATGTCAGTTCCACCAGCAACTCACGCGTTAGACCAAAGTTGTGAGTGCCCTTTCACCTAAGTAAATATATTGAAACCTTCAACTCACTTTGCGAATGACCAGATTACTTCTACCAAGATAATACAACCACTCCAGTTACCAGTGTTAGGCTTGCGAGAGAATTCCAGGAACATGTGCGGCGATTCATCACTGATGGAAAGAATAAGAAGAAATTCCCTAGCCTCGAAGATTTCCCTACCTATGGCCATAGCGAGACCATTTTCAATATAACCCTTGACGGGTGGAAGAAAGAAAGGGACTATTGGGAGACCAACCGCCGATGTCAGATTTTGCAGGAGATCATTGCTGACCCAAAGAATGGTGCTTAAATTTGTAAAAGCATCGAAGAGCTGACGCTGCGGTCAGAACGGAATGTATATTCCAGTTATCCTTCTTTGCATCAATAAATAGTCCGTTTGAGTTACTTTAAGGCCAGATTTACCCTAGAGAGAAGCGAGGTTATTATGTTGCTGTATTCAGTCACAGCCGTAGATAAAAACGAGCGCATCAAAAGTCATTTGATCAAGTAACGTTGAGAGTTAATGAGTGCCAGTCCCAATTATCCCGAACACACTTCCGTCAATATATATATATTCCGATAATAAAGCTCGAATATGGGATATTAAGTCACTAGGAGCAAAGAAAAATGCCAAGGGAATAGTTGAAGGATAGAAAGATGCGTAGTAGCTGTGAGGAAAATTCCAATAAAAAGCACATATAGATAGGGGTATTTAAAAGTAAACATATCTGGCTGGAAGAGGTTGGAGAGGTGGTGGGAGTACACCAGCATAGAAGTCATTTTTGGGTATATCATCAAACCTCCTTCACAGGGTTACAAGGGTTGCATTTCTTGCCGTCTATGCCTTGCCCTTTGTAGCTGCCATAGGCGGTGGTGGGAAATACATTTGTGCCTCGGGTTGTTCAGGTCGTCTAAACATCCCTTGGGTCTCCTCCTCGTGCGGCATCGTCGAATAACTGTCGGAACGGTCGCGCAAGGGTAAGTCCGAGTTCCCTTCAAGCTTATTGAAGGCGGTGGTTCGTGGGGTTGTGAGAGGGAATGTCATCTTCCCGTCTGGGTTGAGTGGCGATTTCAATGACTTGAGCTCTGCCAGCGTTGACTTTCGTTCGTCGCTAAGTTTCTTCTTCTCTCGGTCTTCTTCGGTCGGGAAGCAAGAGACAGCTGCCAATATCAACTGACAGCTGAAAAGGAATCTACAAAGGCCAAGATTAGTTGAGCTTATTTATTGGGTATGGTACGGTATAAGGACAAGGAGGTAACAAACATTAAGACTATTGTAAGAGCGAAGGTCGCTTTGGCCTGCTTGCAGTAGTTGACATTTGTGTGAAGCGATGCTACATTGCAGTTCTTCGTAATATACCATGGTGGTCCATTTTGTGGGTGCTTAGGGTCGCTTGTGTCGCTCGCAGCTTGGAAGGAAGCAGCGATCGAGTAGAGTAAGACACAAATACCATGAACTAGCACTGATAGTGGTGGATAAAATACATCCATCACAAACATTGGTGTTTTTGTAAGGAAAAAGAACAAACTGAGGACGGTTATAACGAGATTGAAACTGGTGGTACTATTCAACGGGAATGAAATGTGTCAGCCAACAGGTATTTCGATGGGCCCGTCCAAGGATACATACAACGAACTCCATGGCCTAGGGGTGGTATATGGTCTATAGTTGGCAAACGCATATACTTTCTCGTCTGGAGAGCTGTTGAAGCCATTGTCTGCACCATCTTGCCAGAGCCTTGTACGATATAGGTCAGGAGCCGCAATTCCAGTAAGCGTTAAAATCCCAATTGTTAGAGGAAGTTCACAGGCCAGAAGTATTTTGAATGCCAGTTGAGACCGGTATGTTCGAGGTAAGAAACACCCTATTCCACCCATATTTGCGGTCGACGAGCAGGGTGCGCAAGACTTGGGTGAAATAGCCAGCCGCAGGAGTATATATAATCAACAAAATAGTGTGTATTGCGCAATAGCCTCTACCGGTCTGTCTCGTTCAAAACGACGTCTCCGTGAATGACCTGGACAGCGAACACAAAACTGAGCAGCCTTCGCGAAGAGGAGGGGAAGTCTGACTGATGGTATCGGCCGTGAAGGCGAACGCTGGTGGCTAGACTCTCGTCATTTAGTTCTCTCAAGTCCACGATCCGATAACTAGTTAGTTGGAGAGAAGAAGAGGTCGAAAGAAAAAGAAGTTAAGAGGAGGCCGACTTAAGGTCGCGCAGTCGCTTTGATGTAATGTAAGCGCCCATTCTTCCCGGACCACCTCTGCGCGCTTTGGTTGGCTCATGCAACGGGAGTCGCAAATCCTTGACGTGCAGCCTGATTGATGTGATGACCTCTGTCGACTCCCACCAATGATGATGCTAGAACCAGGGGTTTCCTGCACCCCCATCACACACTAAGCAAAGCGAAGTGCTCCAATCCCTGTCTGGGGCCGAACGAGGGCTTTGTTTCTCCACCTCAAAGCACTGCCTGGCGCTAAGACGAGAGCCAGAGCCTGAACCATCAATAACTCTGGTATAACTGTTGCAGATATTGGTTTCTGTCATTTCTTCCTGGTTTGTTCTTAATATCTTTAATCTTTTGTTTGATGTTGAAAGTACCTAAAAAGTATATTTTGTCACTAAAAATAGTTTGAGGGTATTAAAGTAAATCCGATCCTAAATAAGCTTTAATTATGTAATCTATTAATATCAAGATGAGGATGAAGATGTAAGTTGATTAGAACTAATCATTGAAAGGCATGGCACGTCCTCGATTATACCGCTTAAGATATCTTTCATATCTTTACACTACCCCTAGAAGTTATACTACCATGCTGGAAGTGCAAAAAAGCAAGCCCCACGAACTGCGGACAGCAGGACAGCCTCGACAGAGCTCATTCTACCAGCTTAAGGTATACCATATATCCCAGATCAACCCGACCATTCGCCTTGTCCGATTCAACATAATTTCCAGTTGTGACTCACTTGACTGGTCTGGGGGGAATTCTGAGAGTGTATGGTGGCACCTTGTCGTTTATCCATCAATTACTGGTACCAAGAGTATCTGATTAGGCCGAGATAGATTTGGTCTATTCGCCTGCCTCAAGGCGGGCCTTATATACCCGGATGTTTGAATATCTATAATGTACTAACCTCCCATATGCCAATATCTAGTTCCCAAATAAGCAGTACCCTCCTCTGAGATTCTTGCCTGGACAGTGGCTAGATGTTCATATTCCTAATATCAAACATGCTGGCGGATTCACGATAACATCCACCCCTCAAGACGCCTCTCCCCAGCCAACCACCAATGCCGCTACGGACGACAGTAATAGCTCTTTACCCTACCTTGAGTTGGCCGTTCAGTTTTCACCGACTAACCCGGCAGCGAAGTGGTTTTGGCAGCCTGTTGAGCTTATATTAAATACTCCAGTTAAAGTCAGGGTTGGAGGTAATTTCGTCTGGCCTCCGCCAAATGGAATGTCCTTTGACGAGATCAAAAAAATTGTATTAGTGGCCGGTGGCGTGGGTATAAAGTATGGCTCTCCTCTCTTATAGTTTTGTTCCTTACCTACGATCTGCTCCTCATCCATCTTTCATAAGAGAGATATTCCGGAGCGTTAGCTAACTTGAATGACCAGCCCGCTTATATCAATGATATCATATATCCACCAGACACGCTCAAGCCTTCCATCTTCAATGGTTCATCTTTTGTACTCGACCAAAGTCCCTTCACAATCGAAATCTCCTCCCACCATACCTATAGATAGGATGATACCAAGTAAGGCTGGAAATAATGTATTAACTAGCCCAGCATTTCAAATTTTGTTCCTAGACCGTCTTCAACGTATCCTTCGCAACTGGGATGAAGGGGGCGAGAACAATAATCCCCTCGACATACAACTGTTCATCACAAACATGTCCTCAGAAAGCGGAGACGGGTGTACGACCAACCTTCGCTCTGATATATCAGACTTGGATAATCGAATAACCACCTTTGATCGTCGCATCGGGGTAGAAGATTTGCGTAGAGCCATCGGCGAAAACGAAGAAATTAGGAATGGTACCGTATGCTATATTTGCGGTCCTCCGAGCATGACTGATAGCATTGCCAAAGAACTACAGAACATCCTAGGCGACAGAAAATCAGAGGGGAAGGAAAGAGTGTTCTTCGAAAAGTGGTGGTAACGGAATTGATAATTAATATTAACTGGTCATAATCATCCCATCAGAGCGCCGAAATGAATATGTCTGTATAGTATATATTATGACAATGATCGTAGGCATTTATCTCTAATAAGTATGAAATGCCGTCAAAGTATAATATCTCCTATCCGCAAGACTCCGAGTGAGCAACCCAGCCAACAAGCAATACTATAACAGATTCCCAGCGCCCAAGGAAATCCCAAAGGTAGAAGAATTATATAAGTAACATAAATAAAATCCATAATATGCGTAAGAAGCCGAAAGTATTGCCGAGGAATGGGTTTCATAAACACGATAGAAAGTGCTGAAAAACATAAATCGAGGGCAACCTTTATAAAAGAACCATTCCAACCAAAGATATAACTTATGTTGGAAGGCTAGCCTGGTTTTGTAAGTCAATTGCCTGGTCCAACTGTTCTACCGGCATCGACTAGCATGGTTTCATCGATTCGTTCTTGAGTTCTACCCCATTCAAGTCGCTTATACGACATAATTCGAGCCTCATTCATGTCGATATCAAAGAACCTAATACGGCGGACGTAGTCATTGTATCCGCCGTATCCACCAAATCCAGCACCACCACCATAGCACATCCATAGTGCTGGTTGACCATTTTTATCTTTCTCAAGCATGCAATAGTCGTTTACGTGGTCACTAAAGTAATTGTTAGTGTCGCCTTCCAAAGGGGATACATATTGAACAGATCATCGCTGAAGGGACATTCAATAGGTCCAAGTGAATTGACTTCACTTACTGTCCACAACTGACAATGACCACATTCTCCTCCACTAAAGCATCTTTAAATCCGGAATTATAAGTAGGAGCTGTTGGCGGCTCAGTCCAGTTTCCGGCAAAGAAGTTTTCGGTGTTTCGATATTCCGGCAAAGGGATATGGATGAATGCTAAGTTCATGTGGATGTGTGTATATTTTTTATGTGCCGTTCGAAGTCCTTCAGCTGTTGACCTAAACCACTTTATCTGACTTCGTTTCAGCCAGTCGTATCCAGGATATTTTCTCTCATCAGGAGTATATTTGTGGGTGTCGAGGAGGTAAAGCGTTAGTGCTGAAGCAGAAGATGACCCTTTTCCGAGGACTTCCACAATATAATTTCCAACGCCGTCTATTTCTTCAGGCCCTGGTTTAGAGAGACTGTAGGGTAGATGTTGCATGAGAGCCATTTGTGAACGCCGATCAAGGTTTCCTTCGTCATCATGATTCCCGAATATAGCAGCATACGGAATTTTATGCTTGATGAAAAGATCGGCAAATTTGTATATTGCTGTTTCGGTATCCGGTGCCGTGTCGCCATTGACCTGATCGCCGCTTAACACCACCAGATCTGGCTTTTCTTCATCCAGTAGCTTATCAATAAACTCCAGTGTCCTAGGATCTGCCTCGCATTTATCCTCATCTACCTTTGGAACCGGATCCCGACAATGCCCAAGGCCCGTAGCCAGGTGTAAATCAGCGGCTTGCATAATTTTAAATTTTCCATCTTTTCTAATTCTCGGGACTGGTTGTTCAATCTTCCCGCCCTGCCCTCGCCTTATGGTCAACCTTGCCTCGCTCTTAGAATCTAACAGGAGGGGAATATCCTTTAACTCCCAGTTAGGCCGAGGGTCAACAGCATCCGGACCAAACAAAACATCTACAGATGTAATGGACTTTTGCGAATCGATTGAGTGTGGTTGCCTCAGTATCCAAATACCTCCAGGCCTTGATTCCCATTTTTTATCAGTTCCGGCACCAGGGTCCAGCCTGCCCATTTTTAGGTCAACAACAATCTTATCCGTTGGAAGAAGCTCTGTCCCCTTCTTTCGCTGCACATGCAAGTATGCTTTCGAGGTCCACCCCTGACCAAGATATAGATCCTTTTCGATGCGATGCCATATTTTCGGGTCTAAGGTGCAACTTGAAAACACATTTAAGGTGGAACAAGTTGCTATCGTAAGTTCTGTAAGGACGAGGCCGGGGTGATGGGATGGTAGGTGGTCATGTATCGAAGCTGGAAGGACTCGTATCTGGCTGTCAAGAATGATGATGAGGATGATAACTGTGACAGTTAGAATACCAAGTTGGATGATAGTTCGGATCTAAAATACATATTTAATCAGCTTAGACAGAACAATGACAAAACTATAAGCAAAAAGGGGGTAATATTTACGATTCGGCGATTCATCTTTCCTACAGCTCCCTTTTCACCTCAAGATAATACCAGGAGATCAGGATACCTCTAGCTCGTTCTGGGTGCATGAAGGCTTTTAAAAAACAGGACAGATCCTAGGTTTGTGTGCATCGTGTGAGTCCTCAAAAACGAAAAAAAGAGAACTTCAAGAAGCCATCGAGTGTTGACAGCGAAGGCTTGATGTTTGTCGTTTTATATTTTATCAAACGGGAAATTGATCACGGTTGCTCTTCCAGCAACGGCGCTCGGGTCGGAGTTACTATTCGCCGTAGCTTTTTTTTTTTTTTGGGTTTCCAACCTTGAGAGCTTTTGCGGCTTTGCAAGCGACAAACTTATTCTATATTTTTGGTCCAAGGGATTGATAGAACTAATGGCATCCGCTTCGTATCTCCCTCGTCGGCTTTTCACAACTTCCGGGCCCTCCTTAATAGGTCATGCACGGTCAATTGATACCAATTTTCGGATATTTCAAGGTATTCTAAGTATGCCCTGAAAGGTCAAAGCTAGCCATATACTGACTCGTACCCCGAAGAGGGTGATAGGGTGATATTAAACACAACGAAGGGCGTAACGTTGACGACACCACTGGCAAAAGACAAAAGAACAGACGTGCGCGGCGGGTTTATTGAGCATAATAACATCATTGGTAAAAGTGTTAGAGATGTTGTAAGGACACACAATGGTATTTATCCTAATCTACTACCAGGAGTGTAGGACACAGTTCAGAATGTTAATCACCAATTTTTATAGCTCGTGGCGACTTCCGAATAACCCAGCCTACACTTGAAGAATATGTTTCCCTAACTCGACGGCTCGTTACACCGGTAAAACCACCCCCGGGAACAGAGAATAACATTTGTCTGTTCTGAGGTTATATATAACTGATTAATTGCTGCTAGTAGGTGTATGCAGCAGATGCAAGCCTCATAGTTTCGCTCTTAGACATCCACACATCACCTCCAAAGAGTGATGAACAGCATGGTGAACCGCTGGAGATTCTTGAAGCCGGTACAGGCCATGGATCTCTGACATTACACCTTGCAAGAGCTATAAATGGAGCGAATACACGCCCTCCACCCATTCCACAAGCCACCCAACGAACAATCCTCAATGCGCAGGATCGCACTCCTAACACAACCGAAAGCACCGAGGAGGAGAACGCTAAACAGAAAGATTGGGATGCATGGAGAGCTAAGCGCAATGCCATTCTTCACACCGTTGAAATATCACCCAAGGTTTCATCGCACGCTGAAAAGGTTGTACGCGGGTTCAGAAGAGGCATTTACACTGGGAGCGTGGATTTCTACGTATCCAGTGCAGAGAACTGGATTCAGCACCAAATTGAAACCCGAAGCTCGAAACTTCCGCCCCATGAGAAGCTAAAGCCGTTTTTGTCCTATGCCCTACTAGATATGCCATCGGCAGAGAAGCGCATTCCGGAAGTTGCGCGCGTTCTTAAAACAGATGGCGTACTAGCTGTTTTTGTGCCGAGTATCACCCAGATAGGCGATTGCGTTCAGTTGATTCGGGATCAGAATCTCCCATTTGTCTTCACAAAGGCTGTGGAGCTGGGTATGGGGATTAGCGGTGGGAGGCTATGGGATGTTCGCTCAGCCGTTATTAGGGCCAGCATGAAATCTCAGGGTGAGACCGAAGCTTCATCGAGCGAGGCTGAGAATGATCTGATAGAGACTTCGCTTGACGAGTGCCAACCTCACCCTGTAAGTGAAGACGGCACCAGCACACACTTAAAGGGGGGTAGTGGGCAAGAAAACCAGTCCGTGAAGCATGTAATGGTTTGCCGGCCCAAAGTTGGCGAAAGGATAGTGGGCGGTGGATTCGTTGGCATATGGAGAATGGGGAGGGTTTAGCAGGTTTTTGCATATATATACTGTACTATTATTAGGTGTATTACTAGTGATGATTGTATCTATAGAGCTTGATGAGTTAAAAGAAGGTCAAGAATAAGTTTGGAAGAATAACACGTTTCTATTTTTGGGATAAATCAAATTAAGCTTAACTGAAAAAGTTAATCTTATCAGATAAAAACTTTCACCTTGTCATCACTGCGTAAATAAAAAAGTTCAATTAGATCGAGTTCAGTTGTTATTCCCCGAATATATAGTGGCTTTTATAAATTAATAACAGGTAATATATGTACATCTATAAAAAACGCCAGCGGTATTGATGTAGATGAGGTGTCGCCCGAGAAATAAATATATGTAGGGTCTATTAACGGTCTGCCAGCTCCTAAAAAGTAACAGCAGGATCGCCAGTCGGCTGAAGGGTATCAGAAGATTTCAATACCGCCTGGAACAAATTGAAAAGTACAACAGTGGCAAACACGACATCACGCTGCCTTATTATTTCTGTCATTCTTTGCGTCATTCTCCATTTGCAACCTTTCCTTCCTTGCTCGTTCCTGAACATCAAGCCCTGTCTTGGTAACTTCATGTTCCTTGTTAAGTTTCTTCTTTTGCAGAAGCAAGCTAACGAGGAAACCGAGGGCGGCGAGGGCTGTATAGAATATCCACATGGTACGGAAACTTCTGGTATAAGCGTCAAGAACCGGGGACTTTTCATCTGGTGGAAGAGACTGGATGATGTGAACCGATGCGCCTGCCGAGACTCCATGCAATGACTCCAAGGTCTCTGGGCTTAAGACATCTTGAATCTTTAGAATGTTTTCCTGAAGTTGGTTCTGGATAATGACACCACCTATTACCACGGAGATGCTACTCGCGAGATTTCTGCAGAAGGCAATGGAGGCTGTAGCTGTGGCAATATCGCTGGGGTTTATATGGCTCTGGAGAGCGATAATTGGGGCCTGAAAGTTAGGACCGATACCCATTCCAGCCACTAATTGGTAGAGGATAATCTTCACTAATGACCTATGAGATGGCAGGTCAATATATAGTCCAGTTCCAATGACTAGAATTGTCGTTCCGAACCAAATTGGTGGACGATATAGGCCGGTTTTGCGAATGAAGATACCCGTAACGGCAGAGACGATGGAGACTGCTATCACGTTAGGAAAGAGGAGTATGCCGGACTTTAACGGTGTCTCTCCGAGAACGGCTTGGAAGTATAGCGGTAGGAAGAAGCTTCCACTGGTATAGATGGCTCCGTGTATGAGAACAGTCCCGTATGAGGCGAGAGTCGACCTCTGGGTAAAGAGCCACAGTGGCATGACAGGGAAGCGGGAAACCTTCCACTGAATAAGAATAAAGATGCCCCATGTCACTATCCCGAAGACTATAAGGCATATGACTGTAGGAGAAGACCAGGGATAAGACTCTCCGCCGTACTCGAGGCCGATGAGAAACATCACGGTACCGCCAACGACGGCGAGAGAGCCAAGCCAGTCAATGGCACGGAGACCAGCTAGTAATGGGGTGGTGGGCGTGTGGAGCTCAAGGAAGAAGAATATGATCAGAAAAGCAACTCCGTCAATGGGTACTAATTTTTATCGTCAACACCAACGGCACATCTGTCAGGCTGGAGACAACGTAAGAACTCACGATTGATATAAAAGCACCAGCGCCAGGTGGTATACTGCGTCATGAGGCCGCCGATGACAGGCCCAATGATGCCAGACACAGCCCAGACTATGCCAATGATACCAAAATACAGGCTTCGAGTTCTGCGCGGAGCATAAGTCTCTTTACACATCGCAAAACCAAACAATTAAAGAGGAAGAAAGGATGGCGACGAACCTCATGCTGAAGAGATCACTCACACAGATATTCACGAGAGTAAGAAGGCCTCCGCCTCCTACTCCTTGAATTACACGGCTGCCGATCAACATCTTGATGTTAATACTCACGCCGCAGAGCAGTGAACCGATCAAGAAGACAACATTTGCAGCTAGCAGAACAGGCTTGCGGCCGAATATGTCGCTGACCTTCCCCCATGATGGAGTCGACGCTGGGGATAACAAGTCAATATCAAAAAAGGACAAAGACGAGTGTCATGAATATCACACATACAGGCTGCTCCAAGGAGGTATGCAGAGCCGACCCAGGCATAATCAGCCTGCGAGGTGTTAAACTCTCTCGCTATGGTTGGTAGCGCAGTTGTGACGATCGTCTATGGGCGTTTCGATTCAGCCAAAGAAAAGCTTGCCAAAAGGTACGAAGGGAAGAAAGAAGCCTTACTATGTCCAGAGCCGCAAGGAGGGTGGCTAACTATAAAATATACCAGTCAATGAGCATGAGCATGAGGATGACTTCTATACTGAGGACGGAAAAAATGGACCAACGACTCACACAGAGAGCAAGCATGATGAGAGAGACTTTGCTCTTCGACATCTTCGGCTCGGTCGAGACGGCTGGGTCTTCATCTTTTCTTCGATCGTGGTCTTCTTGTTCTTCTTGTCCGTCTCGCCTCTCGTCTGAAGGTGCCGTATTATTATTATCATTCTCTGAGCTAACGCCCACTGCCTCCCTCTCGTCGCTGATATGCATCTTGGGCTCCTCCGTCCTAGCTGAATAATCCGTGCTCCCGTCAAGAGAAGACGAGGACGCTTTCACCCCCGTCGCTGCTTCATCGCGGCTCGTTTCCTGTCCGGCCACCGTCACTGCAGAGTCCTTCAAGCCTGCCATGAGGACGTATATCTTTCGCCGCCACCTCTCTCTCTACAGAGTAACTAAAAGAGATGAAAGAAGAGGAAGAAAAGAAAGAGAGAAAGAAGCCGGGATTCTCCATTCGATGAATCATCCCAATCTTGCCTCTCTTACTCCGTATACACACACGCATCGTCGCTTTATATCTTTTTCTTTTTTTTTACCTTTAAAATGCCGATAAATCCGATCCATGGGAGAGTGGAAACGCGAACCCGAGGGCCAGCAGTGGGTTTGGTGAAGAGTGGCACCGTCGAGATCCCTGGCTTTGCTCTTGGAACCTTGGGCGGAGCCAGGGAGAAGCAGACACCAACGGCTCCGACACCCCTGGCCCTAGTCTATACGGGATGTGGTGGATGAAAAAAAAAAGGGGGCCTCTCGGTGAGATGATACGGCAAGTTCTTGTTCATGCGAAGAGTTGTTTGGCTGGTCTACGCCCGTAATATATCGAAGCATCTGGCTCAGAGACAAGGGTTGGCCCCGTATATGTACATATTATGTATGTATATCATACTTAGACTCACATCCACAGATCATATGCTACATAGTATGTATAAGGTCCAGATAGTCAACTTTGACATCCACATTGCGTCAGAGATAAATATGTATCTCGAACATGGCATGCTACGTGTCACCGGAGCTGAGTTTTATCTATCAAGCCGCATAAGAAGGCAGTGAAACATCGAAAAGTCATATCATTCCTTTATTGTCTTTTCCCCTTCGCCTTCAAACCCCGAGGAGCAAGGCTTGTTATATAAAAGGAGCTGTATCCGTTTGCTTCTTTACATTTCCATTCCACACCGTTGGCCTGGCCCAATTCCCATTTCCACAACCTTCACCAGAACACCAATGTCTGCAAGATACGAGGCAGATCCAGAGAGATTCATGAGATAAAACAAGAGAAGGAAAAATAAGAGAAGAAAGAGAGATAGGTAGGGGTAGAATAGAAAGATAAAGGCCATCCAATCTTTGACTTTGATGGAACAACAGACCAGCTATGGAGGTTGGCGAAGACGAAGGGAAGAAGAAAGAGGAGTAATGAAAACAAAGCGATGAAGAGTGAACATAGAAAAGGTACAACGATATCACCGCGCCGTGTTCAAGAGAGGACGAAGAAACAATGATTTCCAAGAGCAGGACCCGAGGAAGGAATAATGCGTGACGACATGAGCAAAAAAAAGAAACAAGAAATAAAAGAATACACAATGCAAGAAAAACGAGGGGATAAGAATTGATACAGAGGGAGGCAACAGAAGAGAGAGAGGGAGAAAGGGGAACAAACGACTGCGCGGCAGATATTCCGAAATAGAGTATGATAAGATGATAAAAAAAAAAAAAAAAGGAAAAGGAGTAAGAAGGAAAAAAAAGACAAGGCCAAACGACTTAAGCACCCTATAGCTCCATCCGTTGAAAAGATATAGCTTTGCACAACCCTCCCCCCTTCCAAAAAAAAAAGAAAGAAAAAAAGAAACAAGAAAAAAGAACCAACTCAGGCCTCCCTCTCGTTGCTCTCTCTATGCGCGAGATCGATCCTTATCCCGCTCTCGTTGCGGCCCAAAGTCAACCTCCACCACTTTCCCCTTCTTACCCTTGACCGAAAACTCCGCCATCAACGCCAGATGATCGCTAGGGAAATGATAATTAGGAAAGCCCGGGACCCTCTGCAAGTACTCCTTATCCACTTCGCCTAATAAGCCGGTAACTTGTAGCAGATTGGATGAGTACCAGATATAATCAATGACATCGGTGAAGCCTGGTGTGTAGTTTGTGAACGAGAGCTCACCAATGGCCGAGTATGCTGATTTCAAGGTGAACGGATGCGTCATGCCCTGGCGAGTGAGGTTGCCGTATAGGCGGTTCTGGAGATCGGGGTGGTCTTCTTCCAGACGGCCGTGGGCGAGAAGGTTGTAGACGGCAGAGGAAGGGCGGGAGTTAAAGTCGCCGCATACCAGGGTCGGGATCTGGGAAGCGCTGCTGTATTCGACGGAGGGAGACGGCTCAACCGGGGTTGGTGGGCTGGTGTTTTCATTACCCGTCTCATCCTCTGGCTCAGAGAACCGGAACGCCGTCTTATCTGTGCATGGGGGGATTTTGATGAACTTCTCGGCCAGCTGCGTCACCTCCTCCATCATGATGGCGGATTGGACGAGCTTGACGTCTTTGTATGCCGGGTCCCAGTAGATGTGCGCGTTGACTACGATGATTCGCTCCCCAGACATGCGGTTCTCGAGGTAGACTACAACGGCGATGTTGTCCTTTTGCCATAGCCGGTTGTAGATGTCGTCCTGTCCCTTGGCGTCTGGTCGTCGAACTGCAGTTTGACCAAAGTGGATCATGGCCTTCTCAAGCAGGATGTATTTGCTTCCCTTGAAGAAAGTGGCACATCCATCGACGACCTTGGCTTCTTCCTCGCTCATGCCCTGTGCACGACCCTTGGGCCAGTATACACCCTTGTAGTCGTTGTATGCTAGCTGTTCTCGGAAGAAGCCATGGTAGCTGCCTTGGTCGACTTCCTGCAGACACACTATATCAGCGTCCTGGCCCCGTATTTCGCTAAGTAAGAGATCGCGACGTAGCTCCCAGGCCAGTGCTCTGGACGGCGCGTATCCGTACTGCTGGTGAGTAGCATATTTGTCGCAAAGAGTGTTGTATGTAAGCACGGTAAACTTGTCGTGGGGGTTCTTTGACGAGCCGCGGCCGCTTTCATCCAAAACAACCCAATCTCGATCAGACGGCGGCATTGGAACTAGATGGCGGTTAGTAAAACGGCGACCTCTGTTTAATAAGGGAGAAGTAACCATACCTGGAGTCTCTTCCTTGAGATACTTGATAAGCGCTTTCGTCCCTTCCTGCATGATGCGGGATTTCAGTACATCATTCAACGGGTTCCCCTCTATACCGAGAGTCTCTAGTTCGCAGAGGTAGCCCATCTCATAGGGAAGAGTTTGAAGGTTGTTATCGAAAAGCAGGAACCTCTTCAGATTGGTGAGCATGCCAATCTCTTCTGGGATCTCCGTGAGCTCGTTGCTGGACACGTCGAGATGGGTGAGGTTCTTGAGTTGGCCGATCTTGCGGGGAAGGGTTTTGAGCTTGTTGTGGTTGAGGTAGAGTTTATCGAGGAAAGCATAGTGGAAGAGACCGTTGGAGAGAGCGCGAAGGCCCTGGCCACCGAAATCAATTGCCATCCAATCCTGTCTGCGAGTTTCCTTTACGGCAACGGCACGGTTACGCTCCTCGGTGCCGCTTTCGTTTGAATCGTTCTGGTGGGAGGATAGCTGGATGCCCTTGGTCTGCTGAGCTACTGATCTGGCGTAGTAGTGCGGAGAATTGGCCTGTCTAGACTCTGCAGCCAGCTGTAGCTGCTGCTGCCAGTGCTCGTTCATGGGCTCGTCAACTTCGTCTTCGATATTGGCGGAGGAACCATTCTGCATATGTGAGGGGGTAAAGTGTTGAGCAGCAGCGTTGGAAAGAGTACCGGTGGAGTAGCTATGTTGCTGGTGGGAGAGGGCCGGGTTGGATTGCGAGTGCGGAGCATGGTGTTGTTGCTGTTGCTGAGGTTGCTGTTGAGGGTGCTGTGGGTGTTGGCCGGGATGCTGAAACTTCTGCATGGGCATGCCAAACCTCTGATGGCCTTGGGCCCCGTTCAGCATGACCGGCTGGCCCTGGTGGCCCTGAGAATACATGCTGAACGAGTTGATCCCGGGAGACTGATTGAGTGGAGGAGAGCGCGAGGGGGGGGGCGTGTCCGGATTGAACTTTAGTCTACCAGTGGGCGAGCTGGTCCCGTTTCTTACAAGGTGACGTTGATGTGCGTGATGATGGTGGGAGTGCTGTTGCTGATTCTGTTGTTGCTGGGACTGTTGCTGTTGAGTCTGCTGCTGGTGTTGCGTCTGATTCTGAAAGTAAAACTGCCCGGCCCCAGGCTGGAACCGGTAGGTACCATCTGCCATTTAACGAGGCAGATGAGACCGGAAAAGTATTCTATTGGATAACGAGTGGCGTAGCAGGTGTTGAGGAAGAGACACGACTGGCGACGGAGTTGGTGTGGAGGGAGTTCGAGCTTGCGGTCTTCGTCTCGTCAACATCAGGGCCCGGAGAGCGGAACCTCCACTGGAAGAAAGAAGCTTGCGGCCAACCGTCAAACCACTTCTTTTTCGCTCGACCGTCTTATGCGCTGGCTTTATCTTCCTTCTCCTGTTCCCCTCCCTACAAAGGCGAATCTTAACGGTCGAGTAGTTCTTGTTGTCTTCACCGAGGGCCTCCCAAGGAAGTCCGAAGGCACAGCCGCAGCAAGAAGCAGGGAGCAGTTTTTTAAGGCTTGAAAGATGGTCAGAGAGTAGTTCACAGGAGGGGGAGAAGTCTTCCACGGCTTACATGGAGCTATAGCGGCCTGGTAGCGACCTGATGGCACAGCGCAGATGTCTTCTCTTGTCTTTTCTAGTCTTATTCTTGTCCGTCTTTTTTTGCTGTTCGACTATTTGGTGCTTTTGGTTGTGTTTTTTTTGGCCTTGAAAAGGTCGAAGTGGGAGTAAGTCACGTGAAGTCACATGAGAAGATGAAGGAGATGAAGGGGATGAAGATGATATATGATTATAAGGGAGATGGTAGAGGGAGAGAGGATGTATATATATACAAAGAAGTGAATCATGTATAAAAGGTGTAGATGGTGCAAGAAGAGTCTCTTGGTGGCGAGGTATTCACTCTATAGCAAGCCACCTAGCAAGTTCTGCTTCTATCAGTAGATGTTCTAGTAGAGCGTAGTTAGATATGGATTACATGTAGATAGATGACCGCCTGCTGTCTATGTATGACTATGATGTATGTCTGTATAGGTAGAGTCAAATGTTTGGGCCAAACTCGAAGTCACCGTCCACCACTATCAGATGGACCACGAGAGATATGATATCTACTGGACACTGATATCTAGATAGTACAAACTAGTAGGATCTCCAGTCACACAGAAGAGGAATATTCCAGACTCGCTGTAAGTCTCCATCTGTCCTTTTATATATACTCACACAGTAAGTTGTCAACTAACTAGTGAACTGAGTCTGCATCTCACTAACACTTGACTAGGGCGCCCACGCCTCGAAAGCAAGTTATACGACTGGGGAACAGGCAAGAGAAGGCCGTCAGGAGCGCGCCTAGCAGAAGCCTTCATGCGGTTAGTCACCGTATCTCTGGATGTACACACATAGTATATGCGTATATATATATTGATAGAGATACTCTCCCGGATGGAGGTGTAGAGACTCTACTTTTATCCCCTTAACCGATAACTACTCTCTATCTTGACAGATACATCACAGGGCGACATCTTCGTCTGCGTCTTTCCTGTCTCATCTCCGTCTCCCCCCGCTGTCCTCTCCTCCTGGCTGGTCCTCCAGGGAAAACATCCGAACCCCTGAGACCCGGCAGTTTACCCAGAACGGGAGCGAAAACGAGCGCAACAAGAGCAGCGAGGAAAAAAAAAGGCTGACCCGCAAGAAGAAGAGGGAAGAAGAGAAACGGCTGATAGATTATCATAGCCTTGGACTAGAACTTCCGTCGGGGAACGGGAAGACCAGACATTTTCACTCTTCACCCCTTTTTAAGCCTGGGCTTTTTTTTTTCCTTTACGCCTATTTTTTTTTTTTTGCCCTTACAATGGCTGTTCCCCCAGCGGGAGGCGGCTCGAACAACAACTTCACCACCACAGCAAACACCACCTGCAACAACAGCAGCAGCAGCAACAGCAACAGCAACAATAACGAGATAAAGCACTACAACTATAACCATCACTACCAGTACACTCCGCCCACTCTTGTATCGGCCGTCGATTTCAAACATGTCTTCCTCCCTCACGCACCAATGATGTCGATACCTGCCATAGATCCTGTCCCTGCTGGTGGCGGCCCATCTCCCTCTACCTCTCTCAACACGGATTACACGACATACCCGCTGGGCAAACAGAATGGACGGACCTACCTTCGCGACCCGGACAGCACCTACCCGCTGCCCTGCGACGTGCCCGAGATCCACCGCCAGTCGCTGCATTCGCTCATCGTCATGACCGTCTGGGGTGGACCCTTTTGCTCGCCCACGACGGCAGATAACCCGCCCAAGAAGGTGCTGGAACTGGGCTGTGGCTGTGGCCTGTGGACCAGTGCCTGCCACGAGTATTTTGCCAACCGCGGACAGGCAGATATATCCTTTACGGGACTGGATATCATCAGTCTGGCACCGGACTTACAGCACAAACAAGGGGTGGACTGGCAGTTCAAGAAGCATGATTTACGGAAAAGCACGCTGCCCTTTGCAGACGAGAGCTTTGATTTTGTTTTCATCAAGGATGTTTCCCTCTGTGGGCCCATGTCGGATCTAAAGGCGGATGGGACGCTGTCTGAACCGCTGCGGGTGCTCAAGTCAGGAGGTGTGCTGGAGATCTGGGATTCAGACATGGTCTACAGGACGCTGCTGCCCAATCCGCCCGTCGCCCCCGGCAAGCTGTCGGAGGAGTACCAGGAACAGGCTGAGATTACCGGCACATACACCATCTCTTCCGCAACGCCCTTCACAAACGCCCAGAACAAATACCTAAACGACTACAACACATGGATACAAAAGGCCTTTGATGCGCGCAGACTCAACACCATGCCCTGCGCCACCATCGGCCTCGCCTTCTCATCGGAAGCAGACTCGTTTCAGAGTTCAGGCAGCCGGCGGGTCGCCATTCCGCTTGGAGAGGTCAAGTGGGAGCAAAAGCAAAATGGCAGACCGCTGACGGCAGACCAGATGGCCCTGCGTCAGACTACACTGCTCACTGTCGTGCAGCTGATCGAAAGCATGGAGCCGCTGCTGATGGAGGCCAGCGGCAAGGGCCAGGCAGAGTGGGATCGATGGTGGACCGGCATGACCACTGACCTGATGCAGAAGGGAGGCGTCGCTAGCGGCGAGTGTCTTGAGGTCGGAGCCTGGTGGGGACGAAAGAAATAAAAAAAAATTCACAACACCTATTTTGGCCTCTTCAGTTGCTCGGCGTCTGGTAACGCTTCTTCAGCGTCCGGTACCGTTTCAGGTAGTATCTGTAGGAAAAACAAATGGAATTTCCCCCCCAAGGTTAGCAACGGCGGCACTGTTTTGTTTTTAGCATCACCTCGAACACATGGGTAAAAATATGAACTATGAACGGGGTGGAAAACACATGGGATGGGGGTATATGGAACAACCAAAAAAAAAAAAAAAAAAAAAAAGCTGAGGTTCAAAGGGTGTACATCACGAATAGACGCCAGGAGTGGTTTTCTTTTTCTTTTCCGGGGGGTGAATAGGAGTACATTTGGCAAGGTGGGAGGTTGCGTGTTATTTAACGACCTTGGGAGTATATACGGAGTATATAATTTGCCAGATATTCTTCACGTACAATGCTTCGATTTCTGTCATACTGTCAGGATCTGGAGGGTAGATTAATGACAATCAGAGTCTGACTTACCTTTCTTCACAAACTTGGCTCTCTCTATTCCTTTTCTGATCTCGGCCTCGTCCGTGATGCTCGCCTGGCTGGCAAAAGCGTGGTGCAGTCGTTCTCGGAAATATGAGTATCCAAGAGGATAGTCTCGACCGAGAAAGAGAAGCTCTATCCATGGTTCAATTCACCTCTTGTCAGTCCATCTGGAGGCTGTACTCTCGGTCTATCAACCGCTCATCCTACCTTTATAGATCTTCACCACCTGGTGTCTCAACGGGCTCATCCTGCCGAATGACTCTAGTATGACTATAGCCCTTTCAATGGCTGTCGTCAAAGTAAACGTCTGCTAGCGGCCGTTGCACCAGCCTGTTGCCACTATCCTGGTGTCTTCAACTTGGCCTTCTTGTTCTTTCGTCTGTCGTTGTCGTTCTTCCAACTTCGTCAACTTCAACGCCAACTGCCGCCCGGCAGGTCACGTGGACATCATCGGCCTTCGGCTTTAACGGCCGGTAAAACCAAAACAAGATATAAAGTCCAGAAGGCCAGAGGGGAATTTGATAGCTTGTGACAAGTTACAGAACACGTAGAGAGCAAGAAAACGACATGTCTTCACCGACGAACCTGGCGAGAAGGACGCTTCTGTCCCGCAAGGCTCTCAACCCGTCGTCTGTCTACACTATATCCGGCATCTCTTCGTCCAGCCGATGCCTCCATGGTATCCCTGTTTTATCCCGAGGATCTCACTCCCATGCCTCCCTGGGCAAGGCGTCTAATACCCGGTTCGACCCCAGGTGGCTGTCAAGGATAAAAACGCGGATTGGTAAATGTATTGCCTTTGGAATGAAGCAGGTACTGGTGCCTGTTGCCGGAGGGGTGCTGGAGGAGATAGCGCAGGACTGGAGAGAGCTGGTTGCAGGTAGCGAGGGATTCTTGACTGGGGAGAAGTACTGCGGTCTCCATAAGCATAATGTCGTATGGGGAGAGATGGTATAGTACTTCCTTTCCCCTTCTTCTTTGATACTGAAGTATGGATAGCTGATTGTAAGGTAACCTCTAGGATTCCATGGTAAGATACCTGTTCCTTCCTTTCGATGTTTTTGGAACATCCGAAGTGTGCATGCATTCTAATACTTGCATGATATGATATAATTCTATCTTCCTTTACTTTTTGATCTATACATATGGCTGAACTTTTCCCTAAAATATGTTCATCGGGAAATAGGGTATGTTATGAATGCAGAGCAAAGAATCACCAACAAACGTACAAAGCTAACATCTACAAAAACAGGCCATGTAAACAACGTCATGTACGTCCGATATGCAGAAACAGGCCGAATAAACTGGTCTCGCAACATCGCTCTCTACCACGATCCTGAAAACAGCGAACGATGGTCCCAGCTCGGCGGCTCAACGAGCATCGGCTACATATTGAAAAGTATCAAAGTGGACTTCAAATTTGTTAGTCTACCGCGTTCATCATATCATCTTACATCTACTAACATGCATTACCTAGCCCATGATGTTCCCCGACCAGATATGCGTATATCACAAACTAGCAAATGAACCACCCCTCCCAGGGGATCCGAACCCAGCGCCTTTTTCCAACTTACATCTCGACGTGATGATTCTGTCGGAAGCTAAGCAGAGACCTGCTGCTCGCTGCGAGGAGGATGTGGTGTTATATGACTACCGGATTGCAAAGAAGCTGACTTCGTTGCCTTCCTGGATGCTGGTGCAGTACAGGAAGCTGTGGGAAGCGCAGGAGATGGCGAAGAAGGAGAATAGAGCCAAGGTGCAGGATATTGAGAGGAGGGTGAGGGAGTTGGAGGTGGGTACGTGGGATAGAGAGGGCGCTGTTGAGAGTATGGGCTCCGCTGCTAGCAGTTAAGTTGTTATATAGATCTAGATATCTCGTTCGTCACAGTTGGATGTTGTCTATTTTAGAAAGTACATAGAACAGTACTAGCGCTCGATATACCTTTACAAATGCACAAATCTAAAGTATTAACTTATTTATTATATAATTGGCAACTGCTCTATAACCTCACCCTGTTTTGGAGCTACATATAAAGCCTGGTTCCCATGAGCGCTATGAGCCAAAGCAGCCGGAGACGGAGACGGAGAAGCCCCCGTTCCGAACGGCAAAAACTGCCGCATCCCATTTGCTGGGTACCGATACGTCCCCATCCCACCGCCAGCGGCCATGACTGTCCGATCATCCTCGATAATTGCAGCTCGCTCGACGTACCAGGGTGTAATTGGAATGCCGGTCGGAGTAAGTAATTGCATATGAATTCGAAGGCTTTCGCGAATTTCGACTTCAATCTCGACTCCGGCGGTGGTTTCAGTTGCGATTTCTACGGGTATATTTTGCTCTATACCAGTATATGTGAGCGGGTTATAGTTCAATCTATATAGATCAGATCTGAATATATTTTGAATATTACTCGCTTGATCGCTTGCGATTTCGACATCAATGAAGAGGTTGGGGTCACCACCACATGCAGGAATTAGACGAAACCTCGCTGGTACCTAGTTGAAAGGTTAGCTTCACTTCTTTCTTCTGCTTTTCGGTAGAGGGGGGAGGGAGGTATGCATACCTTGGGTGCAAAGGCTCCTGGTAAGTAGCTGCTGTATATAGCTGACTGGGCCATTTGCATTTGGGCTTGGTGTTCGCGTTCTGCTAGGTCCTGAGCATTGGTAGAGGAGATGATGCGTTCGTGTTGAGCAGTTAGACGGTTAAGTCGGCTCTGGAGACGTTCTCTCTTCTGTATCGTAGATGCTAACTCCGCTTCAGAAGACGCAACGGCTCTGGCCATGTTGGATTTAGCAGTTTCTAGTTCCTGTTTGAGTGTCTTTAGCTTTGCGGTCTCGGCCTCAATTGCGGCCTTTCGAGTGCTCCATTCCTCCAGCTCGGCGCCCGGGCCCGGGGACTTTTCAAGGTTCTTAAGCTGCACTTCGATTGCGGCGGTTGCTTCTTCGGTTTGTCGGATGTTACGTTCAAGTTGAAGGGAGCGTTGCTTTTGGCGGCTCTCGTCTCCACCACTTTGTAGCCTGTGGGTCAAGCCGTCTAGTTCACGTTTGACTTTGGAAAGGTGAAGTTTATGGTTGTTTCTGGAGCGTTTGAGACGGGAACGGCGTTCGTTCAGTTTAGCTTCGGCATTAGCTATGGAGTTTTTGACAGTAGTGGATGGCGACGACGGCCGTAGAGATTGCTGTGGAGATAAAGCGACGGGGGGAGTAACGACTGTAGATCTGTTAATGAGAGGCTACTGGGTTGTATGAGTTGGCGGGTTTACCTTGATCTGTGACGTGAGCAGAGGGCGTCTTCACGCTCACAACACAAACTTCCTCGTTCGTATCGACACACACAAAGCTACATGTATATGTACAATCTGGCGCCAACCCAGAAATCTCACCTCTCCAGTGGACAAGCGCGGGTTCCTTGGAAGTATCCGAAACCTTAGAAAGCGTGACAGGAGCCCAATGCGCGCCGTTGACGCGGACATAAAACGGTCCGGCAGCGCCATACGCAGCACCTTCATTGACAGCGTCCTCACTGATGGAGAAGTCGTTTGCGGCAAACTCAATGCTCGAGGTATCCACGCCAGTAATCCAAATAAATGCATTATCGGGTGAGACGCCATCCAGATCATTTTCCGAAGTCGGGACATTGGGGGAGTACCAGTTACCATTCCGGGATCGTTCGTATTCTCGGGTGACAGTAAACTTTGTGCTGGCCAAAGCAGCCCAAAAAGGCTGTATCCTTCTCGCCTCGTTCGCTTGACGGCGTCTCTTCTTGGCAGTGGACACCCGTTCCCGTGTATCTTTTAAGCTAGAGCCTGATTGTGCGGGTTCAGATGAGATGCCAGAGGACAAGGCGGTAGATGGTTCCATTGATGAGATATCGGGTAAGGCTGGGGTTCCAGCAGAGGCATCCGTTGCCGACCGTTCACTGCTTTTGGCTCGAGGGGAAGACCTATTTTTGGCCATTGACCGTCGCGCCATAGCTGTTCCAGCCTGGGCCAAGATGTGCACTGCAAGAAGGCTTCCTATCCAGCTTGGGGGCGAAGAATTGTCCTGACGCCGGAACTCTGCGGGTATCAAATAGGAGTACTTTGCTACCGTTTCCGGAGAGAGAAGCTTTGCTGAAAACAAGTGACCTAATAGAAACGTCTGTATTCCTTCACTCCGTAGCAGGTGTACGATAAGGACCACGGAGACACAGAAGGTGTTGACGCCTCCAGTGTCCCCCGAACTGCCGGCACCCAGAGCAATAGCTACCTGGACATGTGCGAGGTCGATAGCAAAGTTCTTCGCCCAGTTCCACATAAACAGGCCCCACACAAGTAGACAGAAACCATCCATTGCGATCATTGTACTTAGCGAGGGTGTTCCGGCAGGTCCCTGGAAGATATCAAAGTTCGAGGTCAGGGTTCCGGTAGACACGCCGGCCGGTAGCATGAATGTCATGGAGGCGTAGAGAAATTGGACCAAGGTCAAGACGATGGGTGGCAGCTGTAGAAGGAGGATGAGAATGGCGATGGTATCGGAAGTAGGGCAGGCTTTGAGGATTGTCGAAGCAAGGACCAGCGGATTGACGCCCTTGCGGCCGGAATGGGCCTTTTTCACGGGTGGAACGACTCTGTCTGCTCGACGGGGGAAGGGTTCGTCACATCGATCTCCGGCCGGGACACCGTTGGCGGCCACGGACGAGTACATGGTGGCATGACCGTGAGCTTGAGGGTGGCCGTTCGGCATGGCAGCATCTCCTCCACCAACCAAGACGTGGCCGTTGCTTCCGTTGACCTGGGTAGTATTACTTCCACGTCCGTTAGTCTTCACACTGGCTGTACCATGCGTGCTCCCGATACCATGGCTGTTCGCCAGCTGTCCGTCTGCGTTTTGCGGAGTGGCCCTGGCGGGAGAAATGGACGGAGTAGAGGAGGCTGCGGCCGCGGAGGGAGTGGTGGATGGTGCTGTCAAAGGTGTAGTAGCGGTGGAGTTGGTAGGAGTAGGAGTATTGGCGGCCTGCTGGTGGCCGTTCGGGAGGCCGTTCAGATGGCCATTAGACTTCTGTTTGGCGAGTTTCTTCCCTGGCAAGGCACGGCCTGACTCGCTGCGCTGTCCGTGATGATTCTTCCTCGCCATGGATCAATCTTCCGGGGGCGCCAGGTCCTGTCAAAAGGGCCCAAATCCACTTTGGCGAGGGTCAGCCAGAGTGAAATGGGCGGCGAGTTCCTTAGGTTGTCGAGGGGCGTAATTGGCAGACTGGTGAGCCTTAGAGGGTGCCGGCCATCCTTTTATAGCAACAACAAAAAGGAAGAAAATAAAACGAGAGTGAGAGAGAGTAAGAATCAGAGTAAAAGCAGCGGCAGAAGAGACGACAAGAAAAAAAGGCTGGCCCTGCGCTCGTTTCGGATTTCACAAGATGCTTTTTTCTCTTTGGCTCGGCGGCGCGCTTGAAGTGAAAAAAAAAAAAAAAGGTGACTGCTTACTAAGGACACGGGCCAATAGTGCATCCTTATTTGCTTAGTCACGCCAGCCGCAGACCTTATTTTGACTCAGATATAAAAGAGAAAGAAAGAAGATAACAAAGACTTTGGGAAGACTCTTTCACCGAGCAGCTTCTCCCCCTCTGCTGAGCTCTGCATAGCAAGTTATACCGTCGTGGCAGAGTGTGTGAGGGATGACACGGCCTGCAAGACTTCGCCCGCTTCACAAGGCAGGGAAGTAATTATCCGGTGCAAATCAGACGGATGCGCCGGACAGGGGCAAGCGCTTCTCTCTTACCCGCTTCTCTTCTCTCTCTCTTCATCTTCTATTGTCTTGTCTTTGTCTTGGCTTCGTCTTCTACTCTACCTACTCTTCCCCTTCTTCTCTACTTCTCTTCCTCTTCTCATCTTTTCTCCCCGCGATCCTTGAAGAAAAACTAGAAAAGCTTAGGCTCCTTGGCGGATCTGCGTCACGTGGATCCACTCGATCTTGTTAGGTAAGCTGAAGATACTCAACATAGCACAGACACTACAAGCATTATACATGAAAGCAGGGTAGAAGAATCGACAGCGAGGCCGTGGAAAAATACTCCGCAACCTACATAGTATGACTGTATGACAATGATTGTGATCTCGCCTGGAGGAGTCTACGATAATGCCGTTCGATTCGAGATGATGTGTCTGTCTTCTCTCCCCACAAAATGCCATCTCCTCGGGTTCAGAGGTCGGGACTGCTCACATTCGGAGGCAGGCCCAAGCACGCACTACTATGTATACACTGCATGTATGGAGTACACTATATATGCAATACGCTGCAAGTATATATATATGTAGTACGTATCTTCCGGGGGTTGAAAATATCCACCAGTCATGGAGAAAACTTGGAAGAAGAAACATGCGAGAGACTAACTGCCTTTTATGGCTTATGCATCCCGTTTCTTTTCGTCCGCCTCATTTAAGGACTGCGTATTAGTTGTTGAGTTTGGAGTACGAAGTGCATAAGATCTTCTGGATGGCACTTTGTGCTCTGTATGATCGAATGTGTGTACCGGTTCAAAGCGTAATGAGCAGGTGGCGAGCGGTGTAATAGGGGTTTAATTACGGAGTACTTTAGTATGTATAGGCACAGCCAACGGTCTCTCTCAGGGATGATGCTGGCATTAAGTTATGGAAACATGGAACGCCCCTTAACTTTACTCCTTTTTTTTTCTCGCCTCTGAACCTTTGCAAGGGGAGTAGCCGTGATGAAGTCATCCCGACGGCAGGTGGAAATGCCTTATAAGTATAGACCGTACATAATATATATAACCAACCCAGTTCTTTGAACGCCAGTCCAGTCCCAATTAACAAAGAGATAAGACACTAATATACAACGACGCCTTTTTACTTGGAGAGCGTAGGAGCAGGCGAGATAGTATCACCCATTCCCCAAAACCTGGTGTCTGCGTAGGAAAGACATAATTCTCTCGCCGAGTGTACGGCGTCACCCTTCACACCCTGGTCGGAAAAGACATTCATCACTGTGCCGAAGACGACCACATGGTCCCCGACTCGTGTGCTCTGTGGCAGGTACTGACACTCGAATATGAATGGGAAGTGGGACCGTTGCGCCTTCGGATCTTCCTCTTGCCCATTAATCACCAGACGGGGTGGCTCCCCGCTCTGGACAGATGGTAGTGCCTTGACATCACCAGGTGCAGTAAACCGAAAGAACGGTACGTCCTGCCTGTTCACTTTCAAGGCCACATTTTCATATCCCTTTGAAAACTCCAATGCTAGCCTCGCCATATTCTCACTTGGAGATAGCAGGTGGACGAGGAACCGTGAAGAAGAACATATAGCGTTGTATGTCTCCGATGGGGTTTTCACGTTAAACGATATCACCGGCGCTGGGTTAAGTGTCACAGTGTTGAACGAAGAGACGGTCATTCCTCTGAATGCTGCATTGGGTGGAGAATGGGGCTCTGTCGAAGTAACAATTGCAACAGGATGAGGTACCAGTCGCATCAACCGGCGGACTTGGGTCTGAATACTCGACTCGGCGTCAAGGTCCCTGTCGCTCTTTGTAGTCGAGACGTCATCTTCTAGTTCAATTGGTTTGGTCTCGTTGGCATTCGATATGCGTGAGCTGGCTGTATATCTGATCTCAGACTGTGCTGCGCCATAACGGTCGATGTCAGGTCGCTTCCGTAGGTTCGGTGGAAGAACTGGACTGAGGGTATCGGAGATGCTTTCAACATGTTTCGAGACAATCGCTCGTATTATACCGCCGTAGTATCTCCTGCATGGGAGGGTATGGAATGGAGGAGTTGAGCTCGCTCGTAGGGCGGTGTTATAGGTAGCTTGAAGTATTGGGAACCTCTGGCACCATGGCCGAGCAAGGGAGAGCATCTTCCCTTTTAACCAGCTGCAAGAATCGTGTCTCGGTATCCGCATGCATCGTTCAGCTAGTTGAGCATCTCTCCCTCAGGCTTCTCCGGGTATTTAAAATGCTCATCATTTCTTGTTATCGACACTGAAAAAAAAGCCATACAAGAAAAAAAAAGCTGACATAATCAAAATCTGTAGCTTCGATCTCACAACCAAATCTTCAACTGTGATCAAATTTTATTGAAAACCAACGCCAACAAGCCATAAACCACCCAATTGATAGGGCTCAGTCCCTCCAAACTTCAAACCCGATTCATACCGCCTGAATAACAATGTCTTTCCACGCGCCCGTTCTTCGAGCGGGTTCAAAAGCCGCCTCACCATCAACAACATTCATTTGCACTCAGTGCAGAAACGCAACCCTTCTCCGTCGTCCTAAACGGCCATACACATTCACACAACTCATTGCCCTCTCCGACGGAAGCACATTTACCCACCGCACCACATCTCCTCAAGCTGTTTACCGATCTACACGCGACACCCGAAATGCACTTCTATGGAACCCCAGCAGTGAGAAATTGCTAAACCGCGAAGACGACGAGGCCGGTCGATTAGCTGCATTCAGAAGCAGGTACGGACGAGGATGGGATTCAGCAACAAAGGACTCTGCGGAAGACGTGGAGGCAGCTGAGGCTATTGCAAAGGCCGAAACTGGGACTGTAGCCGCGAAGGCACCTGGGAAAGAGAAAATCGTGGAGTCTGAGTTTGAAGATGAGGATGAAGATAACTTGTTGGATTTAATTAGTTCGTTTGGACAGGAAGACTCTTCGTCTGGATCGAAGAAGAAGTAGAAGTGGCGGAGTTACAAGATGTGATATGCCCGTTTTTCTGTATTTTACCCCCTATGGCATAAGTCAGGGTGAGAAGGATATTGTACTATATTATACACATTGGGAGGGACAATTTTACGGTGTTTGACCCGATTGTACTAGAAGACTTCATTTGTCATTATCGGTATCTACGACGTAGCGGGTAGATGTACATTCAATGAATATCTATCATAGTATTTATAACAACTACGTCCCCGTTTGATGTAGTTTATTTAAATGAGTAGTGAATATGGTGAACTGGTATCCATTGATATGTAATTTGGTAACTTACCACCCGATACTCAAATGATTTCCCATAAAACTCCTGTACTGACCAAACCAGATATAAGCAGTAGTAGCTAGCGTTAGGCATGATTCATTTCCAGACATTGCTTTAAACAAGGTAGGTTCATCGTGAACAAGAAAAGGATACGATATTAAATGCTCCGTATGGATATGTCTTTTTAAAAAGAAATAAAGGAAAATGGTATAATATCAAGATCAGCACCCTAATTCAAGCAGTGGGGAAAATTGCTAATTGTCCTGTATCAAGTTATTTAGGCCTCTTCTTGGTCTCTAGATGTACTGGCAACAGAAGTGTTGCTTTCAGAGGGCTGGTGGCCATGCCCATTACCTTCATGGGTTGGAGCAGCTCCAGACTGCTGAGGGCTTGGGTCTTCATCCGCATCGAGTTGGAGAAGGAATGTTTCCCATAATTCAATAAGCTAAGTAGGCGAGTCAGTATCGAAATTACGAAGATGTTGGCGGATAAGTACGAACCTCTTTCTGCGCCTCGACGGCACTCTCTAGGAAGGTCTCCACTCCTGACTTGAAATCCTCAACCTTTTCCCTTTCGAATCTCTCCAGTTCATTCCGCATCACTCTACCCAAATCCTCGAATAGTAATCGTGACTGGTGAACTCTCTTCTCGGCGTCTGCAACCTCTGCGTGTGCTTGATTCAGTCTGTCCTGCTGCGTTTTGCCCTGTCTTAGTAGCTTATCGCGTGTATTCTTCTTCTTCTGCAAGTCAGACTCTGCTGCATGCCACGAATGATATGATTTTTGGCGCTGAGTGAATGCCATTTTGACACTTCCAATGAGCCTAATATATTCGTCCATGGTAATTCCAAGGGTCAGAACGTCCTGTTGAGCCTGGCGTTCGTACAGCTCGCGAATGCGAAGTTGGACTTCGGCAAGGCCATCGAGAGGGCCGGAAAGGGCTGGAGAGAGTTCAACGCTTGCAAGCGAGTGAAGTGATGTAGAAAAATCGCTGGCTGCTTCTGCAAGATTTTTTCGTTGGGCCACTACAGTGTCGACGGCCTTCAGGAGAGATTTCAATTGAGTCTCAAGGGCGTCTAGGTAGATTTTTCGATCATGAAACCACTGGCTGGAGTCAGTATCAAAATCAAGAGGCAAGGAGGGGATTTATTAGAACGTACATCATCGTGTTCTATAAACTTCCCACCGCCACCAACAGATATGCCAAGCGAACTGAACATGCCCTTACTCTGCCCGAGATCAGGTTCACGATTCTCCTTGTTTTTCACGTCCATGGTAAATGATTCACTCTCTAGGAAGATCTTGAGGTCCCCGTCGTGTTGCAGTGTAGGATGAGCACTGATTTTGTTAAGCATACGCTCCAACGCAGCTCTCCTAGACTCAACGAAATTGGTATCAAATCTTCCTACAGCCTGTTTCTCAGGGGGAGGTGGAACGACGATTCCCGGGTTGTTGGAGTGTAACGAGTTATAAAGCCATAAAAAGTCTCTGTACCGCCTAGTAACCGTAAATTCAGGCCTTATATATGCCTTTGAAGTTGTCTACGTAAGATTCCAGTTAGCTTCATGAATATGCCATGCGGATTGTGGGCCAGGGAGAGAGCCGTTACCTTCGTCCTAACTTGATAGACAATATGGCTACTGGTGATATCCCCAACTTTATGCGGATCCCCGACAGTGATATAGAATGACGGTTTAGCCGCCTGCTCAACGCTGATACTCTGGTTTTGGCGTTTTGCACCGGCATCTATGGTTGACGACGCGGGTGCCGGCTGTACTGGAGGAGGTCCTTTAGCTCGCGCTGAAGGGCCGTCTTCATCGAGATCAACAGATTCCATCAGCCCCTTCACGCCAGCTGCGCTGGACGTCTGCGACGCTGAAGAAGCAGGCCGAGCATTCCGAGATGTGAACGACTCCTTGCGCGGAGGCGCAGGTCGTTGGTCCTGCGGCTGGGCATCTGCAACGGGGAACGAAGCTGTCTCGCCTAGAGGACCAAGAGGGTCGAGGACGTCCCCTGCTGGCTCTAGTTTGACTACCTGCGCGCTGACCTTACGGGGGGTTCGGGGGCCTCGCGCAGTGGGTGGTGACTGAGGGACTGTCAATGAGGCAGAGGACTGCTGGGCGGTTGGCTGGGTCTCCTTTGCTAGGGATAGTCAGCAATGCGGATCAATTCATATATACACAGGTACATAATAAGGCCATACCTGGCTCTTTACCATCGTTGGGTTTGGAGTGGGAGGGAATATCTGTCAGTCAAACGAGTCAGTATGTTCAACATCAAAGGGTAAATGGAGGTTTTTATAGTCAAACATACCGCCCCATGGGGAGTCACTGCCCTCCAAATCCATGGCCAGCAGGCTGCTCTGAAGATTGTACTTGTGACGGTATGAGGAGTGAGATTGCAATATCGAAGGAGTAGCAGGACTGAGGATGTCAAGCTCTCGCCTCTTTTAAGATGGTTATTACAGAAAGCTGTTTGCCTAAAACATGACGAAAGTGGTGTAAGTATGGTAAAGTTACCGGTATCAGAATTACCACCTTGCTGCCCATAAATTACACGCCCTGGCAAACACTTTTTTGCATCTTTTGACAAGAACAGTGATATGTACTGTGGCTATTAATTGTAATTTTATGGAAATATGTACTTTAGTATTTGGGCCGTGTATATGTCTAGAGATTCAAAACCGTCTAATCCATCATCTACGCTGATTCATTGACCACCCAGGGTAGACTATGGGCGTGCATCTGAACAGCTAGCTGGAAGAGATAATCTAGACTCTCACACTGTGTTTTCGCTTTGGCAGGAGTATCACCCCAGACATATCTGTTTTAGTATATGTTAGTCCAACCCCGACTATGTGTCGTCTGGACAATGCGAAGAAAGTAGAGGCGACTTACATTCCATGTCTTCGGACAAGAACAGCATACGTATCTGGATATTCCTCCATAGCCTTCTCCAAGCTCTCAGTCAGGTCCTCTTCGAATGCAGTATTCTCGATAATTGGGATCTTGAGTGTGTCAAAGAAGCCCAGCATGCCTTTACCCTTGCCCCTGGGAATACCTTTGATCTGTTCGATGTTGCTGATTTCAAAGCAACCAGACTTGCCCTTCTCTCGCTCAACTAGTAGGGTCACCATCACGGCCCACTGGGAGTGTGTGTGAATACAACAGCCGGCACCGCGGTCAAAGGCAGCGAGGAAGAGGGGTGTACAGGCTGAAGGGTTCAGGGCAGAAGGCTTGCGGATGTATTTACGGGCCGAGGGAGGATATTTGGGGGTCGGATAGGAGAGAACGAAGATCTCATTGGGTTTGATAAGTTCCTTTTGTACGCCGGAGGGGGCAATGAAGATGTGTTCACCACGACGGATGGAAGTCTAGAGAGGGTTAGTTGGGAGGAGGATGTATCTCAGCTATGGGTAGTCTGCGTACTCCGCCACCTGTACCAGTTACCCATCCAAGGCTGTAGAACTTCCGGCATAGCTCCGGAATGAGGTTTGCTGGATGTTCAGGGTCGTCCGACTGAACAAGATGGTCATTGTTGTTCCCCTCCTGCGTCTGCTCTGGTTTGATATCTACCATGTTAGCTGGGTATACGCCGTTTATTGAGAGTAAAAAGCCAAGTAACAGCCTTTCTGGATCCAATTGAGTCACAATCGCCCTCTCTTTTCTCCTTTCCCTCCCTTCTCCTAGTTTATCTTGCCATCTTCTTAGACATAAAAATCGCAAGTGGGATGAATTTGCTGACTAATAAGGATGAAACTGTCGGATAAATTCCGGACCGCGCGGTAACGGCCCGCTATTTCCACTCACCAAAGTACCTCGCTTACACACACGCACCTCTCTCTCGGCTGTGGGGAGGCCGTGGAAGTACCGCGCATCCGGCAAGGAGTAAAGAGGCCACCTTTCAAGCGGCACGCCCGCCCTGGTTACATATTAGACTCAAAACCTCAACTTCGTGTTTCTTCTTCCCTTCTTCTTCTTCTCTTTATCTTGCTCATCGACCTGTTTGTTGCTGCTTTGCCTGGTTTTGCTTGCGTTACTCCCTCAAAACAAGTTGACAGAGTTGTTTTGTGCCTTTGAACGTAGCTCGAAGGACTGATCGCAATGCGTCTCAACGCCCAGCTCGCGTCGTTCTTGCTCTCGTCGATTGTGCTTGTTGGCTCTGCCCATGCTGCTGACGAAGAGCCAGTGGTAGAGGATAAGGCTGCCTCTAACATTGAGAGACCTAACTTTGTCGTACGTGACCGTTTCTTTTTTGAACTCATTTACTGCTTCTTGCTTATCCAGCTCATGCTAACATAACACAACAGCCCACAACTCTCAAAGCTCCATTCCTTGAACAGTTCACCGACAAATGGGATTCGCGGTGGTCTGTTTCCCATGCTAAGAAGGAGGACGCTAAGTCCGATGAAGAATGGGCCTATGTCGGTGAATGGGCGGTAGAGGAACCAACCGTCTTCAAAGGAATTGAAGGCGATAAGGGTCTAGTTGTCAAGAATCCTGCTGCCCACCATGCGATCTCTGCCAAGTTCCCAAAGAAGATTGACAACAAGGGCAAGACGCTCGTTGTTCAGTATGAGGTTAAGCTTCAGAGTATGTCACCTGCCCACTACTTGTTTGGAGCGATCAGCCTGCGCCAATACTAACATACGGTATATAGACTCATTGACCTGTGGAGGTGCATACATGAAGCTCCTACAAGAGAACAAGAAGCTTCATTCCGAAGAGTTCTCCAATGCCTCTCCGTACGTCATCATGTTCGGTCCTGATAGGTGTGGAGCCACCAACAAGGTATATGATCCAATTGAATACCATAACTATGCGAAAGTGGTCTAACTGTTCTTCAGGTTCACTTCATCTTCAAGCACAAGAATCCTAAGACCGGTGAATATGAGGAGAAGCACCTGAAGGCTCCTCCAGCCGTCAAGATTTCCAAGCTTACCAGCCTTTACACTCTCATTGTCAACCCAGATCAATCCTTCCAGATTCGCATTGACGGAGACGCTGTTAAGAACGGAACTCTCCTCGAGGACTTTGCTCCTCCAGTCAACCCCGAAAAGGAAATTGACGATGAAAAGGACACTAAGCCCGCCGACTGGGTTGATGAGGATAAGATTCCAGACCCTGAGGCCAAGAAGCCGGATGACTGGGACGAGGATGCTCCCTTTGAGATTGTCGACACTGAAGCTACCAAGCCAGCTGATTGGTTGGATGACGAGCCAACTACTATCGACGACCCTGAAGCTGTTAAGCCAGAGGATTGGGATGATGAGGAAGACGGTGACTGGATTGCCCCAACCATTCCGAACCCCAAGTGTGAGGAAGGCTCTGGATGCGGCAAGTGGGAGCCTCCAATGATCCGAAACCCAGCTTACAAGGGCAAATGGTCTGCTCCTCTGATCGATAACCCTGCGTACAAGGGAGTTTGGGCTCCAAGGAAGATTCCTAACCCCAACTACTTCGAGGACAAGACGCCTTCTAACTTCGAACCCATGGGCGCTGTAAGTTTACTTATTTCTGATGCGATGTTTCTGTCCTAAGCTAACGTTTCATGCGTAGATTGGCTTTGAAATCTGGACCATGCAAAACGACATTCTCTTTGATAACATCTACATCGGCCACTCCATCGAAGACGCGGAAAAACTCAAGGCCGAAACCTACGACATTAAGCGCCCTATCGAGGAGGCTGAGGAAGAAGCCAGCAAACCCAAGCTTAGCCCTCAAATCGATGATGATGAGCCCGTTTCATTCACCAAGGACCCAATTGGCTATATCCACGCCAAGATCAATCGCTTTATCACTCTCGCCCAGGATGACCCCATCGCAGCCCTCCAGGCCGTTCCTGAGGTTGGTGGTGCCATTGGTGCCATTCTCGCTTCGCTTCTCGTGATCATCGGCATGTTCGGCATTTCTACCCCGGCTCCACCCGCCAAGGATGCCGGCAAAGCGGCCGAAAAGACCGACAAGGAAAAGACCACTGAGGCTGTTGCGTCTGGAGCTGATAGCGGCAAGGGAGATGCAAAGAAACGTGCTGCTAAGTCGAGTTAAATCGAAGCCCAAAATATTGCGACGGAAGGGCCAAACACAAAATTAATGTCAACTCTTACCTACATATACCTACATACTCACAAAAACCCAACGCCCGCCAGCCCGTCGGCGGCGGCTCATATCAAGGGACACCACACGCCTAGAGAAAAAGAATGAATTTCCTCCTTTTACGTCTCTTTTTTTCCCTTTTTCTTTTCCTATTATCTTACTCTCTCATACTGTTATGCAGCTGGCGTCTTGCACCCTTTATCATTCCATTGTCATGGGGAATATGTTCATGGATATTGGACAAATCGGGTTATCCAGGTTTCCCTCTGCTGCTATTAAGGATGGAAGGGATGGCTGGATGGACGGGCTTCTTTTTCGCGTCTTCTAGAGAGACACATTCTATGTACCAGGCTGCGAGTTGATGCTGTGTAAAGTAAACAATCAAATATGAATCTATTTCTTCCTTCTCTCGACTTTATATATGCTTACCTAATACTTCCGTCCGGGTGTACGGCGGCGACGCTGATTGGCCCATAGAAGCCGGCGGAAAGCGCTTACCCGAGGGCGACTTTTAGAACTTGCTTTCTTATCCCAGCTTCATCTTTCATCTCTCTTCATCTTCATCTTCTTCTGAGGGCTTCGCGGTTTTGAGCAGAGACAGAAGACACGGAGAAGACGATACGGAAGAAATAGTGTACAGACAAGTTAGAATGGCCTCCAGAGCTGCCACCCGTTTGTCTGCGTTTCAGCGTCTCGCCGCTGCCTCTCCCCGCAGCACCTTTACCCGCTCTCTCACCACAGCTGCCCGTACCAGCAGCAGCACCTCCAGCAGCGCTTCCATGATGGCTTCGTCCAGGAACACCTCAGCTACAGCTATTCGCAGGCTGCACGCTATGGCTCAGCAACTCAAGCCTGCCGCTGCAGCAACCTCGACCACCTCCGCCGCCTCTACGGCCACCTCGTTCCCCCAGTCCCACGAACGCATCGCCTCCCCCATTGACACTGCAAACTTCATCGATAACGAATTCACTGCTTCTCGCGCTGAGACATGGATTGACTTGTTTGACCCAGCTACCAACAACCTCGTCACCCGTGTGCCTCAGAGCACTGAGGAAGAGATGAAGGCCGCCGTTGCCAGTGCCCAAGCTGCGTTCCCAGCCTGGAAGGCAACCAGCATAATGGCCAGACAGCAGATCATGTTCAAGTTCGTTAACCTGATTCGCGCCAATTGGGACCGTCTGGCAGCTAGCATCACCCTTGAGCAGGGCAAGACCTTTGCTGACGCCAAGGGAGATGTTCTCCGTGGCCTGCAGGTGGCTGAGACCGCTTGTGGAATCACCACCCAGATGACCGGTGAGGTCCTCGAGGTTGCCAAGGATATGGAGACCAGAAGCTACAGAGAACCATTGGGCGTCGTGTCTGCCATTTGCCCATTCAGTACGTTATATAGTTGATTTGCTACGTTAAGTGCCGTAAATTCTGCTTTCTAACGTTGTGGTTAGACTTCCCTGCGATGATTCCACTATGGTGCATTCCAATTGCTACCATGACAGGTAACACTCTCGTCATGAAACCATCCGAGCGTGATCCTGGTGCAGCCATGATCCTCGCTGAGCTTGCCAGGGAAGCCGGTTTCCCCAAGGGTGTTATCAACATCATCCATGGATCTGCTAAGACTGTTGACTTCATCCTCGATGCCCCCGAGATCAAGGCTATCAGCTTTGTCGGAAGCAACCGCGCTGGAGAGTACATCTTCACTCGTGGCTCTGCCAATGGCAAGCGTGTTCAGGCCAATCTAGGAGCTAAGAACCACTGCGCCGTCCTCCCCGACGCCAACAAGAACCATGCCCTGAACGCCATTGCCGGTGCCGCATTCGGTGCCGCAGGCCAGAGATGCATGGCTCTCAGCACCCTGGTCATGGTCGGCGAGACCAAAGAATGGCTTCCTGAGATCGCTGAGCGTGCTCGCGCTCTCAAGGTCGACGGCGGATTCGAGGAAGGTGCCGACCTAGGCCCAGTCATTAGCCCCGAGAGCAAGAAGAGGATTGAAGATATCATCGCCACTGCCGAGAAGGAGGGCGCTACTATTCTCCTTGACGGACGTGGCTACAAGCCCGAGAAGTACCCCAACGGTAACTGGGTTGGCCCAACCATCATCACTGGTGTCAAGCCACACATGACCTGCTATAAAGAGGAGATCTTCGGCCCCGTCCTTGTCTGCCTCGAGGTTGACACCCTCGATGAAGCTATTGACCTCATCAACGCCAATGAATATGGTAATGGTGCCGCTGTTTTCACCCGCTCCGGCCCAACTGCTACCAAGTTCCAGCGCCAGATCGAGGCTGGCCAGCTCGGTATCAATGTGTAAGTGAACCCTTATGATGGACTGCCAGTAAATACGTTAGCTAACTTTTCCCGCTACAGCCCCATCCCCGTCCCACTCCCAATGTTCAGCTTCACTGGAAACAAGAAGAGTATCGCTGGCGGCGGTGCAAACACCTTCTACGGCAAGCCTGGTCTTCAGTTCTACACCCAGCAGAAGACTGTCACCAGCTTGTGGAGAAGTGAGGATGCAATTAGCAACAAGGCAAGCGTTGTCATGCCCACCCAAAGTTAATCGCTTCCTGTACCTGTGTGGGGGGAAAAATAGAAAAACAAAAAAAAAGACATGATACACCGAGTCCTTCCTTCCCATGGCCTATTTTATGTTCGCGGATAACATATATTTCTTTACACCATAGATCGTTCCCCATTTCTAGTTCAGATATCCTCGATAGCGTACCAATTTGGCTCCCAGCCGCGTGGCGGAAATAAACAGCTTTGCTACAACATAACCAGAAAATATATAAGGTGGTAATTTGTGTCTTGATATTCTTGCGATTTAAAATGAGCGTTTGTTGACACGATTATGTTGTAAGCATGTTGAAGTGATATACCAAACTGTCCTCCATGTCTGTTGAAACAAGAAGAACTCAAAGAATCAAATAAAAATCTGCCAGTCTTCACCTTCAAATATTCAACATCCCCTTTAGTAGTCGTCTCCTCTGGAGATCACCTCCTTGCAGTTGGGCCTGAGCAGGACAGTCTATTTAGAGAATTAGTTAATCAGCTAGCATATTACACTGAACCCGCATCGTAGACTATACTCACATGCTCAAACTGTGCGACATAGGAGCCAGGGACATCAACAAGAGGCGCATAACATTCAACAATATCATTTGAAATGAGCGACCTCATGCCGAGATGGTAATTCTTCACTCCCATATGTTCAAGGTAACGTCTAGAGAAAACTAAGGTCCCGAAATTCTCACGGATAGTCTTCAGCAATGACTTGGCAGAGGCATGACGAAGACCCGTAGCGCTGACATGTTCGTTGAGCCCGTAGCCATAAACGCCCGCTTCATCTCTGGTATAGCCCTTCCCGGTACTTCCAAATGTTTCAATGGCAAAAACGTCCCCTTCTTCCATGCGTTGGGTAGTTTTGGACTTGACGAAGGGAACTTGTTTCTCACCATGGATCTTGTAGCGCAGGATGTTATGGCCAGAGAGGCTGCGAAGGGCTTTGACGGGTATAAGGTTTCCATTGATCTCAACTTCATAGCTCTCCATCACTTCTTGGATTTCTCCGCTAATATGATCGATTCGAGCATCAATTCCAGCTTCCTATAAATTATTTAGTATTTTGCATACATTACAGCAGGTTGTAGGGGTATACACATACCTTGAGTCCAGTATTGGTAGCTGCTCTGACGGCTGTAAGCAGATTATCGTATACAGGGTTAAATGCCACGGTAAACGCACTATCTACAATTCTTCCGTGGACATGGACTCCGAAATCTATTTTCAAGACATCATCATGCCCGAGTATAACCTCCTTAGTTCCGGGATTAGGGGTCCAGTGAGCAGCTACGTTGTTCAAGCAGAGTCCAGTCGGGAACGCCAGGCCGGCTTTGAGAGCGTCACCGGTCTCAATTCCTTGGTGGCCAGTAAGTGCCCTAACACCATCCTCAATCTCCTGAGCAAGCTCGCTCATCGAGATGCCAGGCTTCGCGATCGTCTGCACATACCGGCGAACCTGACGGTGGACTTCAGCAGCTTGACGATAGTCGGACAAAAACGTATCGTCCATATTGTTTACCACGGACAGATGACGAAGCTCTTCGGCAGTGGTGCGCTGAAGATTGTCATCGTTGGTGACATATTTGACAATCTCACCTTCTGGGTATCGCTGGCCTGAGAAGATGCTAGAGAGCGCAACTCTCGGTGGAGTTGTCTGCTGTCCGCTCAGCGGCCTCTTTTTCTTCTTCTTCTTGTTATTCTTTCTTTTTCTTTTCTTGCCATCTAAGGTCAAGGTTAGCGGCATAAAGGTATAAAAAGATATCTATTTTGTTTACCATTGTTAGGCTGAGCACGTGAATTCAGGTCAGTTCCAGCCTTTTCCTCGTCGTCGTCCCCGTCTTCGTCGTCTTCTCCGGATGCATCTTGGACAAGTCCGCTTGCTGATGCTGACTTTGGGGGGTTGAGTACAGCAATGGTGCCGCCGGTCGATGATTCTACCCAAGATATTAATTAGCATAGCTTTTGAGCGTGGGACCAACAGTTCTTTTTCCATACCATTTGGACCTTGGCGGTGGCCATCTGGTGTTTTGGAGCCCATGGTTGACTTAGATTTGTATTCATAGAGCACTTCTTGGATCAGCCCTGGTCGTGGTTGTTCGACTGTCAAAACGCTGGATGGAGAAAATGAAGGTCGCATGGCATGTCTTGGCACATGCTTACCCTTTTGGGAGCTCTTATTCTATCCCTACACCAACGCGCTACTATTTAAATTATTTAAATGAGATTCATAAGCTCCAATATAGACATTGGGATACAATTTTCTCTTTATAATCATTTCTGTCAAGGCGATTAGAGCTTCGTGTATTGTGTTTAATAATATCACAGCTAGAAGAGAAGGGCCACATCTTGGTATAGCTACCATCGTCTCCAAATTATTAGAAGGAAAAAAATATCTCTAAATAATCCACCTGTACATATAATCCATCGCTATAGATCCAAAAGTTTATGGGTAGAGATGGGGTTTAAAAGTTCACTGAATAACCAAGTGTTCTATGAGGGCAAGTGGCGTATGTTTCTCTAACTGGGAAGAGATAGCTCTTTGCGGTGTAAATTGCCTGATGTAGCCGGTTGCGGATTATTCTTCCTGGCCGAGGTAAGTGTAGACCAGTCTGACCCTGTTGCAGACACCACCCTTGGCAACAGCAATGCGGCGGGTATAATATCGTGCGCCGTTAATAATTTCAAAGCCCCAGACCTTATAAAAAGTTAGTCACGAAGTAGACTTTAAACAGAGAGTAATGTGAAAGGGACATGTAATACCTGCTCTGCAGTCCAGCCGTTATCGACGCTCTCAACCCAGCTCTGCACGAATGGCTCGTCGCCCTCGCTTTCGTCAACGACCCAGCCATCAGACCCAGATCCGTCAGCCAGAACATCTCCGTTGAAGAACTTGGCGACAGTAGCATCCTCTTCCTCCTTGCCGACCTTGGTCATGATCTCGAGAGCAGGGACAGTCTTGGGGCCATCCTTCTTGGCGGCAACGAAGCGAGTCTGCCCCTTGACAGATCCGAAGATGTGATCAGTGTGCTCTCTAATGTTCCAGCCGAGCTCACGCTTTTCAGTTGTTCCAGAAATTCCGCCAGTCAGAGTTTGGGCAATGTCAATATGGATAATGCCTTCTTCCGTGTATTCTTTGATATGCAGAGTGATCGTGGCAAGGCCGATGGCTTTGCGGGTGAACCATGAAATTCCTTGCTGTATGAGGAGGTTAGAATCACAGTGTATATACAGTGCATTTTGGGTGGAGTTAGTTACAAGTTGTAAAATTGCGTCGGTGCTGTCGGAGAGGGTACTATCCTAGCTGTGCGTTAGACCCCGCATATCAAAACGGAAATGATAGAACGAGATGGATTTTTCTTGGGGTAAACGGGTAAACTGCCTTAAGCAGCTAAGAGCCCTGAATGCAGCAGAGGCGATGATTCCACTTACCATAGTCCACTTGCCCGTCAGGTTATGGACGGTAGCTTCCTTTGGAGCGGCCATTTTCTAAATATGATGCAATAGACAACGATAGAGGCAAGGATAATGGTATGGGGAACAAAAAAGCTTGAGAGGAAGATATAGAGGAAGTAAAGAAGAGGAAGAGAAGAGGAAGAGAAGAGGAAGAGAAGAGGAAGAGAAGAGGAAGAGAAGAGGAAGAGAAGAGGAAGAGAAGAGGAAGTCTACGACAGTTTATGAAATACCTTTCAAAGTCGTCTGGCACACGGTAAGCCTCGGAATTCCCCTAAACCCCGTCGCATCAAGTATTATCATGTGGAAGTGACGAAGTCAAACGTGGGGAAAACGTCCGCCAAGCGTGCCCGTATGCGATCCAGGAACGAAACAAGAGCGTATCAATCGAATCGTTGAGGCTGGTTCGACTCCCTATACAGTATATAATTGAACCGGCAGCACTTCGTTATGGCAAGCACATGTAATTCCCTGAGCAAGTTCCGCCAATCTGACGCTTGAAAGCCCGCCGGAAAAACCCCGGGCATAAATTTAGATCCCCTTTACTCCCTGAGCTGCCTGTGTGCGAATAGAGCGGAAATACGAACAGGGGAAGCTCTTTGATAACTCCGTATGAAATCCCCCAACGGTTTATGCTGGTCATCTCTCTCAAGGCCTTCTCTGATTATCTTTCTCAGAGAACACGCTACTGCTGTTATTTCTAGGTTAGTGAAGGAAGAAAGTTATAGGAAAGATGGGAACAAGTTATCATTAGCCTCTAGAGATTGTACCGTATTAGTCCAATTCCACAAAATCATACACTCTTTGGGCGTGAAGCAAGTTGCAAGTTCATGTTAAGTCGCGAGTTGTTTGGTCAAAATAGAAGAAACGACGACGATTTAAGGTGCAGTCACGTGGTACATCTAAACATCGCGGTGGGAAGAAACGAAGGTAGGGAAGACGAAGACTCCCACGTCGACAATCAGGGAGACAAGGACTGAGAGCCGCAGACATGGCGTTTAATAAGAAATATGCTGGTCTCCCTGACCTGGTATGTGCTTATGTTGGAGTATCGCTTTAGAAATGACCGGTTTTGGCTAACCTTCAACTTGTAGGACCTGGCCCCCGATATCTATGAAACCCCCGAACTGACGGACGCCTCGACGTTGCCGGTAATGAGGCTTACGATTAATATGAACTGTGGGCATCAATATGCTAACAATGAAACACAATAGACTACCACAGTACGCTCATCTTCGCCCTTTGACGCGGAGCCGTCCTCCAATCCAGAAATTGATGGCCGGCGATTGCGAGTTGATGAAGCTCGTTCTCATTTCGAGCCGGTCCGAGTTGATGCTAGAGATGTGGACTTCTCAGATAGCATAGCATCCAAGAGAAAATCATACCGGACGATAAGGGGGCCAGGACGCCAAAATAGAGTAGAGCTAGTAATGGGAGATCTTAGTGACGAAGAAAATGAAACACTCGAAAGGAAGCTTGCGCGGCTACGACGTGAGACAGAGGAATTGAAGGAAGAGCTTGCCACCAGGAAATCCCAGAGAGATACCACCGAAGACACGGGAGAGGGCGAGGTAGACGATGGTTGCGACGAAGGGATTCTAAAGCTCAGCCAGACATTGGATACACTCTACACTTCTTCCAAAGGGGCTGGTCCCTCAGCAGAGGCTGCTCTGTCACATAAGCTCTCTTCAGACATGCATGATGGCCACCGTGTTCAAAAACAGGGTGCCATAATGGTCGATGGAGCCTCCACATCTCAGCCTGGCCATAATGCTTCAATTCTATCACAGGCGGCATCTTTCGATGCACGGCTTGCATTACTAGAGGCAGCATTAGGATTGAAAAATACCCCAGTACCCATATCACCAGATGATCCGTCGGATATGGATATCCAACCAATTCTACCATCTCTCAACCATCTATCTTCCCAGCTTTCAACACTCAGCAGCACCCTTACCGCCAATAATACCCAGTCAACACATTCCAATTCTCAACCTGTCCCCTTATCCGTAACCACAACCCCACATATCGAAGCATTAAGCAGCAAGATCCGCAAGCTTACTGCCGACGCAGAAGCACTTACCACTGCCCGCCACCGAGCAACCGAAGCAGCTCGTGCAGCTTTCTCTGCTCGAATTGCTGCCGCAACGTCCGATGAACCCCAACCTTTTATTGACTCGACACTGACCACCTCTGCAGCTGTAGAATCAGATGCTGCTGCAAATGAGCAAGCTGCAAAAATACAAGCTCTATACACAACGCTGCCAACCATTACGTCCCTACACCCGTTGCTCCCCAGTGTATTGGAGCGGTTGCGTTCTTTGCGCGCTATACATGCGGGAGCTGCAACAGCAAGCCAAGATCTTGATGCTTTGGAACAACGTCAGGTAGATATGACGAAAGAGATAGATCAGTGGAGAGAAGGCCTAAAGGCGATGGAACAGAAGGTAAAGGAGAGTGAGGAGACCATGAAGGGGAATATGGAAGTTATGGGCCCATGGGTCAAGGATTTGGAGAAAAGGCTAGATGCCCTGGATCATTAACCATAAATCCACCATATAATTATTTCATTTTAACCTCATACCGGACTTCATTCCCATCTGGCATATTTTAAAATTCCTCAGTAATAGCATTCGACTCATAATGGGTCGGTGAAACAACATTTCTAAGAGATAATACAGAAATGAATTGGGTAATATCCTGCATCATCAACGCAGAGAGTTAGGATCTCGGAGCGTTTATCTTAAATGCTTCATGATCCTAATTTTTGGAGTTACTCGAGCTTCCACCCACCAGCCACGCGTAATGTATTTCCTTGCGCTGGCTTTTATTGACTCCCAATAGTCTACACCCGTATCTCCAAAGAGTGCCCGTAGAATCACAGCCTCGGCACCGCAAGCATAACAATCACCAGTGCCTGGCCGAATAATGCGGATTCCATCATACCCATAGGCATTATCAACAAGCTCCCAGTTACCCATTCCCGAAAGGATGGCCTCATCTTCAACTAGGGCATAGTCAATTTTCTCCCAGAACTTCGGGTTTCGCTTTTCTAGCTCATTCTCCGTCTTATCGTATATCCAACTTGACTCTCCGCTCTTCAGTTCGGGGAATTTCCCATCATTGGAGCCAGGGATATGAATCATCGGGGACTCGGGAATTGGCATTTCTAAGAAATGCGTCGCTCCAGTCTGACATGTTAACGTGTCCATATGGACGGTGATCACCGCTTGGGAGCCATGGGCGTAGCTATGGACTTGTTTCATGGCTGCTCCGCCAGGGTAGTTAGACATGGATATTGGCAGGAGGACGAAGAATGAGACTGTGTATGAAGCCAAAGTCGAAAGGATAAGGAAAATAGAAAGGAAGCAGTATACAATAGATTTTGCTCGGCGAGACCAAATATATGACGCTCCAAGAGCAGCAACTCCGGTAAATGGGGGTATCGAGTAGATGATAAAACGCCATTCTTTATGAGGCTGGAAACTCATAATGGCAATGAAGGCGACGAGAGGAATGACTATAGAGCGGGCAGCTTGACGTAATGGGTGAGCCACGCAAGCGAAGGGGATACAGACGAGATAGACCAAGGGGTTAAAGAGAAGGCGAGGTAAAGCACTTGTAAAGTAATAATACCATGGATCAGTGCCCCAGTTAGAAGCCTTCCCTTGAAGAACATTGTATACAAAACCTGCCAATTCAGGCCACAGTGGAAACTCCTGCCAAAAGAAAGAGTCAACCAGCACAGTGGTGGTCAGGCCAATTAGAAGACCACCAATGCCTGCTGGGATAATTTCTCGGTGTAGTCCTATACGCCCTTGAGCCCAGAGGTAAATTGTTGTTGTACCCAGTAGGACTGCAATCTCTGACCGGAAGATGACACCTGCAACGGTGAGCAAGTAAAGGCACAAGCGATAACGCCGGCTTATACGCACTTGAGGCGATGTTTTCAAACATGCCACAAACAGGGTGTAGGCAAATGTTGCTTTTCATGACTGGTAAGTGATATGATAGATCAAATGCATAAAGGATATACATACTGATAGGAAGTGCAAACATATTTGGAAGGGTTCTCGAGGCGTAGTACATGATATGGAATTGACTACTTTGCAACAGAATGTACCATATTCCCGTAGAAGAACCAAACACCATAAGAATGGCTCGAGCAAACCCTCCTAAAGCAAGGGAGTTAAAGAACCACAAGACACCGCGCACTGGAAGAATAATTGTCAGTACAAACCGTACATAATTGGAGAGCCGTGAGGAACTAACCTATGGCTTGGGGGTTCCCTTTGGTAAGCCATATTATTGGCTGTGAAATACCTGCTAGGAGGACAGCACCAACAAAGGTTCTCGGGACAGAACCAGGGAAGCTGACATGGTCATATTGGTTGAGGACAGGTAAAGGGTCGGCCACAGAAGGCACCCCATACTTTAGTATATCATGAACTGCCTGTATGTTAAAGGATTCCTCAACTTTGGTAAAAGGCGATAACCAAAGGAAGGCGAGTGCTGTAGAGCCAACCAAACAGCTGATAATCAGCGTATACGCAAGCATTGTATACCGCATATCATCCGGTACAGAAAGATGAGGCACATTCGAGTTAACCAGAGGTTTATATGAGCTCCCTGTGCCGGCCTTGAGATATAAACGCCCAACCAGTTCAAAATAGCGACGCATATGGCCCTACTCCTGAATACATGCAAGGATGTAGTTAACAATTATTTATATATTGGGCCAGGGGTCTAGACATCATCACGTGAGTGTCGACTTCAACCACTGAAAAGACAACAATACGAGAGCCATTTCTCTAGATTTTTTTTCCTTTAAAAAATACAATGAGAGCATTCTAGAACGCTTATTCAAGTCAAAACCGAAACGTCCAGCTTCGAATGATAAGTTTCGTACCTCATTCTTGATCATCATTTCTTCCCCTCAAAGGGTTTCATAATCCATCGCATGCGGCCACTTTTAACCATCACATGACAGGGAGTACCCCCTATAGCTCGATTATTAGCAAAGCGGTATTATGTATCTAGCCATTCTTAACATCAACAACCTACAACACCGGAAGGGCCTCCTCAAGATTTCGATTTTAACTTCTTCATAAAGCTCAGATGAAGTTCCAGTTCCTCTCCAACTATCTGCAGTTACTCTTATTCTAATTCACTCATATCAACTTCTTCTACATACTGCATAACGAGGTATAGAGCCTCACAGTCTTCGAAGCAGCAATATAACCGGGGGACTCGAATATCTGTGTTTTCTGTGATGAATTTCGCTGATGCCGCCTCATTCTAAATCGTTCCTTTTCAAACCGGGGGACACATGTGGTTCCAGTATATGAGAATAGTTATACCAAGCACAATAGCAGAGTACATGGGTTAGATGTGAGCTCTCATCATGAGACGACCTCTTACAATCTTTAATTTTCTCACCTCTCGTCAACAACACCTTTCCCTTGGAAATATCCCGAAATCTTCCTTACTTAGACATATCTCTCACCGGGTTTTTGCATTTCCTGGACCTGCGATGTCCACGATTGAAAAAGTCTCTCGAGTCCAATACGAATATATTGAAGATATAGAGAGATTAGAAAGATATCAGCTCGGAGGTTATCACCCAATATTAATCGGAGATATTCTTAAAGATCGATACCAAGTTGTTCACAAGCTCGGCCATGGGACATTCTCTACAATCTGGCTTTCACAGGATATCCAGCAAACAACTTATGTGGCTGTAAAAGTATGCACCGGAGATTCATCTCCTCATGAGGCTGACTTGCTGTACGATATTTCGGATCCACCCCAAACCAATCATCCAGGCCGGGCCATGATTCCTACGATACTAGATCAGTTTGAACTCCAAGGACCAAACGGATATCACAGATGCTATGTATCATCACCAGCACAAAGCAGTATAGCCGATGCAACCCTATTTCGTCTCTTTCAAATTGAGACAGCACGCTCCCTAGTGGCCCAGTTAGTTTTGGCTATTGCATATACCCATACACAAGGGTATGCTCACGGAGGTAAGTCAACAGGACGTGGAGCCCAACTCCTAGCTATCCATGTCAGAAAGATTATAAACTCAAAGAAACTAACATTCTAATTCTAGATATTCACCTTGGGAATGCTCTACTTCGCCTACCTTCTAACTTAGATCAACTTTCTATTGATCAGCTCTATGAAAAATTCGACAAACCTGTCACGGAGCCAATTATACGTCACGATAGAGAGCCCCTCCCCCCTGGAGTCCCTCCTCTTGCTACCATACCGGTATGGTTAGGAAAGCCAGCAAATGAGATTTCACTCTCTGAAGCCCATCTTATTCTTAGTGATTATGGTGAGGCCTCTCGTCTAACCAACAGCGATTGGGAAGCCAATGCCGAGCACCCACTCCCTTTTTACCACCCGAAGCATATTTCGAACCAGAGAAACGTATCTCATTCCCTATTGATATCTGGACCCTAGCATGCGCCATCTGGTCTATCTTGGGCTCTCGTGCACTTTTTGACGGCACACTTGCTACACATGATGACATATCCCAGCAGCAGATAGATATCCTTGGAGAATTGCCACATAAGTGGTGGAATAAGTGGGAGGCCCGGTATAAATATTTTGATGAAAGAGGGAAACCAAAGAAGGATCGATATGTCTTCCCGGCCCTTGAGGATCGTTTCGAGAAGCATATACAAGAACCCCGAAGGAAGGACAGTGTGGGTGAGTTCGATAGGGAGGAAACGGCAGCGCTTTTAGTTATGCTTCGCTCAATGCTGGCTTTTAGGCCTGAGGAGCGAGCCACAATAGAAACAGTTCTAGGCTCCGATTGGATGGTAAATTGGGGTTTGCCTGAGTTTGAAAAATCTTTGGAAGTGTGATAAAACCTGTGCCTTGACTGTCCAATCGCAACGTTAGTATACCCGGAAGTGCCTTTTCACCGTATAATTTCACCTTCTTGCTCGAACTTGCCCAGTTCCCCTTTGTGAGATCTTGAATAACTGGTTATCCCACGTTCTGTGGAGGGATAGGTACTATGTTATTTAGTTCAACCTGTTAAAGAGCTTGTTATGTTCTCTGCATAATGTGTTCTACCCCGGGAAATACAAATGTTAGTGCTATTTCCTTGCTAGATTCGAAGATGTGCCTTTATCCCCAAGAGAACCACAGGACTCTGAAAGAAGGGATCATGGTTATCAACGCACTGGGTACTACCCCATCCCGCCTCGTACCATTGTTTCTAGCGGTTTACAACAAGCCAAACTACACGATCCGTAAGGCAGGTGTGTGGGCCGGGTGAAAAGGGAGGTGTTGAGATTGGAAATACTGAAGTGCGTAGCACCAGCTTTAGATTTCCATCCGAACAGAGCATAGTATGCCAACAGCCTTCATCTAAAATAAGACATAGCAAACTGGTAATGAAAGCTAAGCCCATTTATTAATGCCCCATCCATCTTCAATACGGCTTTTATCGCCAACCAGTCCAACTACCAGCAGCTCTTCCTTAAGTCGCCTTCACAGGGACATATGGCATATAGATATTCCTTATATGAAATAAAGCCGTTGAGTATACAGAGCCCGCCATCCGAATTGTTACTCGCCACTACAAAAAGAGCCGCAGGAAACAAAACAATCCCCTTTCTAAGCTTTATCATGGATATTTTATTACGACCTGTCCGGGAATAATTTGCTCAAGCAACTGTAGCGTCTTTACAAACTAAAAGCACCATCGCTCTAGAGCGATGAGACGACGTCATTATTTATTCTGAATAGCACACACATTAAGTCAGGCTGTATTCAACAAGCCGTGACGTTGGAATCACCATAACTATACTCTCTATGGGGCAGCCATGCTTTGAATAAAGATAAAGTTCACCAGTTTGCCAGTTGGAGGTTCCAGTAACCAGAGAAGCATGTTCTAAAAATACATAATATTATTATACAGTCATAAAACTAAACTATTGCCTTGTCAACACCGTAATAACGTTCAGATACAGGTAGAACTTTGAGGGAAGAAAATAAGATCAGGAATAAGGGGTAATTAGGGGCTGCTGGACAGTGCTATCAAGATGCTCACTCTCAAGCTTCGGAGATTTCAAGCAACGGGGTGGCGAAAGTGAAGATTCCGATAGGTCTTCAAAAGTGTAGGCCATGGACATGTCAGGAGAATCGTAATCCGAATAGTCAAGATCAACGGGTTCGGATCCAGCAGATATGGCCGCAACAACATTGAGCACCCACTGCATCTCAAGTAACGCAAGATCTGGTAACGGCCATTCTTCAGGGTCTGCGGTCTTCATCACAATAACATCACCACTGAAAATAGGCTTGTTTGAGTAGACATCGAATAACTTGACCTTGCCGGACCTTTCACTTCCAACTTCTCTACCGTCTCTAATCGAGGGTACGTCAGGCCGCGTAGTTAATCTCACCCTCTGCGGCTTACTTGCCCACGGCAGCCAGTAAAATTGGAGAGTGAGTTGTGTCTGGTCTTCATTCATCTCGACGGGCTTCAGGCCAAAGTAAGCTCTTCCGTGGTAGCTATGAGTATGTGGCGCAAAGGAAAGTAAATTACGGGTGGTTTCGGTAGTTGCTCCAATGGCTTGAAACCATGCATTCACTTTTTCCTCGGGCCAAAAGAGCCTTAGAGTTTTCCAGAAATTATAGCGCCTGACAAGTTCTTCGGGGGATTGCAAATGTCTCATCGAGAATGGAAAAATGTGAGCTATTTCGACGGGGGTGCCAGCCTTGGTAATGACACATTCCTCTCCGTCACGTTTGCGGCACTGTAGGGCTTCTTGTAAATATGACAGTAACCAAATTTTATGGTGAAATAGACAAACCTTGTCAGCCTCAGTTTTTGATCTTCCTTTAATCGTTTCATCTTCTAGCTTGCGTTTAAGTCCGCCTGGCCTATTCGCTGGTGATCCAGCAGGCAGGGGGGTCTGCGAACTGGTGGGCGTCGACAATGCGGAAGCTTGTCGGCTCTTTTGGGCCCCTTACGCGGCAATAGCTGTCAGTATCTACCTGGCTGTCGCTTATTAAGAATAGATTCTTTGAGGAGGGCTTAGAACTCACAGTGCTTCACTATCGTTGTTTCTTCGACACTCTTCTCGTAGTGACCTGCCAGGTCAGGCTCAGTTCTTAATTTGGAAACAATTTCTTTCAGCTTATCGATGTCAGACACCCAGAAAAAAGCCCACACTTCACGAGAGATGGGCTCTTCCTGGAACAGTTTGTCGAGCTCGTTTAACAGCTCAACCCGCTCAGCATTGAGGAGCTCAGTCTCTAGGATATGGGGAGTCTGAGAGTCCATGGTTGGCAACAACGGACACCATCCTTTGAGATTCCCCTGTTGCTAGCTGGTACGGAGTAAAGACTCTGTCGCCCTGCACAGGGGGGCCAAGTTGGTATAAAACTGGTTGCGGGGTTGTGCGATGATCACTTATCGAGGTAACTTACTATCAGAATCTGCCACTACACTAAAAGGAGTGAGCCCACACTAATAGTAGGCAGATGTTGAAGTTTGACACTTACATAGTAAATAATTTAGAGAGTCACGTGTGAAGCTGAGTTGGAACCCTAACTAACTACCAAATAACTCCTTCAGTTCGTAGACCTCTCAGGGAGGCATCACCACTACGTACAGATCGACCATGGAAGTGAAAAAGAATGGTATTGATCACACTGACAGCTACGAGGTGAATAGCAAGGATCCAGCAGAGACCCGCTTCGAGTGAACAGCCACCACAACGCCCCATTGCTTGGTATAAACGACATGGCAAGGATAAGCCAAGATGCAGCGAGGCTGCTGTCAGGGAATGTCACCCTCCAAGGGACAACTAAACTCGCGCGCTAACGGTCCGGCGTCGTTGGGCCAAGATGATGTTTCGAACACATTCAGTTGGCTGCTGGGGATAGATGCATGGAAAATATTGACTTGCATGCGTCTTCGCTTATGACGCTGGCGAGCATCTATTTCCTAGGGACTAAAGAGGATAATGCCGGTGTACTTCGGCTTGTGTAGAAAAAGGGGCGTCACAGCTGGCATCAAAATCAAGTTAAAATAGAACTGTGCCTGAATTTACCTCAAGGGCAGCTGTGAGGTCAACCAAACTTCTATCACTCATCTTCAACTTGTGATACTTCCATCCTGAGGAGATTCTTATTCCTTTTCATTTTTTACCGTCAAGGCCACATGCCAGAATCACACCAAACCTAGAATTGAGTCTTATCCAACAGTCTTCAAGGCTATAGGCTTCAACTCAACGGAACATGAACTTGGTCTAGGAACCGTTCCTATTACCCCGGTAGGGCCTATCGAGATCAACGATCCGCGGATCTCGAGGCTCGTCGATGGATGTCCTCAGCTCCGTAGCGTTGTGGGCTCTAATCCTGCTAATTGGACTCTACTATACAGCTACTCTACGTTTACAGGTTATAAATTGCCACTACTCTTCGACCTCGGCGTTCAAAGAATTGAGACCTGATATCTGATATCCGCGCCTGCACAAACAATAACACGAACAATGCAACAGCCGAACCCAAGGCCTAGTGCCCAATACTATCACATCTATCGCCTTATCGGCTATTTGTGGTGCGCAAGGAGTTACTATAGATGTACTCTTTAGATACTGCTGCCGCTGTCAGCATCTTGTCATCCCACCTTACCAATTGTGCTTCTTGCGGTGAAAAGATTCTTTTCGCCAAATTAGGTACCGTGGTCAATATATTGGTGCGGATGTCTAGATTGCTATAGCTGCCGATAATATTAATAAATTTGGGCAAGTACCACGGCTCCGATACATCAACTCCCCGAAGCTAACTTGATGCCCTATTCTTTGATAGTAAGGAATTCCCATTTACCTCTCTCTGAACCAGTGCGGTAAACTTCGGACTCCCACTTATTTGGTTGGAAGTAATACCCATTCTCCAATTTGCTTTATTCTTCCTTGTTTCTATTCAAGCGCCAATCGTATACTCCCTGTCGCTAATTTTTCTATTATAGGTGTCGTTTTTAAGCAGGGGGCCCAGGCTATACAAACCTGTAATATCTCAATCAGGGAAACATGCGCTGTTGGTCTGTTTGCTGTTGAAAATACCGAGGACCTAGATATGGTCTAGAGAGCACTGAAACAATGGGCCAATGGCCGGTGCTTTGATTTTCCCGAGGGGCAAGTCTTTGCCAACTTTGCTGATCTGGGTGTTCTCGCTGCTACCAAGGCTGACAATCTCACCGATTCAGATACCCGACCGATGTCACCACACGCAAAGAACAGTTTTCACTCACTGATACTTAGAGCCGACTGCAGAGCCATCCAGGTCGGCGTAGAGGACAGCTGCATGGCAAGTGATTAACGAGCTATATTCCCATTTACCTTATAAAGATTAAGGATATAAATACCGATTACTTATAAGATAATAGAGATAAAAATTTAGCTAGATACACACATCCTAACATGAATCTATAGTTACTCCCTAATATCAAAGCTCACGTCACAACGACAGCTGCTGACAGCCCTAGGATTATCCACAACCTTAAACTGGCTGCCAATAAGCTCGGTTATATAGTCAACCGTGCTCCCCAATAGCGCAGAGAGAGACGCAAAAAGAAGGTAATTAATATTACGTGGGAGATAAAATAAGATAAGGGAGAAGAGATGCTAGGAGGAAGAACGCCACATCCTCTAAACGAGGTAAAGGACCAACTAACTCCAGCCGTAATTATTGGTTGGTAGAGATATATGAATTAATAGGGATGCACCTGGAGCTCGGGTGAAGAAAGCGGCAAGCAACTCCTTGCCAGTAGCAAAAAAAGACATACGAAAGTCGGGATTCGCTGGTGGTCACCCACCCAACTACTAACCGACCGGCAAGTGGCTTAAGTACAGCTGAGCGGACGGGAAGCTCTGTTTTCCACTTCCTATGTTCGTATGTACCAGACAGAAGGACGAGGGGGTAGATATAGGGCGAATGCCGCACTGTAAACACGAATAGCCATGATATACACGTCTAGATATCAGTCAGCAACCGGAGAGACGATGCTTGTTAGACCACCTGGGACTTACCAACAAGAAAGGGAGATGAACGAAAATTGAGGTTGGAGGTTGAAGTTGACGTTAGCATTTTCTTTCTACTTGATGTTTTTTGCTGGTTTTGACGTTCGTGGCTTTCCACCAGCTCCAAAGGCCCCTAACAATACCTTGCACCACAACTTCAACCACTCCTAGATAACAAGCCTTCTCAATGTGAAGTATTATCTCAAGAAAAATACGTTCAAGATGTTCTTTTTCGGCCTCGGAAAATTGTTTCAAGGTACGTATACACTTCCTTGCCAGCTCCTTGAGCCTACCAGGCATACATACGTAACAAGCAGCTCCCACCTATACCAACCCGCGCAATACACCAGCATATCTCCTCTATAAGAGATCAAATACTAACTACGTACGCCTCTATAGTGGTCGTGCTTATAATAAATGCTATCGCAATTCTATCTGAAGACCGCTTCCTGGCACGAAGTAAATCTTTCCTTCTCCGCAAGCTTCCATCGCACCCACCCTTCTACCGCACCAATACTAATACCTTGGGCCATAAAGTCGGATGGAGCCGTACACAGTACGATGCAGGCTTCGGAGCAACGCAAGATAACACCAGCATCAAAGCGAAATCCGCAGATCTAATCGCCAGTGTTCGAACAGTTATGAGAAGTAAGCCCTCCCCTCCCGGCTATACCCCCCCGAGGTTTTCAGCTGTCCGACGAACCTTTATTCTGACTCTTTTTGCTCTCTACGGCGTTTTTAGTCCCGTTAATTGCTATAAACATGCTGGTGATATTTTACGAGTTGGTATTGGGATGATTTTACGGAGTTAATGGGAGCAACGACATGCGAATGAACAACTTGAAATCAGTCATTGTATACCTACTCTTCTCGCCCTCTAAGAATTATGCACTCCCGCCTAGGCGTCGTTAAACGTGGATCCAGCCTCGTGGCAACCATATATTGCTCCTCCGGCCACTCTGAGGATGTGTAAATTCTACTTCGACGACAGATAGAGGGTCAGCAGCGATAGATTCAAAGGAACGCGGGAACTAGCTTCTGCATATTGAATATAAATTCATACGGAGCGGTGTCATTTGAGCTCATTCCCGCCTCATAAGCCATCTACTTATCAAAATATAAGTAGGAGAAAGGATATTGGAATTTACTCTTATTTACGTAGTACCTTAAAATAATGTCTTCACGCCCAAAGAAAAAAAGCCCAACGCGCATTAACATTTAACATTTTATTTAATACAGCTAGGCTATGTAGAAGACAAGATTATGGTATTGAAAGAAAGTATCATCATATGTCAATATCAAGATCAACGCTTTTGTCTTTCGCCTGGATCCTTGATGCTTTTTCTCCATCCGAGTAAAGTAAGAAGCATTGTAATAGACCAGTGGCTTCTTCGGCGTGGAATCGCGATGGACTATAATTGAACATAAGACATATCACGTAAGAAGTTAACCTGCATAGTTTGAAGAGGTAGTGAATGGGTATTTGATGTCCAGTTCGGACAAAGATCGTGTGAAAGGCACAGGCTGTGTTTGAGAGTGCGTGTTCGATAGTGAGGGAGGCCAAGGTAGGGCTAGGCTCTATATACAATCCAAAAGGCAAGATATGGATATGAGTAAGATGAGGTAGTTGGGCGGATGCCTATGAATATACATAATATATGCAGGGAATAAATGGTAAAACGTGAAGCGACTGACGTCCCAGCGACTCCCCGTTAAAAAGGACTGAAAGACGCCGATGAGAAACCAACCGATGTATGTATGCGTGTATGCTTGCATGTATATGGCAATTCGGATATGTGGTACAATGCTTTAGAATGATTTGAGATGGAGGTGGCTGGTAGATTACTGAGAAATACTTTCTTCCCTCCTCACTTGGTTTCCTGTGTCGGAATTAGAGCACGCTAAATGATTTCTTGCGTAAGCTGAATCTGCTCCGTCGTGTGGTAGGTTGTTTCTGGGGTGAAAGAGGCTGTGGAGGGGGCTGAGGCAGTGATGTAAGTGTCTGTGGGGAGGTTTCGTATTGATTAAGCTGTTCGGGCACCCTAGAGGCAAGCCGTTGTTGCTGTTCCGCATCAGTAACCGGGCTAGAGGATGTATCAGTGTGATGACCTATAGCAAGAACCTGTTGAGGGTCATTAGTTGATGATGTAAAATCAAAGGCCGCTGCGCTGCCGTTCAGCGCGTTAGGTGCTGGGAGATCAGGGACTTTGTCTTTTTCCTTGTCCTTGTTGTCCTTGTGCTTCCGGCTGTAGCTGAGGGTTCGGCCACCTATCTTCAGCTTCCCCAGTCCGCCAGCTATGCCATTGATACCATTTGTAAAACCCCCGGCAATCCCATTGGCAGTTCCATTGCCGTTTCCGTTGCTATGTCCGTTTTCCTTATCCTTCCCATTCATACCATCATTTCTCGTTCTTTCAGCTGCTGCCTCTGATGATATCCTTTTTCTCTCAGACGACAGTTTCCTTTTCTCCTCCTTGGCTGTAAGTTTACTCGCGTCTAGAGCGGACTTGAGCAGCTGCTCCTCCTTTTTCGCTAGCTCTCTTTGACGAGCCTCGGCTTTCTCCAATTCCTTGCGTTTCTGCTTTTCTTTTTCCCGCTCCTGGGCCTTACGATCCTTTTCTTCTCGTGCTCGCTCCTTTTTGGATTGTATTTCAGCGGCACGGTCAGGAGTTCGAGACATTAGGGGGATACGAGGCAAGGAGAGAGGGAGTTTGTTAGAAGTCGATATAGGAGTTGATATGGGAGTGATGGGTGACTGAGCGATTGCTGTTGTAGCAGGAAGGGCACTGGGCGGTGGATCACCTATTGTAGACAGTTGTGGCGCGCTGGGGATTTGCTTGATAGGATTGAAGGAGTTGGGGGGGGAGTTTTCCGTGCCGGAAAGCTGGGGTACTGCGCTGCGAACACGGCTGATGTCTGATGGTGACGCGGCGGTTTTTAAATCCACAGAGGCTGTAGGCGCGAGGTCTGCGTCCGCTGCCCTTGCAGCCATTCGCTCGCTCTGCAGTTCCCTTTGCATGGCCTCAAAGCTTGTCTCTTGGTAGAATAAGACGTATGCGCACGCCTGGCCTGGTCTGTCACCAAAGAAGTTCCGCACATAGCTCTTGTCTACAGGCTCGACCATCTCATCATCGAAAAGTAGCCATCCTCTGTCCTCTGTTTTTATGATTGCCACATAATGGCCGTGGTACGGACCGCCGCCGATATGCACAACAACAGCGTAGAGCTCGTACAAGCGGTCCGGATCCTCAGCATCATCCGTGGTATTGAAAAGCCGTAAGTAGTAAGGGTATACCACACGATGGAACAGCTTCTGTAACCTCTGCAGATCTTCCGTGTACTTGAACCGTTTCAGGTGCAAAGCCAATATCCTGGGCAGGCGCTTTATCTTCATTCTTTTCTCAGCTTCCTGTAAACCTCCGCAGTTATCACAGTGAAATTTGTTGCGTTCACAAAGCATTTCTTCTTCCGAGAATTTCCGTAGGCATGAAGTCACCGACGAGTGTTGCTCCAGGTCGACTGAGAGGTCAAGAAACACCTCATCACGTTGTGATTTCTTTTCACAGGTAAGACATTCTGTTTCGGAGGTTAATTTGCCTTCGAATAGCTCGTGCACCCAGCGAGTGTTGTAAGGAGTTTTTGCGCCGACGGACGTGGCGAGTGTAGTTGCAACAGAGGTGGACGTTGGTGTACTTGATTCTGAATCGCCATCTGCTTCCAGCATTGACGTCCGCCTTGCTTCAGCTTCAACATTGGATACCACCTCGTTTAGTAACAGGTTAAGAAATTCGTGGGCATCCTGGTGCATAGCCGTCCTGAACATCTCGTTTTCCCGCCGCAGGACATCCAAGAAGTGTTGCGGTCTGACCACGCCCATACGCTCCTGGCTCGCAGCTATAGATTCGAAAATGTCCTTTAACGAGGTGAAGAGTGATTCCTGCATGCCATAATTCTGAGAATTATCTGTCGTCTCCAAGACCGGGAGCGTGTGCATAGCTATTTTCTTCTTATATTCGGGCGAGTCCTTGTCTTCTGGTTTAGGGATCTGGCTCTGCGGGGCGATGGGCGGCCTGTTTCCATTGATGTTCGCTTGCTGTTGTTGTTTAAGCTTGGTCTGCAGAAGTGCTTCTTCGAGTGATACGTCCGGGTCAGGATACTTGAAGTTGGTCGAGAGTGCATGCTGCAGTGACTCGGGAGGAGAGCGCTGGGGGTAATTTATCACTGATTCTCGAAATGGTGCAGAGTAATATAGACATTGGAGGATAGAATTGCAGTAACTAGGATATACGTGTTAGCAAACACAGTTAATGGCACCTGATAACGCCATGACTAACCATGTATTGGCGAATGGGGCCTAGAAAGTCGAATGTCAGTACAACTATACAACGGAAGCCTGACGATATCGTATCCATTATGAACCAAACGAACTCACATTCTCCATTCCAAAAAATTTATCACTGCCATCACTCTTCAAAGGCCCAGCGTCTGAGAGTAGTTTCTGGAGCGGAGTCAAGGGCAAAGGCGGAACGTCCTTTTTCGTGGTTGTGGTGCCGTTGGCTGAGTTGTTGTTGGCCTTGAATAACACCATGTAAGTCAGCAACAAAAAAAAAAAAACAAAGGACGCCGGTACGCTACCGGACTACTGAACAACTGCAACATACACCATTGCCTCGTAACTTCCCAAAGAAGGAGCTCATGATGAGCAGCTCAAAAGCTGAGAACCGGCTCCCACACAGCCAACCCAAGGCCGCCGCAGAGCGGCCAGCACTTGCTGATATATATATATAACGCGCCGGGATCAACAGTCGGCTCCGGAGGAAGAAGGGGACAGATATTAATATTGAGATAACGATGCGCGCTGGACCATCTGGATAAGGATGGGAAGTTGTCGAGCAAGAACGGAGAGAGCAGGACGTGGAATGATTCGTATTCGGAGGGTCGCCAGCGACAAAGAAGCGGATCTTGCCGTGGGTACAGTCGGGGTAAGGAGCCGACCAGGGCAGCGAGAGAGTGAAGAGAAAGGTCAGGAGAACAGAGGGAGAGAGGCGCGAGGAGGGACGTCCCTTAGGGGGGTCGAGGACGAGAGAGAGAGAAGGGGAACGGGACCAGCGGTAGACGAGATCGAAGGCTGTGTCTGTTTCACGCAGGAGAGGAACCAGAGCCGAGAAACACGGAGCCGCCTTGGGTGGGAGGAAAGGCTGCTTGCCAAGAGGAGCGGATAACCATATCAAGGGCGGAGGAGAAGTCGAGGGAGTCCGTGAAGAGAGGGAGCAAGAGACAGAAGCAGGAAGAGAAGCGAAGGAGAGGACAGTGGGAGGAAGATGGGAGAAAAGGGAGGGAGGAAGAAAAAGACTATGATGGAATACTGGAGGGAGAGTCGCAGCGGAAGGTCGCTTTTCCTGGTGACAACTATGGGCCCTTACAGTCATGGCAGGGTACTTCAGGCTGGGCGGAGTTTTGGTGCAGTCGCAGGTATCTCCCCATCGCACCCTTTTTTTTTTCTTTTTTCTTCTTATTTACGGCCTTTTCCCTCTCCTTACTTTTTCCCATAAGCATGGAGAAACCGCTTAACTTTCTCCCCCAGCTTAACTTCCGCTAGTTCTGCGTGTTTTCGTACTTTTGGGATATTGTCCGAATGCCACACAAGCGGGTGTTAAATGTAGGCGATATAAGATAAATATAGCTGGCCATGGCCGACTTCGTACGCAAACTACGTAATATGGAGGATCGCATAGCCGCTTTGTTCTTCTTGGAGGCCACACAACGCCCTTCGCCCTTCTTCTCTCGGGTGAGGGAGTTGATCCTGGTCATGGGAAGGGAAGCTGACATCTCTCTCCGGTGGGCGATGCCGGTTCGATCGTGACACCGTTCGCAGATTAATAACAGCGTCCATATAGTCATATCCCAGCATGGCGAGTGAGCAGGGTTCTTTCTTCCCCCTTCCCCTTCCCTTCCCCCCCGGTCGCCCCCCTCCTGACAGGCGGCATGGCAACCCACAGCCGCTTCACAGACACCCTCCTCCCAGCGGCTGTCTCCCGTGAGAGGTCCCGGGGGGTCTCGTTACACCCTTCGCCCAAGAATATCAGCTGGCCGGAAGTATATGGCGTACAAGCTCCAGCCGGGGAAGGCTTTTCCCTCTCTTGGCCCTCTTAAGCAGGTCTCCTAGCGTGCCAGTCAGAGAGAGAGTAGATGCGGACAAGGCTTGCATACATACACCAATTATCCGCAAGTATCTTAGCATCCCCCCCTTGCCGAATTAGCAAGCAGGCTGCATAGATCCCACGCAGCGTCGCTGGCTTTGCCCCGGCTTCCCAACTCCCTTCCCCTGGCCCAACCGCACCACCCAGGCGATTGGTGAGATAACCATGGTGGTGAGTGCATATACACACACACTATACATATACCAGACTGTGGTAAAGATCGTAACTAAATCTTCGATCGTCGGTGGAGAAAGAGAGACAGAGTTCTTCTGGAATAGAGATAAAAGAGCGATACAAATCCACGTGGAGACGGGTCAGGGATCATGCTTGTCATCCTCCATACGACGGCGAGTACATATAACATATGTCTCGCTTGGAGGTGTCGATATATGGGAGACGCGGCAGGATGCAGAGATGGTGGATGGCGGATAGTAGCAGTTGCATCCGAAAGCTGTATTCCATGCATTCATATCTCTCTCAGCTAGCCAAAGACGGCGAGGATGTTTCTTTGCCTGCTCTAGAATGTCAAAGTGTCCAACTTCGACCAAGATATATCAAAGTATTATATGTTCAACAGTTGATGTGACAGGTCTAGATCTACGAGCGTGGTTCCTAGAAGTTTAGAACAAAGATACTTGCAAGACGCTCTGCTGCCAACGATAACTTGATGTCACCGCCCTATAAACAGACTCTGGGTGCACTTATCACAACACTCACTCTCTCTTGGATAGCCTTCAGTCCAGGCCATCAGGATGATGTCTTGTCCCCCTGAAAGCCAAGGGTTGCTTTCTATCCCGACTTCCAAGACCCTTCCTCCCACCGAGGCATAGCATAAACAGAGCCAGTGGGCTTCGTCTCTCTTGAAAAATAAAATAAAAAAACAAACAATGCGTTAGACCACAGCAAGGGACCCGTAACTATATATGCTAAAAGGTTGCACAAGTGTTAAGTTTGAGGCCCGAGCTATTAAACCGTCCAAGTGATGTAGCTTTGGATGATCAAGTTAAAAGAATAACGCCTATACAACATACCTACACCAGACGGGTGCAAGATTATGTTCTTGTCCCCCGTTTAATAGTTCGTTGCCGAAGGTGTGACCGTCAGATAGAAAAGAAATGAATCTGTACCGGGTAGTACTCGCTCTATCCCTCGCTCAGCGTTGCACTCCCCTGGTACACCCCGTCATACCCGTCCACCGGCTCACTCATCTGGTGGAACACAAATTGCGCGAGTCTTGCATTTTTATATAGTCGAAGACCCGCAGGATTCATCACTTGCAGCAGCGCTCCCACCGCGCCATTGTATCCAGCATCCATCACTCCTGCGTTCAGAAGAGCCCCTGATCTGAACAGAGAACTCCGGACATAGAGCTGGCCCATCACATCCAGAGGCACTGAGACAGTCTCATTGAACTCGACAAGATAGGAGCCTTGGGGAAGATCAACAACTTCATGTTCGACCTCGGAAGTTTCCCCTGCACTTTGCTGGATAGGGACGAAAGCAACCTCATTGGTAGCAGCTTTCCGGCGTTGGCTGTTGTCAAAATCAATAGTCCCAGCCGAGGTCCAAGTAAGGACTTTCGATAACGTCAGATCAACGCCACATGGCTGGATTTGTAGTGATGGCGATACAAGGCCAGTGATGATATTGCGAGCGACAAGGGAGTGGCCGGGAAGGATCATGTTTAATGCTGATGCTGTGTCGAGAGGAACTGATGATATATGGGCGGTACGTAGAGGGGCACATTGGGGTGATTTCAACTTTTTAGTGAATCGGACGAAGGACAGGGGTTTTATGAAACTAGCCGGATGATCAGACATCAACCATCCTTAGTGGTGTAGAGGTAACATAGCTCTCTTTCACAGAGCCGCCCGGGGTTCGATTCCCCGCTAGGGAGATTTCTTTTTTTTTTCGCTTCCACGTGTTTTGTGGGCTTAGATTATGTAATTTTTCAACCCTTTTTATTCAACGTCACTACACGACTTTTATTTACCAGGGACAAATATAAATTTATATAGGCTACAACTATAATATTTCATGGCATATAAATATATCATATATCATCCACTGCTTTGATACTGCAAAGTAAAAGGTCGACATTGACTATACACGTGAAAGTAGGTTTGGCTTCCCTGAGCTATAGAGTTTGTGTTTGATAGTTTATAGCAGAACATGATCCCATAGTCTGCACAGGTAATGATGCAGATAACGTATCAATCGAGGTAAAATGGCTTTGCATGCAGCAACCTTCGTTGTATAAAAAAAATGAACTATAGCGTAATGCAGGTGAGGGGGGGCAAAAACAAAAAAGGAATGATGAGCTCCCTAGCGGGGAATCGAACCCCGGGCACGACTGTGAGAGAGTCGGATGTTACCTCTACACCACTAAGGATGACTTGTTGCCAAAAAGGTTTGACCAAAAGGTTGATGGAGAAGGTGGTGAAAAGCAAGAGTGATAAAAATTTCCATGCCAAGAAAAGCGACTCCACTCCACATGGCAAAAAATTCAAGGCACGACCAAACGGCCAAAAAAAAGAAATCTCCCTAGCGGGGAATCGAACCCCGGGCGGCTCTGTGAAAGAGAGCTATGTTACCTCTACACCACTAAGGACTTGTTATTATGTAAGGGGCTCATGGCAAATAATATATGCCAATTCAAGTTCATGACATTTGCACCTATTATACTCCACGTGATTACACCCTGGCCTCCCAAAGGGCTGATGGTACATGAGAAGAAATAATATGACGGCTTTAGCCTCCAAGATAGTTTCATAATTGGTGCTTTCGACGGACTTCAAGATGGGAATATTACATACATTTGCAAGCTGCTCGAGGAGCTGTCACGAAATATAGTTACATCTTTGGTTCTTACCAACGTATAATCGTAACTTCGGAGAACTACGGAATCATAACTGTATTAACTTTCAAGATGCTTCTTCTCCTTATATATCCAGAGGATTGGGGATGTGTGCCTGTTCAACCGTAGAGAAAGCACTTTTTCTTTTGCTCGTAACATAGTTAAGTGATGCATCAACATGACAAAATTATATCTGCAACTGTTACGGCTGTATAACTCATAAAGCAGCACAGGCCGACCACCTCCATCAAGCCATCCTTAGTGGTGTAGAGGTAACATCCGACTCTCTCACAGTCGTGCCCGGGGTTCGATTCCCCGCTAGGGAGCTCAAGATCTTCTTTTTTTTTCTCTGCCCCGGGATTAACGGAGAATTTATTACCCGCATTTGGAGAGCTTTGAGCGTCCAAAAAACATGAGTCAGGGCATATAGAGCACATAAAACAGGGAATAAAACCCTCAATTCTTTTTTTCTACACCTTTATTTCTGTTTAGTGATCCCTTTGAATGCCGTCCAAGCGAGTTACGCGAGTTTTTCGCTGCTTTCGACTGTCCGTTCGAGCCCAACTGCCAATTCGGCCCTCCATCCCAACCCTAAACTCCAGCAGCAGCCCCTCCCTCCTCGCACAACGCAGCTCATCTTCCTCCCTCCACCGATATCACAACGACCAAACCTCTTCTGACCCGCTAGATACGATGGCGCCTAAGAATAAAACATCGTTTACGCTTAAAACGCCCAAGGGGACCAAGGACTGGGCTGGCTCCGACGCTCTCCTCCGCGACCAGATATTCAGTACTATTACCAATGTCTTCAAGCGTCACGGCGGCATGGCGCTCGATACACCTGTGTTTGAGCTTCGTGAGATCCTAGCGGGAAAATACGGAGAGGACTCTAAGTTGATATACGACTTGCAGGACCAAGGTGGAGAGATATGTTCGCTACGATACGATCTGACAGTCCCATTTGCGCGATGGCTGGCGATGAACACAGATGTGCGTAGTATAAAGCGATACCACCTGGCCAAGGTGTATAGGCGGGATCAGCCAGCAATGACAAAGGGGAGGATGAGAGAGTTCTATCAGTGTGACTTCGATATCGCTGGTGCGCAATTTGACCCTATGGTCCCAGATTCAGAGGTCATGAAGATCGTCACAGAAGTATTTGAGGACCTGGGCTGGAAGGGGAATTACACCATTAAGATTAATCACAGGAAGATATTGGATGGGTTATTTGAGGTATGCGGTGTACCACAAGAGAAGATACGGACTATCTCTAGTGCAGTTGACAAGCTGGATAAATTGCCGTGGGAGGACGTCAGGAAGGAGATGGTTGATGAGAAGGGCCTTGATGGCGCGGTAGCAGACAATATCCAAACCTACGTCGTTCGAAAAGGGGGACGGGATCTCCTTGAATATCTGCTGGCGGATGAGAAGCTCACCGCGAATGCTTCTGCCAAAGCAGGCTTGGACGACATGTCTCTGCTACTGGACTATCTAGATGCCTTTGGCATTCTGGACAAGATCTCTTTTGATATGAGCCTTGCTCGTGGTCTAGATTATTACACCGGCGTTATCTACGAAGTCGTCACAGAAGGCTCAGCGCCCGCCACTGCTACTTCTGCCCCCGAGGCACAAGCCCTACAACGCTCAGCGAAAAAGGACAAAAAGATAGATGCTGATGAGGACAGGTCTAACGACCCTTCTGTTGGCGTTGGAAGTGTTGCTGCAGGTGGCCGTTATGATGACCTAGTAGGTATGTTTTCTCCAAAGGCCCAGATACCCTGCGTTGGGATATCGTTTGGAGTGGACCGAATATTTTCCATCACCAAGGCTCGTTTGGAACGTGAGAACAAGAAAAACACTCTACGAAGCAGCGAAGTGGACGTTTTTGTCATGGCATTCGGTGGCAAAGGATTTACAGGCCTATTAAAGGAGCGAATGCAAATCTGCAGGTCGCTGTGGGAGGCCGGAATCAAGGTAAATCTACCCACCTTTCCTTTTAGTCCGCCATCACGGCAAATCCTCTAACGTCTACAGGCCGAGTTTTCATATAAAGTGAAGCCCAAACTCCCCGCTCAGTTCAAGGCCGCTGAAAGCAATAATGTTCCTTTCGCCGTCATCCTAGGCGAAGATGAGCTAGCTGCTGGACAAGTACGCGTTAAGGAGATGGGCCTTCCAGATGGCCACCCTGAGAAGGAAGGTATACTAGTCGATATTACTTCTCTCGTTGCAGAAATTAAAAAGGGGCTGGAGAGGAAAACGAAAGAGGAGAATGCGCCGGTAGACGAAGCAGCGGATATAGCGCAGAAAGTGAAGGATCTTTTGTAAGAGAGGGCAAAACCGAAAGGGGTCTGTCTAACTGTATCTCATTTCTTTTCAAAGGGGCAACGCATTATCTGGATCTTTCAAGGGTGCAAGGAGATATCGTTCATATTACTTATCGGGATACCCTACTACTCTAACGGCTATAAATGAGAGGATTATACTTGTTTTCTCTAATTATTGTCGAATAAAAGATATAGAGAAACTGTGTTTGGGAGTATTCAACCGCCATCACGCGAGCAATAAACTCTGATATGGTATAAGTGTTGTATTAGTACAGTGCGAGGAGATTTACTAATCGCTATCCCCAAAATATTATTAGTACAGATAAAAGAAGATGCTCATGCAGTCGAAGCCCGCTTCATGATCAACTCCTTCAGTGTTGACAAGCTGTTTACCGCGTCTAGGCCAACACCTCTAGCCCACGCAAACGGTCCGTAGCCAGGAACATTATATGCCTTATGCAGCAGATCGCAGGCACCTCCAATGCCAGCATTCGTTATCCATCTATCAGCTGCATACTGTTCCAAGCTTAGCAGCGCCCCGATATCCATACCATGCTGGATAGCATATTCAATCGTGCGTTGTAGGGATATAACGTCACCAACCCCCAGGTTCAAGCCCAGACCTCCTAGAGGATGGATAACGTGAGCTGCATCCCCTACGAGCGCCACTCGAGGTGATATGTAAGTTGATGCATGACGGAATCGTAATGGGAATGCAGCGACCGTATTCGAATGTACGGTCTCTACTTCTGGCGGTACAAAGGATGGGACGGATGTATGCTCGAGTCGCCAGGATAGCTCATCTCCGTGATCGTAGAGATTCTCGGAAGCTTCCGTTGGGCTAGGTGGCAAAGAGAACATATACTTCAAGTCTGTTATAGATAGACGGAAAGCAGCATTTACCATTGTTGTAAATGCTTCTGGAGATAGAGACTTGAGGTATGCGGCGTTCTGGACTGTGGTAGACCAGACGAGGGTAGCATAGTTATTGGGCAGAGGTAGCATGGCAACTGGCCCGCCAATTCCGGGCAGGAATCGTTGATATGCAGTCACTGGCCTGGTCGAGGATTGAGTTGAGGGAGAGAGCTTCAGGGTAGCAACCACACCGTGTCGGTCATAGTCCCATCCGTCCGTAGATATACCTGCAAATGAGCGCACAGGGCTGTTGATACCGTCTGCACCTACTAAAAGCCGGGCAGCGATCGTGGGAAGCTCAGTGTTGGCCTCCGCCGAAGATGAAGGGGATAAAGTGAGAACTGGCCACGAAGAAAGATCGGGCCCATCAGTGATATTCGTGCCATTATTAATTGACGAAACTTTTGTTGACGAGAAGACGGAAACATCATCGCCAAGGGAATCAATTCGTGAGAGGAGACCGCGTATAAGATTTGCATTCTCCGTCATAGTCGCAACTGTCTTCGATGAAGCATCGTGTTCGATAAGACTTGGTGGCCAGTTGAACGAGATATTGGATCCCGTCACTCCATCCCACACTTCCATCTCTTCATATGGTTGAACCCGCGAAGTATCGACATGCTGCCATGCGCCGATACCTTTTAAGAAAGCAACAGATGAGGGTGTAAGACTGCTAACGCGGTTGGAGAAGTGATCTGAGTCGAGGTTCCAGCTTTTGGCTTTGGTGATATCCTGACTTTCAATGAGGGCAACTTTGAGCTTGGAGGTAATTGGAGAGGACCCTGGACATGTTAAATTAGCTAACCGAACTATGTAGAATTATTAATTAGAATGAAATTCGCCTTTGAGGACGTACTCAATGCAGCCAGCAAAGCTAGACCTGCTGGGCCCCCTCCAACACAAACGATATCATAGATGTCGGGTTGCCGTGAAAGACTGGATGCAAACCTCTTCCGCTGTAACTGGAGTCCAAGTTTACATGAAGTGCATATATACGGGCGCAATGCGCCGCCCAATACCGAACGCATTTCTGATGGCTGATTTCCCGGTCTAATCGATTTGTGATATTTGATAGAGGCAGAGCGACGAGCTTTGGGTCAAAGTTGAAGTTATTAGTAATATATTAGTCATCTAGTTAAAAAAAAAGAAATAAAAAGAATAGTGACAAGGGTGGGATTCGAACCCACGCCCTCAAGGAGGACCAGAATATCTCGGGGTGAAGTGATCACCGGTGATTATTACTGATTAAGGTTAGCCTTAATCTGGCGCCTTAGACCGCTCGGCCACCTTGCCTGTGCATATCTATCACGTGGAGTCGACGGGTAGTTGATCCTGAGGGGTGAGCTTCTACAAGACGACTACAAGCACGCCAACATGATATCTTCAGGCCGATTTTACTTGTCCAATTATGAGGAGAAGTACTACGTACAGAAAACGATTGATCTAGCTCCGGGAAAATATGCGGGTCTCCGTTACAACGTTGAATTCTCCTCCCTCCGATTCCTTCCACAAGGACGTGTCCTTCCAACGATACCCTGTTAAGTATGGCTCTTCTTAGAAACAGTGGCAGACGCTTGACGGAGTGTTAGCCATGAGGTTATATTCCATATTCTAGAACGGATATTTTTCTCACTTGGATATGGCGGGTGCGGCACATTTTGCAGAGTCGAACCCTTTAGCAATGCACTACAGGGAGGATCATGGGTTAACCTTCCGATGTTCATTTATTGATGAGATGAAATGAGATCTTACCGCTTTATAACACTGGAAGTGCCAAGTACATATGAAGCCAATAGTGATAATCTCCTTGGGCAGCTCACCAGCGGCGTCAGCACTGGCAACACCAGCAACGGCAGTCTGGCCAAGGACGGCGAGAGCTGCCAATAGAGTGTGTGCGAGCTTCATTTTGAAGAAAATTGAGCTATCGGTTGTTTCTGAATAAAATAAGTTTCCTCGCAGGAGTTGATGGACTGGGAAATTTGGCAAGTATGAATCTGAGAATCGAAGGTCATCAAGACTGATCCGAGTTGATATATATACTCTCAACCGAGAGGAGCAGCCCTCCCATACGGCCGTGAAATAAATGAAAAGGGATGACATTCTCTCTTTATCTGTCTCTATGCGTGTTCAGCTGTATCTCCAGGTCGTCGTGCGTTTTGTTACACCGCGCCTCTTGCAGAGATTAGGAGTGTATCACCCAAGCGCTGCCTACCTACCCTAAGAAATCTGCGTTGGGGACCAAATGCGACCCGTTGACTGGACTTTGACTGAAAAGAATGGTTGAATACCTGCTTGGCCAGGCCAGGTGAACTGATATGCAATTTCACTCTTGCTGCGACCGTCGCGGTTCAAGAATACAGATAGCCGGCCAAAATTAACCAGGTCTTTCTGTTCGGTATACATAGTATAATGGCAACAATGCGTCTTGTTACCTCAGTTCTTGGTTTATCAGAACCAGGTAGAATACCGTCTACCTCTCATGCTATTATGCTTGAACTAGCTGGCTGCTAGCAATAAATCGACATATATATTAGAATGAGATGGATTCGATTGGCCAAAGTCGCATAAGCCAGATGCCCTACGAAGGGTATACATGCAGATCACCAATATAAGGAAGATAGAAGCTGGGTTGCGTTCTTTATTGATAGTATGTGTTGCCATTGAATGCACTTGTCTGTCGGTCCCGACGCTTGTTTTGGTAGCTGTGGCACAACCTGAGCCTATCGAGGGTACAGAGAAATGACCGTACGCACCGGAAAGTTGATCAAAGCTGTTTCTGGTATAGTTTTGTTTGGAGTATGTACACTGTTATCGTGCCCCATGCATGAAACAAAGAATTCCTGCGACTGGGGTCTTGTATACCTATGTTGGTAATAGGATTATAGTGAGTAGAATACTGACAAAATCCAGGCGTCTTTCTTGGCGAAGAGTGGTTAAAATGAAGGACATCGTTATTAATTCCTATTCTCTGGTTCAAACACCATCCAAAAAAGAGTAACTCCAGTCGTGACTAAGAACCAAATAGACATGCTAAAAAGGTAGAGGGTTGAAGCGCCAGTGACGAATTCCGTCTATACAAAAAAAGGGACAAGAGAGTGGCAAGGAACCACTTTATGTAGCTCCAACCTGAGGCTTTTTCGCTTTCGGGTCATGCCTACCACCCGCATCGTCTCCGTCGGCTTCCATCTCCACAATGAATCGTTCCCAAGTGGCCAGGACCCCTTGGTAAAAGTCGACATGTTTCTGCGTCATTGCACCCAGAGTATCGCGGAACTCAATTGCTTTGATACGTTCAAAGTCTGAGACCTCACGTACAACTTCTTCGTCGAACATCTCGGAAGTCGTTTTAGCACTTTCTACCTCACGGGTTAATTCGTCAATGCGGAGCTCTAGTTTCCGCACCTTCTCTCGGCGCGACTGCTCGTGGTCCACGCCTCTAATATCTTCCATCTTGGATCGGATGAAAGAGGCGGGGCTACTTGTTAGTGGGTTTGTGGCATAGTATGAAGATGGGTTGTTGGTCAGGTTATCCCGCTCTGCCACGGCCTTGTTAAGGTAGTCAACCAGCGCTTCGTAGTCGAGTTGCTTCTGTTCTCTTGTCTTGAGCAAAGTCTTGAGCGATAAGATATACGCCTCCATATCTCGAAGACTGCCTAGATAGTTTTGATCTGTATGTTCTTTCAGGTCTTGAATCCCATAAGATGTTTCTTCTACCGATCCGGCAAATATTTGTAGAGGTACTTCTAGTTCGGGTTCGAGAGGCACAAGTTTGCGGAATTGCATGGCGAGTTCAGCATAGTCGGCCTCCAGGTCGCTTTCGCGCCTTGCAACTCGTGCAACAATCTTTTCCACATGGCTTAGATCTTCATCCAATTTGTCTGCCTTTTCTCTCACCTCGGTAAACCGTTTATCTGGCTTGTGAACTTTTGTAAACGCATTAACGAATGTATCTGCAAAATTATCGAATATATTACTTCCGCCGTCCGAGTTATGGGTGGCACTACGGGACGGGCGCATCCTCATGTGTTGATTCCATTCCCCGGATTCCAGAAATGTGGCCAAAATGGGTGCTCTGCGGAGGACGGGGTGGAGGGTAATCCGCTTGATAAACCGATGAAGTGACCAAGCACGGCGCTGGGTGAACTCGGGCCCAAATCGGTCTCCACGTACATATTCCATCTTATGTTTGTCTGGTAGCGGGGGGATCGCGCAGGCTGGATACTCTCGAAATAGAGTGTTGTAAAGGAAGTAGAAGTCGGTGAACCGCCGTCGAACGCTGAAATCCGTTCTTTGAAAGGATTTAAAGTTGGTCTACCCTTTCGTAAGTATAACATCCTTGGAGTGGGTGTAGATTTTATGGTACTGTGATGGAAGTAAAATGTAGAAGAGGGGGATACACTAACATGAGTCGACACTAGGTAGGAAACATAGACATCCTTTGTGCCCTCATTCTCCTTCAGTGGTGTGTCTACCGTACACTCAATCATACCGTTATCCAGGGTAGCTGTGAAGGCACCATCTTGAACTGGGGATAGAACTTCTTCTCCCGCGGAGCTCATACGGCGTTTTCCATTGGGGTCATCCCGCGAACTGGAGGCGTTATCGATATCTGTATACGATGTAGCGGGTCGCGATGCATCGCTGTCCCCATCATTCCTCCAAGAAACACTATCGAAATCGTTGTGATCCATGTTTGTTGGTGATATATATGCCGTGGGAGCGGATTGATGTTTATGTAGGAGCCTGAGTTGACCAGGGCTTCGGATATGCCCACGAATCTCACCGCGCGTCTAACAGGAAGGCATAAAGTGATATATCAACTTAATACAAGTACAAAGATATAGAATTCGGGCTGATCAAGCATGGAGTGTCTCCTAATCACACAGTGCGCATGAATGGTTGAACGTCGAATTCTCTCTTCTCTTTCTTTCTCTCTTTCGCTCTGTCTTGCTGTATGAAGGAACGAATTCATCATCACGTGATATGATGATGTCAGTGTCTCCCTCTTTAGGACTAGCGCCTGTCCCGAGCTTTTCTTTTCAACTTTTGACAAAGAATCGAAGTTGGACGTCAAGCCAGCATCTTTACATACAGTAAGGCCGGACGGTTATGATGGTATATCAGCCGGAACATACCGACTGGTATATTGATATTAGCAGCCAGCAGGCCCTTTAGAGGAGAAATTTTAGGCGTCAACATGTCCACCATGATGACCCTTCCGTCTGTCAGACGAGACTACAGAGTAAACAATATCTCCAACGGGCCTCTAAGCGCTTCCACTTGATGATGACGGCTGCAAGGCCGCATGAATTCCCATGCAGGGCTTTCAAGCCAGTGGCTAGCTTCTCGCTGAATGTTGAGGTTCTGTCACTGCATGCATCCCCCAACTACATACAGGCCTGATCCTGGGGCGGGATGTAAAACATTCAGACGGAACCCCTTGGCTTGACACAGGCTACCCCGACATCTCTCATACAGGCTGAAGGGGCCACCGGCTATCAAAATGCTCGGTGGTGGAGCATACTTGCACTGCAGCAGTGAATTGGCGTCTCGACAGTTATTTATAGCTTGTGCTTATGTATGGGATGCAGCGACTTAACACCAAGATATAGCTGCAAATTTACCATCAGCCATGGAGATATCGAAGTACTTACTATTAGCGGGTCGAACGAGTCGAGACGGAAGATAGTTGGCTACTTTTGTTTGCCTACTCTGGGATCCCTTCCGTATACTCTATACTACCGTATTGCACTTGTTAAAAACACCACCAGTGTGTGAATTGTTCTCTTTCAGCCATATGCAACATTTAATGGTCTTGATCAACTTGCACAATATATATGACCTCTCGTCGATCAGATGGAGTATCGATAATGAATGGATCGGAGTATCAAATTCGCACCCAGTTGAGGTGAGTCCAAGCACCTACTTCCGTGCGACCCATCATTCTGACTTTGATGAAAAGGCAAAAAGAGAAGGACATCAAATGATAGGCCGACTGGGAGAGTTTCATTTAGCGCTGAGAGGAAGTATAAACCGGGCTCGAGAAAAGAAAGCAGCGTCGTTCGAAGATCTTTTCAATGTCGTTAAATATATGGGCGTCTGTATCGCGGCCGTATCGCGGAAACGGCGATTGTGACACTAGCGCCTCTTTTTCATGCAGGCTTCTATTGTTCTCTGCAGAGAACAATAGGTTATTAATACGACCGCCCTGGCATTCCCCACAGGCTAAATAGGAAACCACACTGCTGGGAACGAACTGGCCATTGTGATATTGTGATATATTACGCTTTTCAAGGAGGAGCAAGCAATACATTGCATCGCAGTTCCAAGGATGGATGGGAAGAGAAGGCCGCCCATTGGAAGCCTCGGGCTGAAAGCAGCATCGCTGGCTTATTTTCGCATCTCTTTTTGGGGCCAGTCTTGATACGACCCTTTCTGTCGGTGTGCTCTCAGTGCCTCTTTACCTGTCTGTACGGAGTTATCCCTTACCCCCTCCGGATACACAACAGCCGCCCCCTTTTGGTTAAGGGCCATGACTTATCTATACTAGATATATAATCTATACTTGGTCCCGATGTGTGTCCCCAGATCTTGCTGGTTTTCTTCTTGATCTGTTTTATATATTCTTCTTCCTCTTCTTGCCTCCCCCGTTGTTCGTTGAAGCATGCTGTTTTGAGTTTTGATCCCTCTCCCTTATTATATACTTTTCAACGCGTGTGAATTTCTTATGTATAGAGTTATCTTCTCTCATTATTTGGATGGGTTTATTCGAATGTGCGACTCGATGCCGGTTGACAAGGCCTTCATTCTGAGCCAGCGGCCATTCAATTTTCTCACCTTCTTCAGCCGATGGATCCAGGCATTTACGGCACGGTTCCCTGGAAGACAGAACTATCGACCCTTGGCGGAACCTGAATCCACGCCAGAGCACCCAATCTCCGTCGTCTGCATTTCAGACACACATAACTGGCAACCTGAGCTGCCAGATGGCGACATTCTCCTCCATGCCGGTGACTTGACGGTCAACGGCACATTTGAAGAACTACAGGCACAGCTGACATGGCTCTCTGCCCAACCACACACCTATAAAATTCTCGTTGCCGGCGAACACGATGTCCTTTTAGACCCTCCGTTTGCCCAACGAAATCCGGACAGGTACCCTTCCGTACCGGGGAGGACAGTCTGTGATTTGAATTTCGGCAGTGTCATCTACCTCCGAGACTCTTCCGTTACTTTACAGTTCCCTGAGCACGGAAATGGACGCGAAATCGCAATCCATGGCTCACCGTCCATATCGTCTAGCCCTTCGCGAATAGGAGCATTCCATGTCCCCAGAGGCACAGATGTATGGACAAGGGCGGTGCCAGAAGGAACCGATGTCTTGTTAACACATGAGCCGCCCTCGAAACATCTCGACGGTGACTTACACAGCGGTTGTGCTTTCTTGGGTCAAGAAATTGAACGAGTTAAGCCCCGTCTGGTCGTATTCGGCCATGTCCATGACGGATATGGTGTGAAGACCACCAACTTCGACGAGAAAGTTGTGCCAGTTGTGGAAGAGGGGACTGATCGCCAAAGAAAGGGTTGGGGTCCCTTTTTCAGGGCTGTGCGGGAGCAGACAGGCCACTTATTTGAATATATTTTCCCGGCTGCACCTTCTTTGATGCCAACAGTTGAGAAGCAAAAGCTTCCTACTACCACAACCTTCGTCAATGCCTGTCTCATAGGCGACCTGTTGGATGGAAATGACAATATTAATGAACCAATCGTGACCCATATATAGCCGTCATTGGCCTCAATACCACATCTATACCTTATTTACCTTTCACTATTTCAACTGTTCTGGCGTACGGGGTCCTAGGTGCTAGCGATGGGAACGAACATGGGCGTCTGCTTTTTTTCCCCTTTATATGCTATTATTTTATTCTTCCACATTCCCCATATATCTCGGGTCGTGCATAGTCCTTTTCTTGATGTACATTTAGCGCCCAAAAAGATACCTCTTGACGAGTTGAACTGGAACGGAGCATCTTTCTTTTCATCGCGCTCTCTCATTTTGCCCCGTATCTCGTTGAAAGCCTTATCGAAGCCGCTTTTAAACTGCAACCTTGTCCTTCTCATAGAAACAGGTTTATACCCAGGCAGCTCCGGGTAGAAGCAAATCTACGAGAAATACTATCATCTGATGTTAATATATATAAGAAGTCCCTGGTTACTTGGCCTGCTTCAGTCACCTAAAACCCTTAGTATGGCTGTGCATCTTTATGGACGCTATCACTAACCACGCCCTCCCAAACAAGTCAAGAAGCCCTCTTGAAAATATCTACATTCTCACTTTCCGAAGGGCCTCATTGTTCGGTTCCTCGAGCATGAGAGTTCTTACTAGGCAAGAGAGTATCATCTCTTAAGAAGTATTATAACACCAAGTGGTTCTCGTATTCACATCGAATCATTTTCTTTACTTGCATATTGTAATAAAGATCATGGAATGGCTCCTTTTACCTTTATATTTATAACTTTTCTTGTCTTCTTCATAGGTGGATGATAGATCTCTATAAGCTTGCTTCATATTTTACTTATCTACAGCTACAGCACACACAATCTCTTTATATTCGATCTTACATTACTATTACTTTTCAAATATATCGCCTAGTTAGGATGTTCATTACTTCCACCAAGGTAGAAAATAATCTATTTCTATACAGCAAAGAGATACATAAACACCCATAAATGTAAACAAAATGAGATTAGACAAATCAAAATACATCAAAACCATAATTGGTGAAAAGACATAAGAAACCAAATATGTATAAGAATATATGCCACTGGAAATATAACTATGGCGTTTACATATATAGTATGTCCAGCCGTCTGCAAAGATGAAAAATGGCAAGACAATTAAACGGAAAATGATGAAAAGACTCTGTAAGCGAAGACAACAAAAGGGGAATCACTCATGCAGTCAAACATATAAGCCAAATCTGAATAAACTGACGGAAAAAAACCCATGTCTAAAAGTATAATAGAGAGCAAGGTGAAATGTCTGCTTATGACCTTTCGGGTCTAGCTGTGGGTTCCGGGGTGGTAGTTTCCGGTCCATCATCATCATGATAGGAGTCATCGTCATCAACTCCATCCACGTACTCATGAGAATCTTCCTCTTCACTACTGAAAAGAGGATCTTCATCATCGCTATCTCCCGCGAATGCATCGTAGAGCTCTCCGCCGCGGCGTGTATGTTTTTTGCCTCCGGCACCAGCACCACTGAGTGGAAATCCTTCATCCTCCTCTGCCACCATCTCGAATTCGTATTCATTGCGATTGTTGCGGATACGTTTTCGACGTTGAATCCAGAAGTATACGCCTAGTGCAGAGCAGAAAATGAGAATTAGGCCGATAGAGCCGTATATCCAGATCTGGGTATGTTTCGAGACACCAAAGGTTGGGAAAGGAGATGGAAGGAAGTTTTCAGCTCCCGCGGAGGGCGAGGATGTGGCGGCAGCAGCAGAAGACGGTGTAGTGGAACCAGAGGGTTTTGGTCGTGTAGGCCGGCCGGGGTTGTCAGTAGGACGGAATGGAGGGCTTGTCTTGGTTGGTCCTGGCGTAACAGTGGTTGTACCGACGTGGGGGGCTGGTATGCTGGTGTCATGGTCGTGATCGTGGGCATCAGGTAAGGGGTGTAGCTTTTGAATGCTGGGATCGATTGACTCTCCCCATAGAGTAATTCGCCAATCAACAAATGTGCCGTTATATTCATTAACCACAGTATCCTTAACAATAACAGTCCAGTTTCCTACTCCCTTTTCACCCCTATTGTGAGAAAATGTTAGTTATAACCGTTGACAAGGATAGATACCAGCGCAGGGAATAGCTTACCAGTGAGCAACAGACATGAATGTCCAGTCAACGTATCCAGCCCTTTCATCATCCTGAGGCCGAGCGGTGCTCAGATAACTGATTACACCACTTGGACTGTGAAGCTCAACACTGAGGTCACCGCGGCGAGTATGGTTGATATTCATAGTGACGGTTACGTGTTCAACTCTCTCTAGGTTGTTTTTCTTAAGCATCTCTGTCGTGATATCAAAAGAAGTGGAAAGTCCTTTGTCGCCCTGGGGAACGTCATGGTAAACTTTCAACCACGGCGAGTGGAACCAAGCCTGCGGTTTAACGAGTTTCCACTCTTTAGCCAAATGGACCGTGGTATATGCGTCAACCTTGCCGTAGCCGAAATCGTGGCTGAACTTCTTTCCAATGCTGGTGGTCTGCCACCCTGGAGCAGTTTCATTGATAGGAACGGCAGTTTCAACAAGTAAATATTGTAGATCACGCCAGGTCAGCTCCGGACGAACCTGGAGAACAAGTGCCATGACACCAACCACCAAGGGGCCAGCAGCAGATGTTCCGCCATGCTGTGATGAACAGACATTGGCACCAACGTCCGTGGTATAAATGTATCCGCCACCTCCACTGCTATATGTCACAACCAGCTGCGCAGAGCACGACTCGGAATAGTATGGATGCTCGTTATTCCAATCAACGGAACCCACAGTTATGCTGAAGATACTGTTGGTGTAACCGTCAAAGTTGCAGTTATCTCCGTGGCCCGCTCCATTGCCAGCAGCAAAAACGAAAACAGAGCCCTTTCCACCGCGGCCCTTTTGGATCCCGTTGGCAATGGCTCGACGGACCAAAATACCGGGTGTATCCATCGTCCTGCCATCGTCGATCGGGCCCCATGAACAAGAATAGATTTGATTCTCCTGGAATCCATAATTGACCGCAACAGCCTCATCCGCATCATTAATAGCCTTTGATAGAATACGAATTCCAGAAACCTTGCTATCATATGCAACGCCAACGCCGCAAATGTCGTTGCGGACAGCTGCAACCTCGCCAGCACATCTGGTCCCATGCTTATCATCGTCTAACAACGGTCGAGGCTCTGAATGCATCTCGTTAAAATCATAGGAGCCTGCCGCAAAGTAATTATCCTTCAGGTCATTGCTGTACATATCTAAGCCATCGTCAACAATAGCAGAAATAGATCCGTTCCCAGTAATTCCTTCAAGCCACAGACCCGTAACGTTAAGGTCATTTCCCGGGTATAGAGTGTTAAAAAGATGCCACTGCTGTTTAAAGATTGGGTCCCATATGGCTAGCGTGTTTGCAATCTCATCTTGCCTCGACTGAGCGCCAGGGTCTGGAGTTTGGTCAGGTCGACGTTGGTTGAGCACGATAGATTCGGATTCCGGCCTGGGAGGAGGGATTCGTTTTTGTAGGCGTCTCTTTGGTGTCAGTTTTTCAGACCATAATATTCCATCCAGTCCGTCTATTCCAGCAAATTCTCCACGAGCTTCTAACGATCTTCGACGACGGGACCTCTTCTGTAGGTCTTCTAGCATTTCATCCACATCCACACCTTGTCCTTTTCGTAGAGAGAAGGTATGATGACCTTCCAACTCCCCTATCTGGCCTTCATGCTGAACTCCTAACAATTGTTCTACCTGGGCCGGCGATACCGAAGAGTGTAGTTGAACTGCAAAGTAATCATGGGCATCGTAGTCACGGCGGTATAACGAAGCATCGACAGCACCAGTACCAACCAACACGGCAGCTAGATGGAATACGTTTCGAAGCTTCATGCCTGCGTGTTTGCGCTCTTTCGATACTGTAGGAACCGGGTGGTTTTTGACCCGGTGGAATTATCGATTGGTGTACATTCAACTCCGCCCCCAGAAAAAGATGGGGACGTGTTTTTAAGGAGGGGCGGAAGGAATTCGACGACGAAGGAGGCCCTGCAAAGCGTGGAATATTTTAGATATGGAAAGGAGGTTGCGCTGAAGGGCGAAGAAAGCTCAGTTTGCTGGTAAAGGGCGCCAGTTGAAATGTTTGATCGTCTCGACACGTTGAGCTTGCGGCCTCGCAATCCACTTTTTTTAGTACGACGGCAATGCTTTGCTTATCCACATGAATAGCAAAGCGCCAGGGGTAAATTCGGAATTCACAAGTGCCGCTCAAACGAAAGGATGATAGTACTTCGTGGGCCTGGTTTGATAAAGAAGGAGAATTATTCTCTTTCTTTTCGTTTCTTTTTTTCCCTAAAAGTAACGGAGTAGTTATTCGTTACTAGAAGATCTCCTGGCCAAGCAACGCTACTTTTGTATTCGCTCCGTACAAGAGAAAGAGAGCAACTTTACTCCGCCAACTATACCTCAACCATCTCATTCGTATTATCTTCCTTTCACGTAATAAATGTATTAAACGATTTTTATTTTTATTAACATGAAAAAAGACTTCATCGATGTTTCAACTACCATTTTGGGATATCGGATAATTATTCCGCCTTCAGCCGGATCAGCTGACTCGGATTATATTTATTCCTCTATATTGCACGTGCTTCCATACACGTGATGGCTTAGATTGCCAAGTGTATGACATCATCGTTGGCTGCCTATATATATATAAAGAAGTTCAGCTCTTGGTCCCACAATTCCTAACTTTTTTTTAGATGGATTCCGTCGTAGCGTAGTGTTAAGAGTGGGCGTGGCTTTGAATCGATGATGATTTACAGGACATTAGGCTGGATGAGTACTTGGTGACATCAGGATGGCCTTATCTGCGCTTTCAATGTCTTGCGGCAATGTGCTGCTGTTTCTGAAGCTCATTTTCGACGGCTGTATTCGCAGCGGCAGACATAGCACACTATGCTTCGGTATAATGTCTCCCTTTTGATGGGATCTCGGTTCCAGACTTTGAAGCAAAGATGCCGTTCATAGGCGATGTTATGGAAGCTTGAAGAATAAAGAAAGGAAGTGAAAGATAAAATCCTTTCCTAAACAAGCGCTGATATAGTTATATGTGAGTTCGCTGTCGACGACCTCGGCGAGATCAAATGGTCACACACTGTCTTTTCGAGCTTCTGGATAAACAGAGGTATACACCCTTTATGTTGTTTGGGAAGACTAGAAGCTGTGGCTTGAGTGCGCTTCTATAGGTTCACTGCGTTTGGCTCCTTTCCGTTATCTACTGTACGGAGTAGGCATCTAGGATCTATCTTTTATAGAGAACTTTACGTATATAAAGATCACTATATAAGCACTCTTCCATCTCTTAATAAAGCTGAAATCTTTCTCGTATCCAACGTATCTTCTAGGGGCCCACACGACTGCATGTTCTGCACGCGATCGACAGAATCTCTCTTTCGAAGAAAAAGCACCAAAATGCCCCGGAGGAAATACAAAATGAAGCTGTAAGGGTATCCTCCATGCTATAACGTGCATCGAGGTTTCGTTATCTTATGCCTTTGTTATGGAGCAGTCATACACTAAAACACACCACCCGTTCCTTGCTCGTTCAAAGGCTTCATGCGAACACCACAAAAGATGCCCAGGGTAGGATGCCTTAGGCTTAAGACGGGGGAGTCTATTGGCTTTTCGGGGACCTGGGTTTGAAATGGCGCTACACAAGCACCTCGTGTTATATACTGCATAGATATGCACGCACATACATAGGATGCTTCTCTTAGACGGAATATACCCTGCTGCAGATTCTTATTTTTCTAGTTCGGGATTCAAGCGAACTCCACAGACAATCCCTGAAGTCAGCTGGAGGGGTTACTTGCAAGCTTCTTGACAAAATACCCAACCATCTAAGCCGAAGCTAGACCGTGTTATTACCCAGTCACTGCTATCTTGATCTGGTCTCGTTAAAAATACCCAATTCACGTCAAAGTAGTCGATGTACAAGGGTATATAATACGTATGTCCCATCTTTCTTCTTAGACAATGACCCCTTTGAGCACTGGCTCGGCTCAAAGGAATACCAAAGTGACATGTTCGGCAGGGAGTATCCATCTACATTATATATAACCTCGCCTTTCGCCCAATTTTCTTCTTTCTTTTTGCTACTCAGTTTGCTCGGAGGCTTTAGTTTCAATGCATTCACATACTTAGATCTCTAAATTTCAAACCAATTAACAATCGACAAGAGAGACCCGGCGATGGAGGAGATCAAAAATTTCTTATACCCCTTGAGTCCACCCACCCGTGTCCGCACACGACCATTGGAAGTTTTGTGTGTTGGGCCTTCTCGAAGCGGTACATGGTCTCTTCGAGCAGCGTTGCTAAACCTTGGATATGACCATACCTATCATGGCTTCGACGTAGTTACGAATCCACCCGACGACAAAGCATGGTATCTACTTCATCGCCAAAGGTTGAAATACGCTGCATCTCAGCCTCGATCGAAAGGACTTGCCATTTCGTCCACTGATTTTGATCAAGTGGTGGGCCATTGTGCTGCCATGACTGACCACGCTGCTGCAGTCTTTGCCCCCGAACTTATAGCAGCATATCCAAAGGCGAAAGTTATTCTCAACGTACGACGAGATGTCAGAGCATGGCATAATAGCGTTATGAACACGATTGTTGTTCACTCAAGAGATTGGGGGTTCTGGTTTAAAAGCTTCTTTCATACCGAGCTCTTCTGGGCCCAGGAAGGGTATTATAGAGGTACTTTGAAGTGGTTTTACCGAGGCGACTTTCAGCACAATTCGATAGACGTCCTAATAAAACACTGCGAACGAGTGCGAAGTCTCGTGCCGAAGGATCAACTGTTGGAATGGGATGTTGAAGACGGATGGGAACCGTTATGCAAGTTCCTTGGCAAGGAAGTCCCAGATATTCCCTTCCCCAAGACCAACGACTCTACCTCTTTCTTCAAAAAATGTGAAGAGTGCTATGAGGCCCGGGTGCTGAAAGCGACTCGTAACATGTATCTTTTCTTTGCCATCTTGCTATGCATCGTTATTCCCTATACAATTTTCTTATGGCGGGAGTGACCAGATCAGCGCAGATATCCGATACTGCTTTTTTTTCCTTGTTGCATGCATGTACATAGAGAACCTAAGGACCAGCCCTTGTCTTGCCTTCCCACCCACTTTTACGCAGAAACACCCATCGATGCATGCCTAGAACATTCTAACAACGATAACTCCAATAGTTTATCAACATATGGACGAATGATCAACAAATAGTAAACTCAAGCGGCAAAATTGAGCTTCGCTTAGCTTAATAATAGGGTTGCTTGTTAACTAGTTAATTAGCCCGGAAGTTAAATAGCCGCCTATAAAAAAAAATATAATCGCAGATTATTGGAATACTTTTTCCTCGTCTCTGTTATTCTGGAAGAGCGCGTGATAGATTATTTTGTGCTTATAATGATAATGGTAATGATGGCGAAAAGGAGTCTATGGGCGATTTGTTTGTGACACCATTCCAACGGTGTATTCTGTCAACTTTCCATCGTTTTATTGGTTTTGTCTCCTTATGCCGAATTCGAAGACGGAATTACAAAAATTTTTGGATACCGCAAATTATTCGTTCAAGGGTTGATTAATATGTTTATTATAGCAAACGTCACAGATTGGCTTCTGTGGCTTATTCCCAAACCCTTTGTTCAACTTGCTCCTCAGACCTGGCTTATCAATATTTCCCACCGCCTCAAAAACGAACGAAAAATTAATGATTCTAAACGAGGCGACCCTGTAGTCAGAATTTCATATAATATGGTCGTCAAGTACGGCACTGGTGTTTCTCCCGGCGAAGCAGCGACTCAGGAATACGCCTCCCAACATGTCGACCCCAATATTGTCCGAGTTCCCAGAGTTTATCGCTACTTCCAACACCATGACCCTTCCGATACAAAGCCCAAAGGCTACCTTTTTATGGAATATATACCCGGACAGAACTTGAAGACGTTGAATAATATTGATTCAAACAGTGAGATTACCAAAAAGTTGACGAAAATAATTGCCCACCTTGGGCAGATAAAGGGTGGGGGTGTTCCAGGTCCAGTTGGCGGTGGCATGCCCCGAGGCTACTTGTGGGGGGATAATGGTGCAAAAATGGAGTTTGGGTCTTTAGAAGACATGAATGCCTGGGTTAATAAACGTATCGAGCTTCTTGAGGAAACTGTTGACCTGACGCCACACTCGCTTAGCCTTTGTCATATGGATCTATGTCGTCGGAATATTATACTGATGGAAGATCAGTCAATATGCCTACTCGATTGGGGTCATGCTGGATTTTTCCCACGATTCTATGAAATTGCGGCCATCAAGTGCAGCAATGATCATTATAGCATGTCGCTTTTTGAGGCTACTACTAAAGCGATTGCTTTGACGGAAGAAGAGCTTAGGTGTATGGATTTGGTTATAAAAGCTCGAGATGCTAGCTTACGGTGGTCCTTGTAAGTTATTATCCCTGGGGTTCTATTTGTATTGGTTGCTTCTAACCATGCTATCTAGTGAGAAACGCACTCATTGCAACACCTCTCCCTTCTTAGACTTTGTCACTGCTAGAGTATTAATATAGCCATTTTACGTGCATTATGCATTTTCGAAGGGAACATGGATATATAGAGGGTATCCTCCTAGATATTATATATAGAACGAACTATACTTGTTGGGCCACCTCACATTTAGTATGTTTCATCTAGTCAATCGCACTAGCTAAATATCCACCATTCGTTCCTGGTCAATAATTCTATTCAATCTACAACAAAGACTTGTTATCTCGTGCAAAGAATAAAGCAAATGTAGTGTTTGCAAACCACAGTGTACGGTAGTTAGAGGTGAAGCTCCTCACAATGGTAAGTGAAGAGAGATGTTAGGCCTATTGCACTCTTCGGATAAATAAACCAGAGAAATTACATATTCTAATAATTTGCTCCTAAAGTTGTACTTATCCAGCGAATAAGTTATGATACAATGAAATTATGGGTATTCATTATTCTCCATATAAAATTCATAATCCCTTGCATGCCCTCCGTATACATCCCATAACAATCTCAACACAAATGTAGCATGTAATAGAAATGCTTGTATTCAAAACTTTGAGGCCACAACCACAATCCTTCAATGAAAAAAAAAAAAGAAAAGAAAAAGAAAACTCGAGATGAAGAAACAGTAATTCAGTACAGGAAATGGAGAGAGTCTTCTATCAACTACCGTATTTGTCCATAATAGCCTTGAATGAAGGATCCCGTAAAAGGTCTGCTGCGGAAGGGCGTTTCTCTGGGCAGTAAGTGAATACCCGAGACATAATAGACAGAATATGTTTTCGCTCAACGGGATCACTCTCAGGGCGATGATATGCAATTACTGATTCAAGTCCACGTTCTGGATTGACAGTTGTATGCTGGTCATACCAGGAATCGAGCGCTCCAGGGTAAATATAAAGACCTTTCCATTTCTCGGGTAATGGGCCCAAACGGCAAACAATACCAGCTATTATCCCACCCCTAAAAATAGTAGGGAAAGGAGGGGAGCCCAGGTAAAGTAACGAAAAGAGGACCATATAGCTCCACATATCGCATGCAGTGGTTAGGCCCTTTTTATGGAGTCGATCAGGGGAACAAAATCGCTCAGGTGGGCCGCCATGTTGATATATAGGATCACCTATTTTCATCGCCAGGCCAAAATCCCCAAGATAGAATTCGTCTGTACGTAAGTTCTCGGGGACATTAATAGGCTGAACAAGCTCCCCCTTCTTCCAGAGGTCATCGATAAATGGTATAAGTCGCTTTAGTGGTCGGCCGAGTGCTTCGTACTTCTTATTCCGGCTAAGGTTATGGAGAGGGACCATCCCCCACATACAGTTCCTCTCATTTAGGTCTGTTCGGTAGCCATATTAGAATGTGTTGCTAATAGGAAGAGATGTAAAGATGGAGTTTACTTACCGCGATGTATAATTCCAGCTTTATGTAAATTTCCTAATGCTACTAATAACTGCTTTGCAGCAGACATACGAGTAGCCATAGATATATTTCTTATAGTAAGCTGGCAAAGGGGTGGGCCCATTAATGGAAGTACCAGAACTCTATGATAGCAATTATTTCCAGGTAGTAGAAATGTCGCTAAATAGGTCACAAGGTGAGAGATATCTTGTACACGTTGAAGGATTTCGGCCTGTATACGGGTTTCGATATCTCCCCATTCTCCCGAAGACATAATTTTAAGGGCCACATCCTTCTTATCTTGAAGGTCATGAGCCATCCAAACGGTAGCGAAACCGCCAGAGCCGACTTTATGCTCTACCAAGTATCTCCCATTGATAACTTCCCCAAGGAGAATAGGGTAGTATACATGCGGAGTTTTTTTATTATCGTATTTGTGCCAGGGTTCCACTACCTCTTCGAGGTCAAGCTCCTCATCCTCATTTCTCACAAAGACACCAAACTCTGCAGCGTCATCTTCGTCCCTTTTGGGATATTGGGGTGTTGCTGCCACTACCGGCATACCTGGCGCTCTATCCGGAAGTGCTGCAATGGCCGTCATTTGAACGAGTATATATCGATCGTGAAGCAGGTAGCTGTGGAGTTTATCTGAGAAAAAATGTGGGATAAAACGTGTTTAGCGGTCGAGGAGATGGGAACTGCATAAACTACTGACCAAATATATGTGACTGAGGTTGGAGCTAGGAGAATCTTATAAAAGACATATCACGTGACAAGGCCTTGTACCCGCTGGCTGGGCTCCACCGCTGTTGAAAAAGTTGGATACAAAAGGCCTGATGTTCCCATTGGTAATGTGTGCAAGTCGGAGCAGAATGGACTGCATAATCCAACAAATTGCCCACTTATAACTATCCAACATATCCCCCAGCAACCAACATTAAACGGACTCAGCCCCCAATACCCCATCTCCTGCATGCGTTTTAACTGTTAGCCGCCCACTACAGTTCCTAGCGTCCAATTATTGAGAACTCGGCGTGTTTCGTTTGCCTAAAACCTGCTTGAGGGGCTGGCATGGATTGTGATGGGGTATCTCAATGTTTAGGTGGCCCAGGGGTCTACCATCTAATGAATCCAGTCACGTCACCAAAGCAATAAACCTTAGTTACATGGGTATGGATTCAAATTACTGAGAAAGGGTTGCTTTGGAGCCTTTTTACGTTATGGAAGCGCCGCGTTATTTTTAAATTCAACCACTTCTCTAGGCGCTGGCTCGATTCTCTAGTACTTGACATACGGGGTACTTCTAACACGGATCTTGCCTGGTCCTTTTTAGGACTCTCAGGTTGATTGGATATAGCCTCCCAGCTTGGCACAATGATTGAGGTCTTTGATGGTTGGTTAGGGAGTAAGGATGGATTAAGTCTTTGTCAGACTAAAATATGAATGCTTTAAGGCATTATTCAGCCTGGGATTGGCTCAATAGACTATATGTGTCTGACATAGGGGCCATGTTCAACGTCCCAGGCGAGCCGAATATCTGAATATCTGCTTGCCAAGTATACGTTAGTCTCTAATCATAAATGGCAGGCGGCAAGCGAAACATTATACAAAAATAGAAGAACAATCATCTGCCAATCGATTAATATCAAACCTCAAGGCGTGACACACAAAATAACAAAATTGGTAAGTACGAGTCCTTTCAGGAACTTGTACGGCTTGCCGCCCATCTTTTGGCCCCCAGAACTAGCCGCATGGTTTACCTACCTTCTAAGGTGAGGAAAGAGAAGCAGCGTTCCTAAACCCTGATGCGCAACGACAGCTAGGCTGGGTTCAACATCCGAATATATAAAGCCCATCATTCCTTCCTATCCTCAATTTCTCCCCTCCATCACCAAACATCCCCCATACAGTTGGCCAACAAACCATTACTTACCAATCCTGATTATACCTTAAAATTAACGCTTAACGGAGTTGTCTCCTTTCATATTCGCTGCCGCTAGTCACCATCGAAAGCCCTAGTTTAAAATGTCCTTTCCCAACCGGCTCCCCGCTAACTCATATGAGGGCACGATCGATGGTATTGAAATCAGATGGGGCCCTTCCGCAATTACCAGACTATCCGATAATGCCAGTCTTTTCCCGGCGGGCCTAGAAACCATGAAAGGTGTTACGGAAGATTTGGGTTATGCGTGTGCAAAGCGACTCGGGAAAAACAGGGTTAAGATCTTGTATGTCATCATCCATGTTTTGAGTCAATTATTTATTCAGTACCCTAACTATCTTCTAGGGGCGCATTCCATGACCATACCACCAATTCCGCAACCGGGGAGAGACGTCCAGATGGCCGCCATTGCACGTATGGGATGAGTCCAGGGCAAATTAGGGTCCATGTTTACGTTGATCTCACTGAAACGATGCCGATTGAGGAAATGAAGGTGTTGGGAGAAGGCGTGGTCCTGAACAACACAACTACCCCAGACCCAACTCTATCCATAGGTACTTATTCTTATTAATGTTGTGGGATTTGGTACTTGAAGGAACAATGTGTATGCGCACTTTTGAGCCCTTGTTTATATCTACTTTTTGCAATGAAATAGTCTTCGCTTCGCTTCAGCAATTATTTATTAAATTAAAGGGGATATATCTAACTAAGTAGTTGGCTCTATTTTATCCATTTTTCTAAGGTTGGCTAACAACCATGACTGTAGGCATAAATGGGATGACTAGTCGATAGATAAACTTGTGTAAGTTAGTAAAGGGATACATTAGCTGGTGTCTGCCTTTTGCCAACTGGTAAAACATAGATGGGGTACCTATATGGCAGATGTCAAAAGAAATTCGCCACTTCAACTCATCCGGATGCTCCAACTGTGTTTTTGTCTGTTGACTTTCACCGGTGAGAGACACTTCGTCGAGGATTGCTTAGATCTCTAATAGGGGTAATGCCAATGAGGCAGCCATCTCGTGATGCATTGGAATATCGAGATATAGGCAGATAAATCTCTTGGGCAGATCTGTCGAATGGACAGCTCACATTGCACAGTGAATTGATCAGTTGGCAGGAACCGTAACCACGGTTAGCTGCATGAATCGATGAAATATTTGTTATGTAATGCCTCCGTGGCCCTTGGTGGTAGATATAACCGTAACTACATCAGCATATTGATATAGTTAACTATTAGATATACTTAAATGTTGTGGCGAACGATAACCACCAAGCTTTATTAAGCAACCGGAAGAGCCGTTGGTCAACCATGGATCAACCTCGAAAGCGTTCATAACATATCAATACACTATATAATGGTATACTATATCACCGTGCATTGTACATCGTCCGTCGTAAAAGACAGCCGTTGGTGCAGGGAATCAAGGCTGGGCCGCCCAATGACGTGGAGGCGCCGCCAGCCACCGCAACTTCAAAGACTGCGAATTCACCAACAGCCGCATCGCCGAAACAACATCAAGCAAGCGCCGTTATTTCCCCCCCCCCCCACGATAGACAAAGGCAAGCTATTATCATCTTGTATCTCTACCGGATTGCCATTGTATAACTATTTGCCATTGGAGGCCTTAGTTGGCATCTCTTCGTCCGTCTGGCCTTAGCATTATCATCATCAAGCTTATTTGAACAACCACTTTTTTTTTGAAGCACCGCAGCACTCACAATAATTCCTCTCAGCTCTGGAATAACTTCTTGCGAGCTCTAACTTCTCTTAGTTCGCCATATTCTATGCCAGACGAGGTGGCTCATTACCCACTTGAGAGTTTCTGTTTTTGAGAATTGCATATAGACTAACTCGCTTGACTATCAGTTACAGTCCGCCTACCTACCTTTCTAGTGCTATTCCAAATTATCGAAAGTATTTACTTTTTTATCTTAAAACAATGGTTGTTGGGCCATTGAATTGAGATTTATTCTAAATTTACTATATCCTACCGCTACTCACCGCACAATGCCTTCTCGAAGACCATCGGTGTCGCAGCCGCTTGTTGAACCCCATCACTACCACCCAGGGCATAAAAGGAATGGAATGATGCATAAAAATGGTTATCCAGATCAAACACGGGCTCAAGATGATTATGATATGCCAGTTGGCTCTCGAGTTCAACCTCTCCAAGTGACTTTGCAGGATGAGGATGAGCTCCGTTCATTTGCACACCATGCTAAAGAACGCGGACAAGAGGAATTGCCATACGACTCAGCTTCACTCAATGGAGCACAAGACACATCTATGAATGCGCCTATGAGCCCCACTAGTGCATACCAGAAAACAAACCCACAATCACCGACGGCACAGCAAAATCAAGCATCGCCAAATATGAATTCACCCCCTCTGTCACAACCGGGTGCCGATGCATCGCCTACCGCATGCCAGAGCGCACAGAAGGCCTCAAGACAAAAGAAGGCTGCAAAGGAATGGGCACCGGCACGGTCACCACTGAAGAAACTGGAACTTACGTTGAACGATATAAGCAAGGAAGAAAAACGTGCGAGGGTAGAAGAGGCTGAAATGCTACTGAGAGAAGCTCGTGCAGGTCGCCATGGCCGTACTGTCAGCCGCGATGCTGGTGGTAAACCTCATCTTGCTCCAGACAGCGCTAGAAATAAGGAGAATGCGCGGAGGCCAACAAGCCTTGAAGAAGCTGGGTTGCTGAGAAGTCTGAGTACTAAGCAGAAGGACAAACTTCGTGAGAGTGCTCAGATGGAATTGAAAAAACCGGCTCTAGACCAGGATTTTGATGATGATGGTGATGAAAGGAGTGGGTTCCGGTATGAGAGGGCTCCTCCACCAATGGGTTACGATTCTCCCTACAATTACAATGAACGTGCGCAATTCGCGGCCCCGTCGTCAAAAAGCCAGCAAATACAGCGGCCCAGACAGCTATTCGATCCTGTTGATGAACCAAACATGAGAGCAATAGAACTGGAAACATCTCCTCAAACCGAAGATCCAAAGAATGGCCAACGAAAAGAAAAGCATGCATCTGTATCATTTGCGGTTCCTCCACCTACCCCTCCGCCAGTGTCTGAATGGAAAACCGCAGTCATCGGCCGTTTATGTCTGGCTGATTTCGACCTTCGCCTGCCCGAGATGGAGCGGGACTGGAGAGGCCGGGGAGGTAGGGGACCTAGACATGCCCATAGAGGCATTGATAGCGGCCTGCCGCGAGTCTCACTTAAGAGTAAGTTGCCTGGATGCTAGTATTCTCTACTTATTAATTGCTAACTGGCCTGTTAAAGAAAACACACCATTCAACCCACCCCTATACCTAAAGTGTGGGCCTCTACTTCGATTTACAGGCACAACTAAGGAAACAGTACACCTACTAAGCGGGCCTTGTGAGCGAGAGATTTGGCGAGGGTCTATCATGATTGTTACCCAGGATTCAGCCTCATTCTATGATACCCCACCAACTCTAAGGATATTCTCACAGCCAAAAGAATTGCTTCCTCCCCCACCATCTAATGTTCCTAGTGACCATGAGTCACCCCTTGCGCCGGAGTATGTTGATCCCATAGCTGGCCTAGGGAAAGTAGGGAGAAATGGTAACTTGCTCTATGTCAAACCTGTTGATCATATAGAGGAAGGCCTAGATCTTTGCTACGACGAAACTGAGGAAGGGCTATTCGAACGCTCTCCTAGCCAAATTGATTACGGCTCTAATCGTCGTGTGTCCATACCACCAGATACAAGGATCCAAGGAATTGACGGAGAAATGGTTGGGAAATACAAAGTTGTCAAAGCTAGCCGAATATATATCGACCCTGGCAGAGACGTGACGTTCTGGCGATTTAGCCTGGAAATTGAACTTGGAGACAAGCAAGAACATGTCGCATACCGTATTAACAACGGCTCTGTGGTAGGCTTCTGGGTACCAGCAAGGGGCCAGGCAATGAACATTCTATACCATACCGGAAATGGTTTTAGTATGTCTGTCGATACAGATAAATACAGTGGGCCTGATCCAATGTGGAGAGATGCCCTCAATGCTCATCAAACACGTCCGTTCCATGTTATGATTGGGGGTGGATCACAGATCAACAATAACCCCATTACCGTTGAAGCTGACCATTTCCGAAAATGGCTTGAGATGAAAGGGAAAAATGAGAAGTATGAGTATCCTTTGAACCTGGACATCAAAGGGGAACTGGAGGAATTTTACCTAGAGAATTATGCTACTTGGTTTTCTCAGGGCCTGTTCGGCATGGCAAATTCCCAGATCCCGATGGTCAATATGTGGGACGATAACGATATTATCGGTGGGTATGGCTCGTTTACGGATGAATTGATGAAATCCCCAGTTTTTTCGGGACTGGGAAATGTTGCGTTCAAGTATTATTTACTCTACCAACATCAGACTGCGGTTGAGGAGACGGAGTTGCACGAACCAAGCTGGCTTCTTGGATCAGCTGAAGGACCATATATCCGACAAAAAAGCAGAAATCTGCTCATGAACCTGGGCGAAAGGATAGCCCTTTTGGCAATTGATTGCCGCACTGAACGATCTGTATGGACTACCCGTCGTTTGATTTTATATTTATAACACGCCATCGCTAACTCGACGATTTAGAAAATGGATATTATGATTGACGAAAGTTATGACTTGATCTGGGACCGATGCCATCAACAGATCGTAAAGGGTGAAGTTAAGCATTTGCTAGTGCTGGTTGGAGTTCCGGTTGCATTCCCGAGACTTGTAAGAACCGCCTCACTCTCCACCTACCAACATAATATGCTAATGTTAGTAAAATAGTCTTTAATTGAGGGAGTTCTCAAGGGCCCTGCGAAGGCACTTGGACGGAATGGTGTCTTCCGCAACCCGAGTATGAAGATCGAAAATACATCTGAGAAGATGGATGATCAGTGGACCGCAAAGCAACATAAACTCGAACGGAAATGGTTGATAGAAGATTTGCAAGAACTCGCAGCCGAGAAGTCCATGAGAGTAACCATACTGGGGTATGTATCGCCTGACTTTTCACCACATGTCGTAAATTTATATGCTAAAGCGTCGTTGTTTTATAGAGGTGGAGCCAATTTGGCAGCGGTTGGGCAGTTTTATTCTGACCCCAACTTACACATCCCTAAGGACAAGGACTACAGGTACATGCCTAACGTAATAGCTTCGCCCATAGTCGATGCACCTCTTTCAGAAATAATGACCGATACCCTCAACAAACGCAACAAGGTGCACACCTTGGATTTAAAGACTGTCGAGGACATGCGGGCAATGTTTCTACATGATGTTGAAGGGCGGCCACGAAATAACAAGCGACTTTTACCTCGAAGAAACTGGTGTTCTATCAGAGAATACACTCCAGGTATGTTGTCTATATATGGCAGTGAAAAGAAGCAACTTCTTAAAAGTATATTGTGACTAACGGGCCGTCGATAGGATTTACTCCTCCCTCTACACCCCCGGCCGAACCCACTTCCCCAGGCTCTCCAGCATCTTCTGCCGATATGCGTCCAGGAAGGCTAGGGAGAACATTGTCTATGTCCCGTGGGGACAAACCACCCAATGGGCTCATGCGGCGGTTATCTCTTCGGGGCCAACGCCCGCAAATAAGTCACCCCATCCCGAAAGATCAATTTACCCAGCGTATGAGCTATGATGAACCGCGGCTACGAGGAGATGGAAACCATTACCAGCAGCGGACACAGAGCGACGCCAACATATCAAGGGACCCTACTCATCACGACGGTGACGGCGACAGTTCATCGCTGCCTAACAAATTTGTTCGACGCCGCACCGATCTGAGCCTTCGAGAGATCAAGCAGGCAGCAAAGGGCGGTCCAGACCTCCACCACTTTATTAATATAGAAGGCAGTTTACATATCACGTTTAATTGTGAGGTTAAGCCCCGAGACCCGGCCGGGATCACTACGCCATATCACGTTCTTATCCCGACGCTATCGTTCGATGGAGAGTTCGAACCAAGCATTGAAGCTGAGAAGAAGCAATGGTGGAAACTAAGGAACCGTAAGAACAACAGTGTGGCACAAATCGATGGCCCTGAGCCAGAGGTTACAAAAGCCGATGAGGAGCAGGTCGAGAACGAGGACCACCGCGACTACGGCCCGAATCCGGGGGAACGCAGACATGGGTACTATGATGATGACGATATCATCAGCGGCTCTCCCCGCCACGTCCAACATGGCCACAGTCGACCAGGCGAGCTGCCAGCGTCCCCGAGAATGCTCCCTCAGCCGCCACAGACTCAGACCAAACATCATTACTTCAACGCTGCTGCCATGAACCCGGCTAATGACGGTGAGCATGGATATGACGGGATCGATGCATATCGTCCGAGGAAGAAGAAATGGCTGGGGATTCTTTGAAATCCGGTGTGATCGCCTGCGGTTCTAGACAGGCACATTTGGCAGCGAGGGTTACTCAGCAGAGATCTCGCCAGCCCGGGTAGAAGATAAGGGAAGAGGAACGGGGGGGGCAACCTTTCTATCTTAGCATGTTTCGTCCTCGTTTTAGTTTTCGATGAGAGCGTTCACCGTTTAAGATCTTCGACCAATACTAATGCCTTTTGAAAATAAGGAAATTTGGCAGACGTCGATTGGCAACTCGCATCGGCCCGTCGCACCCTATCTCGCATTCCCGAGGCCCCCATTGGCCCTATACGGCTAAACAAGAACGATAAACACCTCCCCCTTCTGCCTCCATGCTGGCGACTCCATCCTTTCTCAGCCCCTTAAAACATGAAGCATATCACGTGACTGCGAGAATATCCGAATCTTATTTTTTTTCGCCTTGATTGGTAATTTAGAACGTTCGAATTTACTAACGACGGAAGAAAACGAAGCAAGCGAAAGGCTTCGAACACTTTGAACTTCGCCTTTTACGAACTATCAGATGTCTGGCTGGCGGTCAGCAAGTGGCTCCCCTGCTCGTCCTGACACTCTCTGCCTGCGTCCAGATTGCCTCTCGCCGTCCCCACAGCGCAAACCCTGCGGCCGCCGCTTCTTCGTCTTCGTCCCTCTGCTGGAACAGCAACCTTTAAAAACACCACCGCCACCCTGTTTCCCTCATTCTTTCGCAGATTCCCCTTCACCTCAGTCCAATCAAGCGTTGGACTCTCTTTGGCCGCCGTAGCATCCGTCCAGCAACGAACCACCACCTCGTCAAGCCCCGTCCTCCCACACCCTTCTTCCGCTTTCAAAAGTCCCATATCAAACAGAATGGCTCACTCAAAGGTTGTCAGTAAGTAGACTGCCTGGCTGTTTTTTCTCCAATTGCCATGTTAGAAGCTGACTCCTTGGATGGCAAGTCATCGGCTCCGGCCCCGCTGCTCACACCGCCGCCATCTACCTCTCCAGAGCCGAGTTGAAGCCGGTCATGTACGAGGGTATGCTTGCCGGTGGCACTGCAGCTGGTGGCCAACTCACCACCACCACCGAAGTTGAGAACTTCCCCGGCTTCCCGGCTGGTATTACCGGCCCGGACTTGATGGACAACATGCGCAAGCAATCCATCAGATTCGGAACCGAGATCATTACCGAAACCATCACCCGAGTCGACCTCTCCAGCCGTCCATTCAAGATATGGAAGGAATATGCCGATGGTCCCAATGATGATCCCACTTGCACCGCCGATGCTATCATAATGGCCACCGGCGCCAACGCCAAGCGACTCAACCTCCCCGGAGAGGAGAAGTACTGGCAGAACGGTGTCAGCGCCTGCGCTGTATGCGACGGTGCTGTCCCAATCTTCCGTAACAAGCCACTCTTCGTCATCGGTGGTGGTGACTCTGCAGCCGAGGAGGCCATGTTCTTGACCAAGTACGGCAGCAGCGTCACCGTTCTCGTCCGCAAGGATCACCTCAGAGCCTCCAAGACCATGGCTACCCGCCTTCTCAACCACGCCAAGCTGGAGGTCAAGTTCAACACTGTTGCCACCGAGATTACCGGTGAGGAAGCTGACGGTGGCTTGATGACCCACTTGAAGATCAAGAACGTTGTTACCGGCGCTGAGGAAGTCGTTCCCGCCAGCGGCCTTTTCTACGCCGTTGGTCACGAGCCCGCCACCAAGATCGTCAAGGACCAACTCGAAACTGATTCGGAGGGATACATTGCTACCAGACCCGGCACAAGCTTCACCAGCGTACCCGGTGTATTCGCTGCCGGTGACGTCCAGGACAAGCGATACCGACAGGCCATTACCAGTGCGGGTACGTATTTTCTCCTATTAAACAGCTTTTTCCAATAACATAACTGACCGCTTTTTTTCAAATTATAGGATCTGGCTGTATTGCCGCTCTTGAAGCTGAGAAGTACATCTCCGAACTCGAGAGTGAAGGGGAGCCTGCTGCTGCTCACGAGGCCGCTATTAAAGAAGATACCAACCCCCAGCTTTAAATGTGCCTTTAATGCGTTGAAGCTTGATGACATGATTGCATTGATACATTTCGTTTAGATTCCTAGATATCCCTGTTCTTCATAGACAGAACCTTGTTTTATTTTCCAAATCTTGCATTACAAATCAATACGGAAAACACGTCAAGTAAAAAGTTGTTAATCGATGGCCATTAATTGCTAGTCATTCTTCAGTAAAGCGGATAATGGTACATATTTTCTGCAGCCGTCAATGCCACTATTTATGAATAAATGCTTGGGAAATAAACAATAAACTCGTAATGTACATACACTTGATCATATAAATCAGACGCTCCGCCCATGTCCATATTCCCCGTCGAAGGTTCAGGCTTACAACTCCTATACTATGTATGTCCTCCTAGCGGTAACAAAACTCCCATAATGCTGACTGGAAGGGCAAGAAAGAAATCCAGAGAAAGAGAGGAAGAAGGGAAAAAAGCCAGAACAGACAGCAAAAAGAGAAAAAGAAAGAAAAGCTGCATATCTCTCTCCCCACAGTCATTCATCATGACCTCCTAATCTTCTGTCTGCCGTCTTGTATCCCGTTTGCAGGATAACTGTCTCTCATGTTCTTAACGAAGGTCTCAAAAGGATTCTCCGCACACCATCTGTCCTTGACCTCGTATGTCTTCCGCTCCCACTCTAGAATCCGATCTTTCCACTTTGCAAAGTCTTCTTCGTTCGTCTTTCGATGAACCTCTATCTGATCTAGATACGGCTTCTTGATCTCCTCGCTAGCATCACGCCACATTTGGCCAAGGGCTTGCCGGATTTCGTCCCGAGGAGCCTTTGCACCTTCTTTTCCGGTAGCCTTGACTTTGGCATTGTCGCATTCGGTTTTGCAGATGTACCAGTAGTCCTTCTGGTATAGAAGGAAAGGGTTCAGGGCAAGTTTACGTGGTCGAGGTTCTGCAGGGCCGAGTTCAGATATAATGGCTGCCCACATAGCTTCATCGTACGCTTTCCGTAGGACATCTTCAGATGCTGGTGCTGTTGGGGAAGAGGGCGATGCTTGAGATGACATAGCCTTACGTTTCTTCTGCGGGGAGGCAGAGGGTGGCGTTGTTGGGCTTGAAGCATTATTTGATGCTTTGTTCCTTGCAGGCACAAGAGGGGATGGAATCTCGATTGGACCGAGGAAGGAGTCAATGACCTCGCTTGCAACGCGTAACCCTGAAAGATAGGCTCCGTGGACAGTTGCTGGATGGGTTCCGCATGTGGCCTCACCTGCGAAATATAGATCGCCGATAGGTTTTGCCATGGTATCGTAATCACCTGGTAGTGCATCGGCGGCGACATAGGAGTAACTTCCTTGGGAAAACCTGTCTTGCCCCCATCTTGTGACGATAGTCTCGAGGGGATCAGGAACCGTCTTGTCTTTGAAAATATTTCTTAATTGTGTCGTTACTCCATCAATAATCTCGGCATCAGACAATGTTTCGGCCCTATGAGCTGATTCTCCAGCCATTAGAGCAATAAGCATAGGTAATCCGCAGGTCGCAAGACAGTTCCAGAAGAGGTAGAACTGCCCACGATTTGCACGGTAGTCGTCCTGGGACATGCTATTTTCAACCGTGGGCTCCCTTAAAAGACCAAACATGTCCCTCTGAACATCCCAGAAGGGCTCTTCAAAGACAAGAATCACTTTGTTCAAGAGCCCGAAGCCAAGACGTTTAATCGCATTGGTTTTCCACTCTGGAAGAGGTGGGTTGAAGCTAATGGAAGATTGTTTCAGTACACCAAGTGGTGCGGTTAATACCACCTTATCAGCGTAAATAGTTTCTCCATCCTCACATTCAACTCGAGTTTTCTCGTTCGAGGTTGAGTCCGCGTTATAACATATTTTGGAAACGACCTTTTTTGTGCGAACGTCTAATTTTGATGGGAGTGACCATAGGCCTCGTGGCAACTGCTGATACCCACCAACAACCTGAGCATGCTCTCCTTCAAACTCATTACCCATATCTTGGTCCCAGCCTGAGAGACTGAGTTTCCCGACACTCGCAGCATTTGCATACTCGAGGTTAGCGAAATGCCAGTTTAGCAATCTCATATCCTTTGGTCTGAGCTCAAGAAGTCTCTGGTACTGATTTATGGCATCATCCATCACAGCGCCTAGATTTTGCGTATTCGATATGTTCGCGATTCCATCAAGGTGCAATGAATCGGCAGTGGAAACATTGTCTCTTAGCTTCCAGCCCATAGCTTGACAGGTAACTGCTGCGGAATGTTCCTCTGTAGGCTGAAGATCAGAAAGAGCGGGCCCAACTACCGGTTTGATATCTGTTGTCTTGTGTCCGACACCTCGCCGGAGCCTGGCAGCTGGTAGTAGGGTACCCGTGGTCCCAGAAGCGGCAGCATCTTCGTATTCTCTTATTGTTATTCCATCATCAGCGGATGTGTCTCGACCAGAGTTGATTAGCTCTTTATCTCCTTCTGCGGTTGGCGTGACAACCGCCTTATGACGGTATGTTCCCGACCTATCCAGGATATCATTATATAATTTTTCTGCCATCGAATCTTTTACCTCATCGACTGCAGTCCCGTCTGTGTCATAGATGGTTGAAATATCACGGAGTAGATGGCAACGCAGGGCAAGCTGAGCACGTATAATCGGATCTAAGGGGTTACCATGGTCAAATCCAACAATGATGTGCGCTCCCATTTCTGCTGTAGGGCGAAGTCCCTGAGGTAATTTATTTGTTTCTAAACTCCGTAGAGGATGAGAGTATATCCTGCCGCCTATTCGTTTCCGGGCCTCAAGGATGATTATTTTGGGGGCTAGCGAGCTGCTATAATAATGTTGAAAAAGCCCTTGTAGCTGTCTGGCACATCCTAATCCAGCCATTCCAGCCCCTACTATCACAATTGTAGGACCATCTTTTCGACGCCCGCGCTTCTGGAGGGATGGAGATTTAGGTATATCAACACAGCCGAAATTTATATACCCATTTCGGACGAGCCAATTATAGGCTATCGAAGCAAGAGGCATCCATCGACAATCCTTTGCACAGCCCAGCGCCTCATCTTCGGTGACGCTGAGCATAGGATTGCGTGACCATAGACGTAAGATACCATTCCGAATATTGAGGTATGCGGTGACATGTAGATGGCATAAGTGGTCCTGCAACAGCTCCTGTTCGCCTTTGTGGAGTGCATATGGGTTTAACCTAGAGACGTAAGCAGATTCTACACATTGCTGCCCATATACGGACGATGGGGTGCGCGCAGGTATCGATGACCTCGGCTTAACCCTGCTTGATAGAGTAGCGTAGTCCGTCGTCCCGTTGTCAGGGCGTATATAAGAGGCTGGTGCAGTTGATTTCAGTTGCCTATATGATGCTGAAGGGGAGGCAGGAGGTAATGTTGACGTTACAGATGTCGACGCCGTGGATCCGTTTGGAGGCGCATATTGGCCATCTCCTAGCTTGGTTTCCCTCGATAGGTCACTAAGACCAGAAGAGCTGGCTAATGATGGAGGAAATGAAGACGGCAACGACGACAAGGACAGCGACGAAGACTTGCTGTCGGATGCATTCGACTCCTGGCTGTCTGCCTGTGCTCCAGGGGCGAGAACAGCTGGAAGGGCGCTGGCTTTAATCTCCTCTGATACAGGTGGCAATGCGGCCACCGACATTATTTCCATGCTGTCTGTAGGCTCAATTAACATAGCCTTATCCTGCATTCTCACAGCATGATCCTGAACATGCAGGGCGTCGTCCATGATATCAGGAAGAGACGGTCGTTGGTGTTTTTTGAGACGAAGTAGGAAGTTTTTGGACTTTGCGGAAAAAAAGGTGGACATCGTTGTGAGAACTCTATTTTTTGCGGTTCAAACATTGTTCACCAAAAAAATACAACTTCTTCAGCCTTTTACTATTGAAAAAGATAATCGTCAACGTGTATGTGTATATGATGGAATACTGTTCCATGCAGTAGTTATTATTTACGTATGCTTGTCCAGTAAAAATATCCGAACCGTCTAACAATAACTCCCTATCGAATCTATACACCTTGGCCAAAACCATCACATGAATAACATAACATGCACCTACAAAATATCAACGTCATGGCGAGTTGAGGAGACCATGGATGTCTATCTCGAGTCCACATGCCGATGTAGCTTATATGTCTCATCTTTATCGTCTCCATCACCGTCAGCAAAGATATCAGACTCGTTATCCGTAAAATCATGATAACCGGGGTCGAGGACGACATGATCGTCATCAATATCGAGGGCTACATCATCGTCAAAGCCAACTGCCTCTTCCTCATCCCTTACACGGATATTCGACGCCGAGGTAGCGTTGGGATCATCGACAAACCCATCTGGCGAGCCCGTGGTTGGCCGGTTATTGGATGTTGGACCACGAATGTTAGCACGCTCCTCAGCCTCCAGTTGTTTTGCGCGGGCAAGGGTGCTGGTAACAGAGGGGTATTCAGTACCAATTGAAACATTATGAAGGGGGATAAGTCGACGTACCGTTTGTAAATGTACCACCCTGTAAAAACTCCTGCTGCCACACTTACGAGGATGCTAATGATGTTGACTGCCTTGGAGCCGGCACTCATCTCTCCCCCGTCCTCTGACAGGATTCTCAGTCTACTTCCAATAAATGTTGGAACAAGAAACTTCGGGGAGATTATTGCCGTTGCAAGCCCATACATGAGCGGACGAACGGTTGGAAAAGTCGAAACCGCACCGTTACATAGTGAATATGGTAACGGACATAATCTGATCATGCATAAAAGCTTTAACCCGTCGTATTTAAGGGTCAATGACAGCGCAGCGAACCGTTTGTCGTGCTTCATGAGCCTTTGGACAAACTTGGATAGAAGGGTACGTGAGACATAAAAGGAGCATGTAGACCCAATAACGGTAGCGGATGCATATATTGCCCATCTAGAGAGAAAATCAATAAGGAACTTCCAGTATATCGCGGAATAAACGTACCCCTTCCAGACACCGAAGATGAAACCAGACACCGTCCCAACTGTCGACCATCCAACCATCGGAGGAAAGGACATCAAAAATGTACAAATCCATAATATAAAGTATGCAAGCGGCGCATTCTCCCAGTCTTTGGCAACAGGTCCCAACCATGCGAATATCTGCCCCGTAACAGCCATGAAGCCTAGTCCAAGGGCGATCACACCCAGTCCGGCAAAAACCGAGCCTATCTTCTGCAATATCGTCATCTTTCCAAACGTCTCCGATACTCGTTGATATGATCGCCCGATCCGATCGATTGCTCGATCACGGAAGCCCGCTGGATCTGATGTGGCGGACGGCATCGCGAATATAGAACTCCGTCTATTTCGGCTCAAACCCGTGTGCGGTCGACTCCATGGTGGATGTACAGGTTCCAGCGAAGGCGAAGGCGAGGATGAAGACAGTCCATCTGCCATAAGAGGTGCCGCAAGGGACTCCGGTGTCGAGCTACGGGCTGCAGACATAATACTTGTGGTAGCAATCGAGCCGGCAGCTTCGGGTGAGCCAGGGAGACAGGCGATCCGAGGAGAAGATAAATAATCTCGCTTCAGCGCATCATTCCCCGTGTGACGCGTACTTCTGTATCGCCAGCTTGTCGCCAGAGTCGCCAGTGTTGAGGTGAAGGAAGCAATTCGTATCAGCAGGTTCAGGCTCAGCCCCAGGATCTTTCGCCGCTGCCTGGTATATCCCAAACCAGGGCAAAAGACGTCGAGCTTGAAACACAGAAACGCAGCTTTTGACAGCTTCTGAACGATTCTTCTTTTTTTCTGGATTCCACGAAAGAAACCGACGGCTTCAGTCTTTTTCTCTTTTCTTTCGAATCACCCAAAAGCAATATTCGAGGCTTGTGAGATCTTTCGAAACTGTTCAAGTTTCCGCACGCTATGTGATGATCAGCCTTGGCATGCTATACAGCAGTTCAAGCAAGTTGGAATCTTTTATATTTTACGAAGACGAAGGATATGGAGGAGAGAAACTGACCATGTTTGTTGTCGCTGGTGGATGGATGGCATTTCTCGCAAGGTGAGCTCTGATGTAGTGGTTATTTTGGCACAATCGACTGACAAGTTGACCATGAACAAGCTATCACTGTTAACCAAGTCGAAGACTGTTATATCTACTGTGAGGACTGGAATATCAGCTTCTAGACGTGTCGCTGTCTGATATATACTCTCTTCGACCTCTCTACTCCCTCTACGTTGACGGTCAACAGAAACTACCATCACGAAGCTCATCAAAAGGTGGCCTACAACATCCGACAAATGTGATACGTGACTCTCAATTGATACACATTATTCTAGTCGACCACTAGGCAATATCGTTGTCGGGACTACTCTAAGGTTACAATGCTTCATTTCTCACCGAAGAATTGGAGTAACCTAGATCACGCCCAAGCTAGCCTCTAGAACCGTCTGCATCAATCCACAAACCTGGAGTGTGCTCATAAAACCATCTACCCTGCCTGGGTGAGATGGTGCGAAGAGGATGGAGTTCATAGTGCTGGGGTAGAGATAGCCTTACCGACACTGAATCCAGGATCTCAACGAGAATAGACCGAGAGTAACGATACACTATTGATGCATAAATAGGGCACAGTGTCTCTATGCAAGATATGTGGATCCGTACAGGAATTCGTTATTGGTTGAATCTCTGGCATCTAATTGGCTTAGTGGCTTGGTATTCTGACTAAGCTTACCACACCAAATATCACCACGTCCACCATCTACGTCCACCAACAAGCTCACCAACGAGCCATCATTGAGCTCACCAACGAACCACCGAACGAACTATCGAACCACCACCGAACTGACCATTTAGCTATTTTCACTCTGACATATATTTAGATAGTTTACTAGCTATGGGAGAAAGCTTGCTGGCGACCTATCCAACCTAGTAGTATTAAATGTACTTTATTATCTCAGTGGTTATTGGAATATTGGATCGAATAAGGCAGACATCGATTGATATATTGATCAATAAGCTCTGTTGTCGATTCCAGTGCTTTGAAGAACTTTCAAACTCGTCTAATCCATCGCTCACTCTCTTGAGATGCCTCGTTCTATCTATGATCTCTTGGCTAAGGGGCACAAGATTCTAATTAACGGCAGACAAGGCCAATACCAGGTCGTAAAAGCACTCAAAAGAAATGTCTTTCAGGCTTTGACCGTCGGGTCAAATTCACCGTACGCTTTATCTTTTTCTCATACCTCCCTCGGCTTTTATATCTAATATAAAACTACTTATACTGACTACATATTAATCGGAGAGAAAGAGTGATCATCAAAACGGAGGGAGTTGATCCTGTCATATACCAGACCGAGGCCAACTGCTATAGCTACCGCTGTGTCGCCGAATCGCCCTACATAAGAGCGATGCACGAGGTTGTTGACAATGATATGGATCGATGTATGGTTTTTGAGTACCTGGACACTGATCTGTGGTCATTGAGGGCGAGGGCACAGGAACTTGGGCAGCCTTTTTTAAAGGCTGTCGCAACATCTATCCTCGAGGCTGTGAACACATTCTCAGATATGGATGGGCATTTCACCGCCTTGCATACAGGTATATATGGACAGCATACATAAACTATTACAACTCGTATAAACTAATATCAATCTGACAGATATTAACCCTAATAACGTCCTGGTTTCTAAGGCAGACTCACCAAAACCAATAGTCAAACTCGCCGATCTTGGAGCAAGTATGTTGTGATTGATTGGTCGAGGGGGCTCATTATACAAACTATCTACTTACCCTTATCTTTCTATTAGTTATACCTTCTGAGGGTTTTGACGACTTCCGATTACAGGGTGCTGAAATTCGAGCGCCAGAGATTTGGAAGGGAATGTTGCCCAGGCCGCATTGCCAGGTGTGGTCTGTTGGTGTGACTGTACGTTCCACAGATTTGTTGATATTATCCCTGGTGTCCCACCCGCTGCTACCGCTAACCTTCATATACGTAGTTAACACACTTTTGTACCAATCGAGTCGTATTTGGGAACTGGGACCAGGATTGCCGTGTCCAGGAGTTTCCCCTTGAAGTGAACAAGTCTGCTTGGGCAATTGGCAAGATCATCAAACTCATTGGATTGCTTGAACGTGATGAAGACCCTAAATACCGGCTCGAATTTGATCTGGCGGAGCTTTTTGTAAAGCAGGGGCTTATTAAAGTTGGATCCCTTGAAGAAGAGCTCGCCAAAGTCAATGCTCCTAAAGGTTGTGTTGATTTTATCTACCATCTTCTAACTATCGACGATAAACGACGGCCAACAGCAGCGCAAGCACTACAACATCCCTGGCTCCAGAACTTAGAGTGAGTATTGCTGATCATGCGAACTCTTAGCCACGGCGGACAACGTGCTGGCCATCGATAAAGGTCTAGCAAACAAGCATCCCGATACCCCGACTGCTCCCACCCAATAAATCCCAAGACTGTTGTATTGAACCCCCTTTGTATTTGTACAGACTTCCCTATGCCCATTCATGTACTTACTGCCTTTTGAAGCCAGACGATGTACCATTCTGAAAGGGTCTGAGAAGCCTAAGTTCTGTGAGTGACAGAGGGCAGTGGTTCAAATGAAGAGGAAAGGAACTGTGGTATTGTTGATTTCTAGGGATGATGAGAAGACAAGAAGCGCAGCCGGCGCGCTAGGGTATGGCCTGGTTAAATATAGAATCTACCCCCTTTGCAATCACCAACTCCAAGGCGGAAACGTCGGGGCCACAGCCTCAATTTACGCGCCGGCCGTGCTGGCCTATTAGGAGGGAGACGCAGGGGTAAGAGCAGGTTGACACCCTCTCTTTGCTTCGCGGATGAATGGTCTTGCTGATTCACTTGGGCGCCTTGCTCAGAAGCGCTTTTCTGTAATATAAGAATAATATAGAGTATCTAATTCCATAATCCTTTAATTGCTATAAATAGCGTACTTTAACAACTATAAATAACATTAGCAGGTAAACTACTCCGTAGTTGGCTCGATATTACCGCCGCAAAGACGCGGTGGTTGTTGATTTATAGAGTTCAGGCTGCATCCAACTGGTATACCTAGCTATAGAAATTCGCCAACAGATCAAGGAGTAGATAACGCCAGGATAGATAGCCGCCTACTTCGATTTCAGCTATACCCGTTACACCTCCCTTTCGTTATTAGTAGCGGATTCGAGCTGTGGGACTATGTAGAAAATTTAGTCCACTTTTGAAGAGCACCTACGGGAGAGCGTTTTGGTATAAGAGCAAGTGTTTAAAACAATGATACTAACAAATGACAGCAGCAAAAGGATAATAATGATTGGTTACAGCGCTTGAAGGCAATATAACGTATATAGAGCTTGTATTGATGAGCTTGAATGAACGTAGTTACGGGATGAAGTCTCTGCTCGATATACACCTGTGGTAGCTGACTAAGCCGTACATTTGACGGATACTAACAAAAAAAGGGGCCCCGGTTTGTATAGGTCAGGTGACTTAAATTAGTCATCTGAATCCCTGGCCCAAGCTTTCCTCATATATTTTGCCAATTCTATTTACTAATAGAGTAACAAAAAACCTTGGGCGAGGAGCCAGGAATAAAAATTAGATATATATTTAATCAAGCATGTATGCCACCAGCTGGAAGAGAAGCGAGGGAAGAATAAGTGGGACGCGCCCTCCCTGATTAGGAACGGGAATTTGGTGACGCCCAGGAGTACGGAGTACTTAATGATCGTTCAGCCCTCGCTGATCATCCTGGCAACGGCAGATTGACGATGCACGCACATCGCCCACCCTCGGGGAACCAGGAACTTAACCTTCGCCTAATCTCGAACGCTTTTCTTTTCTGCACGGCTTCACAGTTGGCGCGTTTATTATATCAGATTACTATATAGGCGGCCTAGGAAATACCGGTATATATCACAACCAGGAAACACCGCCAACGATTACAAACGACACTGGGTGGTTTCCTAACTTCGCTGTGGTTGATTATGATAAATATTTTGACCATTATTAAGCCACCGATGCAAGCTGAGCCAAGGCACAGCGAATGCATCTTGCGTGAACTCCATTACCTTTTATTCCTTCACTCTCCGGGGTCTTGGAGGTGATGTGACTTTCTAGCTGGTCGTTCAAGGTTCCACCACAGCTGATGTACCCCTTCGTTAGATCCTGGCCAATATTACAATGCTGTGGCCGTGAAGTCTCCGCGGCAGGAGGAACAAATTGTCACATCGAAAGAGGGGTTGTCAGGTAGAGTTCTGATTCATTCCCGCCCATGGGTATAGAATATACGTTTACGCATCCCTGCTCTGACTTCTTTTCTGTATACTTATGTACCGGATCCTTGAATAATTATATACACTTACTTTCCATTAAGCTCGGCGTTGAGTCCAGGGAATCAAAACTAACCCGGTTTAAACAATATTAAAACAAACAATAGTATATTATCCCTCCATGCTCCGAGGACCCCAAATTGCGTACGGGGGGTTGAACAACATTTCTGATTTGATGTGCTTCGCTAAAGAATTGAAGCACAGCACGCAGTCGGCCGTTTTTTGAATAGCGGGGGAAATCATGCGTGCTCGTACAGTACGACAGATTTTGAGGACGTTGGGTAAGTGGTCCTATGCAACTGGCAACTGCAGCTCACTTAAAGGGGATATATGATGCATTGATCAATAGGTGGTTGTGCTCCTGTTTTATTCGCTTAGACGCTTGGTGAATGTGTTATCTGGGGTTGTACAGCGTCTTCTAGCATCGTAGTTCCGCGGTGTTATTGATGGGGTGCATCTATAAAATCCGGGAGGTCAGGGGGCTGGGTTTCTCGTCATTTTACCAAATTTTCAACTTCATTTGCAAGCCAAACAAGACAGCATTAGGAAGCAAGGCTCCATCATTAAGAATTGAGCTAAAATATAAACTTTCACTCGGGGAAGTGCATATCAATTTAAGGAGTCTATTTGCTTCTTCCTCGGGGTATCCAGAACCAATTCAGTAGATTTTTGAAGGACAATATATCTTTTCAGGCACCAAGTGTAACATATACCCCGAAGGTAAGTTTGGCGATCAGGTAACCGCAGGGCAAAAACGGATGTCAAAGCCTAGGCGAGTCCATTTCGGTTGTATCATGGTGCATCTATACTCTCAATACTATGTAGATATGCCCTCCCATCGGTTTTGCCGCACAGCCTGTCTCCGGCTATACATAGTATTGGGCCGGAATCAATGGCTCTGTTTGGGGATATTAAGCGAAGAAATAAAAGAGAAGAAGGTCAAACTTGCATGACGACGGCGAACCACATGATTCAGCCTATCTATATTCCAAATGTAGAAGCTCCATAGGTATCCGCTGGATAACGCGGTGACTGGCCCCGGAGTCTAAGCCCATGAAGTTTGGCTCAGAAGTAGTGAAATGAATATGGAAGTTGGAAAGTAGGACAGCCCTCCCTGTAATGAGGGAGTACAGCGGGGCTTAAATACTCAATGCCTTCCCACTCCTAACGTTATTCCTTCCTAGACCCAAAGCTCTCGATAGTTGAAAAGGGGACTATTGATACTCCAGTTGGCAAGTCTGTGTTCAATCTATTCCTTTTCCCATCTATGTTTGGAGTAAAGCCTAACGTTATTCAGGTCACAGCGGTTTATTATCCAGGGAGAGGGTATACAAGCTATCAAGAAACGCCAAAATGCGTCTTGGAAACGCCGTGGAGCATGCTCTCCCATTGCTAAACCAGATCGCTTCTTCAGCAGTATCCTGGTCATCGGGAAGAATTGACGTCTTTGGCCTTGGGACAAACAACGGCCTATACCATAAATGGTGGAATGGAGCCTGGGGCCCATCTACCACTGGTTGGGAATACCTAGGCGGCGTCTTCTCCGCCGAGCCAACTTCTGTCTCATGGGGGGAGAACCGACTCGATATCTTCGGCATCGGAACCGACAACCAGATGTACCATAAATACTGGAATGGGCAAGCCTGGGGCCCTTCACAGACTGGATACGAAGCCCTTGGCGGCGTGTTCAGCAGTGAGCCAACTGCCATTTCATGGGGAGAGAATCGTCTTGACATCTTTGGACTTGGAACTGACAACGCTTGCTATCACAAATGGTGGAATGGACAAGCCTGGGGACCTTCCCAGACCGGCTGGGAAAATCTCGGTGGAGTGTTCGTCAGCAAACCTGCCGCTGTCTCATGGGGAAACAACCGAATCGATCTATTTGGACTTGGAACTGATAACCAAATGTACCACAAATGGTGGGATGGCTCTAGATGGGGACCTTCAACTTCAGGTTGGGAGGCGCTTGGGGGTGTTTTCAATAGCTACCCTGTCGCAGTCTCCTGGTCCGAGAACCGTCTTGACATCTTCGGCGTCGGCACGAACAACGCACTCTTCCACAAATGGTGGAACGGCCAGACCTGGGGGCCCTCTAAATTAGGATGGGAAGATCTTGGAGGTGTCTTGAGCAGCCCTCCATCTGCTGTTGCTTGGGATGCGAACCGTCTAGATATTTTTGCTACTGGTACTGATAACCAAATGTATCACAAATGGTGGGATGGCTCACGCTGGGGTGGATGGGAAGCTCTTGGTGGAGTTTTCAGCAGTGGTCCAACTACATGCTCGTGGGGAAGCAACCGCCTTGATATCTTTGGGCTTGGAACCGATAATGCGATGTACCACAAGTCCTGGAGTGGGCGATGGAATCCATCGCCAACTGGTTGGGAGAATCTTGGAGGCGTTTTCAACCATTAGCCAACAGAAGGCATTTCCATTCGACACTATCCCATTTCCCTTTGATGCATTATGCTTGTTGGCGAATCCCCCCCTTGTTGGTCATAATATGGTCACACTCTTTTCCATTCAGCCCATTGTTATCAAAGAGTTCTTCCCATCCACACTCTCTTTCCAAGCATGGTTATCAGCAGTATATATGAAGTTAAGCCATAGCAATAATATGATGGGATCTAACAGTTCTCAACGAGTCAATATCAAAAGGAATCCATTACATATCGATGAAGGTTCAACTGGAGTTGTTTTGATCAGATGACAAATTTTAAATTTCGGCCCGCAATTAGTTACATAACTAACATTACGTGGAAAGAGGCTTTTATCATCGTTATGTAATAAACCTTAAATTTTCAACCTCGAAAGTCGAACAACAGAAAACGTATTGGAGAGTTCTACTTCTCTCCGTTGAGCCAGGAGTACCATATATCTAGCACATTCTCTGGTTCAGCGTTCGCTACTATTTCCAAGGCTTCCTTAAAAATTATGTGCTGATCCCAAGTCTAATCAGCGCGGATTCTAGTACTTACATTTACGACATCCTCGGCTTATTCCAAATCAGCTTTCAAGCAGGTATAACTAATGCAGATCTGATCCTTCTCCCCTGAAACTGGCAAGTACATGAGTTGCTTGACCACCAACAGGCCTTTTGAGAGCAATCCCCTGGTAGCAAATTCGGGCTCTATTACCACGTTCAACAATGATGGTCAGGATATAGCATCGTCTAGCTCCACCCATTCCTTCCGGTGGATATGGAGGCATATAACTACCAGACTTAGACCCGAGTCATCTGCATCTGCTCATCCAACTTACATACTATGTATGTATAAGCTCAAGGCAATTTTATCACCCACATCGGACTTTTACGACAAATAATAACAATAACTGGAAGGCTGTATGTACGCTTGATATCAAGAGATAAATAATTACCAAAGCCAAACAGAGAATCGATTCTTACACTATCAGCCAATCCTCTGGGCTAGCCTTCTCAGGCCATGATCGCCGTGGGCCCAGTCCAAAGAAATATTTCGTATGGAGATTTCTGGGGTTTACGTCTTCTGCTTAAATGGATATTCCGAGAAGATCAACAGGTAAATGACTGTCTTGGTATACACTAATTCTATGTACCTCCTACAATATTTCGAAACTTCCTTTACGTACATTCCAGGGATGTAACCAGTTTTCATCCTGTCAGAGGATTCAAACGGTCGATCTCTCACTGATTTTCAACCAATTAGCGATGGATGTACTTCTATAAGAATATACAGCGCCTTACATAGTAATGTGAGATCGTCTCACAGAATAATTTCCTTGCAAAATTATCAGTACGAATCTCATCACCACGCAAGGAACTTCACGTTAAGAAGATACCCAACCCATTTTAGACGATATTGACCCTCAAATTACGCATTGCGAAATACGGGATATGCAACTAGAGGCTCTATGAAAACAATCCTTCCAGAAACCGTGCTGATATCAAAACTTTGTCGAAGAACAGCGGTTGTCGGGATACTACAAGATAACGACAGAGGGGTTAACACCTCCAACTACTTTCTCCTGCAACCCATTCCTCTAGTCAAGCCACGTCTTCTCGGCCTTGGTTAAATTCATACAAGCTCACTGTTTTCTTTATAATGAAGCAAATACGGGCACGGGAGGAAGAATATGCCGCATTCTTAACACTATCCCGCAGCGGATGTTGGATAACAGACCCGGAAGGATGAAAAATTGAAGATTGATACCAGGGGTAATGGAATCCTTCTACATTCCTCCATCATCACTGCTGATACTGGACCTAGGCTAGCTGATTCTCTTGATTAAGGGCTGGTAGTCGGGGACAAATTGATAATCATGAGATCATAGCTACGCAGAAAAAGGTATAAATACCCTCATGTCTGCCTATAAGTCTCTCTAGAATTTCTCTATCTATATCATCCAGCTTCAGTCTATAATTACCCAACTACGAAAACTCATTCAAAAAGCCCTTTGAATCACCACTTCAAACTTGCCAACATGCAGTTCGCCAACATCTTCATTACCGCCATTGCCATGCTCACCACCTCGGCTGTGGCATGCAAATGCTTCGTCAACGGCAACCAGGACAACGCCAGAACCGAATCTTGCTGCGGTCAGCTCAGCGGTATCTTTAACAATGGAGACGACTGCGCTGCCAGCTCTATCTCTGAGCATCTCTCCAACTTCCGCAGCTGCTGCGGTGGTCAGTCCGACTGCGACTATCCCCTCGTCGGCGACGTTAAGGAATCCGACCACATCAAGACTATTGTCGCTATCTAAACATTTCACCACGACCATGCCCCTGCCTTCATATTGGGTCCGAAGCCTCCCCTCGCCCTGTTCCTCGGTCATAGTCAAACCAGCTACCCGGATCCCGATGCCTTAGCATAGGGGCTATATTAACCGTCCTCGTCATGCCAATAATTTTATACGAGCTTCGCAATTCACTCCAATGTACGGTTCATGTCATTTGAAACCCAGAATCCTCGAAATTATGTCAAGGAGGCCTATGGTTATATTGGGCACAGTGCCAATATTGATGTTACAGGATATAGACTACCATTTTCAAGCATGTCAACTTTAAGTCGTTCTTTTAGCCAAACAAGAAACATAGTCCTTCCTTGAAATAAACGAACAATCCACTAAGTAATGTGTAATAACTATCCGGTAGGTTATCCTTTATAAATAAAGAATGCATTTAGTATAGTATGCCCGTAACGGACAGAACGGACAATAAAGACAAATTCTGAGCCTCGGAGGATTGATGTACAAAACGTAAAATCCATTGAGTTAGTAATATATATTGCCGAAATGGTAGTAGCACCCGAACACTCGGTGTATATACCTATGAGTTTTGCCGAACAACGCTAGTCGACATGTGTAGATAGAAAATAAATCAAAGAGCCTCTACTATGACCTGTAATGCAGTGCTAAACCCCGTCTACCCCGTACCTAACCCATGTAAATGGGGTAGGATGCTGCGGACGACGCCAGAGCTTAGATAAGTACCACTTGAGGTCAACATGAATCCTTTGTCCACTTGCATGCATATTAGGACAATTTCTGAAACCGTATTCCTAACGATGAGCCCAACCATTGGCCACAAGTACTTGCATTTCATTTATCAGACAGAAAGATCCCGTCTCAATATTCCCGGGATCTTCCTTCTGATACTTGGATAGCCGCCTCTTGACTGTATATTCCGTAAACCATGACGTAGTGAACCAGCGCAAGACTCGGTTTTCCCATAGGCCTCCAATTATTGAAAGAGTTGATAGCCACGATATTCTCTCAGGATTAACTGTTGCGTAGGCTGGGGTGTTGTAACCGACACGCACATTGGGATTCAGCCATACCCCCATATTTTCAGACAGGGGGTTATCCGCATGAATGAGGCAGCATTCTGATCCTTCAAGATGTGATTTGGCAAGGCCATCAGAGATACCACGAAATTCCAAAGGTGGATCATTGTAAAATGGAGAAGAATCCATTGCCACTGGTTCACTTGTTAGCTGAACGATGATCAATTCACCTGCTTGGAAGTTGATCACTCACCTGCTCCATTCCAGCAGCTTTTGACAGGTACAGGCTCGCCGTACTTAATAGCACGTCGGGAGACCCGGGATCTGAAATAAGGCCAGGTTTGCATGAGTTGGTCATGGCCTTCGATGTCCCGAAGAGCGAATGTGTCGTAGAACTTGGGAGGTTTTGAAAAGTCTAGTGAACATGCTGCCGCGAAACTGCCTCCTCGAGTTGATAACAGTCTGCGAATATCTAAAGTCTAGTAGGTATTAGCAGAAATCAAAACGAAAAGAGATCGGTAAAAGAATAAAGTAGAAATTCTCACATTGAACACCACATCGTTCAAGAATAAAATCTTATCGTAAAAAATCCCTTCTTCCTTTCTTTCATATAATGGTCCCATTACCAAGTTGCGTAAGTTGGCAAGGTACGGTATCCGACGAAGTTCAGTCTGGCCAATGGGTGTTTCAACCCATCCAGTACTAGCAGGAGGCCTGCTGATTTCATCGAGATGTGTCGTGTCATTAAGGACAATTCTCCTTGGGATATCATTCTGGGCGAGCAATGCATCCAAATGGCGTAGCTGTGCCTTGGAATCATCCCAGCTTCCACTTTCCTGGAGACTGACAAAGACATTATCCCGACCGATGGCATTGACTAGTTCAACGAGAGCAGGTATCCATGCTTCCCGTAGTATGTTCCCATTATTCCAATGTATGCTGGTAATGTATATTTTCTCATCTCCGAGCAAACCAGGCTCAGAGTCGAGCTGGCGGATGAGTGCACGCTGAATCCAGAGAACTTCAACAAAGCTCCATATGGTGGCGACCACGGCGACGGCCACCGGGAACCGGCGTACTCTCCTGTAGAGGTACTTGTGTATCCACATGCTCGGAAGCTGTGAGTTACATAGGTGTTGTGCCTCCTTGTAAGGTGCGGATAAAAGTAGCACGGTGTCTCAGTGATGGTACCTTTGCTAGCTTCACATCCTCCCTTCGTTTTTATATAGCCTGGGATGTTGCAGAGTTTCAGCCGCAGTCGAGCCGCTTTGTCAGCACCTGCTGCATCTCAGTGGTTAAAAAGTTCCGGCGCAAGGCAAGGATGTGTCGGTTGTTAAATTGTTATTATGACACAAGCGTACATAGTAAGGTCGAAATCGAGGCCCAGGTCGGCCATATAAGGCGACAGGACAGAGATGACCTTAGGGTAAAGGCTTATGGAGCGCTGCTAAACATCCAGCTAGGGGCTTCCTGGCTGCCATTAATCTCAGGTAACTACAGAATATCTCTTACTTGCAGTATAAGCCGCCTTCACAGTGTTCGTCTTGATCGTCCAGCCTTAGAAAAGGCCAAATATGCAGTATATATCTAGTGTATCTGTATAAACATCTATCTATACTTGTGGCTTGGGAATATATGGTTAACATCTAGCTATCCAAAATCTAATCTATATTAAGATGCTTGTCTTTCTGGGTCCTGGAGCCTCGCCAGCTCCAGCAGCAGACGGTAGACATAGATGGTCATATCAACGGGTCTGAAGGCCTTGGAATACCAATCCCGACCATGGTCAGCAACTTCTTTAGCTCGTTTCCTCCCAGATGCAGTTGAAGTGAGATAGGAAACAAGCTCTGGGAGCTCTTCTAAGCTCTGGCTAACGGGTATGTAATGAACCCATGGCATCAGGCGCTCATCATGCCACTCCCGTAGCAAAGTCTGTTTTAACGGGGTGGATTTTGAAGCCAGCAGCTTGTAGTAACGGCCGCTAATCGCGTTGCCGTCAATATCAAACACGAGCCGAGACCGAAATGCTTTGTCCTTGTCTGCCCAGGGCTTGGAGGGGAAGTACGCGCGTTGTTCTCTGCAGTATTTTGACTTGCACTGGAATATCTTAGTAAAGGCAACGTCATATAACCTGCTGTTGAGAAATGATGACTTGACACTGCTAAGCACGCCTCCGTTTTCGCGTATATATAGATGCTTTCGTGTTTCCAGGTTCTGTGCAAGGGAGACAAATCTTTGGCGGTGGTAGTGTTTCCAGGAGTCTTGCACGGCAAAAGCACCGGTGGTAGAGCCAGCCCAGTAGAGGTTGTTGCGTTTCTTCTCCCATTCAACGTCATTTGCCTCCTCGTACTGGAACTCTGATTCGATGTAAGCGGGACTAGGGTATAATATGTCACCCATGGTAAGCGGCGAGCCTGTTGAGAGTATCGGTACTAAGCCTCCAAACAGACGAAGGGAGGTAGGGCTCATGAACAGGCCGTTCATAGTGGAATATTCGGGATGGTCACATAGGTCCATATCCTCTGTGCGATTGGTGACGAAGGAGATGCCGTATGTTTCCACCTCGTGCCTATATTGGTTCTTCTGTCGGCCCTCAAAGTGACAATACATGGTAAGTGGCTCCCAAGCCCGCTGCATTGACAGGTTGGTCAAGTTGAACTGAGGAGAGCCTTTCCCTAGACTATATGGAGGAACCATGACTCTAGGCTCATCAAGGTGATTGACAAGAAACTTGACGTCCGGAATATCTCTTGGGATGTCTTTCAATAGGGTATCAAAAAGAAGTTGGATATGCCTGTCGAAAGAGCGGCTTGGATGGTAGCATTGGGATTTGGCTTGAGAGCCATAGAATGTGCAGAGCCAGAGTTCACTGTCTGGCGTGCTATGAGCGCAGCCCATGATTCCAATAACCTCTTTACCGCTCAATCTGCGGAACGGTGAGACGGCCTGATCAATCATATCAAACTCATCGATGATGGGGGATTGGTGTGATTTGGCAAAGTTATACCACTCTTCAAACCCCGGTGGCGGTTCAATCTTGTACCGACGTAGATACTCGTCATGAGCAGCTGTGTAGTTCTGAGACTGCCGTCCGAGAAGGTTCTCAAAGTCCTCCCGACCTCTGTGAACCAGCGTCTCAACGGGATGCTGTTGGTAGTGAATAATGTGTGAAGAGTGTGCAGAGTTGATGGCAATGATGTTAGCAATATATGGGCCCAGAGAAAGCATAGAGAAGACCCAGAGTGAGGATCTGTCCGTAACCTGCTTTGGGAGCGTATGAATGGTCTGACCGAGAGCAAAGAAGGATGCTATTACATGGGATAAGGCCTTGGAGCCAGAAGACTGCATAAAGGGGCTGAGCGTAGACATGATGCCAAAAGTGCCTGCAGCGGTAGCAGTACACCAGGAAGAATACCGAGCCTGAGTGTTGTACTGTGAGCATTCAAGTAGCTAAACATATGCTAAGAAAAAAAAAATATGACAACGACATACTGTTTGAATTATGGAATACCAAGATAGAGACTTTGTGAAGCCGAGTGCTAGAGTAACTAAGATCCCACCTGTGGGAAAGCCAAACGTAGCAACCTCCACGCCCAAGAGGACGAGCAGCATAACAACAACACGCAAGGATACAGGACGAACGGCATCTTCTATATCAACATGTGGCAGGAATCTCGCCTTCCTCTCAGTCTTGGGCATGAATGTGAGGTAGACTGCCAACAGGGCGAGAACAGGGAGAGCCGACAGTCCATGTCCAGCGAAATCCCAGTCTGACAGCGTGATGGTGAAGATGACAGCAACCAGCGACGTGCCCCAGAGGGTATTGGCCAGGGGATAAAGTAACCAAGAATCAGAAGAGTCTGCTGAGGGACGGGCCGAAGAGCCAAAGTGTCGCTGAGCCACCAACAGCAAAGGTGTTAATACTGGCTACTTCCCATTAGCATCAACTTTGCATCTATATACATATACATACATGTATAGCTAACAGGTAATAGGGTAACTCACGAAGAATGCTATCAGGCCGACCTCAGCTCTGGCGAGACAGGCGGAGACGATACTCAGGGCCGCTATCCATATCGAAGCGGAAGAAGACGACCGCTGTGCCTGCGAGTAGCCCAGGCTCAAGCTCAAGGGGCCAGCCCTCGAAGACCTGCCGGCAGCGCCAGACCGTCCTGCAGCCTTGAACACTATCGGCAGCATCGACCAGCAGAGGATTTCAGAGCAGAGCTCGGCACGGTTGGTAGAGAGATGCTGGACCAGGACGCTACACAGAAGAGCTGCGCCGGTCCAGCTGGTCGCACGGCCAAGATCGTTCATCGAGTCCCCAGCCTATCATACATCTATACATTTATATATATATATCCATCTATATATACGAAGAATACATGACTGTCTAAATCTCCGACCTGAGATGAACTTTTGCTGCACAGCCACACTCACTAGCTACTCCATTCTCGGCCTAGAACATTAAAGGGGCAGAGGAGGACAGGAAGACAAAGAGAAAGATGATATCTGGTGAAAGAGATGCAGGCATCTAGATGGCTCAAAAGAGTCCGGATGCTCACTTGACTATTATTTATATTGATCTATCGTGCTGTGTTTTGCTCTTCTGGCGACGCCTTTTGCATGCAAGAAAAGTAGCAACGCCTGACTTTTGTCTATACAAGGCACATTTTCATGGTAGAAAAGACCGTAGACTGTAGATATCCCAGAGAGGGACTCGAAGAAGAGTGTATATCGCCGTTCGAGTGTGTGGTAGACGCTTGCTTGTTTTTTTCTGATGTTTATTTATCTAGTTAACTTGCAACACGCAGCATCAGCCGCATCTTCTTCATCTTCTCACCTTCACCATCTTCCGTCTTCCGCCAACCAACACTCATTCTTCGTCTGCAGGTTGACAGACAGCCTGGTTGATTCAATTCTACAGCGCGCGCCTTGGATCTCGTCAGCTCGTCCTATTGTTCCCTCAGGCTTAGCTTCAGTTGGTAGGTCAGAGCAATGCCGTGTTGCCTCTGTCACTCTGTCACATCCGCTCTCTCTCCGGGATACTCACATCCATCTTCTATCCAGGACAGCAGGAAACCCGGGTCTTTCAGCAAGCCAGAAGCTGCCTCTTCTCTCTGTCTCATAACAGCCATGTTACTGTTTCACTCGTGTTGATAGCTCGCTGTTGGTTTCCCCGGTTTCTCTCCCTCACGGGGGCTTGCGTTTCGCTGTAAACACCCCGCTCTGCGTCTCTCTCTCTGGCTTCAAACGAAAGAACACAGGTTTATATCCCGCCATCATGGTCTCAGAGGAGACGTATGAGATGTGTCTGCACATCCTGAACAATGAGGAAGACAACGAGGAAGAAAAGGCTGAGAAATTGGAGGCCTTTCTGCGCGAACAGTCGTCTCTGACCGACTCGGCGCTGGAGAATGCGGTCCTGGATGTTCTTTGGCGTCATCGCAACTCGTCCCTGTCCGATGCCTCTCAGGCTCCCGTTCGACATACGGTCATTCGACGCTCTTCTCCCGCACCATGGCAGATGGCTCGTTCGGCCACTCCGCTCTCCCCTCCCTCGCATACCGGCTCCAGTCCCGTTGCCCAGTCTGGCTTCCCCGTACCCCGTGGGGGATTCCCTCGCGCACCCAGATCGCTGACGGCTTCCCCATTCACCTCTCCACGGCCTTCGCCACGATTAGGCAAGGTGCTCCCCATCCCTCATAGTCCTAATCTCAACACCTACTCCTTTTCAGACCGTGGTCCTGCTCCGGAGATATACGGCGATCTCGGCAGCGATAATGTTGATTGGCTGGTCAATGAGGATGCCAGGAGCACGGCTTCGTCCACAGGTTTGAGTGCTGCTGCCCCGGAATGGGTTGCGCCTCCAGATATGGGGCCATATGACATTCTCAGGTCGGTGCTGGGTGAGCGCAAGACGAACGAGGAGATAGAGCACGCTCTCGAGACGAACGGGTACGATCTTGGAGCAACAATCGCATCCCTCACCGAACAGGACAACTTGGAAACGCCTCTCTCTTCCAGCAACGAAGGCCGTGTCTTAATTGGAAAGTCTACGGCCATGGATCCAGCACGACCAGTGACCCCTTCCAGCTCAGCGCGTACCCCAGTCGTTTGTAAATATTGGCTGTCTACCGGACAGTGTCTTCGGATGGACTGTCGGTTCAGTCATGATCTGACAAGCCATGTCTGCAAGTAAGTCTCGTCCAAAAAAAGTAGTTCTCTAGTCTTTATATCATTTGCTAATTCAAATATAATGATAATTAGATATTGGCTTATGGGCAACTGCCTTGCAGGAGAGTCGTGTCCCTTTTCTCATGATCCATCATCTCTGATCGGAGGAATGAATATCAACAGCGACCACTTGAGTGTCTCTGGTTACTCTGGAAACACTCAGCAGAATATGTATCCTTTGCAGGATAATTATGAGGCATTCCCTCCTCTCCAGCCACCCTCAACCACAGAACAATGGCAGAACAATAGCAATTACTTAGTTCGAAGCCAGATGCAGTTCATGGCGGGCAGTCCTCAGATGCGCCCAGGCTCGTCCTCGAGTATCAAGAACAAGAATATCTTGAACCAGTCCGCCTCGCGTTCTCACTCTCGACCAACAAGCAAACACCAGAACCGCGAACCACCAAACACGTCTGCGCCCGCGGTTGATGACCCAGAAGCCTTCCCTACGCTTCAAGCACTTAGCAACAGGCCTAAGAAGCATCACGGCAAACGAGGCAACCAGCATCGCGAAGTCAACAAGAGCAGAGAAACCTCAGGCACCTCCTTGGCTGACGCTGTTCGCACGTCACCTTCCACTAAAAAGGGGGCACAGAAAGGAGCTCGATCATCCGCCAGCAACACTCGTGAGATCAGCACCGAAGCCCAAGCTATTCCATCGCCAAAGCACATCCCATGGCTCGAGACCGGCATCGAGTGGACTCAGCCTTACTTGAAATACCGTGTCGACGCCATAACGCACGGTAATGTTAGGAACAAGTTCCTTCAAAGGTAATCATCTCTTCCTAACCCCCTCGATATATATCTACTTTTTATTAACCCCATTTTACAGTGCTGCCCAAGCTTGGAATCGCAATGATGCTCGCGCGGCAAAGGCCCTCTCGCTCAGAGGCCAGGCTGAAAACGATGCAATGCGGAGATGCCACCGTGAAGCCGCCAGACTTCTCTTCGAAGAGGGCCGAAAACGCATCGCCGAGAATGACGATGAGTTTTATATCGATTTACACGGCCTCGTCCCCACCGAAGCAATCGCCTATCTGGACAATATTCTCAAAGACAGCTCGCAGCTTCGGGAGCACTACCTCTACGTCATCACCGGCAGTGGCCATCATAGCAAAAACGGCAAAGACAAGGTCGGCAAGGCCGTCAAGGGCTGGTTGGCCGAACATCACTACGTGTTCCGTGACTTCAGCGTGCCCGGCGAACGCGGCGGGTTTGTTGCCTTTATAATTGGCATCAATCCAACGGCTAGTACTAGCAGTGGCCGAATCTCACCATCACCATCATCTGCTTCAAAGGCCCAGAACACTGAACACGCTGTTGGAGAGACCAGCCAAGGCATAGCCGCTGCTACTGCTACTGCTACTACCATCACCATGAACGACGCAGATGATGAAGACGGCAGCGGGGCCGTAGCAGAGGCCTCATCATCGTCACCTGAACCCGCGCCCATCCTCAAGATGGGAAAGATACAGCTACTGAAGCGAGACGGAGCCGCCACGAAAGCCTGACCCAGTCACCAATTCAACAAGTGACTGACGCAATAACGAATGAAATGTTTTTATGAAGAGAACGTACATGACAACAGCAGCACCCCATTACACCCAGACCGATAATTATGTATATTCCAATGATACGAATTTTAATCGAAGGTCTCCTTGCACTTGCTATCAACTCCTCTGGCCGAGCAGGTTGTTTTTTAAGCTTCTTGGTCTGTGATATGACGGTACCTTAGACGACTTCTCTCTGGTTCCTCAAGGAATGCAATGGTCCTTACTTTTTACAGACGACCTTGGAATCGATAAGTTTATTACCTAGTTAGAGTCTCATACAATGCAAGTAATTCCCGATATTTACACCGTTCATAAACCATCATCGGCATATTCGTAGATAAATCCCATAAACAGTACTCACCTCATGTAAACGGCCCTCACTGTGGCTCCTGATCCTTCCACTTATCCTTCATCCCATCGACATCAAATCCACATAACTCTGCTTTCTTTACAATCGCCCTCGCCTTCTCCGCAACAGGAATATCAATCATCTTGCCGTCCAGCGTCCATGCCCCCCTCCCAGCCTCCGCTGCTTTCTGATCGGCAACTACCACCCTAACAGCCCACTCCACCTCTCCCTCCTCGGGACTGAATATCCCCTGAACAGCCTCAACCTGCGTAGGATGAATGCACTGCTTACCATTGAACCCCAGCCGTTTGCCAGACCTACACTCCTCTTCTAGAATCGATGGCGCACCGCCATCGCTCTGTCTATACGACGTGCAAACCAAATCGATAGCAGACGGCAGCTCATATGCCCTTGCGGCCGTGACTATCGCGGACCGAGCGTAGAGGAATTCACTTAACGACGGCGTCCGCGTGATGCTCAGATCTAAAGCGAAGTCTTCCGCCGCAAAAATGAGGCCGGAGAGGAGAGGTGTGGCCGTGCATATTTGGGATAAATTGCTGAGAGATTTGGCGCTTTCTATGAGGGCGAGTATTGATATTGACGGTCGGCTGGAAGTGGAAGTCGAGAGCGTATGCGAAATCACGTCTGATATAAAGGTGAGGTCTGACGCGGAATCGACCTTTGGAACCACCAACGTCGAGAGATTGGGGGATTTAAGCTGGAGGAGACCGTCAGTACTTGGGTTATATTGTATTTATGCAACTTGTGTGTTCCAGGCTCACCACTTCCGTCAAGTCTGCCAGTGCAAGCCCGCTGCCTACGGAGTTGATGCGGACAGCTCGCTCTTTGACGCCTGCTGGCGACGGCTGATCGAGAGCTGCGCGGACCAGCGTGCGAGCCTCTGCTTTCTTTGATGGAGTGACGCTGTCTTCGAGATCGTAGGCGACACAGTCGACGGACAGTGTTCGGGACTTATCGAGCATCCGCTGTGATGAACCGGGGACTTTGGGATAGTTAGCGGGCGATTCCAGCCGGTGTTATGGTAACTTCCCACAACTTACCATAGAGTAGAGCTCGTCTTAGCACGCTCTTGGTGGCCATTATGTATGACTGCTTTCTCAACTGCTTGTCGTATTATCAACAGCTGGATGTTTTGTTAAATGTGCAACTTGATGCGAGCCTGCAGAAAGCCGTTGGAGTCCTCGGCATCTTCGAGCTAGTTTCATGTATAACCAGGCGGGCCAGGGCCGGCATTTCCTGGCTCTTTCGTCCTCTTCAAATATTTGAGATGATGATATTCCCTACCTTGACGAGTGGTAGACGTATGTTCACGTCTCAAAGGCCTGGTCCTTTATGAGTATCTACAGAGTATTGTCCAGCACACTTCCTACGTAGAGGACACTACTATGCAGACGGACTTTCATTCCCATGTCCCGCCAGTATTTCCGTACAGACCGTATCCCTTGTTCTTAGCGAAGCCATGCTGCACTTCTCCCCGCTTGCAAATGGCCCACTAACTGGCTGTGAAGTAAATTATGCAGAAACATCGCACTGATCAGCATTGGGGCATGTCGAGGATGCTTTCTCTTGATGGGAACAGGGAGATGTTGCTCTATAGCTGTTGACCACGAGACCCCGATTGCAATGTAAACAGATGCAAGGAACCATGCCCTTTAGGGCCTCGACACTTGTCTGATATCGATTCTGCGTATATGATTAGTATATACAGCTTATCATCGGTCTGTCGACAGCATCGTTCTCTGTTGGTAGTCTCAAAATACACGATGCACTTTGTTCGTTCTTGCGCCCTGCATCAGCGATATGCAGCCTCTGGAGCGTCCAGGATGTCCGCACATACTATGTATAATATGTCCTCAATAATAAGCCCGCTGATCAGACAGGATCCAGGGCCACGATATTTCGAGAACCAGATATCCGCGTAGTGTGGGGAGCTTTCGTTCCTCGATCCGTGGCTTGGGCTGGGCTCATGGCTGTTAGACAGGCCACACCAATGGCCTTCTCTCGACTGCGTACCTTTTTTGTATATAGTAGTTGACCTTTACCGAGACGATACGAGCTCACGGTAGATCGGCCGAGTTCGCGAGAAATAAGTGTCTCGTCCCGTCGAGATAAATCCTGTTGATACATATTATATATAGCTCAGCTGAGTTCAGTATGCAGGATGTTATCGACCCTTGTCCTGGTAGAAGTCCATCTCTCTCCCCTGCGATTGCAACGGTCTCCCGACGACATTTTCACATGCTTGTATTCGGCAGAAAGATCAATGGCTGCACTGTCTTCTTCCCAGATGGTTTGCTTGGATGAAGGATGAAGAAATCCCAGCAGAAATCACACTTGGCGAGCGACTTCTCTGTAGTTAGACCCGATCAAGATCAATACGAATCAAGTATCAAGCCCCCAAGCGCCATCGCCTGGCTAGAAACCTACATAGTACAAAGGTCCTCCAGAAGCTTGTCGCCCTGGATATATGTTTGTGTGATATAACATGTTGGATCGCTTTCGCGTTGTTTATGCTGTGTGATCGTCCGCTTTCAGCCACTCTTCCGTTCCAAAAACACTTCAACTTCCAAGCAGTCTTGATATATCTATCAGTATAATCGAGAATCGCCAACATGGTTGCACCTACAGATACCCAGCCGCCACCAGTGACATGTGTGCTGCTCGAGTTTCCGGCTCCCCATGTCCTGCTGGTGACCATCAACCGCCCAGCTCAGATGAATTCGCTCTCCTTCCAGGCAGCATGGGAAATGGAGCGTGTCTGGGAGTGGATGGACGAGGAACCACAACTGTGAGAGTCGACTGAAAAGACAAGCTTCAATGACTTTGCCTTCCTAATTACTCTATAGACGCGTTGGTATCATCACTGGCGCTGGAAAGAAGGCGTTTTGTTCTGGAATGGACATCAAAGGTTGGGTTTGCAATAGTTCTTTTTTATTCTACCAACTGTATGACTTACCATTACAACATAGATCGTCTAGAGATGGAGAAGCTCGATGAGCTCTCCCTTGCAAAGGCAGTCAGCTACCCACCCACCGGCTTCGCTGGGCTCACTCGCCGCAACGGCAAGAAACCGATAATAGCAGCCTGTAACGGCCATGCGCATGGCGGAGGGTTCGAAATCATACTAAACAGTGACCTCGTCATTGCAGCAGAACACGCAGACTTCAAACTCCCCGATTCCGCAAGAGGGACAGGAGCTCTATGTGGTGGTCTACCTCGGCTTGCCCGAATACTTACCCTGCAAAGAGCGATGCTTTTGGCGTTGACAACGTATACACTATCAGCTAAGGAAGCTAAAGAGTGGGGGATAGTCCAGAAAATAGTCCCTGCTGGTGACCTGATCAAGGAAGCTGTTCAGATGGGCAGCGTGATAGCCGCCATGAGCCCCGATAGCATCATCGTTAACCGTGCTGGTGTCAGAGAGGGATGGGAAACCGCCAGCGTGGAGCACGCCTCAACACTGATATGGGATAACTATGCGAAGAAGCTGATGCTGGGAGAGAATGCGATTGAGGGTATGCAAGCATTTAAGGAGAAGCGACGTCCAGTGTGGAAGCCATCTAAGCTGTGAGATGTCTTCTTATACATATACTATCAGGACGGATCGATTGTATATATCAGCCTGATGTGCCAGGTTTTTTAAGAATGCGCTGAAAATAACAGCCAAACATTTATACATCCCTTCATCTCTCGACGGTTCATTCCATATTTGGGCCTGCTTTAATATCGTCTTCCTAGTAACTGGACATCGGCATTTTATGCTCCATGTCAACTGCATAATTCTTACATCCGCTTGAGTTTAGGCTGTGCCGAGGCATCTCCTGCATTAGTTATGCAACATCAACACCAGGTTAACACAGACCTGCTGGTTTCATACGCCTGGTTAACACTCGTATAAATCTATGAAACTGAGGCGAGAACGCAGAAACGATCCATTAACTTTCTATATTTACCCGGATTTCTCATGCTGTTTCTGGGGAAGTTCAACCACCTCCGCAATAAATAGTACGGAGTAAACCCTTCATCGTGAACTTCAAAGTTACTAGAAAACCCACAAGACACAAGATGGATACTCCCTTTGGCTCCCCTGTTCCCTACGCTGAGCCGCAGTGGTACTCACGAGACTGCTCCCCATACCATGATGAATCCCATAAGAAACTCCGCGCGTGTGTTCGAGAGTATGTGGAGATGGAGCTGATGCCCTATGCTCACGAATGGGAAGAACAAGGCTTTGTCCCGGAAGAAGTTCGTTATTTATCATATTCCTTTTCAAGTAAAGATGGATCAAAGGCTTCATCTTTCAGTACGGTACGAGTACATCTAACGGAAAGTGCGAAATTTAGACCATCAAGAGATTTGCGAGACGTGGCTTCTGCATCATAGACAGATCTAAGCCGGAGTACATGGGCGGAGTCAGCCTGCCAGCAAACATTGAACCAGCGAAATGGGATGTCTTCCACACACTGATCGTTGCTGATGAGTTGAATAGGTATGGATACCCGGGCTATGACTCTATACCAATATGCTGATACGCCTATTCGAATTCTAGAGTGGGCTACAGCGGACCTATCTGGGGCCTAAATGGCGGGAACAGCATTGGATGTCCCCCAATTATGAATTTTGGAACCGAGAAGCAGAAGCAGGAATATTTACCAAGAGTTGCTCGTGGTGATATAAGATTCTGTTTAGGGATCACTGAGCCAGACGGTAACGCTCCTTTATACCTCCTTTTTACACGAACCTATGATCAAACAATAGTTAACGACCATTAGCGGGGTCCGATGTCTCCGGGATCAAGACCGTGGCAAAGAAGGTTGGTGACCACTATATCGTCAATGGAGCAAAGAAGTGGATTACCAATGGCATCTGGGCGGACTACTGCACTGCTGCCGTTCGAACCGGTGGACCTGGCCACGGAGGCATATCCTTCCTTATTATCCCCCTAACAGCTGAGGGAGTCACGAGAAGACGAATGTTCAACTCCGGTGTCCATGCAAGTGGCTCTACTTTCTTGGAATTTGACGATGTTGAAGTACCAGCAGAGAATCTCATTGGTAAGGAGAATGAAGGATTCAAGTATATCATGTCCAGTACGGCCTTCCGCCCCCCGTTATAGCTATGCGATTAAAAGGTTAAACAGACCAGCTAGGCTAACGGCATGGCAAAACATAGACTTCAATCCAGAGCGCCTAAGCCTGGCAAGTGCTTGTATTCGACTCTCACGCGTCTGCGTAGAGGACGCGTTCAAATATTCTACGACGCGGGAGACCTTCGGTCAACCTCTGCTGGCTAACCAGGTAATCCGAGCAAAAATCAGTAAGATGGGCCAGCTAATCGAGCCTTGTCAAGCGTTTATGGATCAACTAGCATATACCATCAAATCGTCTGAGCAAGCTGGGCAGAAAATCGATATTGGAGGGATGACTGCTTTGCTGAAGGTTATGAGCACACGCTGCTTAGAAAAGGTGTGTCGTGAGGCTCAGCAAATTATGGGGGGAGCTGGGTATAATAAGGCCGGTAAAGGGTCAAGAATTGAGGCCATCAGCCGTGATGTCAGGGTGTATGTTGTTGGCGGAGGAAGCGAAGAGATTTTGAGAGATCTTTCTGTTCGAGAGGAGCTTAAGCATATGCGTAAAGTCATGGATGCGCAGAAAAGAGCCAAGATATAACAGCTTGGTTCTATTCTTAAATTTTTTGGAAATTTTGTTATACAACATCCTTCTCTCAAGTAAGCGAATTAGTTTCGAAACCAGCTCCATTAAAAATGGCATAAGTATGATACAAAGAAACAGTATGCAAAGCTTCTTGGGTGCACAAGCAGCTGCATACCAGTCAACCCGACAACGCCAAACTCCCGGCATTGAAGAACACATTTCCCATAAGCCAAATGGGCAGTATCTAATAACCCATCCAGAAATATTTGAGGCCGGTTATGGCGTGGTAGGTAATATGGGTATATATTGATAGAAAGAAGTACGGACACATCCTTTGCTGCCCATGTTTATCTGAATAGTCTTCCAAACATGCCGGTCGCAAGATTCCCAGCAATACCACCAGATAGGGCATTTGAGGCGAATGAGGAAGCCTGGCTGAATCGGTCACATCTCGAAAACGCTAGTGTGTTGGTAATGGTTAGGATAAGGGCAATTGCTACAGTATTTTGTCAGCTACATCCACGTAAACCAGGTGAATGACGTTGATTAAACATACCAACGAGACTCAACCAGATGACACTTTGCAGTCGTATAATGGCAAGTACTGCCAGTCCAATCCACAAGGCTGGCGTGCTATAGAGGCCCAGCCAGAAGAACCGTTTATCCGTGGCGCTGATGACACGGGTATTTGGGTCGGAGCTCTCGAACACCCAGTGTGATTCACCCGTTTGCATATTTACTTCGTTCCACCATCGTAGCCCCACCAGTCGGCGTCCTGCAATATTCTTCAAGTAATAGAAATCTGCGGAAAGAAGGAGGAGTGTGATGATGAAGACGAGGATACTGTCAGAGCCCAAATGGTAAGTTTATTTGCTAGATTGTAGATAGGGTGATATCCTCGTCGTTGTATTCCAGATATAAACGTACAAGTTTTTGATAAAGAGCACTCCAAACAAGTACATGAGCAGACTACCTGAACATGATATTAGCAGGGCTCTTCTAGAAGCTGGTAATTGCGGCTCGAGAGATACTGGCTGGTGCCTAGAGATATCCCGTACCTATTCTGAATCCGAGAAAGAAGAGCAGAGTGAGTGGATGAGCACTAAGGCGCCAGTTAAGGTCGCCTGGTATCGGCTGTGCTTGTCCCTGGGACTGCTCCATGTTCAATCTCCTTCTCCGTGATGTATGTATGCTTCCTCTCGTCGTCAAGCATGAAATCAAACCAAGAAAGTTGTCCAACTCGATGCTATATGCTTATGTAAGAAATGTCTTGGCGTTTATTTGTCGCTTCAAAGCTTCGAAGCTGTTTTTACTGAGGCGTTGAAGGGTGAAGGCTGTTTCTGGGATATACATTACTATCACTCCCTCGATGATAGAACCGTTTATATGGCAGTTCTACCCAGGAGAACCGCCCCTTAAATATGGGACATCTCAATGGACAAGGATGAAAGAAACCTGCAATGCAGAGTGACAAATCATTGCTGGAAACGACGCTGGAATTGTTGGTACAAATACAGTGCTGCAGCTTGAATGCACCCTTACCATCCTTCTTTTCCTCTATTGTCTGCGTGCTATCTTCCCCTGCCTTTATACCGTCTATTTACAAGATATTGGGTCCATTGTTTATCATTTATAAAGGCTTGCTGTTTTCACTCCCTGATACCAACCGCTTGTAGGAAATATGCCGACACAAGGAGGCTTGATCAACACAAATGCGCTCGCGATCCAATACGACCGAACAGCACAAGATCCAAGGGACGACTCCGCAATAGGCCTATGGAATCGCCTTCTTAACGATAATTTTAATGGCGACAGTTGGATTGTGACATCCAAAAATCTCCGGCTAGACAGCACACGACCAGGCTTTGTTATCGAGAAAGTCTTGCCTACTGGCACATATATTGCGGCGATAGTCACTGAACCAAAACCACAGCATCAAACCATGTTACAGGGCCAGCCTGTGGACAACCAAGCTTTAGAAAATGCCATAAGTGCTCTCAATTCTGGTCGTTCAAGGGGTCAACAGAAAGTATTTGTTCTCCGAGTTGTCGGTACACAAATGATAGCTTTCAAAGTCACGGTCGATGAACCTTCTTTGATGCCATTGACAGAAGATTTCATGGATGTTAAAATTCATGGTGTTAATACGGGGCAAATATTCGATCAGATTATGAACGCTAACGTCCTGGAACCATGAAAGTGGCTGGGGGTAGGGGTATATTTATGTATCGAAGGTGTCTGCTGTATCGAGCTACCATCATGCTGCCTTGAATTTGAAGAACATTCACCTTTATATGGGGAAAAGACTGGGAAAACTTCTTCGTCTTCGAGGTAAATGAAGAATCGTTGAAGCCGCCTCTCTAGGGGATATTGTGGGAAAATTATTAGTATTTATGAAAGGGTGTTTAAATTTTATTGATAAAATACTTCGATTGAATACGACCTGGCTTTCCTTTGCAATAGAGTGCTGAGAGTTCTACTACTAACAGATATTCAGATAATCGTCTGCATCCCAATAGAGATACTCTAGGCATAGTGGCAGTCATACCTCCTCTAAAACCCATTATCAAAAGCTAGGCTACCACAGCATCGAGCCAAGGCTCAGCGAGTAATTCCATTGTCGACTTCCTCTTCTCTGGATCAATTCTCATGAGAGATGTTAAGAACATTGCAAACTTCTTTTTGTTTTCTCCATCCAGCTTCCCCAGAAATTCCTCTGATTCTAATGCGGGACGGGCAAGTGGAGGCAAGTTTTTTATCTTCCCCTCACTATCAAAGTACCTTTGGACAAGCTCTTGGTCACCATTTTGCAAAAGTGACTTTGGAAATGGCCCAAAAAAATCCACTATCTCATGGAGATGGTACCGAACCTCATAATGACCATGTGGTGGGCCTCTCCCGCTAAACATGCGTACGGCACGAAACACTTCTAGAATAACAGCTCCTAGATTCCAAAGATCGGTGCTTGGACCCCAGGGAGCTCCTATGAGTACTTCTGGAGCTCGAAGAGCAACAGGCTGGATCAGCTCGGAAAGGTGAGAATCAGTCCAACTAGCGACACCCCAGTCACCCAAGGCAATATCAAACTCTAGGAGGTTTGCTCCCTTGCGGAAGTAATCCCACTTAAGAGGCTGAGATCGAATGATCGGGGGATCAGTTGATATGACAACATCCGCTGGACCAGCAGGGTTATTTGGCAGGTATAGTTCCGAAATTAGCGAGTCATCCTTGATCTGGACGAAGATGTTATCTGGTTTAATGTCTAGATTGCATAGTTAGCAATGAGCTGCAAACTGCATAAGTGCAAGTGAAAGATTTACCGGTGTGAATAACATTGTGGTCATGAGCATAGTCCAGGGCCAAGAGAAGCTGGATAGTAAAACGGCGCATGATCTGGTTAGGAATCATATGCTCATCAAACCAGGTTCCGAAGCTCCGGAGCGTCTCGCCCATAACGGGGAAAACAAGGCAGACGTGGCATCCATTCGGGCCATGATGTTGGAATGAATCGACCAGCATTGAGATATAGGCATAGCCAAGGTGTGAAGGATCCGCAGCTCGCAGATGCTCAAGAATTTCACGCTCATATACATCCTTCTCGGCCCCATAGCATTCTGCACTCAAAACTTTTAATGCCCTAAAGTTGTGTTTCCTAAATAGTTATTGCTGTTATTAGCTAGATGGACTCTTGCTTAAGTGAGGCTGGAGTGGGACTAACTCTTCATTTTGAACAAGCCAAACGGTTGAATATCTCCCAAAGCCAAGTTTTCTCAGTACTTTGTACTTTCCATTGTACACCTCTCCTAGATGAACAGGATGGAAGCCACCAGGGCGATATACCTGCGGCCCTTCCTCTACTTCGGGAGATGTGGTGGACTCCTGGTTCTCGCTCGACATCCTTTTGCAGCAAAAACGGGGCAACCACCAGGCTTATCCTGATTAACCAGAGTCACAGCTTCAGAGCTAGGCGACTTCGTCTCTTATCAACAAAAAACTGAAAAAAAAAATCAAAGCAAACAAACAAAAAAACACAAGGATAGTTTGGTAGTAAGTAAAATGCTTTCCATACTCGGAGAGGGAAGATGGACGATGGACAAAATAATTAAGAACTTCACTTTGTCCCTTTTATATCCGTGAAATGGCCATCGTCAGCGAGTCTTTAGAGTACAAGACTTTATAAAAAGCTATATTAGTCGAGTTCTCAAAAGTAGTATAATAAATGGATACTAATTGTGTAGATTTCTATAATCAACCAATCTTATTAAAAAAATAAATAAAATCTCCCCTGCTTCGGAGCTGTGATACGCTTAACGCCAGTGCCAAAAGATCCTCTGCATTTATTCGGAACAACGAAAGAACCGACTTATCCAGGACCACTTGTTGCCGGGATGGGTTTCCACGACATCAAGCATCGGCTTCAGTTTAAAAGAGCAGTTGACATCTAATATAGTTATCCGCCTGCCCCAGCAATCTCGACGCGGCAACTCGTTGTCGAAATATTGTCGGTATTTCGTTTCCTCAGGGGTGATCTTGAGAGGATGGGAGGTACAGGGCATTCCCCATGATGCATGATTCCACAAATTCGAGCCCGTATTTCGGCAAGATCCGAGGTTTTCCCATAGGGTGCTGTGGAGTAAAGCATGGCCAGGTAATTGTTTTAGGTGGTAAATGCGCAGTTCTCTCTCGGACAAGCTGTAAGGACACCGGTAGCATTGATGTGACTCACGGCTGATATCTTCAATTCCATATAGTAGATGCTCACCCCAGTGCCCACATATCTGCACTGCATGGTCCATACTCTTATCACAGTTGTACAAGTATACAACCCATGTATCCTGCTTGAGAACCAACATGTTGTTGATAAGCTTAACATCAAAACTCCACGCAGTTCTTGTCTGGAAGGTCTCATCCAGCTGAGTAAAAGTATGGTGGTTTATAACGTCAGTTGCGCCACGTCCATTGGCAGGACCAAACCGATAATGGTTCATGATCTCCTTGGCCTGCCTGTATGTGAAATACGTAGTAGCCAAGTCCTCGCAAGGGGACCCAAGAAAGAAAACCCCACTGTCTAGATCGCATTCAGCAGACTTCAGCAGCGGTGGTAGTTGGCTGCATCGACAGTGAAACTTCTCACAACGATAGCAGAGCACATGTAGAGGGAAATCCTCTTCTAGTCTTTCGAGGAGCCTTAGGCGACCCTTGGGTAGTTTGTACAATTTATTGAGGAAGTTTTGACCTGTAGTAGCTTGCCAAATAGCCCTGCAACTCAGCACGAATGAAGCCGCGTCAACAGGTGGAAGAGTACAGGCGATGTAGTATACTACATCGTCGTTAAGAGAATGTATAGCAGGAGTATCCTCGATAGATAAAGGTTTGTTGGTCGGGTATTTATTGGCCAAGGACTTGTCTACATGGTGATATGGCGAATTCTCATTGATAATATCAAGTATAAACCACGCTGTGATGAAAACGAGTGTGGTGCAAATCAAAGCAAAAAGTGCCGCCAACAGCATGATAGCTGGAAGCACAAGAAAAACGAAAGCCATGAGTGCCCACACCTTTTACACAGGATGAATAGGGCTTCGAGAGGTAGCAAAAGTAGGTTTTTATCGAGAAATATGAACGAGGCCTACAATTATAAATGCTTTCGCGGGATGGCCGGCTCAACTGACACATACTTTCCACAGTAGAACAGTCATTGATGTCATGAGCTGCCATTCCATCATGCACTCCAAAGATCCGAAACGGCTTGGGCTAGAGATACGATATATCCCGGAGAATCTATAAGTATTGCTAGAGGGCAAAGGGATAATAATAGTTATGAGCCGGTCGTAAGGCCAAAATCGCACTTCTTTCTATTTATATACAATAGAAAGAGTGAGGACGATGCCGTAGCAATAACTATAAGGATATCTATGTTTATGCCTTATATCTCTTGCCTGAATGATACTCCTAGGTATGAATATCATGTATGTCGGCTTTCTGACGGAAGATTCCAAGGGTGGAGGTCGTTTTCTCCATGGGCGCCTGGAACCTCCTTCGGTCGGATCAACTATAAACCGCATATGGCTTACTAATATACTATATAAACATTTGCTTGGCACTTTTGATGTCTCCAAAGTTGGCAATCAAACATCAGCTTCAAAACGCTCGCTTTTCGTCCTTTGCTTGCCACATTAAATATACTCTGATGCCAGAGCTGAGGATGAGCCCAAATACCCATCCATCCTTTTCTACGTGGAATGAATTATACATGAAAGCTTTAGAACACTTTTTTCGGTCATATCCTCCACATATATGTCATGGACGAGTATGCCACAGCAGCCATCATCATCTACTTGTATAAGCCCACTGTCTATGTAAGTAGATGATGAAAATATACAGCTATGTTTAATTGGATCTCTACATATACCTCTGCATGCGGCTCACTGCATGCCTCTGTTTTAATATACTTCATTTCATGCAACCAGCCGGCGTTTGCCAAATGCTGGTAGACCATGAAGTGCCCTGTGGGAAAAGGCGATTACACTATTATAGTAAATATCCATTTAATGAAGCCACTATACTACTTTTTAGAGCAATAAAAATACCTACGGCTTAATTCCCTTCATGCTGCTTGATATAAAATGGTTGAACCCTGTCTATATTCTACACTTTTCTAAAGGTGTGTTGTCTCTTTCGGTTGCTGGGGAGCACGCGTGTTGTCATTTGAAATCTCTTCTTCTTTTCTTCTTCTTCCTCTTCTCGCGTTTTTGCAACAACAACAACTTCAACCATTTGGTTCTTCTGCAAACACTAAGGTCAACTTCTCAGTCCTCTCCTCTTAACTTAGGCAGACACCCAAGGCTCCCTTCTACACTCTGTAAGTCTTTTCTCTGCCCAAGTCTCTTGTGATTTGCTCTCTGTGGCGCGTCAACATCTGTAATGCTGTTGATCTTGGTCTTTTCTTCTTCCACAAAAGGATCTGCCCTCCCTCCACCCCAGCTGGAGAAAGAGTCTTTTCTACAATCTTTCTTCCGTCCTCCCTGGTGTCCTGACTAATATTCCTTGAAAGTAAATATCTTGTCAACAGTCCATCATGAGTGACTGGAAACAAGAGGCCGGTAAGTCACTATCACTATCCAATTATGGTTACAAGCATACCCTTACGAGGACGGGCCTTCGTTTGCGAGACTCCAGGTCTCGAGGCCAATATATATATATTTTGAGCTGAGGGGTACTTGTCCGACTTAGCTAACATGAACTGGTTTTAGAATCCGCCGCTTGGAACAATGGTGGTGACCAGGCAGCCGGAGCCTGGAATGATGGCGGTGACGGCTTCGAAGGAGGTGATCCCAACAACATGGTAGTTGAAGCAAATAATGGTGACGCAAATGGTGATACCTGCCGCAAGTGAGTGTTCTATCTAATCATTACCTGTAATATTTCTACTACCTGTCCAAATATCTAACATCATTACTCTATAAAGCTGTGGACAGTCCGGCCATTTCGCCCGCGAATGTCCCGAACCAAGAAAGCCTACTGGAGCTTGTTTCAACTGCGGTCAAGAAGGGTATGAACACTCAGCCTTCTGATAACAAATACCTTTTTGTTGATGTGATGTAATAGCCATAACAAGAGCGACTGTCCAAACCCCCGTGTTTTCACCGGTACCTGTCGTATTTGTGAGAAAGTGGGGCACCCGGCCGCTGAGTGCCCAGAACGTCCACCAGATATCTGCAAGAATTGCAAGGGTGAAGGTATAGATTTGGCCCCTTCATAAACTCGGCTCAAAGGCTTGATTTAACCTGTATTTAGGCCACAAAACCATGGAATGTACTCAGAACCGCAAGTTTGAGCAGCATAATATCCCTGACAAGCTCCCAGAGGAAGCACTAGGTATCTTGAAGAAGGCTAGCAAGGAGAGAGATTTGGAAGATTTTCGTGATGTGAGTGATCCCTGATCTTATTTGAATAATTATAATTAACATAGATAATATAGGGATTGAAAATCTACAGCAAGGCCGTTCCCCTTGCTACCTATGTTGACATCGAAAAGCTGTTGCGTCAGGAAAAGCTCAACGTCTATTTGATAGGCCTTGTAAGTGGCATATAGTATACTACAGATCGGCTAGAAAGTACTAATAGGGCTACTAGGAGCGTGAAATTGGTGATTGCCATACCGTTGTGAACCTCCAGGGAAAACTCAATTGCAAGTATGTTATCGGTATCTACTTCAGCGATAAACCTCAGCGTATCAACCTCAAGGAGCGCTGGCCTGCCTCCCCTGAAGAGAACCTCGAACGTCTCGCCGAGGCTGGCCTTCCTCTCGATCGCCAGGTCCCCAAGTGTTCTAACTGCGGCAGTAAGATACATCATATGGTCGTAACCTAGCCAACCATTCCTAACTATTGTCTTTTAGAAATGGGCCATATTATGAAGAGCTGTAAGGAGGAGCTTTCTGTCGTCGAACGTGTGGAGGTCAAGTGCGTCAACTGCAAACAGCCTGGCCACCGTGCTCGTGACTGCAAAGAAGCTCGTGTTGATAGGTTTGCTTGCCGTAACTGCGGGTATGTATCTCTAATTGATGATTTGGTGGATATAGCTGCTCACCCATGATACAGAAAAGGCGGTCATCGTTCAACCGAGTGCCCTGAGCCTCGCTCTGCTGAAGGAGTTGAATGCAAGCGTTGCAATGAAGGTATTATTAAACGCAGTAACTTAGTGGCTCTTGCAAGGATTTGCTAACATTTGGGTCATTCTTAGTTGGCCATTTTGCGAAAGATTGTCCTCAGGGAGGTGGTTCGCGTGCTTGCCGCAACTGCGGGTTAGTTAGCCATTTGTACTCCAGTCTTCTAGTCCTTCCTATCTCCGCTAACAGTAGTATTTATTATAGGAGCGAGGATCATATCGCCAAAGACTGTGACCAGCCTCGAAACATGGCGAATGTTACCTGCCGAAACTGCGAAGAAAGTGAGTATAATCCAACGTATATGAAGGTTCCAACAAGCGGTCATCAACTAATGTATATATCAGTGGGTCACTTTAGTCGCGATTGCACCAAGAAGAAGGACTGGAGCAAGGTTAAATGCAGTAATTGTGGAGAGAGTATTCTAACCCCCTGCCCCTATATTTATACAGCTATACCCTTGATATGATATATGTTGACTCTTATAATAGTGGGCCACACTATTCGTCGCTGTCCCCTACCGGCTGAAGGCGCCAATGATGAAAACGGCGGCAACGGTGGAGGTTTCTACAACGAGGCGCCAGGCTCAGCTGCAGTTCCGGTTTCTGGAGGTAACGTTATGGAGCCCGAAGCCGCTTGGGGAGGTGGTGCAAACGCTGGCGCTGGCCCAGGCTGGTGAAACACAACTCAATACAAACCGAACAATGACGAGAAAGCGTCAAAATGGGTGAAAATTGACCAAACCGAGCAACACGACACTGACTCGAGAAATACGCGCGAAAAAAACAACAAAAAAGAAAAAAAAAGAAAACAACAAGGGAGATAAAAAACGGAACATGAAAGGGCAAGAAGAAGAAAACAGGTTATTGAAATTGTACGACAGGTAGTATGCAGTAACTAGCCTAGATAGCCACCCAAACGAAGAGATTTATACGCGCAAGTACTCGTGCATGCAAGGCGCAGAGAAGGATTGGTATCTACGTATGTTAAATGATATTCTCTCTCAGGTTATTCTTCCTTCTCTTGTTGGCTCTCACTATTTCATCTGATGTTTGACGCAGCAACACTTGGAAGGTCAAAGCCAACAAAGGGCCCGGCTTACCCAAAGAGGCAGTTCCGGCTATACAAACAAAAAATGCCTAGGTAGGAAGGTCCAATTCCGGATAAACTTATATCCGTCAGCCGCTCGAGCCGAGGTCCGCATTTTTTGCCTTCCCGGTTCCTGATCCGTTCTTTTCACGACGCTGGTTGGCCTTCTTGGACGCAACATCAAGGGTTCGAAGGAGCATCGACAACGCCGCTCACGTCATGAACATCTCCACTGCGGGCTTTGGGCAGGGCAGAGTTTGCTTTTTCTCTCTCTCTTTCATACCCTGTGAGCAGTTCACACCATGGAACCACCAGCCCACACACGTATGGCTTTGTCAAAAAAGACACCACAAGGACGGTATTCAGGCCGAAATGAAGAGAACAACCTCTTCCTCCCATTCTCCTTTCCATCCTACGGAGTTCCAGCGCGGGTGAACGGGACAAGAGCGAGCTGTCGGCTAACTGGGATGTGACGGGGATGGTGTCGGCTTGCCTATAGTTGGCAATAGGGAGGGTTCGCCGACCTCAAAGAAAGGTGAAGTAGTATGATAATAAGCCTTCTTGGCTATGAAGGAAGCGCCAAAAGGAATTCAAAAACGCCTTTGTTTTTCCTTTTATACTTATCTCTGTGAGCCAAGCGCAAGCGAGCTGGTTTCTAATTAGCGGGCTCTTCATCGAAACTACCAAGTCCCACATAGGAACTATGATGCCACCACGACCTACAGAGAACGGAAAGGAGAAGAGAAAGATAGATACCAGACAGAGGGATGTTTGGAAGAATCAGCATCCCTGTCCCGAGTTATATCTATGGGATAGTATAACTCTGGATAGTAGCTGAGAATACGGTGGAGATGAACAGCTGCTGGAACCGATTCAGCTTATTCGGAGCAAGAGTTAAGGAAATTGGATATGGACGGTACCTCCGTCATCGAAGGCGAAGTAGCAGTCCATACTAACCCCCATACTCCGTTCCCCCTTCTTTTTCTCCACGACCCAAGAAAAACTCCCGTCACTAGTGGATACCGGGGGATGCAAAAATAGATGGGAATCAACGCGTGACGCCCAATGAGACGACTGACTCTCCATGAGGTTTGCAACCATGCAGTGGCCGTTCGCTCGTGTGTGACATTATACATTAAGGCGAACCATGCTGTGCCTTTGTGAAAAGAAAAGAGGCGGAAAAGAAAAAGAAAATGGCACACCCATGAGAGTTTCCGAGAGTTTAGTTTGTTATACTAAGATGAAATATGGAGCCCTTCTTTTTAAAAAATAATAATAAACCAAGGATTATACGTCCATGCTGTAACCGCATCTGCTGGCGGCTTCTCATGCGTGGATCTTCATGCTGTGTCACGCCCGAGAGGATAAGAAGTTGCGCGGGAAGGGCTGGTACATGTTATAAAGACCTCCACATCCTCGCTTTCATCTCTCTCTCACTCTTTTTTAATTTGTTTCCCTTCCATCGTTGTCGTTTGTTATCCCGCTGGTCTGGGGTGGCCGTATGGAGAGTCGATTGGGTCTTGTTAACGTCGCATAGCTCGTTGTCTTGAGCTGTGGTTACTTAACGTCGTTCATTCGCCCAAGGATACCGTTAACCCTTCAACGATATACATCGCGAAAGACGCCTCGATCTACAGCTTGACAAGGATCTCGAAACCATGGGTCTAGGGAGCAGGTACTTCGGCCTTCGAGGCACGAAGCTCAACATTGCCATTGGAGTCATTGCCGGCCTGGATTTCTTGTATGTATAACGCGCTCCGTGCAGAATTGATACGGGGGAGATGCTAACTCGAGGGAACCTAGGCTATTCGGTTATGATCAGTATGATAAATATTCTATAGCTCCCTCTTAAGGGATTGTTATCTAACTTATGTACCCTCCAGAGGTGTCATGGGCGGGCTCTTGACGCTCCACTCTTTTGAGAGGGTCTTCCCTGAAATTGCTACCAGTAAAGAAGCAGTTATGGGCTTAACCAGATCTCAAATAAACCACCGGTCTACTATTCAAGGTGCGTGCCCATTCATTCAATAAAGCGCGGCATGTATCAATCTAATGACAAAGTACAGGTATTTCCGTTGCATCATATAACCTCGGATGTTTCGTTGGTGCGCTTGCTTGTATCTGGATCGGTGACAGACTCGGACGAAGAAAGACCATCTGGCTGGGTTCAGCTATCATGGTCGTCGGTGCTGCTCTCCAGGCATCTGCGTATGGTCTTCCCCACTTTATTGTCGGACGTCTCGTAACAGGCTTTGGTAACGGACTGAACACCTCAACCGTACCAACCTGGCAGTCTGAATGCTCCAAATCCCACAGACGAGGACAACTGGTCATGGTCGAAGGTGCTCTGATCACTGGGGGTATCTGTATTAGTTACTGGTTGGACTTTGGCTTTTCCTTCCTCGAACCCAGCTCGGTTTCATGGCGGTTCCCCATTGCCTTTCAAATCGTCTTTGCTCTCATTATCATGCTTGTTGTCATGGGTCTTCCAGAGTCTCCCCGATGGCTAGTTCTGAAGGGCCAAGAAGACGAAGCAATGAATGTTTTGGCAGCCCTCAGCGATCTGGACAGGGAAGATCGATTTGTCCATTCGGAGTTCTCTGCAATCAAAGATACGGTCATTGAGATGCAGCGGGGCAGCTTTAAGGATCTGTTCACCATGGACAAGGACCGTCACTTGCATCGTGTCATCCTTGCATACGTCAACCAGGTGTTCCAGCAGATCTCTGGTATCAATCTCATCACATACTATGCCACCACGATTTATGAAGGCAGTATCGGCCTTGATCCATTCATCTCACGAATTCTTGCCGCTTGCAACGGCACTGAATACTTCTTTGCATCATGGATTGCTGTATTCGTTGTGGAAAGGGTCGGCCGCCGTCCACTCATGCTGTTCGGCGCGGTTGGCATGTCACTTTCCATGGTGGTCCTCGCCGTTGCTACAAGTTTCAAAGGACAGACAGACCCCGGAATCGTCGCAGCTGTTTTCCTCTTTGTTTTCAACACCTTCTTTGCCATCGGCTGGCTCGGTATGACCTGGTTGTACCCTGCAGAAATTGTTAGTTTTATCTCCTCCCTAAAATGCAAACAAGTTCTCGCTGCTAACCTGTCAAATTCCCAGGTCCCTCTACGAATCCGTGCCCCTGCCAATGCCCTTTCTACCTCAGCAAACTGGATCTTCAACTTCATGGTAGTCATGATCACGCCTGTTTCTTTCTCCTCCATCGAATATAAGACCTACATCATTTTTGCTGTTATGTAAGTTCAACCACCTGCAGGGATAGAGAAATATGTACTAACCCAGTGATAGAAACGCCTTCATCGTTCCAGTGGTCTACTTTTTCTACCCTGAAACAGCCTACCGCTCCCTCGAGGAAATGGACTCCATCTTCCGGAAGACGAAGTCTATCTTCTCAGTAGTAAAGGTAGCTCGCGAAACACCAAGACGATACGGCAAGAACGGTGAAGTTCTCATCAACTATGATGATACAGACGAACACAGAGCTCGTGCCGGCGCCACTCAAGAGGAAACAACGTCATCTTTCCCCGAAAAGAAACATGAAAATCCAGACCACGATGCTGAAACGGGCAATTCGAACAGCCCAAGCAACCAAAGCGCAGCATAAGGTACTGAGTGTGCATTATGCTTTCAACGGTAAATTTTCTTTCTACAAGATAAAACTCTTTACCTGTATGTGTATTTATTTATCAGAAGCTTAAGTATCCTTCCAGTTAGAGAGGATGAGTATATATACCCCCAATATTAACGCCTATGTTTGCGCATCAATAACCACATAATATTCCACAGTTTAAGCAAAGTAACCCTTGAATGTCAATCTATATATTAATACTTCAGATATAGTTATATTGTGGGGGATATAATATAGATCTACGGAGTATATCACAATCCGAATATACTGCAAAGCAAATCATATTAACCTCATTCCCGGGACGCAGCCCAGTCCCACAACCCAGTTGAATCAGCTTCTTTGTCATTCTTCAAATCCCAAACGAGCACCTCCTTGGGTAAATCCTCTACCTTGCAGTCAGCAGACTGTGGGAAGAACGCTTGTATAACTTTCTTCCGAATAACCTTATCGGTAGTTGTGCGTGGAATGATCTCGTCGTCTTGGAGAATACGTAGAAGGGTGGGGAGCTTATACAGAGCAACATTCAACTCCGTAAGGTTCCGTCTTATTTTAAATAGCATGTCCGTAGGCATTCCACCCTGGTCTGTGCCATTGGTGCTTTCGCCTTGGAATGAAGGCTTAATGCGTGCAACAACAGCTACCCTGTTCAAGACCTCCATGTCTGGAACAGCAACAACGGACGCTTCCGAGGTGTAAGGAAGTTCTGCCAACCTATCTTCGAGTTCAAGAGTCCCCACTTTGAGAGATCTCGAGAGAACAACTGTGAGATAAGTTAGCAAGATTTTCCCCATTTTCTCAAAGGGGGTTATGTAACGCGCTCCTGGTTATGTAGTAGATCTGCTTCTAGAAAACTGGAATTTGAGCAAGAAATTACAGTCCTCTTTAACTCGACCATCGATAACATAGTTTCCATCTTCCCCTATGTGCACTAAGTCTCCTGTTTTGTAGAATCCATTCGCATCTAGTGCGTTCTTCGTAGCGATCTCGTCACCGAGATAGCTATTAATGGTATTAGCGTACCATCCACGAGGCAAGGAACAGAATGTCGAACCCACCCAACAAACAGGTCATTACTTTTAATCAGCAATTCGCCATGGTCACCTTCCGAAAGCTTCAACTGGACACCGGGCAATGGTTTGCCAATAACACGCTACCGGAAAGATCATTAAGACAAAACGCTTGGATAATAAGAACATGGGTTGACTCACCTTCGTGACATCGTAGCCTTCCGGAGTCGTGCCCAGCCCTCCACCCGCTTCGGATGTTCCAAAGAGAATGGTGATAGGGTCACCGCCACGCATGTCTTTCCAAAACTGCCCTACGGAGGGCATGGGTACCGCACCACCACAGGCAACATACCTGAGCTTCCTCGCTCCTTCTTTGTACTCTTCGACCTTATCAGCTTCCAGCCCGGCCAGATTCTCATTGTAGTATTGCATCAGACGAAGGAACATCAAATTTGTGGCATATGCCATGGTTAGTTTCTTCTCGCGAATGACGTTCCAGATCTGTTCCGGGCTAGGGTCTGCATCGACAATATAAATGGACAGCCCATTCATAATCATAGCTACGGGAGGGCCGACTCCAAATCCCCAGTGAACGGCACGATGACACAGGGCGAGATCTTCATTTGTACCCCTCAACATACCACGAAGGTCCAGCGCGGGCATTTTACGCACAACTCCTTTAGGGGGTCCAGTGGTACCCGATGTAAGTATAAGAATAAATGGTCGATCTGGTGAAAGTACCGCACGCTCATCAATGTGATAATTGGATTTTGTGAGTGGAATCGGAACAGTGAGGTCAACACCGATTGTATTGATCGCGTTTCCGGTTTGGTTCTTCATATGTCGCTGAATTTCGGAGGCTGCATCGCGTTGGCCAGAGCCAACTATGAGGAGGACCGCTTTGCTCTTCCCAAAGAGATATATAGCCTCCTTTGGAGTAACGCCGGTTGCTAATAGAAAAAAATATTATTAATACCAGCGGTACCTTCTAATTCATTAGAGTGAGAAGGTATACCCAGTGGCGACAATGCAGCCCCGACCGCCCAGATAGCGAAGCAAGCTACAAAAAACTCGTAGCTCGCCGGCGCAAGGGTGCAGATGTATACTCCGTCGTCACGCACGATGCCATTAGAATCGAGAAGATTTGGAATCTGCTGACGGATGGTACGTCGGAGTTCGAGGACATCGTTTAGAAAACGATCATAGTTAGCCATGATGCCATGGTTAGGGTCATGTATAATAGTGCCATCGTTCAAAGGCACATTCTTGATAAGATGTCTGAAAACCGGGTGATCTGGGAAGCCTTCGACATCCATGTTGAAAACCGTTTCCTTCAACTGTTATTCAGAGGAATGTTGGCTGGATAAGAGCTGTTTAAATACAGAGTACTCCGTATAGAGGCCGCAGACCGCTTTATAGCTGCCGCCGTTTTCAGTGGGGTATCTTTGAAAGAGAAGTTTCATGTGCGAATTCATCCTCCCACACGGAGATATGAAATGGCCGGATGAAACTTTTGGAAACATAATGCAAGCTTGTGCATGGACAGGGATATACCGCTGAAATCACGTAAAGACTGATCATGAGAGACGGCCTTTGACATACAAAGGGGAGCGATGGCTGCAGCTCAGGCCTCCAACTGGACCTGAAGGATCATTCATGGTAAATTGATATGGCAAGCATGGTCGATCAACGGGTTTGCATAGTTTAACTATTATGTTAATAGTTGTAGCCTCGCACGTATACTCTGTGTTAAACGGACATGCATATCAGCCCGGAGTTTGTTGTAGTTTGACGGTAGTTGAAGACGGTAGGACCTTTTTTGCTTAATATAGACGTCTTAGTCAGCAGACACCCGTTATGGACGTTTTGACGTCAAAGTCGCAAGTTCGCGACATCCCGCATAAAAGACATTCAAGGACTACATTTGCTTCTGGACCGTGGAAGCACCCAGAGCAAGGATAGAAAGCATCCTGGTCTTCTGCAGCAGGGATAAATTATCATCAGAGCGGGACATCCGTTCCCCGCGCCATCTATCCAGGGTTTGCAGCTTGTCTCAAAGAAGGCCAAGGAGCTACTCGATATAGGCTGCAGAAACCAGCCCAGGAACTAATATTACGGAAGAGAGCTCCCTGCCAGTGGCCAGTAGGATCGTATTTTCCGCTTTCACGTTAGCCCTTCGAGAACTTTTTTCGCTTGACAAAACGCTGACGAATAGAATGGGTAGACGCTCCAACTACTCCGTTCATAAAGCAACCTGAGAGGCCCTCCCCTTTGGAATTGGCTGGTTAGCGGGCCCCAAAAAATCTCCATATCCATACAACCGAACAGCCAGTTGATCATAATCAATTGCGATGGAGAGCCACTGGCCAAAAGACGAAGACTCAGGTTCGAATGGCCCAATAGCCCAAAGAGAGCCTGATTTCGATGCAGAAGAAGCAGACGACGAGACGTTGGATCGCATATATCGTAAACTGGACCTGCGTATCATCCCACCGCTATGGACACTCTACTTTCTTTGCTCTGCCATCCGATCCAATGTCGGGCTGGCTCAGACGATGAACCTCAAGGAACACCATGACCTGGGCTCGGTACTGCATCTGACTCCCCGACAGATCTCGACAAGTTTGGCACTTTTCTACGTGTGCTACGTCATATTCGATCTGCCTTCAAACCTGATCATGACCAGGTTGAGCCCTCATATCTGGATGAGTCGGATAGTGATTAGTGTTGGTGTCATCGGGGCGTTGATGGCAGCTGTCAACGCCGCGTGGTCGCTGTAGTACGTTTCTATCACTACTTATCGTTGTATTCGCCTTCTTATATCTAACCAATTGGACACTATACAGTCTTCTCCGCCTCCTTCTAGGTATCGTGATAGCCGGCATGTGGCCTGGCATGGCATACTATCTATCACTCTTCTACCCTTCTGCTCGCACCGGCCAGCGTATAGGCTTCTACTTCACTGCCGCCCAAGTCTCTGCTGCAGTCGTTGGGCTGGTCTCTGCCGGGTTCCAGGAAATGGACGGCTTAGGGAACCTCGTCGGCTTCCAGTGGATGTTCCTCATCTGGGGCCTGGTCGGCACATTGATGGGCATAACGCTGCTATGGTGGCTTCCAGACCGACCTCTCCCACCGGGCGAATCTCATCCGCCTCGCGCGGCATGGCTTCGGTGGATACCCACGACCAGGCCTGCACTATCCGGCAAAGACGAAGAATTGCACTACGCCGACGTACAGCGCGTTTACAAGAAAGTGCAATGGGGCTGGTCTGATATCCTCCGCATACTATGCGACTGGCGTCTCTGGCCCGTGACAATCATGTACTTTGGTGTCGTGGGCGTTGGCATCGGAGTGCAGAGCTACGGCACAGTAATCATCCGTGCCGCCATCCCTTCGTTAACGGGCGTACAGCTCTCTCTGCTCTTCGCACCGATATGGGTCATGGATCTGATAGCCATCCTGATCATGACGCCAATATCAGATGCATTCCACCACCACCGGCCGGCCATTTTCATCTTTTCATGTCTGATATTGCTCACCGGCCTGCTACTCACGACTTTCACCCGCACCTGGACTGCATACGGCGGCCTGTTGGTTGTAGGATTTGGTCTTGGCCCGACAGTCCCCATCACCATGTCCTTGACCGCCGAGCTGTTCGGAGCAAGGTACGGTGACGTCGGCGTTGCTGCTTCGACCGCGATAGTGAGCGGGCTGGGTAATCTGGGAAGTATTGTGAGTACATATGCGCTGTATACGGGATGGAATGGGGATGCAAAGAGGGCGTATAGAGGGAGCAATGGGGTGATGTGCGGTATTGTTGGTGCAAGTATAGTTGCAGCCGTGATTGTGGGCGTGATCGTATGGGGGAAGCAGAGGGAAGCGCAGCGTGGCTGGAGGGGCGTATGGTGGGTAAAATGGTTGATGAAATAAACAAGTAAATGTAATATAATATATATGTTGGATCAAAACGGGTTGGTTTATTAGTTATTCAAGCAAATCTCCGTCTACTATATCGTTAGCCGTGTCAGTGCATCTCCGTACGGAAATGCATTGACGTGTGGATATTGCTCCGTATATAATAACTCAGCTCCTGTCCAGCCACATCTCTGGCTGCATCCTACAGCCGTCTCAACAATCTAGATCAACTGCTTAATGATGTACTATGTCAATATCCATCTTCTAAGCAACCAATCGGTTTTAACCAGGTATTGTAAGGATGCGGCCTTGCTACCCAAGGAAGTTTTATTATGAACGTATTTCTTGGTCAGACAGAAGACGGTTGACCAGGAAACAATCAATGTAAATACTTTGAAACACCAACTTCGGGGATTAACGACTGGTTGGAAGTGGATCTATCATACTGGGTAGTAAATGAGTGTAATTTCTCTCATCTCATCGAGCTCCTGTCTAAGTGTAGTAAAGTAGCTATCTACCGCACTAACGCAGGCAAATCACGCGCAAGGTTGAAGAGACAGACGAAAAACACTTCAAGGCCTGGGACGCACGGTAAAACATAAGAGAATTAAGTCAAACTTGAAAAAAGGGTATGTAGCAACGTAACGCCGACAGAACAGCAGCGGTGTGCATGGTCGGGATATATGAATTAATGTAAGGATAGTTAGCTAATAATAATAGTAGTAGTCGGCCACCAACAACGGATTTTCTCCTTTTTCTCGTGTGTAAAAAAAAAAAAAAGGGACTTTGGTTGTAGTAGTGTGTATAACTAGAGCCGAACTGACAGACGCGATCCCACGGTTTCAGTGGGAGCAATATGTAGTGAGAGTGAACTAGCATATTGCAATAAGTGGTGCATGAAAACGACAAGAACGGAAACAGGTAAAGGAAAATAACACATGAAAGGCTTTAACAAAAATGGGCATCGAAGCGTGGAATATCTAATTAAAAAGGCATTAAGCGTGTCGGTCTTGAGCACCGGAAAAGGGAAGAAAAACAGGAAAAGCATTTCGACGTGGGCGCATCGTTGGGCTTAATCGCTACCGCAGAGCTAGAGAGAAGGTTAGTTCCATGTGTTTGAAATAGACAAGGAGGATGACATACAGTTTCAACGATGATACCCGTGATCTGGTATGGATCCGCGTTACTGGCGGGTCTTCGATCTTCGAAGTATCCCTTTCCGTCTTTGGCACACTGTCTGGGGATTCTGATACTTCCACCACGGTCGGCGACACCCCAGCTGAACTTGTCGATGCTGCCGGTCTCGTGGCGGCCGGTCAAACGGTCTTCGTTTCCTTCACCGTAGACGGCGATGTGCTCTGGGTGACGGGCCTCGAGCTTCTTCATGGCAGCCTCGATGACCTTCATGCCACCCTCAGCACGCATGGAGGCAGTGGAAACGTTGGAGTGGAGACCAGCGCCGTTCCAGTCACCCGGGATGGGCTTGGGAGCGAAGCTGATGACGACACCGAAGTCTTCGGCGACACGGTTGAGGAGGAAGCGGGACATCCAGAGCTGGTCACCGACTGTTATGGCTGTTAGCGGGCGGTAGACAAGAGAGGGGTAGGAGGCCAAAAACTTACGGACGATACCCTCGCACGGTCCGACCTGGTACTCCCACTGGGACGGCATGACCTCAGCGTTGATACCGGAGATGTTGATGCCGGCGTAGAGACAGGCCTTGTAGTGGGCATCAACGATGTCACGGCACTGCGCCTTGCCGGTACCGACACCACAGTAGTATGGGCCCTGGGCACCGGGGTAACCACCCTTGGGCCATCCGAAGGGCCAGCCATCCGCGTCCAAGAGAGTGTATTCCTGTTCTAGGCCGAACCAGAACTGTTCCTTCTCATGTGTTCTCATGAGACGGGCGGCCTCGTGACGGTAGTTGTACTTGTTGGGCGAGCCATCGGCGTCCCAGGTCTCACAGAGGACGAGGATGTTGTCACCACCTCGGAAGGGATCCGGGAAGATGGCGCAGGGGCGAAGGTAGACGTCCGAATCATGGCCGGGAGCCTGGCCTGTCGACGAACCGTCGAAGTTCCACTCTGGGAGCTCGTCAGGCGAAGTGACGGGACGGCTGAGAGTCTATGATGGCATCAGCAACCAGAAACGCGACGACGAAAACCAGCAGCCATCAACCCGCAGCCACGTATGGAGGGGTTGGACTAAGAGGCTAATGCAGGAACCAAAGCCCATGGCAGGCAAGGGTAGGTAACAACACCACAAAAAAAAAAAACCAAGCAGCACTAACCTTTGTTTTTGAACGAACACCACCGTGAGCATCTACCCAGACGTATTCAGCGAGGACCTTTCCACGCTGGTCGAGGCCCATGTACTTTTGGAGCTGGAGGGAGGGTGTTAGTTATGACTCGACACCAACAGTGGCGGATGGTACACACATTAGCAGCATCGGATCGACGAGTGTTCGCCTGTGCCGGTGGTTAGCATCTCATGTTATCGTCAGGTACGAAAGGAGTGGCAGAGGCAAAGGGACCACCCACCATGATGAATGATTATAAGCAAGATAAGACTGGACGGTAGATAAACGACAGAAGCGACAGAAAGCAACTGAAGACAAGAGCTGGCTTTATTTTTTTATATTTTATCTGGCCTAAGTGAAGGACTTTGGGGGGAGAGAAGGACCAAAGAGAAGGAGAGAGAATAATAATAATAGGAGAGAGAGAGAAGAAGAAGAAAAGAAAAAGATGAAGCTGAAGATAAAGCGACTTTTATAAAAAGGAAAAAATAAATCCTTGGTGTGGCATGCAAGGTTTTCCTCCCACTTGATGACGTAAGGCGTCTCAGCCAGCTTAGCTAAGCGTCCCCAAAATTAGAAAGAAAGATAAAAAGGAAGGCCGGAAGAAGGCCGGAAGAAGACGGGGCTAGACCCACCGGGTGGCGGTGCGAGATCGCCCGATAAGGCCGCCAGATAAGGAGATAAGGGAAAGAAATCCCTCATACATGGAGTTGGCCGAGTCCGACAGAGCCCAGCCTGCAACCTCCGTCCACAGCAGCTCTGGAGTGGTCGACGGGCGTCGGAAGAGTTTGGGCGTTTGGGGAAGCGCAAGGAAGGATGGAGGAGCGGCAGAAGGGGGGGGGGGAGGAGAGGGAAGGGCGGTGAGACCTGATCTGCCTGTCTCACCCTTTTTTTTTCTTCCCTTCTTGTTTGTCCTCCTTTTTTGGTCTTGTTTCTCTGTTGCAAGTCTTCGCTTAGGCTGCCTGTCCGGGTGTCGATGGCTGCGCCCTGTGGCTGGCTGGCGCAGATAAGGGAAAGGATCCTGGTTGGGCCAGAAAAAGCAAGGGATGAGGTAATACGATTACATACGTGTCTTATGTAAGACGCTGCCGAGGCAACAGTGATGATGATTATGTAAACACATCATACAGTAGAGGTAGAGCGGTAGTGGTGCCTGCGCACCCACTCGACCAGCAGCCCCGGATCTTCGCTGGTCTCCAGCACGCGCTCCAGCAGGCCACACAGCTTCCTCTCCTCCTCGGCCCGCTTGCTCTGCGCTTCTGCCGGTCGCGCGTCGTCTGCGGGAGGGCTCTCCACCAACCCGTTTGTACAGGGGACATGTAGCCGTCCGTCGGGCCTGACCTCGACCGTCACGCTGGCCGTGCGCGAGAGAGGATGGGGGAGAGGGAAGACGACCAGCAGGCTTGGTGCCGACGAGACGGGCGTCCGTAGTGAGATCGAGATGCGCGTGTCCTGGCCCGTCTGCTGCTGGTTGGCGGCCAGGAGTGAATCCAGCCGGGCCTCAGCCGCATCGACGTTGCTGACCGTGTTTTCCTCGTTGTCGTCACTGTTACCACCGCTGGTAGGGATGTCAAAGACGTCCAGTAGCCTGTCGAGTAAGGCGTACTGCCGCAGTAAAGGGATGGCCTCCTCCACCTGTCGTGGGTGCGAGAAGGGAAGCTCCCTTACCGTAAAGCCGGGCACATGCTCGAGGGTGTGGAAGGTGTACACATGCTTCTTCACAGCCGCCGTCTGGCCATCGGTAAACGTAGTCACATTCCTCACATGCTCGCCGCCCCCGGTTCTCGCCCGCCGCTCGACAGGTACCACAAGCGCGTCATAGGCGGCCGGCCTCATGTCCTGCTGCAGCGTTATCCCGACCAGCCGATAGATCTCTGCTGCCACGACGATGGGTACGTGGATGGCGGGCTCCAGGCGTGCCACGAAGCGCACATTGGGCGGGCTGGAGGGTAGCAAGGGGTCGGTCGACACGAGCGTTGGCGGCGGCTCAACCCAGTTCGTTCTAGCCCTGTTGTTCGTATCCTCGTTTGCCGTGTTGTTGCTGTCGTCGTTTCCTTCGTCGTTGTTCCCGTTGCTATTTTCGTTGCTGTTCCCGTCCTGCGTCGGTAGGACCGTGGGATCGCCAACCCAGTTTTTGGATATGCGCAGTGACGGGTAGCCAGCCTCACACTCTATCACAGCATTGTAGATTTTGTGTTTGCTGCCCCTTCCCAGCCTCAGAGACGAGGCCAGCACATCGTCGAGCGAGACGTGTCGAGCATCCAGCAGCCGGCGCTGGGCAGCCCAGTACTGTATGGCCAGTCCGACGTTCTCGCCTCTATGCATTGTAGGACGTCCCACGCTGCTCCTGCACAGTCGTTCCCAGAACCGGCTCTCTCCAGACGTGACGTCCCACACCTTCTGCATGCTCTCGTGCACCCCTTCCACAGCCTCGAAGCAGTTTACCTCCCTGCACAGTCCGTCCATCCTCGCCAGCCGTGTCAGGTTGGCGTGGAAAGCGTCCACTTTCTTCCACTCCCCATCCCCTCCGGCCGTAGTCAGCACGCTCTTCAAAACTGCGGATGCAGCCTCCCTCTTCTCCCCTTCAGCCATCTCCCGCGTAGCATACCGAAGTGTCACATCCTTCACCACATCTGCATCTGCCCCGTCTTTCTGGCCAAACTCAATCTCCAGATCAACGCTGTTCCCCGCAATGCTCAGATTGTTCTCCTGCCACATACACTCAAACCCTTCCAGTGTCCCCAGTCGTTCAATAGATTCACGACATACACCGCGTCCTGCCACCCGTGACCGTAGCATAGAGAGTACCTCAGCCATATTCCGTCGTTTTTCAGCTTCTGTATCTTTTGCCGTAGGCCCCGGAAGCGAGTGTATGGGCAGATCCAGCGGCATTCCCATACTTAGACCCATCGCATCAGACATGCTTAGGCCCATGCCAATGCCCATGCTCAGGCCACCCGTCATGGCGACTCCTCCTGGCCCAGGCGAGGGCGTAATTCCGGATAGGCCCAGCGCTAACAGGGCAGAAGGTGAGCTGAATGCCGCGGCATCCTCCAACATAGGCGTGTACTGATGTGCCGGTGCTTGTGAGTGTGAGGAGGCAGGTAGGTGCTGCTGCCCCTGGTGAGGTTGTTGCTGTTGTCCCTGCTGATGTGAAGGCGTTCGTGTTGTTGGTGGTGAGATCTGTGATAAGGGTCGCCCCATAGGCACCGCCGAGTGAGCAGGATACGGTGAAGACGTTATTTGTGTTGGGGTCGCGCCTGGGTTGGCGTTTGCCGTGTTGCTTTTAGCAGGTGTAGCCATTGTCAACAACCAAGGTAAGAGAACGTGTAGGCCGCCTTAGATGTATTCTGTATTTAGTGAAATGCTCATGGGTATCATATATTATTACTCAATTTCAAAGCCGTTTCTTTCGGTTCAGGCGATATATTAATGGATATCATTCAAATAAAAAGAAAAGAGATAGCTTGGTATCCAGAATAATGATCCAAAAAGTCCCATCACCTATCCCTCCTCCTTGTCATCCCCTTTAGCCTCAATTTCCGTATTCACGGTCTAAATCCAGATATAAACCGTGTTTCGTAGCTGTGAAGTTGAAGTTCAAAGTTGAAGTTGAAGCTCAAAACGGATACTTAAGGATGTTCACGTGACTTGACCGGGGATATGGAAAAGAAAGAAGCTTCTCTGAAGCACCAACTTTCTTTGAGACAATTATCTAACAGAAAGTCAAGGTCCAGAAGGTCAATGGCTTCTCTGATGGGAGTTTTGCGCCCTATCATGGGCCCAGGGAGAGCTCTATACAGACAGCTTTCCACGCTCTCCAATAATCCTCACATCGTATGCCTCCCACCCACTATCAACAACCCATACTAACACCTACATAGTATGCATTCCCTAATTCAACAGGCACAAGCCATACGTTATCTCTCCTACCAACCTCTCCACCAACTCCTGCCCTCGCAATTGGAACAACGACTACTTCTGCCCTCCCTCCAACGCCAAACACTTTCTCCCCTAACCCGGAATTCATCTCTATCCTAGATTCTGTACTGGCAGAACATGCCTGCCAGGACCCAGACACCGTATCCGCTGCACATGTAATGGCATCAACGTCAGGCGCGAATCTCTTCTCGCGCATGCATGGCAAGGTGGAGGGAGCAGAGTCGGCTGGCAGAGGTGGATTCATTCACATCGCTGACTCTAGAGAGCCGCCAGAGTATGGCCGGATACCTTCGTAGGTCATCCTATCTTTTGGTTTAATGGCCAGTCAATGGGGTACTGACGAGTTATAGGCCTGAGGATATATTTGGTTCTATCGAGGTTGATGGACAGGGGAATATTGAAGGGAAAGGAAACTACCAGGGTAGCGGTATGTCCTGTCGACTATCACTGGTCAATTTATGCATCGCTCATTATAGCTTGCTAACTCTATGCCGATGCAGGAACATATCGCATTGTTACGAGAAACGGAATGTAAGTTTTACTTATCATGGCAATATGTCACACCTTACTAAATGCATATACAGCCTAGGTCTAAGTCCGTTCCTCAGGGAAAAATTGGTCGAGAGGTTGAAGGCCGAAGAGGAGAAGATACGACGTTAAACGGCCTCCTTTAACTAAGACATGACACCTGATTATTTATTTACGATGGTGTGTAGGGTAGGTTACTTGTATTATAGGTATGGTTCCTTGGACTAAATAATGTACATAGATCACAAATAAACTGAAGCTAATTCACTTCTTGAAGAAATTGGTAATTCGCTGATTTCCATCACTGGGCTTAACTCCGGCCTTTGACTTCGTGTCGTTTCTGGTTGCATTTCGCATCTTCTTCACTGGGCTGGGTCCTTTGATGGGTTGTATCTCTGCTTGGGTAGGCCCTTTCTGCGGGCTTCCAATCTTTACCTTCTTGTTGCTCCCTAGAACCTGCTCTGGCTTATTCCCTGGAGAGAACTCCCTCTTCAAGGCAGATTCACTCTCTGTCTGTCCAGGTTTAAGTTTTTGTAAGTTCTTAGAATCATCTTCCTTGGCCTCCCGTATATCTGCTTTCCCCTTCTTATCGCCTTTGCCCTGGAAGAAATTAGCGATATTACTCTTATTTTCCTTGCTATCAATCGGTATAATGAAACTTGGGGAGTTATTGCCGACTTTCCCTACGTCCTTGCTGACGGGATAGGTCTCTAGTTCGCCTTCATAGGGCTTCAAAAGCGACTGAAGCTCGTTTGTCCATGTGGTGGTATGCGGGTCTAGCCAGGTAACCATCTCTTTACTACCCGGATTAAGGATGACAGGCATACGATCGTGGAGAAATTTAAGTTGTGAGTTGGATGAGGTAGTAATTACCGTATAGGTATATAACTTCTCATCCGTATCTATTACAAGTCAGTTGCATCCAAGCCACATGAAGCCAACACATAGCCCCCTAATTACCTTCATATTTGACGCAGTCCCACAGGCCAGCGAAACACATCAGGTCTCCATCCTTGCGACGGGTATAATATGGCAATCTGATTTTGCCCCCAGGCCCCGTCTTAAGCCACTCATAAAAGCCCTGGCATATCACGATGCAGCGCTTTTTCTTCTTCATCGAAGTCCACATGCCTCGATCTTCCATTAAAGAATCATCTCGACAGTTGATAGTCTTCATCAGTGAGCCATAGTTTGGAGATCGTTTGGTCCAAAAGGGTATCAGTCCCCATTTCATAGCCTGAATCTTGTACTTGGTGCCTTTCTCTCCTTTCCCGATATGCTCAGAGTGCTCTCGCTCTTCAGCAGCTTCGCCGTCAAGCGCTTCAGGGCCAATGCCACCATGGTCAGGGGTATCGGCTCTTAGCACAGCACCATAATTCCCAGGTGCAAAGTTATACGTCTCTCTCACTTCATCATCGTCCGCTATTTCATCAACTTGCTGGCCTCGTTGTTGTAGTTGATGTCGGATGAACGCCAACCGCTGTCTCAAAGCCGAATCAGACTATGTCTTTTTCTGCCAGGGCTTGGGGAGCATGCGTACAATTCCCATAGAATATCGCCCACACATTTCGCTGCAGTTGTCGACTCTGCTAGTATATATATATATATATAGCTTGATTTATGCGTAAAGGAACCATGAAAGAGTTATCAGTCGTCTTCGAGGTACTAAAATAGGTCCACTAGCTTATGTCCACGTGACCTTCTAATTACTCGCTAGTTAACGGCTACAACATGTCTAAATAATCATCACACTACTGAGGACATGTCAAAGTACGAAAACCCATCATTTAATATCAAAGTCCGATGAGGCATCCTACTATAAGCGCAACGAAAACGGAAGTGAATAGGAAAGAGAGATGAGATTAGAACTAAAGAGAGTTCCAGCAAGTAACTCCTAGCCACAGCCAACTGCGGCTTGAAGTGCTCTATTAAGGGATCCCTCTTCAAATTTATTATTAGGCGGGAACCCCAGCAACGACTAAAGCCTTCTGATAGCAACGATATATGATATATGACTCCTACAAGGGCAACCGTAGCTATTTCAAGTATTTACATAAGTAATATGTAGGAATTTGGAGGTCACGCTAGTAAATACTTTTAAATAACCTTAATTCCACCACGAACTATTTTAACCATCTTGAAAAAGCTACATCGTGATCAAGGCTGTTTGCTCAATTCCTCCAATTGTCAGATATGTTCTAGCATGATGCTGGCGAATTTAGGGCGGCGCTCTAGCGCGCTCTCACGACCTATAACCAATCCTCTCCTCTCACAATCGACGACCAGATCAATTTCTTCACATAGCATCGCCCAAAGACCAAGACTACAGCTACTCCCCCACAATGTATCCGGTTCTCAAACCCGATCATACACATTCTACCAGCGATTCAGAGACAATTTCCGAGTTGCCGCACGAAATGTCCACCGCAAACACCCAATCGGATTTCCCCTTACCCTCCTGTTCGCTGTCGGCAACACCGCCCTCCTAGCGTATATTATCTATGATTTCATGACTCGGGTGAACCCAGAGTACTCACGCTTCCCCAAGGAAATGGCCATTCATCTTCGAAAAGCAGTATACTATACTGAAATGGACCTCAACCCTACGTCGGCACTGGCTTATTATAAGCAGGCGTTGGAAGCTGGGCTCCAATTAGGATTACATCCATTCTCAGACGAGATGTTGGGGATACGATTGGCAGTGGCTTCGATGCTAGAAAAAGCAAATTTGTTTGATGCGTCAATTGAAGTTCTCGAGAAGATTAAGAATGATTGTGAAACTTGGATTGAGAATGGGAGGAGGCGGAAATTGATACTTGATCGAGAAAGAGAGAGCGGGAAAGATATTTTACCCGATCCATCAAATTCCGATGCTGTGGCCGAGCATGAGGCTGCTCTGGAAAAGGAACAAGAAGAGGAGAGAATGCGTGACACAGTGGTGAAGAAGGTTCCGGGAATAAGCCTAAAGATCGCAGAGCTATATTCTGAACAACATCCGGAAGATACGGAGAAAGCAGAGAAGTACCTGATTTCCGCCGTTGAGGTTAGCCGAAGGGAACTGCAGCGGAGAAGGGATTTGAACTTGCCTGTCACTACGGATGATGGCCCTTCATTCCTTACCCTTACCGAAGTGGGCAACGCATGCAGTCAGTTGGCAGATCACTATGGACTAAAAGGCAGAAACGACTTGGCTGCCGTTCTATATATGCAAGCACTATCCTTATTTAAGGAAGACGAAGGAGACGGACAGAACAAGATCATCCAGGTCGTTCTGCTAAATAATATTGCAAGTCAGATGGCGGAGCAAGCAGGGAAGACTCCTTTGAACGCCTCGTCGCCCTCGCCCTCTTCCATAAACCCTGTTTCACGCGAACAGTTGCTGGTTGCAGCGACAGAGTGGGGAAAGAAAGCGCTGGATGTTGCCGCTCATGTCGATGACTCCATTCGAAATCAGGAATATGAGCAGGCTTGCGTGGCTACCCTGTATAACTTGGGAGAGATATCTGAGATGCAAGAGAACCCGCGACAAGCAGAGGGATACTACCGGGAAGCCAATGCTACATCTATTAAGCTACAGTATAAGCAAGGAATTGAAAAGACAAAAGAGGCATTGAAAAGGCTAGAAGGCCATAAATGAGATACCCTTTTCTACTGTATCATTAATTTCAATGCCAAAGGGATAAAAAGCATGTACAATATGTAAAAATTTTAACTTTTGGGAACGAACGTCTACGTTGATAACCACGGCTACGAGGAATGTAAACGGTTAAAATGCAGAATGCAGAACCTCCATTAGCTCGTGAAAAGACGTACATAGCATAACCTTTCCAACCAATACGGTAGATCTCACACGCCAGCTTTAAGCCTAGAGAAAGCCAAGAAGAAATATCATCGACTTGAAGATAAGACAGGAGTGGGTGGGTTTTGCTTTTTGAACTTTTTTTGCTTCCATTTAGATAGATCCTTTGTTAATATCTTTAGGGAACTATCAACACCACAGTTCATCTTGTCCACGGGCGGTAGCCCTTTTTTGCCCTCCCTATTTTTTTGATCGGGTGGCATTGCTTCATCCGAATGATCCCCAACCAGTCATATTGTTTCATTGGACATTATCTAGTAAACAACTCACTCCGCTATTAAAGATGTGACAAAAGAAGGAATAAAAATAAACTTTTTATACCCTCGACATGACACCCCAGGCACGAATCTTGTTGTCAGTGTATCCAGAGAACAGAGTCTGACCATCGGCGCTCCATGCCAAGCTTATGCACTCAGGGTCACGGCTCTTCTTGCCCTTGTCCTCAAACTCAGGCTTGAGCTCATCGATCTTGCTCTTCTTCTCCAAGTCGAAGATGCTGATGCTGCTGGAAGTGGCAGCGCAGAGCCAGTAGCGGTTGGGAGAGAAGACAAGAGCATGGATTTCATCACCAGCGTTGAGAGAGTAGAGGTGTTTCGATTCGTTCAAATCCCAGAGCATAACAACGCCATCCTTGCCACCAGAAGCGCAAAGGGAGCCGTCAGGAGAGATGGTGACGGTGTTGATGTAGCCGGTGTGGCCAATGTGGTCGGTTTGAATACGGCAGGTGGAGAGTTCCCAGACCTATTGTGCATCGACTGTTAGCTGTTGTACCGAAAGGGATAAAACAATCGCCACCAGAAGTTTTCTCTTCGATACAAATATAAAAGGGGAAGTATTTCCATCAGGGCAAAGGTGAATAATGGTCTCATGGCCCACAAAGGAGCTCTGAAGTAGCAAATACGTTGATTGCAAAACATCATTTGGAAAACAAAGCGACATAAAAACGAATGTTGACAGCCGGATATTTCGTACCTTGACGAGTTTGTCCCAACCAGCACTGACGATGACGGGGTTCTGGGGGTTGGGGCTGAAGCGGACGCAGGAAACCCACTCGGTGTGGCCCTTGTCGGTGATGGTGAACTTGCAGTCACCAAGGGTGTTCCACAGCTTGATGGTTCGATCACGAGATCCAGAGACAATTTGGCGGTTGTCAGCAGAGAAGGAAACGGACAGGACGTCGTTGTTGTGGCCGACGAAAGTGCGGGTGGTGTTTCCGGTAGCCAATTCCCACAGACGGAGGGTCTTATCCCAAGAGCTGGAGAGAGCATAGGCACCATCAGAGGAGATGACCTATTATTTGATATCATATTAGCCACACGTCAAAACACACCCCTCGTGGCTATCTTCTTTCTTTTCCTCCTCTTGCCCATATGCGCAAAATCAGAAACTGGATCCAGAGGTATATCATACACAGTCAGAAACGATGTGAGAGTGTCCGTGGAGGGATCGCTTTGGGTATCCGTATGCGGTATCATCACGGGTCAAGTTCCAGACGATCAAGGTCTTGTCGCGACTGGCAGACAAAAGCATGTTGGGACTAAACTGGCCTGTCAGCATCATCCCTCCATCATCATTCTTCCTTCTTTCTCTCTCTCAGTCAAAGAATTGTCATGGAATTGTTCCTTACTTCTCCAACGTCGTCGCCAAGCTGGTAACCCAGCCATTGTGGCCCTGGAGGGTTCCACGGAGGACTAACTGCTCAGCCATGATGTGCGGACTCGAGCTCGTCTGGATGATGCTCTCGTAAATCCTCGAGGGTGCGGTGGACGGAGAGGGATGAAGGCGAGCAGAGAAGTTGTTACTCTTTTTTTTTTTTCCTTTTCGGCCTTTTCACACAAATCGACAGAAAGAAGTTAGGCTGGTTCCGTATCCAGGCAAACCCTAAACGCCTGTGTGCGCGCGCTAAACCCTAACCGGCCTTAAGCGAGCGGCTTCGACTTTTTATATATACAAAACATACAAGAGATGTTCATATATTGTCTGAAAGATATATTATATTATCCTGATGATACATATTGTACAGATGAGAGAGTAGATGGCAAGTACTACGATTTGAAGAGCTCAATGTTGGGCATTCTTCCCAGACCGCCGCCGCTTCCCTTGACGCTACCACCTCCAGCCTTCTTGCTAAGGACGTGCTGTCGCAATAGAGAGAGAATATCCGAGTCGGCCCATCGCTGGGGGACAGGTCGGTATGCAGGTTTAAAAGCTCCCACTGTCTGGGCCCATTCTCCGCTCTTCGCAGCGCCGCTCTTCCACGTCTCAGTAAGCTCGTCCTTGGGCCTCGATGCACCCTCAGATCCCTCAGATGGGGCTTCTTGTGTTGCCCAGTAGTAGATGTCCCAGTCATTTTCGTCCAGGAACCGGTCATATTCATCTAGTTGACTGCTGGTCATCTTGCCTAGATATGTAGATGCAAATGTTGACAGGAGGAGATCTGACTCTAAAGTGCCTCGTTTACGACTCTGGTCTACTCCATACATATAATGTTAGTCATCTGCAGATAAACTATGGCAGTTCAACTAAACGCCAGCTCATGTATAGCCTATACAACGTCCAGACGGCACTCACATAACAACCTGGCTCTCTTTGTGCTGTCATCCTCGCCTTTCCTTTTGAGAGGCTCTACTTTGAAAGTGATGCCTTCCATCTCTCCAACCTCCAATTCGCCCTTTGTTTGTCCAGGAGCAAGCAGGCCTTCCGCACTTTTATCCCCGTTTTTCGTGCCTCCATGGCCACCAAGTTTTGAAGAATAGCTTAAACGTCGAAAACTCAGGGTAGAGGCAGGATATTCGTTTCTATAAGGTATGCTGGCACTGCGATGATATGAAAGAGATGCGACGGGTTTTGGTGACGGGGCGACAGTAGGAGCCTGGGAGCGACAACGGTACGAAACCAGTCCTTGCCTTAACGATCGAGATATAGTATTCACCGCGGCCATTGGAACAAACGAGAGACGCAATTGATATGTTTTCGTGTAGTGATCGACGTTTAACAACTGATGGCCGTCGTGTTAGGAAACCTGAAGACTTCGACATCATCAGCACTTTGTTTGACATGTTTGCATCGACCAAATGGGTCAACCTTTGTAGCATTAGTTCATTATTAGTACACCAACGATGAAGAAACAGAGATGGATATTTCTATTGTACTCTTTGGCCTATTATTTTATAATAAAAGAATTTTATGGAATAAACTAGCCTCCTGATGATTTTAATTAGGCAGCTTTGGAAAATTGCATTTCCTCTTGCCTCCGGAAATTTCCTAGATTCCCTTATCTTTTGAAGATGCCGGTGGACTAGTGATCATAGTTACAATTCGTATTTCCTCATCATTATGAAAGTAAAACGTAAGAAAGATCAAAAGAAACGAGGGAGAAAGTTGGGTGAGGATAATGACCGCACCCATATACCTAAGCAGACAGGGAAGTCCATCAAAACCGTTTCTGAGAAAGGAGTAGACTTTGTCATTCACCAAAAGAAAACCCTTACTAAGACGCTTTAGATAAGATGTTTCGATCTGTATCAGGTAGTAAGAACGGTTAGTAAATGGTTTTTGCACCTAAGGTACACACGAGGACATAATGCGCATTAAATCCACTTACCTGAAATAGGCTCTCAAATAGACTACCTGCCAAACACCAAGACCAACCAGCATGCCCATTGTGCCGAAAGCAAACCATTTAACTCGCTCATTAGTACTCTCGTTGGTGTCTCGGAGTTTTTGCTCTCTTGCGCGCATAAAGTCCATCTCCGCAACGATTTCATTAATCATAGCTTCGATGCGACGTAGATCAGTTTCAACTGGCTTAAGCTTCTCTTGAACCTTGATGGCGTCCCAGTCGCGTGCATCGGCACCGATATCAATACCTAGCTCGACCTGACGAGATGGGTTGTTGCCAGCATCTGCAAATGGGGAACAAAGTAGAAGATTAGCCAACGTCCCTGGCTATTTAATTGCGAGAACAAAATCTGTCAGGGTATTCTTACGTCTGCCGGAGAGAACGTTCTCAAAGCATACGTCGAACGAAGAGTCGGCGCTAGCGGTAAACATTTGTCTGATCTCGCCGGCGATATCTTTTGGTTTGGCGTAATCGTCACCTAGTGAACCTTTGACCTATTTCACCCAATCGAAGAAAAAAACCAGTCAACATGCATTCTATATTATCACACGACACACAATTGCAGTAGGATTAGCGGAAAAAATTTTTGGGTAAGTCCTTGACGTACATGCATGTTGACAACCTGTCCATCACCCTTTGAACCGCTCACTGTGGCCGTAATGACAACAAGCTGGTCACGCCCAACGAAGTTCCTTACGCATCTCTCGTGCTTCCCTGAGTGTACATTTGGAATAAGGTCGAAATGTAGGGCGGACGTAAGGGGCACAAGGAGAGTGAATAGGAGGGCGAGAAGTTCGAGAGGAGACCGTAGTCCCGTAGATGAGCCCCGCCGCATGCTGGCCTCTGTCGTAAATTAAGTGCCAGCGGATGGCGGGATGTAAAGGGAAGACGGTGGAGGAGGAGCAACAACGAAAAAGGTCGAGTAGATGCGTTTGATATGTCTGTATGCGCCTGCTCGTCGTAGCTTGCTGCTTGAGGCCAAACATTTAGGGTTATGGATATTTGTCCCTGTCGCGGGTTGGCGGAAGATCAAAAGTCCGAAAATACTCTTCGAAGTCGACCACCGTAGACTAACTGTTTACTACCTACAAGAGTCCTACATACGGGATATATATCAAGGAGAATAGTCCTCTTTATACTGATTACAGGCAGAGGTAGCCTTGCCTTGTGATGTGCTAAATCATAGCTAGAACTAACTAGATCACTACTTAACGAGTACTGACCAGATACTGACGATATAACGTTCACCTCCTTCGACTCATCCTAATATTGTTTGATTAAATGATTATGCATACCTGATTATTGAAGCTCCTAGAAACGACTGTATTGGCCCATCAAGCTGTCAATAAAGCTCCTTTATTAGAAACAATATTCTCAAGGGCTCTTTGAGGCTTTCACTTCAACCAACAAACCCGGCTCCTTTAGCATATTTCCCCGATGAACCTCTCTCAAAATAACGTCTCATATCCATCTCAGGATCTCCCTAACAATCAAGTATAGAAAACCATTTCATGGATACCTTCATGGCCTAGCCAAAACCCTACATATGCAGTTAAAGACTGTGAAAGAATAACGTTGGACAATGGTCGTAAATATACTAGCGTCGGATATGGTATGAAAAAGGAACATCTAGACAGTCTGTCTTCCTAGCAGTAGATCGCTATCGCCAGTCCTTAGGCTAAGGCAGGTTCTGTAGAACCAGGCTTGTCAATTCATTACCTAACTCTTCGGGAGACAAGAAACCATTCAAATACTGCGAAGCAATATACGAGCATGGTGAAGTTGCTAATGCAAAACCTTCTGAGCCAATGTAGCAGGGGTTGTTCTTTTGCGGTGAACCTATGGAGGCGAAATGTCAACAATATACATCCTGGAATTAGGTGGAGGCCTTCGTAAATGGCAAAAACCGTCCTTGAGTCTGTGGGATTCCACCTTACTGTTGATCAAGATACTTGAACCTTCTAGCATAAACATCTTGGTTCTTCGTCTTCTGTTTTGCAAAGTAAGATTTTCTCCAGGTATCTGCATAGATATAATGGTGATCGACTGTGGTATGTTTTCATCCATGCCACGGAACATGAAGGTGATTCCATATTGTCAAAATCGTATTCCGACCACTTCTTTCCGCATAGATCCGAGTAAATATCGAATTATCTTGGCTGATGCTATGATGCAGCAGTAGAGCCAGCTTGTTGGAGAAAAGGCAAAAGGGCTGCACCATGCAAGATCAGCATCTGCATGATATCAGTGATATGTATCTATGGACAAGGTTGGAACGCAGGTTTAAACAGGCAGCGTTTCCAGGGGAGGGCGAATGACGTGACTAGTGCCATGGCCTCAAATATACTCATCAGAAACGAAAGATCCGCATCGGTGTTTGGTTGGTGTTGGAACTTCTAGAAAAGATGTGCAACCCTCCAAGGGTTGATGAAACGCAGACAGGTATAAACAGCAGATCACTCTGGTATGGAGTATGTAGCGTGACCTTGAACATGCGTCTCGCCAAGTCCAGATACACAAAGCCTTTTTGAAGCTTGAATACCCTGAACGATCACTTTACATTATACTCATGGATATATAGATGGAGTTGAGTAGATCACTTGATAAAACGAGTAAAATTATTATTTCAAACGATGTGAAAAGATATTTTCATGACTTGCATCTCACCGTGATGGCTATATTGTGAAAGGGTTATGTGACAGAAGTAAGGCCCAAAGTGACGTTAAGAAAAGGGGCTGAAGGGTGGTATATAAAAGGCAGGAGAAGGGGAATACAACACATCCGCGTGCATCAGCGAGTGTAGATCGAGGGTATCGATAGACCAAGTGTGCTAAGAGAAAAAGAGAAAAAGAAGGGGACGAGGACTCGAGCAGGAATGATATGTGTAGAGTTATTTTGGTGAATGAATTGATTGCTTCGTCAAAGGAGTGGCCAAGGCTGGTTCTTGATGAAACGAAAATATATACCGTCACCCTTGTTTCGAGAAAGAGGAGAAAAGATGAAAACAAAAACTGGCCGGTGAGTAGAGGGGATGGGAAGATGGAGATGGTATAATGTAACAGGGGCCGAAAGTCGTCTTCATTAATTAAAAAAAAAGATGTAGTAGAACATCTCGAGGAAACGTGAATGTCTTCCCAAAAAAATAAAAAAAAGGAGGGTGAGAAAGGTCATTGAAAGATGAGACGGAAGAGAGATGATCAAGGAGGGCGTTATTTGATGGGTTGGGTAGAGGGCATTGGACTAAGCGACCTGTTTCTTCTTTCGTAGGAAGGCCTTGAATGTCCAACTAGCTGAAGAACCGGTCTTCATTCCATTCAATGAATGCACGGAGCTTACACTGGGTGAGGGAGGAGCGGTATTTTTCAAGAAATCGGCCAACGCCGCGGTTTCAGCCTTGTTGGATCTGTATAGGCTGTCGGTTTCGATACCCTTTACTACATTCTTTGGCAGCCTGCCGCCAGAATGCCATTGGTTATCTGGCTCGTCTGCATGGATGGTAGCAACGAATGATCCAGAGGTGAGAGACGCCTGTGGCCTGCCAATCTGGTTATATTTAGCGGGGATATCAACAAGCCTTGGAACAGGCGATGATGCTCCAGTAGTGGAGTCCAGAGTTGAACTTCGCATGATGCGCGTTTTCATAGACTTTTGTCGCTTCGCCTCATTAGCCTTTTGAATATTGATGGTGAACGGCTGTGGTTTCGGAGGTGCTGGAGGGGGGCGGGGCATTTTTTAGGAATTCAGCGAGACTTTCTTGCTTTGGCT